ACCACTACTACTACCACTACTACTACTACTACTACTACTACTACCACTACCACTACCACAACAACTAAAACTACAACGACAACTAAAACTACAACAACAACAAAGACAACAACCACAACAACAACTAAGGCAACAACCACAACAACAACAAAAGGCACGGCTACCGGTGAAACCACAACCACAACAAAGACTACAACAGCTGGTGAAACTACAACTACAACAAAGTCTACAACAGCTGGAGAAACTACAACTACAACAAAGTCTACAACAGCTGGCGAAACTACAACTACAACAAAGGCTACAACTACTACAACAAAAGCTACGACTACTACCACAACAAAAGCTACGACTACTACCACAACAAAGACTACAACTACCACAACAACTCTTAACCCATTAATCACAACTACAACTCCAAAACCAACAACTACAACTACAACAAAATGCCCAGGTAAACCACCAATAGCCACAACAACTACAACATTGAAACCAGTAGTAACAACAACAACAACAAAAGCAACGACTACTACTACTACCAAGGTAACAACAACCACAACAACCACAAAGAGAACTGAAATGACAACAACCACAACAAAAAAACCTGATGTTGGTGATGTTGAAATCACTCCAATCCCAATTGAGAAAGCGTTAGATAAGTTCACAAAAATGGATTACGACTACAATAGTGGTTTGTTATTGGGCCCTGATGGTGAGCCAATTCCAGGTTCACAAGCAGGACAAATTGCGGACACAACAAATTTGTTCCCAGTTCAAACCCACAAAGGCACTGGATTACCAATTGATCCAATGGTTGGTCTTCCATTCGATCCAAAATCAGGTAATTTAGTACACCCATACACCAATCAAACAATGTCTGGTCTATCAGTATCTTATCTCGCTGCTAAGAACTTAACAGTTGAAACTGATGATATATATGGTTTACCAATTGATACACTCACTGGTTACCCATTAGATCCAGTCAGTTTAATTCCATTCAACCCAGAAACAGGTGAATTGTTCGACCCGACGACAGATAAAATCATAAATGGAACAGTTGCAGGTATCGTTTCCGGAATCTCTGGAAATCAATCATTATCTGAAAATTCAACTAATATTGACCCAGCAACAAAAATGATCATTGGTGAATTTGGTGGATTGGTTAACCCAACAACAAAAACAATGATTCCAGGTTCCTTAGGCCCATCAGAACAAACTCCCTTCTCTGTTGAGATTGAAGATGGTGGTATTATTCCTCCAGAAGTAGCAGCAGCAAATGCTGACAGATACAAGTTATCTATTCCTACAAGCGTACCAGATTCAGTTCCAGAGAAAGATCAAAAGCTTGATTCTATTTCTGAATTGATGTATGATATTGAGTCAGGTAGACTTATTGGCCAGATATCAAAAAGACCAATTCCAGGTTCAATTGCTGGTGACTTGAACCCAGTAATGAAGACACCAGTACAAACTGATCATTCAACCGGTAAGCCAATCGACCCAACAACCGGTCTACCATTCAATCCACCAACTGGTAATTTAATTAACCCAACAAACAACAATACTATGGATTCTTCATTTGCTGGTGCATATAAATATGCAATGTCAAATGGAATTAAAACAGATAACGTCTATGGTTTACCAATTGATGAACTAACTGGTCTCCCGAAGGATCCAGTTTCTAATATTCCATTCAATACAACAACTGGTGAATTGGTTGACCCATCAACAGGAAATCCAATTGAAAATTCTACCGCTGGTGTTATTAGTGGAAAACCAGGTTACCCACCAATTGTTTCTGAAGATGGTACATCGTATGATCCATCTACCGGCTTACCAATAGATAAAAATAATCAATTGATTAACCCAGAAACAAACAGCACTATTTCGTCCTCAACTTCAGGTACAACAAAACCAAAACCAGGAGTTCCAGTTGGCAGTGGTGGTATAATATCTGAGGAAGAAGCAAAGGATCAAGCTGATAAGGGCAAGGACGGATTGATAGTTCCACCAACCAGCTCTATTAATAAGGATCCAGTTACAAATACTCAATATAGTAACTCAACTGGTAATATTATTGACCCAGAGACAGGAACAACTATTCCAGGTTCACTCCCAGGTGCTCTTAACTATCCATCATTCAACACTCCACAACAAACCGATAAGTTGACAGGAAAACCAGTTGATACAGTTACAGGTTTGCCTTACGATCCATCTTCAGGAGAAATTATCAACCCAGGTACTAAATTGCCAATTCCAGGATCAGTTGCTGGTGATGAAGTTCTTACTGGAGTTCTAAACATTACAACAGATGAAGCAACAGGTTTACCAATTGATAGCCAAACTGGTCTCCCAAGAGATCCAGTATCAGGACTCCCACAACTTCCAAATGGTACTTTGGTTGACCCATCAAATAAGAAACCAATCCCAGGCTCTCACTCTGGATATATCAATGGTACATCTGGCGAGCCATCTACTGAAAAGGATCCAAGTACTGGTAAACCAATTGATCCAAATACAGGTCTGCCATTTGATGAATCTTCAGGTAATTTAATTAACCCAGAAACAGGAGACAAGATTGAAGGGTCTCACTCCGGTACATTGATGCCACCAAATGGTGTTCCACAGGGTGAAAATGGTGGTATTATGACACCAGAACAGATCTTGGATGCATTGAATAAATTACCATCCAATGGAGAAGTCAATATTTCACCAAAACCAGGTTCAGATGCTATTGAAGATAAACCAACAAATACTTGGTGGAATAGGAACACAGGACAGATCTACAAAGCCAATGGAGAGAAGACTATCCCAGGTTCTGCTGCCTCAATAATACATACCGTTTTTGGAACACCAACTCAAACTGATCCAACTACAGGGTATCCATCTGATCCATCAACTGGTTTGCCATTTATTCCAGGATTTAACATGCTTGTAGACCCACAAACTGGAGAGCAAATGAAAGGATCTGTTTCATATGCTTCATTGTATGCTAAGCAAAAGAATATTGTTACAGATAGCGCTTATGGTCTTCCAGTTGATCCAAAGACTGGTTTCCCGATTGATCCAATCAGTGGAGTTCCATTTGCTAGGAACGGTGAATTAGTTGACAGAGTCTCTGGTAAATACTACAGTGGATCGGTTGCTGGATTTATTTCTGGTAAAGCTGGTACACAATCAAAATCATCTGATGATCAAGGAAATCCAATTGATCCATCAACAAATATGCCTTATGATAGCAAGTCTGGTAAATTGATTGATCCAGAAACTAATGTTGCTATTGAAGGTTCTACTGCTGGTGTATTTGCAAAAGCACCAAGTACTGCGGCACCAAATAAAGGTGGTATCATTCCAGAATCAGTTGCAGCTGAAGCAGCAAAGAGCCACTTCAAGAATAATATTGAAGATGGAAAGGAAGAAGAAGTTCCACCACCAGAATCATCAAATAACATTGCAATTCAGGCTGCCGGTGGTGCTTCTGCTGCTGTAGGTCTCGTAGCTGCTGGTGTTGGTGCATGGTATGCAAGCAGAAACAGACGACAAGATGGAGAAGACGATGACGATTATGCAGATGGATTCGAAGCAGAATATGAAGAAGAGGAGGAAGAAGAGGGTGATGAAGCTGCAAATGAAACCGTTGTTACAATTGAACGTGATTCATCATTCTGGAATGAGTCTTAAGAATAATTAAATAATTTCCCTAATTCAAAATTTCCTACCATTAAAATAATGGTTTTCTTAACAGATATGACTACTAACAACCACTACATTTCCTATTAATATAATGAGAGATTTACAAACGCATTAAGAGTACTGCTATTATTGGAAAAAACCGAATATGATAATAATTATTAAATCATTATCATAATTTCTAAGAGAAAAAACACATTATCTCTCTATATTAGGAATAATCCAACCATATAATATCCCAATTATTATGTAAATGATTATTTCGAAAATTGAGTAGTTAAATAGAGATAGGATTTGTATATTGCTGCTAATAATGTAATGCTAATTAAAAAGTTGTTTGGATATTTTTATTTATATTTATATACACTAAGGTGATTTGAGTTTGCCTATCTATTCTAATCGTAACGCTTTTTTCTTCACAATATCCTAATTTTTGTTTTCTACTAATATATTTACGTCATCTTTTCTCATTTTGATACATTTCTCTAAAATGTTAACTTTCTTTTTCAGTAAATTGTTCTTTTCTTGTGAGTCGTTAATTTTTTCAATAAAGGTGCAAAATATATCATCCATCATAATACAAATCTCAGAATTAAATTTGGTTGATTCATGACGTTTTAGTTCATTGTATTTATTTTCTTTTAAAATTTTAATTCTATTCATAAGGTATTCTTTTATATTTTTAATTTCACTTTCTTGCTTAGTATTTTGGCTTGTTAAATTTGGTAATTCCAGGTTATTAGTTTTTTTTGACAAAGCTTCATTTTTTGCTTTAATGTCTTTTAAACTATTCTCTAGCTCATCTATATATTCATACAATTCATTTACAGATGTATTTTTATTCGCTTTGTTCAATTCGAATTCTTTTTTTAGCTCGTATAACTCCAGCTCCGATTTGGATAATTGATTAACAGTTGAAGTATGAATTTGATCAATTTCACTGTACTTATTTGTTAATTTCTCATGCTCTTTTTGTAATTGATTATATTTAGAGCTCAGTTCAGCTACAAGAATTTCTAAATTCACGCTCTTAGTATTAAGTTCTTGATAAAGGTCTTCAATGTCTTTCTTTTCTTTTAATAGACGATCTCTCTCAATGACTAGCTGAGTATTCAATAAATCCTTTTTAATGTTTTTGTTACAGATTTCATTTTGAAGTCGTGACTTCACCGACTCATAGTCCTCTTTAAGCTTTGATTTTTCTTCTCTCTCAATGAATAACTCTTTTTGTAATTGTTCAACTACTGATTTGAGTGGAAATTTTTCATCACTTTTCTCCTTTAGTTGATTATAAAGAGCCTTTACATCGGCCAAATATCTTTTTTTAGTTTCCTGCAAAAGATCAATCATTCTTCGATTTCCACTTTCCAAATTGAAAATTCTAGTTTCATATTCTTGCAGCTTCTTTTTATTAAAAGCTAGATTAACGGAATTTGACCTCATTGAATTAGTACTATTGCTTTCAAGCTTATTGCTTAGAAAGTTGGATGGCAGTTTTGAATCAGATTTTTCTGAATTTGTAGTCTTCAAAGCTTTCATCTTTCCTTCACCTTTACGTAAAAATGCGTGTTTTTGAGGCTTTTTAGTAATTATTGAAGAGATTGTTGGTTTCTGATAAGATGGCTGAGCATCGTTGGCTTTTAAATCCTCAAGAATAGCATATTCTCTAGATTCATTATGAATATGATCTCCATCCCGATCGCTTGCTTCAAATGTTGTGTTACTAGGGAAAATACTATTAGATATTTCTGGAGAGCTAATGGTTTTCATAGATGTTGATTTATTAGTGTTTAGATTAATGTCTTCACCAACTTTATTGCATACAATCAGGTTCTCAGCAAAAGTATTATTTTCATCATTAAGAGCTTCAGCTAAACATTCAATCTTATTATCGCCTCTTATTTCTGCCACATTTCCTGTTTCAATAATGGCTTTTTCAGGTTCTCCTGCATCACTAGTCGGACTATTATCAAACATATTTTGTAAAATATTTATAATTAGACATCTTCCATTTGCACTTGCAAAAAATAACTTTGTGTCGCCTTTAGGACGAATTATAATGTCATTTTTTTCCTCATTAATCTGGGTTTTATCTCTAAACCAAATGGTATCATCTGAAAATACTGCACATATATGGCCAAATAACCAATGAAAAGATTTAAAAAAATTGTAATTATCAGAATATTTAGCCATTGAAATAGTTTTTTCATTGAAGTTATAAATAAATATGTGTGAGAAGTAATTCAAATTACTCGAATCGTTTGATTGCTCAATTTCACAGTCAAATATGATTCCCAATGCAGACATATCATTCATGACAGAAGCAGTAACGATTTTAAAGTTGCATTTTTCATTAATACAAGTGTGGCTTTGACATATTGTATCGGTTTCGATTTTTTGGGTAAAACTTTGATTTATAGCAGAATGAGAGCCATCCTCACTATTTAAAAACCAATAGTGAACAGTGTTGTTTTCACATAAGCATAAAGAGAGGTTTTTTCCTGCCTGTATTTCAATAATTTTCTCCGGAATATTCACTTTAGTAACTTCTATTTCAGAATCAAAAATTTCTTTAAACTCTGAGTATTCGGGCAATTTGACACAATAGAGATCATTGTTTGAGAGCAATACCAAAACATGGTTTGTCCCACTCTTTATTTTTTCAATGGGGAACTCCCAATTACATAAAGTTTTTGGGTTTGCAAGTGATTTAGGATTTAGTTCATTGTATTTAATGCTTTCAGGACTAAAGATCCAAATATATAAGTTATTGTTTTCAGTTGTACATGAAATATGGTTATAACCGCACGATAAGCTACGAACATATTCATCAACAGATGTTATTGCAATAGGGTTAATCTTAATATCATTTCTTCCAGTTATGGTTCCTGGCCATGGCCAACAATACAAGTATCCCTGGTCAGTAATAAATCCAGCAAAGGTCTCACTAGACGAAAGGTCAACAATGTTTACATTGCAAATGAATGCCAATGGCTGAGGTGACGTATTTACTGTCTTATCTGAATTTTTAAGAAATTCCTCATGCCAGACATAAAATGCTTTATTATATAAAGTTTGAGTAGATTCGGTATCTGCTTTCATATCATAGAACAATCATCATATTATTATTAAGAGTTATTGAAATACTTTTACGAGAGTCTTCACACCTTTAAAACCAAAATTTTTTATGTCTTATAATAATGCATGTGGCCATGGATTTCCCGCCAATAATAAAAAGATTGCATTTTATACTATTTAAATCATTTATAAATTTTTTGAGAAAAAAAACGGAGTTAGAAAGGGACAATATATTATAATATAAAAGGAAATAGAATTCGCAATACTATGCTCACAAATATATCTTAAGTTATAAAATTGATTTCATCTTTGATTTCTTGAAGCATTGGACTTGAAAGACCTTCCGATTTTTCAAGTATTTCTATCATATTTTTTATTTTAGATAACTTCTTTCTATGTATTTCATTTAGCCGCTTTAACTTAAATTCAAGTATCTGTATTTGATCACATAAACTAACATTAATTTGTTTGACATTTTCATTCCTTAATTCGTTGTCACAAAAGTGATTGTCTATATAGAAATTGGTATTTGAAGATAAAGCAGTTATTAGATGAATAAGTTGTTGTCTTTCTTTTTTTACGTACTCTATTTCACTATTTATTTCTTTGTGGGAATTAAGGTGATCTATGGTAGTTTTTAGTTGTTTGATTTCGTTTACATTAATTGTATCTTCATTAGTTAACGATGAAGCAAATTCTTTCAATTTTGCAATAGATAGACATAAATTATCCAATTTTTCAAAGATTATGTTATTGAAATTTTCTAGTTTTAGATAGTTTGTAATAGAGTTAACTTGATGATTTTTTTTATTTCTTAATTGATTTACTAGGTTTTCCAAACTTGAATTAATAGTTTTAAGTTCATTTTGCTTTGCAATACTAAGCTCATAGTTTTTTACTAAATTCAATTCTTTCATTTTTGCCTCATTAAGCTGAAGTTTCATTTGTTGTAACTCATCGTGCTTTTGGTAAATTATTTTATAAAGCTGTTCTCTACTTAGTTCTCTACTTAAATTAGCATAAGATTCTATCTGGAACTCGCAATTTGGAACATTTTTTTCAACAAAACTGTCTAAAAAAATATTATTTGTTAACTTATTGTTGAAAATTTCATCTTTATTTTTGGAGTTTAACTCATGAGATTCGTTAGTAGTGGTTCGTTTGAATGCAGTTCTATTGTTATCTGGCCCTTCACTAATATTAGAATTTGATCTATTAATATTCAATTTTACTTTGATTGGAGCAAATTCCGATGAAATAGAGTTATTCTCATCCTTTATATTAATAAAAGATTCATTTGATGAGTTCGGATAGGCGCATGATAAACCGGATATTATTTCACTGGACGCAACTCTTGAGTTTTGATTCGTACCAAAACAATTTCTAGGGCTTAGTGGATACATTACTCATTACTATATCACAGCAAATTTCAGTTCTATATTAAATCTCAAATTAAGTTATTAATGGAAATGATTAATAATATTATGGTTATTATTAGGTGTGTCACACAAGACCCATTACTATTTACGTATGGTCTAAAATACATTTTATATTCGTTTGAAAAATGTGATATTTAGAAAGTGGGGAACATGTTAGCAGAGTAAAAGTCGGTTATTCTCAAATCTAAAGAAAGCTGAGACAATTATGGTTGAATTGTTTTTATTCTCAAATTTTCAGTTAGGATTATCTACTTAAAATTGCGTCTATTATTAATTTTATCTATAAATTAATACATGCGGAAGTGTGGCGCCACTTGTTGCCGCCTTCCATATCAAAACATTTATGGGGGAATTGAAAATATTGTAAGTGAGAAATAAAAGCTGTATGTATTTTTATAGTATTTAAGGGACTAAGATTCACTGATAAGGATTTAAACGCGTGAATTATGAGTTCACTGAAAGAAAAGGTTCAATTTGGTAAGTTTTGAAGCAAATACTTTTTCTCATTAACTACTTCATTCAGATAAAAGAGCAGCCGAGGCTCTAAGCATTAGAGCAAAGTATCCAAATAGAATACCGGTAATTTGCGAAAGATCTTCAAGAAGTGATCTTCCTGAAATTGAAAAGAAAAAGTAAGTTCTCGTATCTATTACGAATATAATGACAAAGTTTAGGTTTTTGGTCCCAATGAACATGCTGGTTGGCGAATTTAAGTATATAATTCACAAGCACATTACCCAATCTTCGAATACTCAGAATAGCGGTATTAAAATACCCGTACCATATGAGAAAACTATATATTTATTTGTGAACAATACAATACCCAAGGCCGGGTCATTAATGCAAGAAGTATACGAACAATACGTTTCAGATGACGGGTTCCTATATGTAGAATACAGCTCAGAGAATGCATTTGGTGGATATTCTTCCGTAGTCTAGAAGGTAAAAAGTAGAAGAAAGGTAATTTGACTATATAAAAACTGATCATTTTTAGTGATTACAACTATCTAAATGCCGAACTTAGATCATCATCACTACTATCGCTTAATTCTATAGACCTCAGATTCTCTAAAGAATGAATTTTTTCACTTTCTATTTTTTTCTCTTCAAAATATTGTTCACTTGTCGCTTCTTTATCTTCTTTAAAATAAAAGGTCTGATTCTCAGGTAAATTACAGATCCTCCAAAAAATAACTCTTCCATCTTCACTGGCCGTTAATAATTTTATGTTTTGATTAGAAAATTGACCAATTTTTAATATGTCGTCTGGGATAATTGATATATAGTTGATTTTACCTGCGTGAACTGCATATGAAAATAGCAAAACTGGAGGAGTCAATTTTTCATTAATGTTAAGCTTAAATAATGAAAGAACGTCAGTACCACCAACAAATAGATATTCATCTTCATAAATATAAAGTGAGCTAATTGTACCAATATCCATATCTGAAAAGAAATTTGTATCAATACTCCTTATAGGCTGATTATCACTAATTATACAAGCAACATGTTTAGGGTTTACTTCCATCCCAAAAATCTTGATAACATTTGTGTAAGCAACTATTAGGAGCTTTTTACTTGCTATAATCGACGTAATAGGATATTTGCAATCGATTTGGGGGTTTATATTTGTAATTAGGTATGGTGGCTGACTAGTCATATCTAATACTAGTAGCTGGCCCGATGATGAACCAAAAAAGCCCAATTTCCCAAATTCATTTTCTAAATAACATGAAGTTATTCTGGAACCATTTATGCGTTTATTCAAGTTCCCACCAGAAATAATTTTCATCTGTTCAAAACAAAATAGACGGATACTATTGTCTATTCCAACTGAAAGTGTGTATTTGTGCTTAATATTGTTATCAATTAAAAATGGCGAGTAAACAAAAGCAATAGGAGAACCATGAAGCTGTATTTTGGTTGGCTTAATGCATTCATTTAACACAAGAGGACTATTGTTTCCAGAGACTATTCTGGATCTTAGTTGAGAAAGTACACCTTCAAATACATCTATGGTACCTAGTTCTGAAAAAATACAAATAGTATCTTTTTTTGTAATAGACACGATATTCTTACATTTGTGCGGAAAACCAGAGTATACTAAGCAACCAAATTTCGAAGAATCAATTGTTTCAGAGTTAGACAAATTGTGAAAAGCGTTAGTAATTGTATCGTGATCTATACTTATTGAAGGATAAGAAATACTTTTTGAGGAGTAGGGCTGCAGACACCACACAAAAATAAAACCAGTTTCTTCTGAATCTATTATACTCCAAACTTTACCCAATCTTGAAAGAGAAGAATTCTCTTGGTGTGAAACAAACAATAATGGTGCAGATATTAAATCTGAATCACTAATAAATACTCCACTAACTGATTGTCTGATTGATGCAATATCTGCCAATGCTTGAATATTCACAAGTTTTTTCATAAATAAAGGTTTGCTTTCAGAAGTCGGAAGCTCCAAAAAATTCATAAATAAGGGAGAAAGCAATACATCGTGCCTTAAAATTAAGCTTGAGAGATATGATTGTAGCCCTTTCATCCGCCCATTGATAAAGTTCATATCTTGATTCTTTGTAAATAATGTTTTAGGAGGAAGAGAGGGGAGTAAACCTAGTCCCCTTTCAATCAGTAAGCTTTGGAGTAATACAAATTCGCTAAATCGCTTTTGAATCTCATATTTACTGTTCTGGCCGCAAACTGAAATCCTATATACAACCTTTCCATCAACAGTTTTCCAGCCAATTATTTTTGTGGAGATACCAAATTCATTCATTTTTCATTTTTTTATTATATTTGAAATATAAGGCGTACAATTCTGTTACATAATCAACTTTTAAGCTATATTTTTATATTTTAAATTTTAATTTTTTTGTGCATTTATATTAAAATCCTTTAAAATCAAAATTGATTGTGTGCGGGGGGGGGCAAAACACATATTTTATCTTCAAAAGCCTTTTTTCAGTATTTTGACCGCTTCTGGCTTTGAAACATTATTTCTCAAAGTTTTTCTATATTAGTTATTTAAGCCCACACTAATTCACATGTTTTCTAAAGTTATAGTTTACGTATAACTGTATAATTTTCCTGTCTATTATTGTTGCATTTATTAATCCCAATGATATCAACTGGCTTTAAAAACTTAATAACCATTGGCTGGTTTTCTAGCTTTCTTTTTTTTTTTTTTATCACTAAGTAATACTATTATTACTAGTTTTCCTGAAAAATGATTCTATGAATAATATATGGTTTTTTAATTAAGCGTTAAATAACAATTTATTGTCAACCAAATTATAATTAATCATTTGAGTTCCGAAGGTAAAAATATTTATTAGATTATTGAATTTAATTGTATCGGCTTAAATAGTGAAATTAACAAAATAATTTTCTTAAGTGATTCATAATTAAGTATTTTAGTTTTATAAATTTAGGTTTTAAAAATAGAAAAACATTTTTCAGTCGTAAAAAAGCTGTAAACTTGATTATTTTTGACAGAGTTATAGAGTAACTATTTAGATTGAGTACTCCAGAAAAAAAATGAAAGAATTATTATTATCCGTCAAATAAACATTTTTTAAATTATTAAAATATATTACCGCAAAAAAAATTACAATATAAGAGATTGTACCTTGTCATAATAAAGAAAAAATACATATTTGTTTTTACAAATATTTTTATAGAAAAATGGCCATTTTTAAATCTGGTTCACCTGCAGATCTTAGAAAGTTTATTGACAAGCAATTATACAGTAAGTTATGATTTAAACATTTGTTTTTTTAACATAAAAATAATAATTTTTAGTTACACTAAATGGGAATCGTCATATTATTGGTAATTTACGTGGCTACGATAATTTCATGAATTTGGTACTTGAAAATACAACTGAAGTATCTGATACAACTAAACGAAGCATCGGGACTACCGTTATTAGAGGGAATTCAGTAATTATGTGGGAATGCATTGATAAGGTCAAACTGTGAAAAAAAGAAGAAAAAAGAAAATAAGTCAAAATGATATAAAACCTATATAAGATAATTAATATTTGAATCTTAAACTAAACAATAATTAGAATTAATTTATATTTAGCCAAAAAAAAATAAAATAATTATATCGCAAATAGTTAATAATTCACTTATATTAATTCATCGCCTTTTAAATTCCAGATTTTGATCGTTTTATCGCATTCTGCTGTAATTAGAATAGATTCCATCTTATCAAACCTACAGTCTAAAATTGCATTTTCTGCTTCAACAGAGCCTGGTTGTATGTTGCTTTGTATCGTATCATATAAAGTACCCGTCTCATAATCCCAAAAATGAAGCTGTCCATTGTCACACCCTGCAAGTACAATAGAATTGTTTTCTTGAGATTTGATTGCTATAGTATTAATGATTGATTGGGATGATGAAAGATCTTTTAAATAAGTTGAATCCTCTCCTTCCCAAACCTTAATGCAGTCCGCACCTGCTGATAGAAAAGAATAATGAATAGGATGCTTAGCTAAAGCACGAATAGGCTTTATGTGACGTGTAAGAGTATCTCTCAGTTTACCACCAACAATATCCCATGTTCTTATGGTCCTGTCATAGCTTCCAGTTATCAATTGAGGTTCTATGGACTGCATCAATATTGAGGATACTGCTGCTTTATGATTCTTAAACAAATGTATTGACTCTCTCGTTCGAATATCCCAAAGCACAACGCTTCCATCCCTTGATCCTGTAGCCACAATATTCAGACGTGGGTGAATATCTAAGCAATATATTCCAGAAGAGTGTCTTGCGTAATTTCTGACTATTCGATTTTGCTCAAGGTCCCAACACTTCATTGTTTTATCTTCACTACAACTAAATAAAAAAGGATGTCTTTCACTAAATAAAACTTTTCTAACAGCAGCAACATGACCCGTTAAAGTTAGCTTCAGTATTCCAGAACTAAGATCCCAAAATTTAATTAGTTTATCAGAACTTCCAGAAACAAAAAAGTTGTTGCTTGGATCAACATCAATTGATCTTACCCATCCTTTGTGGCCACTAATCACCTTATTCAATTTAAATTTTGGTGTCCATTCAATTCTATTATTCCTTTCCATGTAATTACTAGTATTGGAAATGTTTAATTCATCTCTAAGCTTCTTTTTATATAATGGTGTTTGACTATGTTCATATAAATTTAAATAATTACTTTTGCGTTCAGCTTTGTAAACACTCAAAGCGTTGTTGGAGACAGGTTTAGTAACCCTATTGATATCTCTAGGTTTATAGTATTCATAATGAGCTTTCATAAGTTTATTGATATTACCATCTTGCTTTGAAAAACTGCTTCTTATGTACCCTTGTTCTGATGAAAAGAAATTTAGTCTATTTAGTACAACTTCTTGGAAAGATTCTGCCATGCTTAGCATTGGGAATTTATTTTGATGAAAGTTTTTAATTAGATTGCTGCTGGGACTTCATCAAAATTGTGGCCATTATTTTTGCTATCAATTATTTGGTTTATTTTTTGGCTCAAAAAATAATATAGCGGAATTTTAAGCGCACAAGTATTATTTTAAATTAATAAAAATCAGAAAATGGTTTTGAATAAAAAAGATGCAATTCAAATTATAAAGAAATATTTTGAAACTGCAGAGCTCAATTCAAAAATTAGATGGGATGAAGCTGCAAGGCTTCTGGGACCAGATGCACCACACGATGCATTCAAAGTATTGAGCACAGGAGAAAAACGCCAGTTATGGTCTGAATACCAAAGCCAATCTAAAAGAAGAAAAAGAGAAAGGGAAAGACAAACAAAATCAGAGTCTATAAATACCTATTGTAGCTCACTAAATGAATGGGTGCTTAGAAATCAAGGCTGCAATCGTATTTTACTATTTAGAAATTTTGCAGAGGATCACTACAAATCAATTTGGTGGAATAATATTGAAGACAAAGAAAAGGACGAAATCTTTCAGGAAATAGTTGAGGAGCATGAAAGAAATTTTATCAACGTTCTTAAACCAAATTATGAAAAAAAAGTGAATGATTTTTTTGAATTATTGAAATTAGAGTCCGATATATTTCCATCATTTGAACCAAATAACGCGGAGAATTTGATGGCAAAGAACGTAGAGGATATTGCAAAGAAGAATTTTACTGCATTCGGTATATGGGAAGACATTCAAAAAAAGTATGGAAAAGAACAGTTGTTTAATGAAGTATACAAGAATGACATAATAGATATTTATATCCGTTTATTAAAAGAAAAAATTACCATTTACAAACAAGGATGCTTAAAGACAGAGATTCAGTTGTGTAAGTACAGAAGAATGTTTTGGGACATAATTTGGAGTGATATACTTTCTGGAAAGATAAGTCCAATTACAAAGAATAGAAAGAATTATTTTTTTACAAATTCAAAAATTATGGATGAAAAAATTGAGACACTATGTAGAATAATATCAAAACGAATTAGACATCAGAAATCTGAAAGTTATTTTGAATATTTTGAAGATTTCTTAAAATTTATTGGGTTTCATTTATCAATTAGAAAGGACCAGGAAGTCATTTTAGCCCTTCTCAAACAACCAATGAATAATGGAATGAATTTATATTGTATTGATATGTTTGAATATATAGTATATCTGTTACAAAAGCTATATGATATAATTTTATCAGAGTCATATATTTACTTTAAATCGTCAGAAAAAATTCAAATATCTTTTCAGCAGTTTAAAGAAATTACATATAGTAATCAGAATATAATGGATTTCAAAACAAAATATATATTCCCATTTAGTTTTGAATCTGTACTAGATAAAATACTGTATAAAGCGTATTGTGATGAATTTAAACATTATTCGTTAAGCTCCCTGTTAAAAAGAAGTTAAAGGGGGGGAAAATAATTGCGAATTTCAAAAATGATTGAAAAAGTATATCCAATGCGACAAATCAACTTTAATATCATAACAGGTCTTTGACATTTCCCGGTAACTTTGAAATTCTTATGGAATAAAAACGTTCTATTAAAGAAAGCATACTTTCATCTTCAATAGTAATCAGGTTTATAGCAATTCCGGATCTTCCAAATCTACCGCTTCTTCCAATTCTATGAATATATAATTCTTTATTAGTAGGTAGGTCGTAATTAACGACCAAATTAACTTGTTGCACATCAATCCCTCTTCCCCATAAATCTGTTGTTATTAAAACCCGAGTTTTTCCTTCTCTAAATTCTCTCAAGATTTCTTCTCTAGTAATTTGTGGAAGTTCTCCATGCACAAAAGATACCGTGAAATGATTCTCCATCATTCTTTTACTAAGCCATTCTACTTTATTCCTTGTGTTACAAAAAATAATAGATTGAGTAACAGTCAAAGTATCATATAAATCGCATAAAGTTTCAAATTTCCACTTTTCCTCCTCTACTTGGACATAGTACTGCCTAATTTTGTCTAAAGAAACTTCTTCCTTGGGAACCAATATCTGGAGTGGATTTCTCATAAATTTTCGAGCCATGTCCAAAATTTCATCAGGAAGAGTTGCAGAAACCAGAACCGTCTGAATTCTCGGAGGGAGGTACTTGTAGATATCATATACCTGAATCTTGAATCCATAATCAAACATTTCATCTGCTTCATCAATAATTAGAAGCTTAATTTTTTTTGTAGCTAGATGTCCTTGCTCTATCATTTGTAATACTCTCCCAGGAGTGCCTGAAATGATCGAAACACCACTACTAAGTGCTTTAATATCATCTTTTAGCTTTTTCCCTCCAATGCAAGAGTAAGCCTTAATATCTAGATAATCTCCAATTGAGGCACATACTTTCTCAGTTTGTTCTGCCAACTCTCTTGTTGGAGATAGAATCAAAACCGTTGGAACATTTTCTTTACTCTTTGAGCAAATCTCCAAAGCACCCACAGAAAAAACGCAGGTCTTTCCTGTACCACTTTGGGATTGAATTATTGTATCTCTACCCTGTACTATTGGAACTATTGCTCGTCTTTGAATTGCTGAAGGAAACTCAAAACCATAGCTATATATTCCCCTAAGCAAATTATCCTTCAGGCCCATTTCCTCGAAGGTATTGTAAACCTTACACTCTTCTGATGAACTATATACCACTACATCATTTTCAACATGATTCATGGTTTCGACTACTAATTTGTTGACTCTAATCTAGTTATATAAAAACAAGAATTTGAACTGCCGCCTAAAATTTATAGAAAAAAGATTTAAAAAAAAATAGTAAAATTATATTTTTTAGTCAAGAATGTCACACTTTGACTGTAGCAGTGACTGCCTCACATAACTCCATGTCAAAAATACAACAAAAGTACTCCTCAAAACCATGTATACAAAACTTTGTGACTTCCTGACAAAGTAGCCCACCACCTATTGAGGCGATTGGAGAAATCGTTTTCCCCCATGTGTCATTAAATGTTTTGTGGATTTCTAGAGCTTTCTCACTATCAATACTGGGAGTGGTTTTTATTTCCTTAAATATTTCGTCCAATTCAGAATTTTCAATTTTATACATCATTGCTTTTCTATATCTTTCTCTCAGTATGAATAGAATAATTAGTATGTATGGGTGTAAATTCTTTATTGAATTTAGCCTTTGCTTTAAATCACTAAAATTAGATTCCAAAATTTCGTCAAAAGATATGGATTTGTTGTTAAAAAAAAGGAAAATTCTAGTACCAATTGAAACTGAAAACGAAACAAAAGTATTCTTTGACCGATACTTTTTGCTAATATTCTTTGCCTTAAGTATATTTACTTCTTCATCTAAAGAAACCAATATTCCATTATAATTCACCTTACTTAAGCATTCTTCGCATAGCAATTCGACGTCGGTTTCATTTTGATTTGCAGTATAAATCTTTGTCAAGGGGTTCATTTCCTTGAATTTATCTATACATGCTATTCTTTCTTTACCAATATCTTCTTCTTCTAATAAAAAATTATATGTTAGATCACAGCTACGGGTAATAACATTGTCCCAAATTGAAACTTTAATTCCTAATAAAAGAAAGAAATGATAATGAAGTCAGAATTTGGGTTTGTGACAAAAAGAAAAAACATACCTGCTAAAACGATATTTTTAATCAATTCGAAATGTATTGGGCTTAGGCCTAAGACCAACAATTCGCTATTCATAAGCCTGTAAAATAATTCATTGTAATAAACTAATATTAAACTTTTCAAAATTCTTTATCTTACTTTTTTTGTGCCTGGCTACCCCAGAGCCTAATTTGACGATCATAAATAGCAACTTCGTCTTCTGATAACATTTCAATTTGTCTTTTCTTATTGTATAAAATTTACAATAAACTATAAAGGTTAAAAGGAAAAAGTAAAATGGGAATACCGCTATATCACATTTATGTTCAAAAATTACTATAATAAATTTAGCCATGATAAAAAAATTCATTTTTTTAGAGTAAATTAAAAATAATGATTCCTCAAAATGATAGAGATCTACTAAAAGACCTTCTTTTTATTCTCTTGGGGTTTTTACAAAATTCCTTCTTATTTATATGAATTCGTTCTCTATTTCCTTTTTCATCACTTATATGAATTTCTTGAAATTCTTGAATATTAGTACCTGAACTTTTATCTGGCTTGGAACTCTCATCTTTTATGTATTCGCTACTTTCGGTATTGTCTGGAATTCCGAGTAGTTTATTCATAATTTTTTGCTCTTTGTTAATTATACGTTCACGCTCATTCTGAAATTCTGAAGCACTTTTTTGCTCGGGTTTTGATTTATAAAGTTTGCTGTACCAATCATTCCTCTTAAATCTGCTCTTCTCTCTAGAACGATTGTAATGCAAACTATGACCAAGATAGTGTTCCCTTTCTTTCCTAGGAATCGATCTTAGACTGTCCCAATTAAATTGTTCAGCCCCTCCCCTAACACCAGATTGTTTTGCTATGTCAAAACTATCAGATAAATCCATAATATTTAGTTTTCCACTACATAAATTAGATTAGTTTAAACTTATTTTGGTAATTCATTATTTTTGCGCTAATTTATGAGTAAATTATATTTCAATCAAAATAATACTTAATTTAAATTCTACCACATAAAATTAAAAAAAAAAATTTACTATTATGCTTTGATTAATTATCTTCCCAGCGATAAGTTTTGAATTGTTTATATCTTATATAATTTATCTCAATCTAAACTTTAATGAACATTTCTACCAATTTATTTCTTTATCAACTGGAATACCAATAGAATGGGTGCTTGCTTTCAGACATTAAAGTTTTGTGTATATTTGGATCACTTTGCTCGAGGCTATCACAATATTCCAAAACAAGTTGCTCATCTAAAATCTTCTTATATTTAGGGAGTTCTAAACGTAATAATCTTAAGATTGTTTCAGAGTCGGGGCCAACAAACAAACCAGTTGTATCTTTTCTATTTTCTCTACAAATGATAGATTTAATTTTTGCAAGTATTTCTGCCTTTCTTCTTCTTCTTTTTATTTTGAAATATAATGGCAAGAATACGGCAATTAAAAAAACCAAAATAACTACCCATTTCTGAATAAATAATTTGGCTTCACAAATAATCGAAGTCTCAGAGTCAAGTGCTTCAAAAAACCTTTCTTCTTCATTAGACTGACCTTTTTTATTATTAGTAGTTAAACCTTGATTTGAGTCTGGGGTTTTACGTTCCACTACTCTTAGTCCATATCTAGATAAAGAATTCCCAGTTTTAATTGAATTCCACATAATTGAAAGCGCACTTTCAACAGTACCTTGCTCAATATAGTTAAATGAAAGATGTATGATTTCATTGATTTCCTTCTCGCTTAAAACTATTGATCTATCAAAACCAAGAATTTTACTGTTTTTTCTTTTGTCAGGGAAAAATATATCATTTAGGTGATTCCCACTACATTCACGATTGCCACGCAGCTTTCTAAGTTTATTTGTAATAAATGTGAGCATTTCTTCTGCAAGGTCGAAGGCTTCGTTGTCATATACACAGACAATTTGCCATCTATTGTTTAAGTACTTAACAGCTTTTTTGTATTGAGTATTGCACTTTAATTTTCCATCTTTACAATGACCGTTTGGAGGGCATTTAATACAGAATGGGGAATTGATTGTTTTTTCACTTAGTTCAATTGAATTACAAAAGAATGGTTCGTGAAAAAAGTAGTAATAGTGGTTATATAAAGCAAAGAATATAAATAAAGTTAAAAAGGCAATGATCAATTTTGAATTCATATATCTTAAAGCCTTTTTAGTCTTTACAATCATACTTTGGCCTAAAGACTTATACATGCGATCTTCAAGATTTTTATTTGATAGTTTATGCGTTTCATTTAACTTGTTTTTGTTTAAGGAATCATTCTTAATATGGAATTCAGTATCATTTGGTACATGAAAATCGGATTGTGTATTATTACTTAACTCACTTATAAATTCAAAATTCTTTAGTTCACTATATTCTTTTGAAATTTCTTTTGCTCTATCTCCTGAATTATTAGTATACATAGAGTTCCGTCTTCTTAAAGTTTTGCTTACATTAACTTCATTTAAGGGAGAGTTTTGTGTAGAATTGAGAACATGCGAGTTTTGATTTGCAAGGGCAATATATGCTGGTACAGACTTTCTTTCTTTTGCTGCAATTTGTTTTTTTATTGGAATAGTTGATTCATTTTTGTTAAGCCCAAAATCTGAATTTGGAAGTGGTTTTTCATAGTGTTCTAGCCACTTTCTACACTCTTCTTCGCCAAGATTACCTTCAAGTAATTCAATGAGCTCTCCCTTTAAAAGCTTTTCTGAAGAAACTGGAATATCGCACTGATCGAGAACTTGATATAATTCTATTCTAGTCAATGCCTTCCAAGGAGAATTAGAGTAGGACTGTGAAGATACCGAAGAGACCGATTTCCTCTGTTTTGGTCCCATAAATTATTAATTTTGAAACAGAAAACTAAAATTTGATAAAAATAGAAAAAAAAATTAGTATACCTGGTAAACAGCGGTTAAGTGGGCTTTAATAAAATTAAAATAAATTAAGATCATCTTTTTACAATCAAAAATAAAAGTAACGATTGGAATACTTTGACTATTTATCTCAATTTTTATAAAAATAATTACCTAATATTTTTTGAAAAAGTCTACTTATTAGCCAGGATGGTTTGGAAGGCTCCATCTTGCAAATAACTTCATTGCATTTTTGTCTACAACAGAAGTGTATCTTTTGGACTTTTCTTGTAAACTATTCACACTATCATTAACTTGGTTCTGAGAATTATTTGAATCCATATCGGCATTTTGATCAATAGAAACTTCCTGGTCTATTTCCTTCTTGCCAATGGAATTTGAGATTTCAATCTTATCTTCTCCATGGACAAGTCTATATCTTAACTCATTTCTCTCTTCCAATGCACTGCAAAACTCATTAATTAGTTTTTGAAAGCTTTTCATAGTGCCTTCATTTCTAATGTTATCATACTTAATTTTTAAGTCGTCAATAATTGGGCTGAACACCTGTACAATTTGTTGGCCCTTAATTCGGTTGTTTAATTGGCTTTTTTTCTGCTCTAGTATTTTACCAAGTTTTTCAATTTCAGATAATATTACTCTAGTCTGCATAATTGTTGAGTTAATATCAGCGATTAGTGAGTCGATATTTGCTTCTTTATTCTCGCCATCTTCAACAATTGGAGATTCATTGGAAGTTAAAACATTATCCGTCTTATCTACATCAATGAATTTTGAATCATCAACTAATGCCATCAAGTATATATATTCTTTCAAAATTACATCAGGGATTTCCATTATTCCATTATTTTCTAACCAGAACTCAAAATGATTGATTTTACCAACAACTCGTCTTACCAGCTTATAGTCAATTGTCTGCCAAAATTTTTTTTGATCGACAATTTTTTCACCAAAAGTATCGAGATATTCCATCATTCTCTCAGCAATCTCCTTCACACATTCTATACTTTCTTTCTTTAAACTCTCAGAAAATGGTTTTAAATTGAAAAAGAAATTTACCTTTCGCATTTTTTTTTTACGATTAGAACCCTAACTTGGGGGTTCCCAACAATTGGTAACAATTTTCTCCTTAAGAAGTTTAAATGAGTCAAACTACACTTGAAGCCAATTGTTACAAATAAATCAGAGCTTTTATTACCGCCAATCCACAAAGTTAGTATTATATTTAAACTAGGAATTCCGGATGTAATAAATTTATTTGAATATTTAAGAATGAAACTTCTGGAAATTGTTCAAATTTATTTAATATTTTGATTCAAAGCATCCTCTACTTCCTTTGTTGATATTGCAGCTTATTTTCTAATTTGAAAACTTCAAAGAAAAATTAATATTTTTCTTTGCCCCACACACACGCGGGTATACTACATGTGGTTCAAGGCATAGTTTTAGAAAATTACTGCAACTAATTGATCTGTTGAGTTAAATTATTATATATAATAATAAATATTCGTATTAGCAATAATCAGAAGATTTCTGCGTATTAGGGTAATCTGGAATTTTCTTGGTGTAATGCCCAGTTAATAATGGGAAATAACACATCAACTATTGAAAATGTAATTCAACAAAGTTTTGGAGTCTGCCTAAATGTTAGACAATATATTAACAACAATAATTTCAATGAAAGGTACAGAATTGGAGGAATTATCGGGACTGGACAATTTGCAGAGGTTTTCTATTGCCATGAAAGTAGTACAAATAATCCATATGCTATGAAAGTCATTTATAGTACAGATGAAGTACCAATAAATCGGATAATTGAAGAAGTAGAAATTATGAAACTTTTGAAAGACCACCCAAATATAGTCAGCATTATTGATAGTAATGTTGAACACATTGATGAAGATAAATATGAAGTAAAGATGGTTTTAGAGCTTTGTAAGGGTGGAGATTTATATCAATATGTACTCGCAAATGGTGCTATGGAGGAAAAGATAGTTCAGAAGATTATGATTAACTTGCTAGATGCCCTTAAGTTCATTCATAAAAACGGAATTATTCATAGAGATTTAAAACCTGAAAATATTTTGATTGACGAGTTCTTTTGTTGTAAAATTGCTGACTTCGGATTGGCCAAGCGAAATACATCAACCGATAATCCGAACAAAGTAGCACGCTCGAAATCCCTATGTGGTTCTGATTTCTACTTGGCTCCAGAACTTGTTAGGCAACAAGAATATGGACCTGAAATAGATATTTGGAGTATAGGAGTTTTATGTTATGTTTGTTTATGTGGAGGACTACCTTTCCACGATAACAGAGCATTTGATCTGTACCATAAGATTGTTGAAAGAGGTGTTAACAGTTATCTATTTGCTCAGCCAGCTTGGAAAAATGTATCATCCGCTGCACAACATTTTGTCCAATGGCTACTGGAGTCTGACCCAAATAAGAGACCGACTGCAGAAAATGCACTTAATCATAGGTGGCTTAGGACAAGTTTTTCAAAACAAGGAATTCATACAAATACTAATCTAATACACAAGATGAGTCACAAAAGCTCATTTTCAAATAAGGTTGATTCAAGCCCAGTTACTATTCAATCAAACGAGAATAAAAACTATATTTCAAATTATGTTTACGATATATATAAATATTAAGATTACTAAAAATAGGAACTTTAATTATAGAAAAATAGATATACTAAATTACAGGAATTTTTCCTCCAAGTCTAAAAATTCTCAGTATACTTTTAAATAGTCGTTTGATAAAATTGGGGGATGTTTGTTTTCGTAGCCATCCACCAGACCAAACCTGATATAAATGCCTTCTAATTCTAAGATATTGGAATGCTGCCGCTACTACATAATCCAATGTATCCCACCTCGTAGTATTTAAATCTTCATCATCGAGAAATTGCAAAATTCGTGTAATTTGGCCCCTTGGATCTTCTTTCCATGCCCTATCGTCACCATACCATGGTGGGTGGAACTCTGTGAAGACTTTTCGTTCAGATGTTCCAGAATCTGGAGAAGTTGGAATGTTAAATGCCTTTTTACCATATTTGAACGTATTCTTTAAACATTCCGTAATATCGTGAACATGAACTCCACACATTACCCTACCACTCCTGCTAGCACTATTATAGGTATGATGATATTTTTGTTGTAGTTTACGTACATAAATAATAAATGCTCCTACATAAGAATGTTCCGAGTCCCAACCCCATTCATCCACGGAAGGGGATTCCACGTAATCTTCGTCCTCATACTCACGGCGTTCATTGTTTTCAAGCCTTTCGTAAAGAAGCTTTAAGTGATTTAATGCTGAGTAAGACTGGGAACCCTCAACATCCGTGAAAACTCCCAAATGAGAAGGAAGGCTACTCATTAAAGTTGAAGTACCGCATGCTCTACAAGAAAATGACTTTCCATCCTTGGAAGTTCCTCCCCTTAGGTACTCGATAGTTTCAAGCTTTTCTTTTGAATATAAGTTCAATGTAGAAAGCAAAAACCTTGTATTGTATTGTAACCCTCTAGTGGAAACAAATAGTGGAATTGTTCCCTTCTTTAAAATTTCCATTAATTCATTCACTCCTGTGAAAAATCCCCCGAGTTCAGACCACCATGTGTCCCATTGAGGAGGGCCCTCCAAAATTTTGTCATCCTTGCTGCCCCAAAATGCCTGAGCTCCAAGTAATTTGCTTGCTTCTTTATAACGAGTAGGATCAAATAACGACTCAGCAGCTCGAAAACGGTGCCACATTTCAATCAAAAATGCTGAAATTAGGTAATCTGGCTGTTGCCAACCATCCTTAAAAATCATTATTGGATAGTTTGGTTTGTAAGGTAAAGCCGCAAGAATAAGTCCAATTGATCCATTAGTTAACCCTCTTTTATTCAGTTGATAACATTCATCTGGAGTTACTTTGTCGAAAGCCTTGCTTGCAGCACTAAACAAAGCACCAAGTATTGGAAATCTAGATGCAATTCCTTCATCACCACCTTCAGAATTTGTCAGGGTAAAGTTTAGAAGAAGAATATATGCAAAGATTTTGGCCAAAGTAACAAATTTCATTCAAGATCTTTCACTCATTTAACTAAATATTGCATTGATTTTTTAATTAAAAAATTCCTCCACAAGTCTAATTTTTTCTTTAAAAATTTGTCAATTATAGAAAAAATTAAAAAATATTTAGCCCCCCATAACTCCCCATAGTTCTTAAAAGCGACGGGATAATCTTAAGAAATTAATGTAAAAGACTGCACTATTTTTGTTGTTATAATTATTAATATTAATAGTGAATATTATCTAATAAGAAAAGAGCATAATAGTGTGTATGTGAGTTATATATTATAAATCAGACAGAATTGATTCATGCACAAATTTTAGTTAACTATAAAGAATCAGACTTTGGATTATTAATAGAAAAAAATGTCTCAGTTTAGGGATACTTTCACAAAAGAGGAAAAGAGCGATTCTCTGTATGATGATACTGCATTTTTCTTCTTCTTTGGCACCATAGTAATTTGTATTTTGATTTTTTGGACTTATAATGTACTTTCTAAAGTACTATGCCCAACAAGAAAGTTTAACAAGAAGGAGTTTCCAAAGTCCACTCCTAGTGGGTCCCAAATTCAATACTGCAAATGTTCAGGTTGTGTTAATCATGTAGAGAACATTCGTAAGAAACACCGTTCATTTTCTAATCGCTTTTCATTTACAATGATTTTACAAGTTGCATTACTAGGCATAATGTGGTCACTAACATACTATATGTTATCTAAATACTCGGAAAACCGTCAAATTGCTCAGTTTAATCCATATGAAATTTTGGAAATAACGCCATCATCAAATACGATGAGTATTAAAAAAGCTTATAGATTGATGTCACTAAAATACCATCCAGATAAAAATCCAAATGATCCAACAGCTGCAGCAAAGTTTATGTTAATTGCAAAAGCTTATCAGGCCCTTACTGATGAAGTTGCAAGAAGCAACTATGAGAAATATGGTAATCCTGATGGCCCAACAAGCATGAAGGTTGGAATTGGTCTTCCAAGTTTTCTTGTCTCAAAAAAATATCAACTTTTCATACTTTGTTTACTTTCACTAATAATTTTGTTCGTTATTCCCTTGGCATTCATTATTTATTACAGAAAACAGAAGAAGTACGCCTCCAATGGTGTATATCTAACAACTCTGTACTTTTATTCGGCAGCTATATCAGACTCAACAAGATTCAAGGCTCTACCAGAAATACTTGCTCTTAGTACTGAATTCCGTTCTTTGAAAAAGAATAACCCAGAAGATGATAAAGTTATCTCTCATCTCGCAAACATTCTTCCAGAATTCAAGAAAAGGTCTTTCAATAACAACTCGCCAAGTTTTTTCACTGCTTATTATCTAATTCTCGCACATTTATATAGAAAACACTCGGAGCTAACCCCATCTCTTAAGAAGGTTTTGGAAAATATTCTAAATAAATCTATTCCATTAACATCTTCTATGCTTGAAATTTCAATTAGCCGCAATTTCTTCCATACATCAACTTCAATCTTAGCTTTTAGAAGATCTCTAATTCACGCACTTGACGGGGGTCCCAATGCGTCGTTTCTGCAAATTCCATACATCACAGAAAATGAAGTTCAGCATATAAAGAAGGGTAAAACAGCTGCAAGAAATTTAATCGAATTCATTAAACAAAACCCTGCTGATCGAAAAGGTTTGGCCGAGTTTAATGAATCTCAAAAATTAGATATTGAAGCCTTTTGTAATTTAATTTGCCCAATCAGTGTTGATTCCAAAGTTATTGTAGATGATGAGCAGGACATTGTTGTTGGAGACCTTGGAACCATCGAGATCAATATCGACCGTAAAAACTTGAAAGAAAAAGAGGCTTGTGGGCCAGTCCATTCTCCTTATTTCCCAACAACAAAGTATGAAGAATGGTGGATTTTTGCAGTAACTAAGGGCTCCAATCCCCAAATTATTGGATATACACGCTGCTCTTCTAACGAAAAGACAGTAAATGGGAAAATCCAGTTTCTTATCGAAACTCCTGGAAGCATTGATATTTCTCTGTATCTAATTAATGATTCTTACGAGGGACTTGATCAACAAATTAATGTCAATTTTGTTGCTAAAACTATCAAAGAAGGCGTAAGACAGATATATGTTCATCCAGAAGATGAAGCCCTGGATAATGAGCCAACATTATTCCAACACATAATGAATCAGCTGGACGATAATCAGCTCTCAACTGACACCGAAGATGAAGACGATGACGCTGCAGAGAGAAGTTCTAACAACGAATAAAATAATGAGAGTGGTCATGAATAGTTTATATATTTTTTTATAGCCTTTCGACTTAAGACATTTAATACATTTAATTTGAAGATTTTTATTTTCTAGTTTAGCAAATTTAGTTATTAGGCTTAGTTTAGGAAGCATACATTTAATTTGGCTATATGGTTTTTAACCAAATCTTCTATAGTGCAATCAGTTTGAATGAAAATGTATGACTTTTCGAATTTACCTAGGCTCTTTACAGGTTATATATACCTAAAACTATTTTTAATCAATTAATTTGGTAAATATATTAAAAGGGAAGTTGTGGAAAGGCATAATTATTTAATTGTCCTTTCTGAACACTTTCTTTTATATACCAACTTATTATACAAGCTTAAAACCAAAGCGGTAATATGTTAATTATAACAAAAAATGATACAAAAATGAGTCAATTGGACTTGATTACCAAGAAACTGCTCGATAAGCGTGAGGGAAAAGGTATTTTTAGTTTATTATTGAAAATTTGTTTAACCCAATAAAGTAATTATTGAGTTTAGACCCACAGGGAGGACTCAAATATTGAGTAAAAAAACATGGATGATCAGTGGAAATAATAAAGTTTCTGATGTTATTGATATGTTAAAAGATGATTTAAAAACAGAAGAAAGTATTGTAAGTTTTTTTTTATTTGTTAAACTACATGAAATTACTTCATTTAATAGTATTTGTATATCAACAATAGTTTGGAGCCAAATAAAGATGAAAGCATTTCGGATTTATATATGGTAAGTAATATATACTAACTTTTCTAATAATTATAATGATTAAACGAATAATTATCTATTTATTTGTAAGATATTCAATAAAGAAGGTAAATTATATATTTCATACAGCACCAAACCATTATTTCTCTAATTAGTTTCAAAAACCTTGCTAAAATGTTTATCTTGGAATTCTTGTATATATTCATTTATTGAATTGATTTCTTCATTTAACTTAGAAATATTCTCCTTGATTTCAACAATTCTTATCTTGAGTTTATGAAATTTAGCGTAATTTTCCTGTTTCTGACCATTACTATTTGTAGATTTTTCTAATTCTGTGATTTCCTCCTCTGCACATCGCAGTTTATTGATTTCCTCTGCAAGTTTGATTCTTGGATTTATCTCATCAAATCTAGCTGATTTAGTTCCGAAGAACTCATTGATTGCATTTTCAAGTGTTCTCGCCTGCTCAGATGTGAAGCTTGGATCTTGAAATAGATTTTGAACTTTATTCCTAAACAAATCGATCTTTTCTGATTTCCGGATTAATATTTCCTTCTTTGCCAATAAAGGTACTAAATTCTTTGATTCTGTTATTTTAGTAATTTTTTTCTTGAACTTTTCTTCTTCTAAATCTCTGTCTTCTTTCGAAAGCATTTTATAGCCAAAAGTACTCCTCAGTTCATCCAAATCTGATCTGATTGTTTGTATTTCAAGCTCAGCAACTTTCTTCCTTTTGTTAATTTCAGTTATTGTATCTTTCAAGAATTCCGCATACCTACTTTCATTTGCACTTAAAGTAAACAATATCCTATTCAAAATAATCTTTTTTGCCCCTAAATCATAACTTCTCACCTGATTAAAGTCTTCGTCAGAGAGCAAATAGCTTGGAATATTGCTTGGCAATAATTCAAGAGAATCTTCTTCACTCTTTCTAAAGCCTGATATTTCATTTGTTGTTGTATCAATGGAAGAAAAAGTACCAATTGGGACTAATTTTCTAGAAAGAGGAACAGCTTCAAATTCTCTCATCTTATTATCAAGAGAGGATTTTAGCTCAGAAATCTCATTTAGCTTGCTTTCTTTTTTATTTAAAATACTTTTTGTGAGCTGGAGTACCCTCCATCTCAATTGGATATGTTCCCATTCGAAGTGAGACAAAATTATTGCAAACAAATTAGATGCACCCTTAGAATATTTTAATTCTCTGAAAGATTGGTATGCCATTTCTCTATTGTAATCATAATACTGAAAAGAACCCACCATATTTAAATTAAGTTGCAATATTTGTTGGTTAATTTCATCAATATCATTTAATCTGATAACCAGTTTTTCCTTAAAAATTCTAAGAAGGGTTTGAGCTGCTTGTGGAATTTGCCCTTGAGTCTGGTCATCATTATAGAATGCGCCTGCCTCTTTTTTCAGCTCTTGTTGATCTTCTATATCATTTGGATCAAAACCTTCATTATATGAGTATTTATGTCTTCTTAAATTTGCTTTTAAAATATCTAAATTAAATCTTTCATCATTTTCATCTTTTGGATCTGTAAATTTTTTTAATGGTATTACATAATCTAACTTTTCTAAATCTTCTCTAAATTGGGACTCGGATGAAATGGTCAACTTTTCATTGAAATTTAACAACCAATTTGTTCCTTCATACAATGTTTTTAATTGTTCTGCTCTATAAATTGCTGCCTCTGAAATTTCTTTGATATTATAATACTCCAAATCTCTTTTTAACTGGTCCTCAAAAACTTTTTCTTCTAGCATCAACAGCTTCTTTTCATGATCGATTTTGGCCCTTATTAGCTCTTTCGAATCTCGAATTGCTTTTAATCTCTGAGAATATATCATTTGCATATCTTCTTCTACTAATAAATGCAGCTTGTTTTTTTGTTCATGCAAATTTTCAAGTTCTTTTTCCAGCTCACTCTCCTCTTCATCTGCCCTTTCTATCATTTCAGATGCTCTATTTAACATCACTTCAAAACTTGGATCTGCTTGAAACTCATTTACAATACTCTTTCTATACTCATAGTCAGCTTTAACCCTTTTGATCAATAAATAACGCTCTGAAGCTCTCACATACTCTTCTACTAATGCTCTAGTTCTAATTTGTAGCTGTAAGGCAAGTGCAGTATCAAAACTCTCTGCCCAGGCTGTTTGGAAATTTTTCCGTGCCTTATCTAAGAAACTCTCTAGTTTTCCAAGTTGTTCATTCAAACTGCTATTTATTAAGGAAAACCTATTTCTGTAATCGCTTAGTACACTTTCTATGCTTGATAGTCTGTCATATCTTATTTGTTCCTCTTCTTTTGTCTCTCTATCAGGGTAAATGGGGACTAAATCTTCATCTTCATCTTTAGAACAGTTTTCCATATCAAAGAAAAGTGGCTTATCCTGGGTTTGTTCCGACAAAGACTTTTTTAAATTGATTCTGAAGGCCTTTCTTCTCTCTAATTGTTCATATCTCAAAGTTTCGATATTAGATTCATGCTTTTGCTTTGATAAAAAGCTGTCTATTTTGTGTTTGATATAAACTCTTTCTTTATTACTAAGCTCCTTTGGCCACTCTTTCAGTATTTTACGGATTTGAGGCATCTCTTTTTGCCTCTCATCTCCATAGACGGCACTTCTGATTGTATTTACATATCTTTCTAATTCTCCCTCTGCCTCCAGCATACTTTTGTGTAAATTCTCCATGGACTGTAATTCAGTCGCCCAGTCACCCTTCAACCTATCAGTCTCCATTAGATAATTCTCCAGCCAAGTAGTATCAGTTATTTCATCTGATTTCGAATTAATGTGGCCTATATATCGCCTAATCTTTTTTTCACACCCAGCTTCGTAATCAATAAATTCACTAAACTGTGCTTTTAATATATTGATCATGGATTCAATATGTGAATCAAGAGATGAAACCTCTTCAAAATGTGACTTCCAATTCTCAAGTCTGAATGTATTAGAGTTCAAATCGTTTTGTGTGATTTTGTCAATTCTATTTTCAATTTTGGTTTCAAAGTTTAACAATAAGTTACTCTCCATATTTTTTCTGATTAATTCAATTAATTTTGATTCAGGATTCATAATTCTAACGGTTTCTTGTGCTGTTTCTTCAGTAACTTTGCTTTTATGAACTTTTGGAATAACTTTACCGGATAAAGATTCACAAAATAATGTTATGTTCTCAATCATATCACTTGGTTCTCCCAAATAATCCATTTGTGGGTAGACTTTAACAGGATATCCGTTTTCAATTGCCTGCATGTTTTTTTCGAAGACCACAATTAGACTAGTAATACAGTTTTCTCTCAACCTTGCATCTTCAGGGAATAGAAACACTTCAGGAATTTCCAAATACGGATCATTTATGTCAATTAATTTAATATGATCACTATCGATACTTTTTATTATTATTTTCAGCCATTCTATATGTCTCAGTATAAATCTTTCAAATACCCCTTTGCAGAACTTTGCTATACTTACTTCATTTTCGGATCCAACATCAATATTATACAAAGGTATATCAGAAGAACCTTGACTCCTTTCTTTTCTCAAAGTATTGATGGTTTTAAAGCAAATATCTGAAAGCAAACTTTCTTTTTTCTCTAAGTTTGATTCTCTCCTTATTTTCTCATCAACAAAGGTATAAGGAATAACTTCCTCAGAAAGGTCTTGAGAATTCACAAGGGGGGAAATTCTTGCCTCATTTACAATTGCATACCACTCTCTCTCTCTATCATTTATTGATTTGTAAAATGACTTGAGAAGCTTATTTAGGAATATGCGATCATGTTTCAATGGTAATAAGAAATTGAGTTTGCCTTTAATTTTAAATTTATATTCCTCGCCTTCCCTTCTTGTTTGAATTCCCAAATATTCATAATATCTTTCAAATATCTCCTTGCATGCGTTTTTAATGTTAAAAATCCTCTCATTTTGATTTACACCTTCAATAATTAACCCATAATCATTTTCTTTATTGTATTTGTAGTATTTGTCTCCATTTGGAGCAACAAAGACTTTATATGCCATGTTTCTTAAACTTTTAAAACAGTTATCAATGAAAACAGTCTCAACTCCTTTGCTTGCCACAAAATTTTCTGGGAATTTCAGTGCCTTTTTCCCATATGTTTTTTTAATCATCCAGCTTCCTGACCTTTGTATTTTATTTGTATTTTCCTGAATCCAACTTACAACTGCATTCCATTCATCTTCAGGTCTCGGCATAAAGCCAAATGGCCTGGATTTATCGTCATTTTGAGAAAAATTGTACTTTGAATTCAGTTTATTTTCAATATCTTCAAAGGTTAAATTCTCAATTTCTTCGGAGTTATTACCATTGATTAGTACATTGATAAACGATAATGCGTCTTCTTGTTTCTCATTTGAAAGTAATATTGCCAAACTCTTTAAATCTCTCCTCACTATCATTTTGGATACCTCGCCTTGCTTTGGCTTTCTTATTTGGCTTATTAATTGTTTACTTGGTGTTAATGAATCTTTGTAGTCGAATAGCACAGATTGTATAATTTTCAGCACATTTGCTTTATTTAGATCCTTGTTTGATTCTGATTTCTTATTGGTTATAGGAATTTTGTTAATCAATTTATTTTTTTCTATCAATTTTCTACCTTTATCTGGCTTTCTTTCTTTATTTGGAGTTCCGTTAGCTCCCTTATCTTTACAAATCTTACTTGTTTTATTCAAATATTTGTTTGTAACATCTAGGCAGAACCTTGCTAAAGCTTCACGAAAGTTGACTCCTTTTCTAACTTTAATTGAGTAACCTTTATCTTTTTTATTTGTATAATCCAACAGTATGTGAAGCCTATTTATACATTTAATAGAAATTTGCTTTTTTACCTTGACTTTATTTGAACTACAAATATTGATCGTCCCAATTGTGATCCCGTCACTACCTTCTGTGATTTCTTTTGGTATTACATTTAAATTTATCCAGCTATTTGTTATAAGCTCATTCTTTATTATACCCCAAAATATATTATCCCTTAAATGCAAATTTGGCGATATATTTTCATCTTTAGTATCTCCTACTCCCATGACCCAAAAAATGATAAATGCCAGAAAATAATATGTAGCAATAGACCCACCTATTGAATTTGGCATTCTTCTATTCAATAGTTTCTTCTTATTCATTTCACATTTATTTTCTTTAATTTAAATCTAAAATTATGTCAATATTAAATCTATATTTTTGAACCGCCACCACAGTGCCGCTTTATTTAATGTTGACATCAAACCTAAGCATGCAAATAAAGAAAAACAGTTAAAACGAGGAAAATAATAATAAAGAAGAAAATTGAAGTATTCTAACATATTCAAAGTTTATTTATTCAAGTTTTACTAAATTATATTATGGCCACTCTATTGTATTCATAGAATTCGGCCACTTGTTTATTATGAGTTACAAATTGCAGATCATAATAATCTTCATCCTGAATTTAGTAATTCTTGATCACTGTATCTGTGCAGAATTTGCTGATTCATTGGAGAATATCATCAAGGGGGGATATAATGAGGATGAATTTAACCCTCTTTTTGTGGAGGAGTTAAATGAGATAAAAAATGATCCAGAAAATAAAAAAAAAGATAACTTTTATATAAGGCTTAGAAGCGGGCAGTGGTTTGCTTTAAAACAACAGGTTGAGTACGACTCTTCTGAAATGGGTTTAAAAAGAGTGTTTGGTGCACTTCCAGCTAACCCATTTTCAGGAAACATTTTCACTCCTTCTTTGAACGAAGTCGAACTTGGTGATAAATATTGTGAAGCTCTGCTTGATATGAGAAATAAAGGTATTTCTGCAAAGATAGGATTAAAAATAGCAAAAGATGGGTTAATAAGGCAAAAGTTTTGTTCGGATGCAGCTGAACTTTACTTTAACGGCCTGCGCCCAAGACCTGCAACAGTTGCTCAGAAACAAAACGAGATAGAAAAGTTAGGGAACATTGAATATTTCGATTTCGCTACCATAGAAAGCATTCATAGTAAAATTGATACTCTTGGAATATCTAAAGGTGCAAGACCAAGGCAAAATAGCAAATATGGTTCAGCATTAAGCTCTCAAGAAGCAGAATTAATTACAAAGCAGACACTATTACGTAACTTTTTACATATTGTAAAACAGCTACATCTTAATACTTTAAGAAAGGATCCACTAAGGCTCAGAGAATATTTTCCAGGGACTTTGTTGCAACTTAGGGATGCAATAGAAAGTGATGACCCTGAAGTAGTTGCCGTCAAATTACTTCGGCTTGGCCCAACATCTGATCTATTGGAACAATTTATTAATAACCATAGGGGTAGGAGAGATCTATTATTGTTAAAGACAAACAAAAAGTTTCAAAAGAAAAAGAGTGGTACATTTGATGAATGGATGGATCTTATATCAAACACAGACCTCTCAGCAGTAACATTACCTGCTCTTGAATACTTAGCATATAAACATGTTGCGTTAACACCAAGTATAATTACTCTAATAAAAAGACTTTATGATTTAATAGTAAAAGAAAGAGGAGCAAAAAAAAATTATTTTATTCCACAAATTATTGAAGCTTTAGATTCTCTCCCAGATGTTGTAAAAGCTGATATTCGTGTGTTTTTTGAATTGAATACCAAACATGGTTACTATAGAATAAACACATTGGAGAAAATTAGATCAATGATCATGATTATTCAGCCTTTATTAAAGACTTTCAACCATTTTAGTGAAGAAGAATTTAAAAAAGTACTTTCTAATACTGGCCTAAGCCAAAATGAAATTAGCTACTTTAGTAGAAATATTTCCAAGATATTACTAACAATATTGGAAAGAAGAAGACTTCAAATAAAGGAAAATGATGATGATGATGACTTATTAAATAATGGGCCTATAATTTCTGTTAATTCTATAATAGAGATGATTCAAAAGATGAACAACAGTTCACTGGGAGCAATCATGGACCATATAGAAAGTGTTGTTCCAAATTTCACAAATAAAAATATGTACAGTGAGGCAACTGAACAACAAAGGAAGGAGATTGAAGCTCTTGTTAAACTTCCTTCTTCTCCAATAATATCTAAGCAATTATATAAGGAATCGGTTTTGAGGCCACTGCTAACTGATGCAATTCCAAATGAATATGGAATGTTGGACAAATTTATCAGGGGCTTTTATATATTAATGACAGAAACTGGGGTTCGTTTACAATTCTATTTAAGAAATGGGTTTGAAGACAAAGCTCTAGATGTGAATGAAGATAAGTACAAAAGTAACAAAGTGTTTTTGGAGGATAATATGAGGCACAATTCAGAATTATGGTTCGGTTCAATGAAAGTTTTATTAGAAGAATCACTATTTCCGTACGAATTAGCAACTAGACGCCTTTTACAATATATAAAAGAATGCAAAATAGGATTTAAGTTTGGATATAATGAAGAAGAATTAAAGAAAAGATCGTCCGAAATAACTCAAGAATATTTACAAAAGTTACTTGACAACTTCGAATCGGTAAAATTGACGGAAAAGAAATTGAACCCTATCTTTATAGGAGAAAAAGGTAATATGCTGTTACTTCCGAATAGAAGACATCACTTAATCAATTATATTTTTCAAAAGGATGGTGGATCATTATACAAAATACTTAAAAATGAAAAGCTAGATCAAATATTGGTTGGGCTGGTCGATTTGTTGGAAGAGATACAAATTCCTAAAAAAGAAGAGGTAAATATTGAAGGCCCATATTGGGATAGAGAAAAGAATGAATGGGTTAATGCTGATAAAATGAAAAAAAATGATGTTGAAGTTATTTATGAGCCTCAGAAAGTAACAGATCTGCCTATAAATAGGGAACAGGAATGGGAAAGAATTGCACTATTCAGTAAATGGTCAGAATTTGTTAAGGGAATTCCTATAAATTCTATTCCGAATGGATTTAAGTTTTCATTTGGACTATACTCTAACTTTATTTATTTTTGCCAAAGAGGTATTAGGGAGTTAGCATATAGACTAATTGTTCGTGACAAGCCAACAAATACAGAACCCGAAGGAAAATACTGGGAGTATCTTCCGAGAAACAAGTACTCGATTTTAATTAACGCAGATAATTCAAAAGCACGAGAAGAAAAGGTTTTATCATTTTGTAGTGCAGTTTACATTTCAATTTATTCAGAAAAAGGAATCCCCTCAGAATATAAGGGCTCGCTCCCCAATGTTTGGTCTAAAGAAACTGACAAATACGAAAAGGAAGCTTTCATTACCCCAAAAGACAAATCCAAGAAATTACGCTACCATTTGGACGATGTTAATGAACAATGGTCATTTATTGCCACTGAAGCAAGAAAACCAGGAATATTTACGGCACCTACAATCCCAACTGACAGCTCTTTATTAGGGGATGTTTGGAGGAAGTTATACGTTGACCATCATATTGCAACTAGTTCTGTAAACGAAGTGGATGCGAAAATTTCTATTCTTGCTGATATGTGTTCAAGAGCAATCCAGAGTTTAAGACAAAAGAAGAATTACTATGGAGAACAATTATATAAAATGGTTTATGATGGGGAGAATTCTATTGAAATATTTTGCCATGATGTTTCAAGAAGGTGGTTTAGTCAGTGGCCATCTGATATATCAAATGATATGCTCTTATCAAGCCAACCTGATAATCATGAGAACCAGGCACTTAAACCGTTCGACAGAAGTTATTTGAAAAGTAAAAAGCCTGCAGAGAGAAATATTAGAGAAGGATTTTCAAGAACAACAAAAAATATTTCTCCAATAGTTATGGAAGAATTCAACTTTAATAAAATTTTAAAGAAGGCACATTCTATGGACGAAATTCCATCAGAACTTTGTGACGAAAGTGTAAGAGAAAGTTGTAGTCACAGAATGGCAGGAAGCTCTGTGACATATTCTACATCCTCTGTCAATCTGGGTTCTGGAAGTATGTTATTAAATACTGATGAAATCAAAGGAGCGAATCGTAGAAAAAAATACACCGAAAAAAAACAAAAAAATAACCCATCAGAAGATTTTTTGTCGAGAAATAAAATTATAAATATTAGAGACATCTTAGATTTACCTGAACCCATTTCCAAAAACCGCAAAGCAACAAGCAATACTATTTCTAAAATAAAGGTGGCGGAAAATGAGTCTGCAATCAATAGAAAAAAATTCTCCACAAAAGATACAAAAACTAACAAAACTTTTTCTGAATTGATTGACTAACCAAATTATAAATATAGTCTATAGCATTATCTAACTATTTGCTTCAAATATTGTTCTTTATTTTTCCGTAAATTTTATAACGATAAGCTTTAGATATTCTTTTTTATTTCTTTATATAAATTGTGTGTAGCAGGGTGCAATTTTCACACTAGAGAAAAAAAAAAATCAAATAAAGCCCGAATTAAAAATTGCCTATAGGTTATATTAGACTCATTATAACTAATATGTAATTCATTTTTACCTATAATGGAGTTTTCTTCTCAAGATTCTCAAGCACAAATTTGTAGAAGGGCATATATTCCTAACAACTCAAAAGATGAAGTAAAAGAATTAATAGGCTATACTAAAATAGAGGAATCAGAAGATAATATTAAAAGGAACTTAGTTTTCAGGTCTGATCTTTGTTCGGAAAAGATTTATAATATTTTACAGGCAAATAACTGGAAAAATAATGATAACAGTAATAAAAAATACTATACTCATGAAGAAACCCCCAAACTTGGGCAAGCTTCTCTTAAAAGGAGCTTAGTTTATGATTCTTCACTTGGCTGTTGTGTTCCTTTATATACTAGAAAGCCAGGTTGTAGTAGAATGAAGTTAGACATCATTGGATATGGCGAAGCAGTGAACTATGGTACACAAATGGAAAAAGCATCAGATAACTTGGTTGGCCTTAGACTGAATAGTTCAAATATTCACAGGAACTTTAATCAACATTTTTCAGGGTGTTCTACGAATATTATTGGGGAAATTAGAGATGATTTAGGGAGATTGTCCAGAAAAGCAGATTATGAAATGTCTAAAGTAAACAAAAGTTCAGTACACATTGAAAATAACTTCTATATGCCAGAAAAAGATAGTTCATATGAAAAAAACACAAGAATTCATCACTCTGCAGGTAAGAATTTTAATGGAAGCCATTTAACTTTCTCTGGTGGGTTTCTAACATCTATTTCTTAAAGTAAAAAAATTAAGCCAAAAATTGTCCTCTGAAAAAAGGTGGCTATAATAATCAATATCAAAAATAATAGCTAAAATATGATTTTCGTTATTTACCTTAATTTAATTCACTGAATAAATACATAATTTTTCTATTTGCATTATTGCATTTCCCGCTGGGTCTGTGTTTTAGGTATCCTGTTTTTCTTATATAGATTATTAAAAAGCTGGTAATGAAACAACAAAAGATAACAAAAAAGTTGAATATTTTATTAATGATTGGTAGAAAATTTTTTATGGTTCACAAATTTAAATGGGTTTTAATTTATTTAATCATCATAATATTTTCATATTATTTAGAGCTTAAGTGTGTGGGATGCCATGAAATATCATCAATTTCCAATTCAGTATACTTAAGTATTAATGAATCCTTAGAAATTTGTTTTAAAAACTCAGATAATAAATTAATCTACCCGATTGAAAGCTTAGGAGTTATTTATCAAGTTGCAAAAAAGAAAGAAAACTTTTCTATTAAAATTTTAATATATCATCCTAATAGAATGGCTGACCTTAGTAAAGTTTTCAGTGACTACGGGAATTTTAAAGACTGTATATCAAAATACTACAACATTAAACTGGATCAATGCATTAGCAACAAACCGGGAATTAATTATTCTACAGATTTTAAATTTAGTATAGAATTACCTTCGAAAGAAGAATTAGAGGAAATCAATATAAAGAACAGAAGTGGGGAAATATTTGTGATCAGGAAAATATTTAAATTTAAGATAACTAGCTCAACAGAAAATTTTAGTGAAACTCAAGTTTTAGTAGCTAAGGATAATTCTACGATAGAAAGTACGGTAACTTCTGCAACCACAACTAATCCCACAACAACTTCAAAAGAATTAATAGCTGAATCCAATCAAAATACCTCAAGTAATAAATTAGATAAAGAAGTTATGAACCTTAATGAAATTATATATTCAAATACATTGTGTAAAGAATTATCTTCAGACGAAGTAATAGAAGCCATAAAATTTCAAAATACATTTATGCTACCAGATATAATCTATTTGGAAGTTGTGGTACTACTGAGAAGGGTGGCAAAAAGAATTGATTTCTTTAGATCTGCTGAAGAATCATTATCTATTATAATGCCTGGAATCGGTGGATTGCTGGTTTCTGATATCCATTGCGAAGAATCACTTAGAGTTTCACTAGTAGCAGGGGAATTAACTATTCCCGGGGTCGGCCCCAATGTATTTCCAGCAATATGCCAGAAGTTACAACAATGTTTAGGCGACCAGTCTTTTCATAACTCAGTCCTAATAAGCTTATCTAAATCAAAAAAATATGTGGACTTTGCATTAAAAAGAAATCGAAGTTTTATGTGGGAAACTTTAAACAAAATGGTGGGAGTACTGGGAAATACCAGTGGCCTAAAATCATATCAACTTTGGTTGGAAATGGAAATTTTGATAAAAAACACAATACCAGATGAAGATGTATTACATTCGGATCTTCCAAAGGAAATGATATTAATCGTCGACCTAATTAAAAATTCAAAATCCCAAACAGTAGAGTGTACAATATCTGTGATGAAAATTGGAGCATCATATGATATTAGACTTTCACAAATTTCCGAGGTTGCAAGAATTTGCAGCCGAATTTTCTCAGATTCATCAAGTTATTTGTCAGTTGATGAAATGAGACTCATTTCAGATACAACAATTCTTTCCAGAATTGCTGATTGGATGATCGGGACATTTATTCTAGAAAAACATATTCCTCCAGGTGTTACCAAGCCTGCCGCTTGCATGTATCTTTCAGCTATTACCTCCCCAATGGATTATTCAAGCATAACAAACTTTCTTTGGCCTAGAGTGGTCTTCGCTATCTCATCATCATCCTCCTCAGCTTTATCATTTACAACCAGATCAGTTGACCCAGAAAATTGCAGAAAGTCATTAATTAAAATCTTAAAAAAAATTGGAGATAAAATACAAATTAATATCGATGAAACATGCGGGAAAATGGCAAATTGCATATTAAATGGACGAATTGGAAGAATAAGCGTAGATGATACTATAAATAACGCTTTAAGCCAGAGCCAACAAACAATTAAATACGACTTTGGCACTAACTCTGCATCTTTGCGGTTAGCTAGATTTATTTTTGAATCAAAAGCTCCTAAAAAAAGTAAAAGAAATGGATTCTCAAAGCTCTCCGCACCCTTAAGAGGATCAGTTTTATTTGGGCACTTACAAACAATAATGCCAGGTGGTTTCAGTATTAATGACGTTGTAAAATTCGTACATAGTTTTACCAAAGAAGCTCCCCCTAATGGGCCAGCTAAAAAATGTTTTAAAGTTCTCATAAAATATATTCCCATATTTATTTCAAGTGATAATGAATTAAAAACGATTTGTATAAATGCATTTGGGCCTTGGATTATGCCTGATATACTCGTTTCTGACGTAACATTCTCACAATCTACAATATCAAGTGAAATTATTGTGTGAGATTTAAATCATAATTCAAGAATTGAGTCATAACTCAAAAATTATTAATGGAAATGAATAATGATTGGAATTTTTCTAATAAATTAAAAATGTTTACTAACCTATAATTAAATCTTTACTATTTGACCTTTAGTAAATTACTAATAATAATGTTTATTGGGCAGACTTTTTTTCATGATTAACCATATTGGATGAATTGATAGACTTTAAATTTTCAGAATTGCTTGGATATGTGGCAGAATCACTATCTTCGAATGGGTATGGTGTTTTATCAAAGAGGTCTTCTCTTTGAAAGTACTTAGAGTCGATAGAGTCTATGAGCGAGTTGGAATCTTCATCCAACTTAGAGGTTTGAGATTTTTTAGTACCTGTTGGAATTTCAGGCATTGCAGTTGAACTTCCTTCATGCCTTATTAAAGAAGTCTTTAATGAAGCACCAAGTGTGAAATTACCTATAGGAGCTCTATCGCCAACCATCCCACCTTTATTATATATCGATACTTGCACATTAGTATTAAATCTCAACTTTCTCTTATTTGGATCAGAGGGTTTGATCGAACTCTTCAGAATAGACTTCGGCAAATTTTTCTCAGGTTCAACATAAATTTCAACATAAGGCAATATTTTATTTTGTAGTTTTTTACATATATTTTCTAATTTTTTCTGAAGAAATGAGAAAGAATCCACCTCATTATTAACTCCAACAACAGAAACGATACCTCTAGAAACCAGATCTTCGCAATATCTCACACAGTTAGAAACTAGTTGATCAGGTATTACAATATCTGGCTCAAAAGCTAACGAAACCAACGGTTTTGAATTCCAAATAAATGTTTGATCTCGATTATTCTCTTTTTCTTCCAAATCGATTTCCATTAGGCTATCAATTTGATCATTCCAATCACTTGAAATATGAGAATAATATGTGGCGATTCTGGCTGCAAATGCTAACAATAAATTAGAATTGACACTATTCTTTATTTTTTTGTTGTGATCTTCTATAACTACTTCAAATGACTTAAATTGTAAAGGGTTTTTTACTTTGAACAATAACATATTAAAGATTATTGCAGTAATCAGCTGTACAGAATCTGTATTCATAAAACGTATTTCCCTCATATACAAAAACTCCGGTGGAGTTTGGTTTCCAGATATAACGACAAATGCCCATTCCCCACTACGAGGAGCTCTTGTAGGTGAATCAATATTATATAGTAGTTTGCTCCTAGCAACAATAAACTGCCAGATATGGTTTCCTTCAATATCCATATTTACATGTTTCCCTAATTTGTTTCCAATTGGAACAAAATCTTTAAATGGGTTCATATAATATTCACTCATTAGACCATTTAATACTGACTGAGGAACCTTGTTATTTTTAATTGAAAACAATGTTTTTTCAATTATTTCCCTAAGAATAAAAATAGAGCCTGTCCACGTAGCAAATATTCTTTTCACAGATTTCATACAAATATACCTAAAAATAATCTCTAATAGCTCTTTTGAAGGTGAGGGAGTGCAACTTATTAAGTTTGGGTAGACATAAAAATAATTGAACGTATTTAGGCACTGACTGTTGATTTCTATTGGTGACTCAGATTTCATAAAAGCCTGGACCGGTGGTGGGTTTTTTGAGTAATAGCTTGAAATTGTGACATTATAACCAATAACAGGTTCGCTTAATGTTTTTAACACTTCTGACCATATTTGCCTTCTAAACATCGCGGATTTATAATTGTTTACCACAGATATCTTGGCTCTACGATCAGGTTTGTTGACAACTTCCGGTATATTTGCACCAGAAACATATTTTGTTGCAATTTTTGAAATTCTGGATACTTCTGGTAGTGGTAAACTGGCAGCAACACTTCTTGCTAAATTACTTTTGTCCTGGTTAATTGCATCGGCAATGAATTGGAGGGCAAATAAAAAAAGAGCTAAAAATAAATAAAGCAGTTTCATTTCTAATTTTTTTTATTAATACATAAACTTTATATATTTACCAGTTGCACTGTCGTTTTTTTTTTGCATTCTTTATATTTTACCAAATTGTATAATTTTACTGTATTTCTAAATATCAGGCGCCAGAACTTGTGCATGTTTTGTTTGCAAGATAGATTTATTCTATTATTGAATTGCAACATTTTTGATCATCACGACTTGTGTAGTGTCAAAAGAAAAGACTATGACTTAATTATTAAATTTTACTAGTAATACAAAAAACAATATTTGAAAGTTTTTTTGTTGTAAAAATTAAGGGTATCTTTTGTGGTTTAATGATTTGTTTTTCATTTTAGAAAATATATTAATATAAATAATATTTTAATAAAATTCAGTAATACACTTTTAATCACTTTAATACTGAATTTCAAGTAATTAATTTAATCTAACAATATAAAATTTGTAATATAAATCTAAAAATAAAGTCAATTTGATGAAAACAAGTTTTTCCCAGACTCTTGTTCAATGTGAGTACAAATTGTTGGAAATAACCTATGATTAATTGTATATTCTCCATTTAATCTGGAAATATGCCTCTTAAATGCCTTGACGCATTGGGTAATAGTGCCTATTCTTTTATATACAAAGTCTCTTGCAATATTACATATTTGTATCATTTTATCAGCGGGAAAAACTCCATTTATGTATGCAGCCGTAGCTATTGTATCGGCCATTTCGTCAATTTTATCCTGCAATTTTCCTGGGCAATATATCTGGTTGTCATTCTTTTTTCTTTTCTTTATATAATCTTTCATTTCTTCTTTATAGGGAGTGAGTGGAACTTTTGGAGTATTACGACGTAAAAATTGAGATCTAATCCAAATTCTGTATGCAGTCTGTGGTGTGACAAAATGACCATCCATCCTAAGACATCTATATACGAATCTGGCTCCTTTCATTAGGTCCTTTTCGCTCAATGTTTTCCCAATAGTATAACCGAAGTGAGGAATACATTCTGCCATAATTTTATAATATTCAGATGATTTAATAACACTATGAATTATTTCTGTTGAAGGGAGTGAATAATCTTTTACGGAGTAGTCTTCGCTTTTTGATGTTTCTGTTTTATAATTCAGAGCTTCAATATCGCTGAAATCATTATTGCTAGCATTATTTAAATAATCAATAATTTTATTAGTATCAATGGATTCTTCAAATTCGCTATCATCCAGTTGAATATGTTTTGCTCTTTCTAAAATTTCCTCTTTTGATAGTGGCTTAGTTCTTGGAATATCTGGTACGTTAACAAATTCTTCTAGCTTCAATGGGATATTTGCTATTTTTTGACCCACCAATAGTGATGGGCTTTTAATAAGGACTGATTGATCATCTTTTTGTACTCCTCTATATAAATCCGGTGATCTTCGATAAACATCTGAGACTTTAGTAAGAAATTTAACTTTGTTTTCTCTCCTAGAGATTTGCGGATCTCCATAACCCAAATCTTGAATTTTACCATTAAATGGAATTCTTTGATTTACAATCGGAACCCTGGAATCATAAGTGATATATCCGTATTTGTATTTATCACTTGAACCAAAAGGCCTCGCCCAATCAACCTTATAAAAATCTTGAATAGTTTTTTGGTTGAGATTTTGTTTTGCTTCATCAACCCCTCTATTTATATATTTTCTCCAATCTGCCCTATTATTACTTTTAATAGGATATTCAAGTGGTAAGTCATCTTCGTCTTTTTCTACTATCTTTTTATATTGTAGTAATCTAATATTTGGCATCACAGTAGTTTTAATTGGAGATTTTAATTTTGTCATTTTAATGGTTTGTTCATTTTTATCTCTTTTAAGCCTATGGCTTTTAGAGTCCGATACACCTCTAACAACTCTTTTTCTAGGAGAAAATTGATTTCTTATTGGATAGTAACCGACAGCTTCATCTTTTTTTTCTAAATGAATGTTGTTATTTGATAATCTTTCCATTTCAATAAGCACTTCGGAATCGACGGGTACAAGTCCTATCCAAATTCCTCTTGTAGTTGCTACTGACATATCAATTGCGAGAGAGTTACATAACTTCTCGATGTCAACAGTCAGCGGGGCCAAATATCTATAACTTACTAACTCAAGGATACTATTTACAAGAGATTTTTTGTAAATTTCCAATTCTTCCTTGTTTATCCTACGTTCTTTGCCATTATTGACTGATACCTTCAGCAGATCGTATGATTTAGGTAAATAGAATCCTCTTCTTACCCAAAAGAAAGAAGGCGAATACTTTTGTGTTTCCATAAGTTTAATTAACTGTCTCCATTGTTTTTTCCTTTCAAAATAAAGAATTGCCACACTATCACAAAAAATAGCCAATGCAGATGCAAGGTCTGTCTGAACATCTTGATTCTTCCAATTAGATTCCACCATTCTCCATGAAGACTGAATACAGTTTACTGCCATGTCTTGATAACACTCATGTTTAGTACGCCATTCTAATTGTCTAAATTCCAAATAAGAAAAAGGCATTTTTTGGCTCACAATAATTATATTTTCGTTGTAATCACTATTAGATAGCTTTCTATTACGGGACTTTAGAGAATATTCATAGATGAACTCCCATTGCTCCTTAGCCTCTAGTTCGCCGTCCGGGTCTGCAAGCATTGGATCTTTTGCATCAGGGAAGGGATTATTGGGAAATGTGTTCTTTACATTATATTTAATTAATTCTATTTCGTCCGTAATAACTGGGCAGTCGTTTGCGTTCTCAAAGTATTCTTTTACTGCTTCCATACATAAAGATTGTTTGACTAAAGTTGAATACTCTTTGAAACTTTCAAAATTCTCGGAGTTTATGCCTTTATCAATTAATTCCTCGGATATCTGTTTAGAAATAGTCCATTTATAGTCCAATTTGGGTAGCCTATCAAAATAATTAACATGGGTTTTCCTCCTATTTGATTCAGAAAATGCATGTAAACATTGGCTGTACATTCCAAATGGATCGTCTGAAAATGAAAAAATGCTTTTTGGTGGGTCTTCTATTCCATTATAAAATCCTTCGATTCCAATATCAAGGAAAACAAACCCATTTGCTTGCTGCTTTATCATTTGCCATTGAATATTTGTAATTGCATTTTCAATTCTAGAATGAACCCTTGATTTTATCAACTTTTCCCAGAGAAAACTAGATGCCTCAACTCTCCAATTAATATCATTAATTCTTTCTGAACCTTGAGCTGACCTCTCATTGTTTAAATCCAATATTTTTGGAGGCAAATCACTTTTCAGTAATCCTCGTCCTGGATCGATAAATGTTGGAGGATTAATTAACGGTAATTCTCTTAATACAGCAAACGAATCACGGTTAATACCAAAATAATTTCCTGCTGCATCTTTGCAAAAAGTATCTGGCTCAATAACTTCAATAGAGTGTTGACGCTCCCATTCGATTTCCTCATCTAATTCCATTTTTTCAGAATTTGTTTCAATATTAAGTATTGATTTCATGAACTCCTCCTGCCTTTTGACTCTATTAATTAGTGCGCTGATACATGCCTCTTCGAATTCTCTGGAATTTAGTGATGTAATAAATCCATAAGGCCTTGGATCTATCGAAATATTTCCAACCACACGGTCATAACGGGGCTTAGAATTCTTATCAATATTAAGTTGCTCAACAATCACTCCCCACTCACTAATTCTTAACGAACGGTATTCCATTAAATTAAGTGCCATCAAAGACGGAGGATTTACTTTTCCGGCTTTCTTTTTAATCTCGCTTAACACCAGCTTTTTAATTGAAGTACCATAAATAGCGTATTTTGCATGTACATCTAATGGATTATTGTAATAAATATCTTTGGCATCTTTGCAAAAAATTTCCAAAATCACATTCTTATCTTCAATTCTAGAATAATAATCTGATAATACCTCTTTACAAATTAACTCAAAGTTCTCAACCTCAATTTCTGTAAGAAATGAATCAGGTGGAGAATATGGAAGAAAATCCTCTTCCGACGAACTTTCATTGTTAAAAATCCTATCTCTTCCATCTTCTAAATCAAGAGCATGTAAATGAACAATTGCAGACCATTGCCCAATTCGAATTCTATGTTTGTCTATGCATGTTAATCTTGAGATGGGAATTCTTTGCTTTTCATAATCAGTTTTTGTTTTTAACTCTTCATAAAGCATTGCCGGATTAAAAAACATTGTTGAGGACTCGTTACAAATACTTTTTAATAGACTTTTATCATAAGATTCCACTGTAATACTTTTGTGAAGAATTAGATTTCTAATTGCTGAAGTACACCTTTGTATAAATTCAGACTTTTCTAGAGAAACATGAAGAAAATTTTTTTCTTTCCACAAAAATTTTACATCATTTATAATCTCTGGAAGGTCTTTGATCTTCATTTTGGCTGGTAGCAATCTTTTATCTTGATCTATTTCATATTCGCACTGCAAAACATCAATTATAGAAAACCACTGACTTTTTATTAAATGGTCCTCAAGAGCAGGATAATTTTTTCTAATAGTCTCAATACTATTTTCATAATATTCAACATAATCTCTTAAAGTATTCCAACTGTAAACTTCCTCATCGTTTAATAAAGGTAGTCCAGGTGCGACCTCTTTATCCGCAAGATCTTTAGGTGTCTTAATTGAACTTGACTCCACAATTCCTAGAAAAATTAAGAAATAAAGAATTAATGCTAATATATAAAATAATTCATCTAGTTTCATTTTTTGGTTAAAATTCTATGATACTTTTTATTGCTACTTGCTCAGTCGCCTTGTATATATATTTTACATGAATTTAATTGATCTAATATTTATTAAGCGGCTATAAAAAAAAATGCAAATAAATATTGAACTTATTTTTTCTATATATAAACTTATTAATCAAATTAATCTATAAAAAGTGTGAATTTGGATATTTTATAAAGAAAAATAATTATCTTGAATATATTTTCACTACGAATTCCTTTGCTTGAATGCTTGTGAAACATAATTACAAAATTCGGTTACTTTCCCAAAAATAATGACGAAGTTAGAGGCACACGAATGAAGACGAATTAAATAGCTCATTGCTTTCTTACAATCCTCTTCAACAGTAAAAATATCTTCACTATTATTGAAGTTTGCTAATTGCATGTATTTTGGGAGCTTGAATGTCTTAGAGATAGCTTTTTCATAACCTCCAGGATATCTATTTGCAAATGAATCAAACACCTTTTCTAACATTTTCCACTGCACTGTTTTGTACCTTGTTCGCTGCCATTCCGAAATTTCTCTGCCAGAATTGATTTCCATTGATATTTCCTCACTTTTAATAGGTACATTTGATACGAAGTATCTATATGAGGACTTTTTACAAACATTCTCAATGAGTTCATTACTGTTTGAAATGTCGTAGCCATTTCCTAGAAATAATAACTTTCTCTTAATGCACTCCCAAATATATTCAGAACATATCTCCATAAATTTAGAGGTGGAGTCAGAAACTCCAATGTTTCTTATCAAGGAAGAAAATAAATTGTTGAATCTCTCAGAGCTTCTGATCGAGTAATCTCCTAGTTCATTTTGTTCATTTATTTGCTCAGATATTACATTATGTTGTGCTAGAGCTATTCTGGAAACTGAGTAAATATCATCCAAAGATATTGGATTGAATTGAGATTGTTGCTCATCCCAGTCCATTGGAACTGCAGATGAATAGAATAATTTCATTGATTCATCGCAAATATCTCTAATTGTCTCATTTGGTTTGTTCAGTATCTTTAACTTATAAGGACTTCCTTCCGGAAATAGCATTGCAGTATCAAAAGCAGCAATACAATTCTTCATAAAAGATCCAGGATTAATCTGTTCATCAGACTCTTGAAAGTCAACAACGAAACTTGAATAAACATTCAGGCTAATTAGTTGTTGGTCTCCTCCACCCTGGTATTCTGTTTTGTTTTCCTCCTTTTCAGTTCTTCTTCTAATTGCTTCTTGAATTGCTAACCACTGTGATCTTCTTAGCTTAAGCCTTTCTATAGAAAATACTTGTTTGGAATTAATTTCTTTTGGTAACTCAGAATCACTGTTTGTGAAAGATCTTGGATAAAAGAACCTTCCAGCGATATCTCTGCAGAATAATTCTCTCGAATTCACATCATCAGACACCCAAATGTTTATTTCTTCGTTAGAATCTAACTTCTTTGAACTTAAATATTCTTTTAACTTTTCAATTGAATTCAAGCACATAGGGAGAAATTCTTTCTCATCTGCACCAACCCAAAATATATCATGGGGGCCTGTAAAAGCAAGAACATCTTCCGGGGTAATCTTTGCAATAATATCTCTGCCAATAACATTAGGGAAAAAGAAGTATGCTAAGCTTAATCTTTCTCCATCAATCGACTTAATTGGAGTGTTACTCCATAAATTTAATTTAGCCATATTTGCTTTGTTTCTTGGTGCACTATTACCTCCTATATTTGATAGGTCTCTTCTAATTTTCAGCATTTCCTTTCCATTCGGAGTATTTCTTGTGTATTCTAGATCTGCAATACATTTAAATAAAATGAAAGTAACTAAACTAATTTCAGGTTCTTCCGAAAGTTTAATCGTTGATTTGGATGAATATATGCTTTCCCAATTCTCGAAAAAAATCCATTTTGGTAAAGGAATATAATAATGCCAATAGACAAAAGAAGCTGCTAGATGATAGGCAAAGTTCCTCCTTAAAATTTCATCTGCCTCGTACTCTATATTATTTCGAATTCTGAGTAATACTTCTTCCTTACAAGTTGACTTAATTATTGGCTCGATATCATTTTTATCAAAAACTTTATCATCCTTAGCGTTTTTTAACAGTTTTTGTTCAACAAGAGAATTAATCATACTTGTACACCATTGATTTAATCCTTTGTTAAAAAAAGGTGACCAAGGATATTTATGTGACACCGAGAAAGGTGGTAAAGATTTTATTTCCGATGGAGTGTTTACATTCTTTTCGTTCAAAATTTCAAAAATAAATGTTGCCATAATATTTTCATTAAATAATTCCAATCTTCTACCATCTTTTTTAGATTTTATAATACTCTCAAATACAGACAAAAATATTTGTTCAATTTCCGAAAAATTAATGGTGTTGGAAGTCAATTCAACACGAGTAAGTTTAGACATTTCATTAAACATAGGGAAAGAGTCAAAATATTGATATTCATTTTCTGGTATGAAATGCAATATTCCATGTTGCTCACAAACCCTTTTATAAACATCCATATAGCTATTTTCGAACATCTTCAATCCTAATTCAAAGGGAATTGTACTGGAGCTATCTGTCAACGATTGGTGAATAAAGGAACTTTTAATTTTCTCTACTTTTTTTGTGATTTTCTCATTTAATCCCATCAATAAAGAGTATTCAATTATGTTTGGTTTTAACAAATTAGTTAAAAACATACATGCAGATTCATACCCATTTTCAAGGAACTTGATTTCTACTGAAAAATCTCTTTTGGAAGCTTTAGAATTTGATTTTTTGCTGTTATTTTTACCAAGTTTGCCTTCCAGATCCAAATCATCAGTTATTTTATTTATATTTTTATTAAAATTGATTATTGCCTTAATGTAATCGGTACAACTTACAAATAACTCCTTTATTTCCAAACTACTCCCATGACTTTTAATATCCATTTCGGGGGTAATTGGCATTTTTTTAATTAAATCAATCATTGAAATATTAAATAAGTTCGAAAATATCTTATTAAGGAACTCTTCGACTTGACTTCTATGCAAGAATAAATCCATTGTATTTATTGATGCAAAGTATTCGTCAATAATTCTTACAAGAGCTTTTGAAATAGAACTCTTGACCTCATCAGGTGAAGCATTCTTCTTTTTCTTTTCTATGACTTGTGGGCCAAACTTAACAATATTGTACATTTTTTCTAATATAGAAATTTTTATTTGAGGATAAAAAATAAATCCATTATACCCAAAGCTTCTTCTCCAAGCGTTAAAGTATCTTTCATATGGTTTTTCAATAATATAAGGAGTAATATGCACTCTTGACATAACAGAGTCTCGTATCTTCTTTAATGCTTCTGCCTCCTTCTGCTGAACTTCAAGCTCCAATCTCTTTTCATCCAATTCATTGAAATATTTTTGTTCTCGTTTAGAAATGAGAAGTTCAAATACTTTGTGGAATGTGTATACAAAAATTTCCGGTAGTATTTGATTGCAAAACATTTTTGCATACAATTTATATTTTTTATTATTTTCTGGCTCTACTGGATCAATAAAATCTACATTATAATCTTTACTACCCTGAATTTTCGATGCAATCCTGAAAATAAAAGGAGTCCCACTTTTTTGAAAATATCTTATTAATCTATAACAACTTTTGGTAATTTCTTTACCTGTTACAGGTATTTTATTTGGCAAAATTTTATCACCAGGTATGTTTTCTTTTTCTGGAAAATTAGAAACAGTAATACCATGTTTCTTCCCCATTACATTATTCGATAGTCTTAAAGACTCCCAAAAAACGTATGCTTGATCACTAATAGGAATTATTTTTTTTTGGGAAATATATGCAGGGAATCTTCTATAAGCTTCACCATAAACTTTTGAATTTTTTAAGTTAATTAAATCATCAAGATAGCTTTCATTGTCTAGCTCTTTAAGTATTTCAGCTATTACTTTGTTAACTTTTTCATTTACTGGGAATCCTTTTATAGGTTCAAGTTCTGAATACTTCAGCTTTGATTCTGGAATTATTGTTGCTTTTTCAATTGATCCTGAGGATATTTGGTCATTTGGCCTAATTCGCTTTCCAATGATAATACTTTCTGGATTGAGTGGATCAGCACCAGGTAAAATTGTTTCACCCATTTTGGTATTGGGCTCAAGAGAGCCAGGTTCAATTGATCCTTCGGAAGTGTACTCATTTAAATCACGATCAAGTGTCTCCAAGCTCGATTTGATTCTATTTATTGTTGTATTCTTAATCGAATCCGCCCTAGTTATTTGGTGAGGTATTGTGCTTCTACCATTGCTAATAAATTCACTATTAATCTTTTCGAAAGTAGATAATTTCTCATTAAGCACAGTAAATAATGCATTAGGAGAATCAAAATCAAATACTGAGTTGTATACAAAATGCCCTTGTGCATAATTCATGGCGTTTTCTCTGTTTTTTTTAAAGAAATCTTCTTTTGCACGGATATTTAATCCTAGAACTGCTCCCTGGTATTCACCATTTAAATTCTGTTTATCTTGAATGTCAGTCACTAAGTTCTTTTCCTCCTCTATAGAGTCAGATATTCCAATTATCAGACCACCTCCCTTAATACTTTTTCCAGTATATATTTCATCTGAATACGGCAATGTTGTTAGATATTTTGCTTCAATTTTGGCACTCCTGCGTCTAGATTCTGTCATTTCTCTCTCATAAATGCCAATAGCCTGTAAAATTATGGGATCATTAGAGATATATTCTCCATAGCTATTTAAGGATTTTATATATCGTATGACGGGTAGCATGGTAATTAAACCACCACCACACAATAGTACTGTATATCTGATTTCATTCATTACCCTGGGATAAATGATATTAATATTGCTATCGAGTTCGTCTGAAAAAATGCCAAAATCATCTTCAATAATTTGAATAGAAAACTCGTCTTTCAATAATCTCAATCTTAGCCTTAATGGTGACCCCAGAATTTCCCCTTCTCTAAAGGATCTAAGCATTAATTTTTCATTTTTTCCAGAATAAATTTTTGGTAACTTATTCAAAGATTTTAATTTGTAATACTCGTTTAATGAAAACTCTTCCAGATTATTTTTGACAAATTTTAGCCCTTCCTTAGAGTAATCTGTCCCTTTATCACCACATGTTCTCTCTATCAAAATTTGTTTGAATTTAAGATCTGTAGTTGCATCAATTAACTCACTGCCATCTAAATGGCCACCTTGATCAGCTTTATTAAGCCCAGATAAATATTTTTTGAATAATATTCTCTCTTCTCCAAATACAGATATTTCTAAAATTACTAGTAAAATCAATGAAAACAGTGAACATCTGATTAAATTTTTTTCTCGCTCTTTCTTTTTATAAACCATATTATTACTTTAAGATCATTATACTCCTTTCCAAACACCTACTTTGTCAATAATTGTCCTTTTAATTGTAAATAATAATAGATTCTAAATATTCCCCCGATCATTTTTACAATTTTTTTAAGGGCATGCCATAAAAAAAATACCCGCCATAGTTTTTAGATTTCAATCTTATTTGTGGTTCCCATGCAAATAAAAGCGGTAATGAAGAATATTCATTGAATTGCATATAAAGTTCAACTTAAAACATATATGTTGACTAATTTTTGGAAAATTGGTGCTTAATGATTTTTTTTTGTAAAATTTTTATCAAACCTGAAAATTGATGTAAAAGAGCAATAATTGGAAAGTATTGTTGAGAAGTTCATTAAAAAATAATATGAACCACACAGAGATTTTCAAATCCAAAAATATTTATTTTTGTCTAATACTCATTACCACATTCATTGGGTATATATTTTGTAGTGGATATTATAACGATGATGTAATTTCTTTTGATAAAGCCAGACTTATTTTCTCCAGAGATGCAATGAACTTTGGTGCGTACAATAACCCTGAAATCTGGAAATTGGCAGATCGGGAAATTAATAGCTTAAAGCAAGAAAGCAAACTACCAATTATATATCAGAACTCTGGTGGTAGGAATCTATTTGTTTCTGTAGAAATTTTACAAGCTTGCGAAAGACTTTTGAACAGGATAGAATTAGATCCTTTAACCCCACAGATCATAGATAATGATTTAAGCATATTTAATAGTGGTACTAAGATATCATTCCAAGATCTTGGTGCTAGAGTTGCAAGAGAGATACAATATTGTTTTTTACAATATGGCTCTGATGTTTTGGAAATACCAGCATTAGAAAATTATGTCGAGAAATTAAAGATCTGGGGTATCAATCAAATCTTTAAAGATGAGGCTGCCAAGAAGTCTCTAGAAGACGTAAAACAAAAGGTTAGAACCGAGGGAAAGAAATCGAGTGATAAATTTACTCAACTAAATTTAGTAACCTCTGACTCCGGCGAAAAGGAGAAATATCTAATTGCCAGGCGTTCAAAACCTGAAAAACGAAAACTTGTGACTATTGATAGAAAAAAAATAACAAAAAAAAATGAAAACCCCCGTGAAGTAGAGCTTGAACACAAGGAACAAAAGAGAATCATAGCTAGGCCTAAAAAAGATATACGGCAGATTACTCATGGAGAAACCAAAGCCAATTATGGTTTCTTGGGTAATCAAGCATTGGCTTCAACAAAAAAAGCTGGTGTAGATTTGATTAAATTAATAAATCAAGACGAAATATCTGAAAAATTAAGAATATTAGGTCCAGAAGCACGCTTAATTCTTGCATGGCAATCAGTTGTTGAAGCGCAAAATGAATTTAATGAGGAATCAGATTACCTTGTTAAGAATTTACCTAAAGTGGTAGATAGCTCAGTTTTATATCAATCTTGTCCAAATTTTTCTCTTCTTAACTTTAAGAATGAATGCGTAGAGTTCATAATGTTCAGAAATTCCCAAATAACCAAAGGGTTTCTAGATGGTGAACCAACTTTGTTTTTTCTTAAGGACGGAGATATATTAATTACAAGTAATCATTTAGTTAGAACTGCAGCGCAAGAACTTTGTTCAATTGCTCATGAATCTTACCTTCCTGAAATGATCAAAAATTCTGAAAGTTACTTGGAAAGAATACACACAATTCAAGTTCAAGGTCAATTAGAAACCCAAGATCAAGAAACAGAGACATCCATTAAGAATCCCCCAAGTAAATCTCAAAATCCAAAATCCAGATTATTTAACTTGTACAAAAAGATTATCACAAAAAGAGGGGCAGTACCTTACTTAAATGAGAAGGATTTGATTTGGGATTCGCTATTAGCGTGTAATTCTGGTGAATGTATTAATGAAATTATTTACAGGGACTTAAGTTATTGGTTGATTCCTCCAGAATATATACAATACATTATATTTCGGATAGCCTCCGAAAGCTATGCAGATTCATTAACCATTTTAGATTTCACTGTCCCAACTAATAGTAAGATTGGAAATGTAATTGATCCTAGCGGAGGAAAGGTAGTTAAGATATGTGAAACGTATGTTCAATCTCTAGCTTCTTCTGGAAAAGCTGATTTAGTTGTTGGAGGAACGCACTCAGACTTTGATCATTTGCTACAAGAATTATGTAGAGATGTGGAATTGGAGGTTAGCAAAAATGAGAGTATTTTGTCAAATAAGAAACTTTTGATTGGAACTTTATATGAGTTAGAATTGGCTTTTTGTGGCATTATGGGTGTTTCTCCAAAAGGCCGTTCAACAGAAGCATACAATTCTAAATCAGAATTAGAACTATTGTCCTCTGGCCCAGTTGATTTTGCAAAAGATGTCTGGGCTATTGAAGAATGTGGGATTGTTTCACAATCACAACTTAACTATTTGCTTTGTTTTGGATCATTTTCTCAAGGCTTTATTTCACACATATTTCCTAACTCAATAGAATCTGTAATTCCAATAACTTTATTATGTAGAACATTGTTGAATATGGAAAAAGATGCGAAAAATCCATACGATCCTCATGATTTTGGGACTTATCTTTCAAATGCGTTATTTGAGGAAAATTTACATGAATTATTTCCTTTTTCAAAAGAAAATACAAAGAAAGCAAAAAAAACCACCTTGAGCTTTTTTATTGAGCTTACTAACCAGTTTATAATGAATCTAGAAAAAAATATGTATATTAATCCTAAAAATACTATTGATTCAATTGAATCCATATATTCAATAAGAATATGTTCTGCACCTCTATTTGCTTTCTTACCTTTTGATATAAATATTTTCCCCATTAACGAGAAATTGGTTAACACATTGGTGCAATATGGGTGCAGAGCAAATATTAATGCAATTCTCAGCCCAGGAAATTTACAGCCATGTATTGGACTCCAACAAAATATTATTAACTATTTGCACGTATTGGCAGCAGTTATTGAGTTATTTACAAATCATTTTATTGATCCAAAAAAGCTTGGGACGAATGATATCGATATTCCAGTAAATTCTTTGTGTTTATGGTGGAAACATCCAGTTAATCACCCACTGAATACTGTTCTTGTAAATAAATTACCGTTCATGAAAAATTCAGAGGTTTCAGAATATGTTCTTAGGTATTCATTAATGATGGAAAGCATGAACTTTCCTGGACCAGTAAAAGCAGAAAAAAGAATTGAATACATTTATTCGAACCCACAAATTTACTCGAACAGGGCAAAAGATCTTCCCAAGAATATTATTTACCCAGATTTTAATCCACCAAACAATGTGTTTGATGCATTAGAATACTACTTGAGAATGGACGTTATAATTGGTTACAGACAACTTCAACGTGAGCTAGATGACAAACCAATAGAACAAATAACATATGAATTTGTCTCCAAAAAATGCCCAACTCTAGAAAGCTGGCAAATATATCTTGCAATAGCTTTCCAAAATTCTGTGAAAACTGTTATGAAGATGATTCTTCCAAAATTAAATGAGCCAAATCAGTTCAAAATAGAAATTGATATACTTTGTAGATGGATACTTCAAAATTTTCCAAAAGATTTTAATACAGATAAATTTGTTGACGTCATTGATGCTGGAGAATCTCTTGAAACAGAAGCTAAGCAAAGCATTCCTTGGTTACAACCATCAGTTGGAGCATATTTACTATCAACTTTCAACGTTTGGAGTCAAACAGAATATGTTTTAAAGATAGGTGGAATAAGCAAAGCTAAAAAGTTAGATAGGAATAAAATTAAATTGGATGAATTCAAATTTTTGTTTGAAAAAAAAGCCATCCCAGTAATCAATTCTAATCAAGAACCCAAAATTCTTAGCTTAGATAGCTTAAGCCCCATAACAAGGTTGAAACTAAACCCTTTCGTTGATGAAACTCTTTCATTACCAAACCCAACGCTTGAATCAGAGTGTGATAACTTATGGGTTGCAAACTTAATGAATGCATTTAGAATATATTTTATGGAATTCCAAAGAAAATTCATTGATCCGATTTTCCACGGATTTTTTGATCCAATAATAATGTGTGAAATTGTCAAGGAGATTGTAAAAAAAAAAGTTTTCCAATTTGGATTTGGCGATGTTTTTTACAGGGTATTTAAAGATAAAAAGTGGATAAAGAATAAACAATTAGTGAGGGTTCTAGTAAAAAATGCAGGAGACTGGATTTTGCAAACATTTGAACTACCAAGCTATCCGACATATGATATTATACAATGTAATAAAAATTTGATTGAATGCCACAAACTAAGTTATTCCATGGAAAATAGGCCAATCAGTTCATCTTTGAGATTAAAAATCGATGAAATTGAAGAAGAGCTATTACCAAGATTGGAAATAACCACTTTTCCATCACTTTCACTAAAGTCTATTATTCCTTTCTTAAGAAGCACAGACCCAATTACTTACTATGGGAATGTGGAGAATTGTGCAAAACTTTTGGAGTTTGAAGTTAGAATGTTGGTTTCTCTAAGTTCTTATTTAGAAACGATTTCAAAGAGCATTTTTAACTCGGAAGTTCCCCAAGAATCTACTAAAAAAGGGCTTTTGGAAGAATTAAAATTCGAATTCCCTCTAGATGCAATGTGTAATTGGTGGACAAGCACAAAAGTAACCAAGGCAAGCCCAAATTACTCAGATAGCGGTGTCTCTTGGGCATCACTATTGTCTAAGCACATAATTCATTTCCATTTTGAGAAATTTAAATCCAATCCTGAGATGGTTATGGAGTGGAAACCATGGTTCACTGCTCCAGTTGCAGAAGCATTACTTTTTGGGTTTTTCAATTCTATTAATAATAATACAAAAAATAGGTACAAAATAATTAATATGAATGATATTCAGGGAGGTTTTATAAATCAAAGTCAAATTAGAAGGTTGGAAGTGCTCGAAACTATTTTTAACACAAATGATAATTACAAATTTGCTAGTTCATTTCACAGGTCAATCAATGATTTGAACAGTATGCCACTTTCCTACTTTAGTTACCTTCATTTACCCTCTGAACATTATGAGAAAATAATGAATTTTGTACGAGAAGAATATAAAAGGCCAATTGGCCATTCTGATATTATGATTGGTAGGGTTTCTCATCAAATAGAAATAAATATGTGTACATTTATTGCATATTCAATTAGCAAACATTCTGAACTTGCTAAAGGAAATAATTGGAAAATAACTGCAAATAATGTTTTAGAAGCTTTCAATCAATACAAAAGCTCAGATCTTAGCCTTAAATCGTGGTTGAAAAATCTCCAACTTTCGATTCCTAATGTAAATTTAAGTATTCAATCAGTATTCATTTTATTTACTAAATATTTGAAGGAAGAAGCCAAGTTGATCAGAACAAACCTCTCTGAAAATAATTTTAGAAGTGAATATTGGGGTCAAGTTGACAGCTTTTACTCTTTACCGCTGCATGCAAATATGAAATTTAATCCAAGTCCACCCTTTGGTTACTTCCCAATTTTTCAAATAGATCAAAACTTGGATTTCAAAACTGTAAAAATCCCAAACTTAGGTCAAAATAAGCCAGTTCCACTTATGAAATTTAGTAGATTCAGAGGTAGATATTGGAGATCTAAAATGCATATAAACGGAAAACAATCTTTTTTAGATGATGTTCCAGAAACTATTCCTTCTATTTGGCCATCAATAGGTAAAGTTGCAGAATTCAAGAAGGATACTGACGAACAATACGAAAATCCAAAATTAGATTATATTGCAATTATTTCAGAACTAGAAGTTAAATCCAAATTCAACTGTGATGGGCTCTTCGTATGGCAAGTTAATAGGGCAGCATATTGGGCAGGAATGTTACAGAGGTACATTATTAAGGGCCCCAGACTATTGAAAGACAACAAAGAACTGCTCAAGAAAATTTCAAGCATTTGGAGTATTAAAATAAAATCCAGAAAACTTCCAAAAGTTACCAACACGGACAAAAGAAACCGTTCATTCAACATTTTTGATATGTTCTTCTTTTACAAAGTCTTAAATTTTTTCTATAACGATTTGAAAGGTATAGGTAATAACCAGAAAATTACTGCCTCCTGGGAAGATGAACTCGAAAAATTACCATTTTTCACTATTAATCTCTTCAATCAATTGTTCATTCAAGAATACAGAAACTTGAACTACGAACATATTGTGTTCTTTTTCTACGAAATGCTTTTGGAAGAAAAAAGAATAATCAAATTAAAGACAAGAAGTGATGGAATATTTATTACAGAAAAGGATAGATTGAAGGCAATCTATCATGCTCCATTGTTTCCCGAGCCCAAAGAATACATCTATCCAGGAATGTTTTTTGAATTGGAACCACCGCTCCCTTGTAGTTGGGATAAAGTAAAGGTTATAGACTCAACGATCATACCAGTAGTTTCTATCAATTCTGATGATCTAGTCTCACATACAAATGCAATTTATTTATATGGACAGCCAAGGAGTGATATTCAATTGAGAGAAGTGAATGAAATAAAAAGTAAATTTTCAGAGCTTACCAAAAATGGTGTTTTTCTTGAATTATTTGATATTGGCTATCTTGAATCATTGACTTCAATGACTAAGGATATAATATTAAAGAAATTGCCATTGGCTGGATTTAATTGGCTGATTCAAACTAAAAATAAGCAAAATTCAGGTATTTCCTCAAAAAGTATATATTGGGATCAGATTTCTAAGACGTTTACAAATGGATTAGATTGGTTCATAGAACATTCAGCGTTAGCATCCGAAAGTACTTTTATAAGTTCAATTAATATTGTTGAAACCATTACTCAAGTGCTTAGCAGAGAATTGAAAGTTATACCAAATTATACAGAATATTTCCAAGACCCGTCAATATTACCCAATATTTTCCTTTCTTTTCCTACTTTGAGCATTTTATCAAGAGGAAATGCCGAAATGAGCAAAAATCTGTATAATTTATGTCTTCAATATCTGTCAGGTGTTTCACCGATTTCAATTATGAATAAAGAATTGTTATCGTTCTATGGAAATTCAGACGGGAAAAATTACTCAGAATATATTTGTAATCAAGTTACGAATATTTGGGAGCCAAATCTTCCATTCCTCCTAAAGCAAATAAGAAAGATCTTTTTGATGGAGTTTATCCGCCGCATTAAGCAAGAGGATGCAAGATCTGGTAATAAATTAATTTGGCCTAGCACCTCTACTAGCTTAATTACAGCTGATTGGCAATTGTTATCCGAGAAATCTGATAATGGTGAACCAATAAAGAGCAATAACTTTGTTGGTTTTTATAATTTTCATTATTTCTGGGACCCAGCATTATTATTGAACGCATTTTATTCAGAATCTGAAGTTTCAAATATTTATTTTGAAGAAGAATTTACAAATAATGTCGTTTTAGAAATGTCACAAACTCCACTTATTGAGCTTGGGTCATGGATTAGCAATGCACATTCTCCGCTTTACTCAAAAAACAAATTGATTACGTATAATACTATTAATCATTTATTGATTTCCCAAATTTCATCTAAAAAGGCAATTGATTTAAAAAAGGTTGAGAGTATTAAGATTAACGAAGATGATATATCTACACTCTATAAATACTGTTTCAATTGGGTTTCACAAACATTAATATTTTCTAAAGAAGAAAAAATAACATTCTGCAATGAATTAGAGAAAAAATATGGAAAAACCATGATCTATATATATTCCCAAAGCCATCAATTTGAAATGATCTTCAATTCATTACAACTTTTGGTTGAAAGGCATCCTATATCAGATTATACAAATCACTTAAATATGGAGAGAAGTATCAAAACTGATATTGAAAAACTGTTTAATGATGCAATATTCAATTCTGAAATACCTCAAACAATAAGAGTCAGAGCACTTAATAACAATATAGATACTTATGTATACATTGATCCTAACATCGCAAATTATTCATTTTTACAATTTGCTCCACTTGAAATGCACAAAGACCTTCAAAACAAAAATTTGTTAATTTACTCTAAGCGATTATTCTTAAATGATTATGTTATAAACCGTGCATTCGAAGAGACGATGAGTTTTCTCCAACTTAAAACTACGGCATTTGTAAAATTAAATATTGATGAAAACACCAGTTTATCAGATTTAGAATCTATGTGTATTCATTGGACTGATCTTCATACAAACGAGATAATTGTACTAAAACCCAATGTAGACAAGTTATTTGAGTACAGTATCCCAGTTGTGGAATATCCGGAAGGTATTATAGGAATAGTAACAATCAATACAATTAATGGAAATAGAAAAGATGTAATTAAGACCATATGTGAAACATTTATTGATTTAATTTCAGTCAACCACCTTCTTTTTTCAAGTGAAAAAAAAAATAATATATACTCCAAATTTATCAATGACATTAGTAAAAACTATAAAACAAATTTGAATGAAAAAATAATTGGATGGCACACTATTTCAGGCATAGTAAGCTCATGGGCTAAAGAATATTCTTTAATTATAGGGCCTCGCATTTTCTCTCATTTGATCACAAAAATATCTGTAAAAAGTTTAAACCAGTTGGAGAAATATTCATTATCAGATTTTTATCACGATACAGGAATAAATCAAATGATGTTTTTCTTCAATTATGAAAGTTTTATTAGGATGATAATAGACTCAGCATATGAAATTGGGTATTTATTAATTACTATAAAAACTCCTGATAAGGATTTGGTTCCGTCAGGAAAACAAAGAATTAAAATTAGTGAAATTGTATTATATTGTGCTGAATTAATTCCAGTATTAATTAGTGAAAATTACATCTCACTTAAGAAAATAGGAAATAGGTTAGACGACAAATCGCAGGCCATAGATATTAAAAAAGTTTCAATAGACACATGTGAACACATGGCTAAAAATAACAAAAGAATGCTCCGAAATTTCGCAGAATCAAAATCAAGTAGGAATCGTGCAATAAAAGATCTGTACAATAGAATACGCTCTATAAACAGAGAAGTTGGATCTACATCATTTGCATTCATATATAAGTAAAAATATTAATGCAATAGGATAACTTTACGTATATTTCAATAGGGCATCTATATATAGAAAAAAAATTTAAATTCACTATAAATAGACAAATCACATTAGAAATAAACATTTTTTTCAAATTACATTTATATCTGAATAATTTTTTAAATGTAGACATGAGATTAGCGCTTAAAATCATGTAAGACATAATCGTTAAACGAGTGCAGACTGTATAACAGATTTACATGAGTAACTACAGAATTTGCATTTTGATTAGTTTTCTTTGTAAAATTACTAGGAAAGCGTGAATAAATATGAGTGCGAAGGACGTTAAGGGATTAACTCGCAAGGCTTCTGGAAAGTTTGTATTTGATTCAAAAACAGCAAAGGGCTCAATAGTATGGTGTGAGTCTGCACCATCGGTCTTAAATGACCCAGATAGTCTTTTTGCAAAATGTATTGTCCAAGTAGGGTCTACTCCAGAAAAACTTCTTTTGAAGGAAGTTGATACTAATACCACTTTTGAAGCGAAGATAGATAGCTGTTATATTGCCAATGAACCTTTTGATCCAAATGCTTATCAAGATATTGGTTTAGTTCCATACACCTCTATTCCTTGTGTATTAGACTTTTTAAAGCAGAGGTACCTCGTAAATCAGATATATACTACTGCAGATCCATTACTCGTTGCAATCAACCCATTTAAAGATGTCGGATTAGTCGGAAATGATACAATAATAAACTACAGAGATACAAATGATATCTCAAAATTACCTCCGCATGTATTTGCCATTGCGAAAAGGGCATTCGACAATATTATGACTGTTTCAAGGTGCCAATCTATTTTGGTTTGTGGTGAATCGGGTGCAGGAAAGACTGAAGCAACCAAGCATGTGATGAAGTTCTTTGCATCTTCAAAAAGTGGAACAATGGACCTGAAAATTCAGAATGCAATTATGGCTGCAAACCCAGTTCTTGAAGCATTTGGAAATGCAAAAACAATTCGTAATAACAATTCATCTAGATTCGGTCGTTTTATGCAACTTCAATTGGGTAAGATGGGAGGTATTGAGTATGGTGTTGTGCGTAACTTTTTGTTGGAGAAGTCACGTGTAATTACACAAGAAAGCCTTGAAAGAAGCTACCACATTTTTTACCAATTAATAAAAGGAGCTGAAACTGTTCCGGGATTAAAAGAGAAGTTAAAGCTGAAGAATTTGAACGAATACAAATTTATTAATCCAGAATGTTTGGATGTAGACACTATCGATGATGTTCAAGATTTCAAGGATGTTATGAAGAGCCTTAAAACAATGGGTCTTTCAGACGTTCAAATTGAGGACATTCTTTCTTTAGTTTCTGGAATTTTATTGCTTGGAAATGTTGAGATTGACCCAGAAGATGTTGGTGGAGGAGTTGAGGGGTCAAAAATTGCAGATTCAAGCAGAGAAACCTTTAATAATGCCATGGATCTCTGTAAACTAGACAAAGAAGCCGTAGAAAAGGAACTTACTGTTAAGATTTCTTATGCTGGTAAGAATGTTATCGAAGGAAGATTCAGACCAGATGAAACAAGAATGCTTAAAGATTCACTAGCAAAAGGATTATACGACAAGTTATTTGACTATATTATTTCGAATCTAAACGAAAACATTAAACCACCATCAGGATTTAAAATATTCTGTGGTATGCTTGACATCTTTGGTTTTGAAGTTTTCAAAAACAACTCTCTGGAGCAACTATTTATTAATGTTACTAATGAGTATTTACAAAAGAACTTCACTGATATTGTCTTTGAAAAGGAGCAAAGTCTTTACAATAGTGAAGGAATCTCAGCGGCCAACTTAGTGTTCAAATCTAACAAAACGGTTCTAGAGGTTTTATGCGATAAAAAAAATTCAATTCTTTCTGCAATGGAAGACCAATGTTTGGTCCCAAATGGAACAGATGAAAAGTTCCTATCTGCAGCATATAATAATTTGAAAAGCAACCCATGTTTAAGACCAGCTAAGATTAGTGGTGATGTAAACTTTATCGTTTCTCATACAATTGGAGATATTCAATACTGCGCATCTGGATTCCTCTTTAAGAACAAGGATGTCCTTAGAGCTGAGCTCGTAGAAGTTGTACAAAAGTCACCAAATAAATTAGTTGCAGATCTTTTCAAGGATGTCTTTGTTGAAAGAGGTAAAATGGCTAAGGGTCAATTAATTGGTTCACAATTTATGAACTCTTTAGGATCGCTTATGTCAATTGTAAATGAAACAGAACCACATTTCATTAGATGTGTCAAACCAAACGAATCAAAGAAACCACTTGATTGGTTGTCATCTAAAGTTTTGATTCAGCTACACTCACTCTCAATCCTAGAAGCTTTGCAGCTCCGTAACTTAGGGTTCTCGTATAGAAGAACATTTTCAGAGTTTATCTTCCAGTTTAAATATTGCGATATGGCAGCTGCAAATGATAAAAAAACCGATCCTAAAGTTCTCGCTGAGAGGATGTTATCTAATACAAATATACCAAGGAATGCATGGGCAATTGGTAAAACCATGGTTTTCTTATCTAAAGATGCTTCAAAAAGAATGGCACAACTTCAACGTGAAAAACTCGCTGCGTTCGAACCGCTTGTACTGTTATTGGAAGCTGTATATTTGAGATACAAGTTGCGCAGAGAATTTAGGAAGAATCAACTTAAACCACTCATGAGAATTCAAGCACAATTAAGAAGAGTGTTAGATGTTGAAGTTTCGGTAATAAATTAATTTTTATTGTAATTACAACGGAATTTATTACAGACCGATTTTCATTTAGCCTGCAAGTTATTATATTTCGAATATAATTGTTTGTCATTTGAACAGAATGTCTTTAAAATGTATTTTCAACCCCCTGTCCAAAATAAAAGTTTTTAAATTTTAATTAGATTTATTTGAACGGCTTTAAACTATAATGGAAAAAAAGTGTAGTTATATAAATTCTAGCTGAATGCGAGAAAAATGATCTGTGAAATAAGTAATATAATTAATCATTGCAATAAATAAATAAATAGTACGAAAAAACAGCTAATTAAAAATATTAAACAAGCAATCTTCGATCTATACCAGTAGTGCATCGGATACTATAAGGATTCAAAAAAATATGTTGTCCATAGTGATTAACTGTTGGGTTAACTAATCTTACTGTTGAGGATGTAATAGCGTTTGCTGCAGAAAATACGTTTATATCAGATGTATTTATTGATCCATAAAATCCCATATCGTTGGAATATAAAGTGTTATTAGGATTAATCACATTTTTGTATTCTGGATGCATGTTAGATACTTGAATCTCTGACAGTTCAATTTGGTGTTGAGACAAATTGCTCGGTTGAATTTCGGTTTTGGAATAGCTAGAGCTATTTAGGTTATTGTTATATGTACATTCAGTGTTATCTGCTTGCCTATTAGCGTATCTGTTATTAAAATGTGTGGGTAAATGTTTCAAGTTTACAGAAAGGTAATCACTTCCTATTTTAGAGCTTTGTGTAGATGGGATTACGTCAACTTCATACGAAAACATATCATCTTTGGTTAAGTCACGTTTTTTATTGGTGTTATCAAATTTCTCCTGAATTTTTCGGTTCAAAGAGCCAGGATTATTAAGAGCATATTGTTGCGAAATCCATTTTTCAGAAAAGACGCTATAGTCGTTTTGTGAGCATTGCGGAAAAGGCGCCAATTCAGAATTAATGCTAATTTCGGATGGTCTTTTAGAACAAAAATCGCAGTTCATAGACAACTCAGTGTTAGAATTAAAGATCGAATTTAACTGACGTGCATACAAACTGCTGGTAGGATGGCCTTGGTTATTCAAAGAGTACTCAGCAATTAACATGGATTGTGTGTCACGATTCTCTGGTTTCTTTACATGTGGAAATGAATTATAAATGGTTGGGTAATTACAGTTGTATGGGGAAGAATTCTGTAAAGGTAATCGTTTCCTTTCCCCAATAAAGTTAAGATCCTTTGACTGGCCATTATTTCCCAAATCATCAGGAGCCTTTTTATTGAACATACTTAGAGGTAAGGAAGGTATTGCTGAATGTGGTATTGCCGATTTTATAATGCAACACTTATGTATTTCATATTCATGTTCAGTTACAAAAAGCTGAAATCTAATAAGTCTCAGAAAATGAATTTCAAGGGAGTTAAGTTCGCGTGTTCCAACACCTGAAATCTTAGCATAAAATGCATTACTATAATAGATGTCATCAAAAAATTTTGTTGCTAGAATAAGTGCTGTAACGATTACTCTGTGCACATTTAATAGAGTAACTGTGAAGTTCCTATTATACTTTATAATTCTTCCGACATAAATGATAGCCAATACAAAACATTCATTGCTACAACCAAAGTTCTGAGCTAGCCTGATTAAATATGATCGAATAGGGATTGGAGGAATGCAAACAGAGTGAAACGGAGTCAAAACCCCTACATTACATGATGAATTCGATGAGTTAGATGTCGCAATTTGAGTTAGAAACGACGAAAGCGCAACGATAAATCCTGGTTCAGTATTTGTCGACTTTATTTCTTTGTTAATTTCATCTGCATTAGAATAACAAATGTTTGAATCCCTTAAATTCTGAATATCATTTGTAGTATCTTGTGAATTGCTGGGTTGGGAAACCGAGGATTGAAAATAATCACAATTGTTTAAATCATTGTTTCTTAATATCGATTTGTATGCGCAAATCTCAGGTTTACGTAAATTTGACAATGAATAATAGGATGAATCAAAATCATCAAGTTGCCCATTAGTCCTACTTGATACAGAGGTACCTGAAGATCCAATTGAACTTAATGGAAAAAGGAAATTATAAGCATATTCGTCTATCATCTTAAGAATCTTTCATCCAACTTTCAGGCCCTTATTGTCACTAGGCTCCAGGTCTCCTATGAGACCGACTCTGGATTCTCATATACGCCCTCTAGGACAAAAGAAAAATGTAATAGGAATTATTAAATGAAAAGGAATAGTTCTACGAAATCTAGTTAACCTCCCAGGAGGATTACTGTTTCTTAACAAATTTCATTTATCTCCCTTACTCTTTTCTAAATTCTACCGCATTTTCGCCAGACCAATACAAATGCATCTCTTATAACGAGTAGTATCAAATAACCTGGAATGTAATAGTTGAATAGAACTTTATACGTATATTATGTCTTCATAGATATATTAATTGAAACAAATTTCACTCTACGACGGTTTGTCAGTCGTGTCTAATGGCGCTAGGATCCATTAATCTTTTTTAAGAGCTGGCGAATGTGACCAAATAAATTCATGCACAACACGGTAGCAATTTAATGATTAAATAGTGTACAAATCATTCTTACTACCACCAACTTGACCGATTTAATCCATAATACGCATTAATTACTTAATTTCCGCTCCTTTTCGATTCTGCCAATAAAAAAACTATAATGTGGGATACTTGGCAATTGTCATAACTAAGTAGTTTGAAGCAATTACTTGTGAACCTGCTCTATGTTTTTCATGGGTATCACATCATTAGTCTCGTTTTCAGAATTATTTAAATCGCCTTGATCGTTAGCCTTCTCCTTTAGTGGACTTGACGATTCAACTTCTGATATTAAATCGTTGAGCATAAATTCAAGTTGATCGATTCGACTACCCATTTCATCAATTCTACTCAATATTGTTTGTGATGCTTTCTTGAAGTGCTCTTGCACATCTTGCATAACGAATTTGAATGACTGAGTAGACTCTTCTGCATTTGAATGAACAGTATTTGTTTGTTGCGAGCTATCGTTTTCTGTGTTAACACTTGTGATTGTATCCATATTTAATAAATATTAATGTGATTTTCAGTAAAGATAGCCTATATTGTGGTGTTGCGCTTTAAAATATGGCGCCTACTCCTATTGTTAAATAACTGTTTCGACTTGAAAAGGAAACAGATTGATGGAGTTTTCATTAGTAGGGTTAGATTTATATATTTCATTTAGTTTTGTATTTGCGGTAGAATCCTTGTCGTCATAGGAATATGAGGCAGTTGTGGAGGTTTGAGCATTTGAAGAATTCTTAGACCCATTCGTTCCTTTTTTATTGCAATTAATGATATAGTCGCAATTAGAATCGTGTTTTCCTTTAATTTCGTTCTTATTAACACTGACTTCCTGTACTTTTCCAACTTCGCATGTATGCTCCATGGAAGATTTGATCCGGATCTTGCTCCCAATTTCTTCCGTTGTTTTTTCGTTTTTCCCAATCGGGTTGTAATTGTTATATATTAAATTTAATTCATCACAGTTTAGTTTGCTGGTCGTTTTGAGATTATTAAATCTTGATATAGTATTTGCAGAATAGGTTTGTATTGCACTAAAGACCGTCTAAAGTTTTAATCAATGATAATATACTACATACCTTATTATTTCAATAGTTGATGTTGCGTTACTAATTAAAGAAGAGTCGTTAACATTACTTTTGCAAATTACATATGCTTCCTTTTTCATTATTCTTAATTCCGACTAAATTTTATCAATAAAAAATAATTCATTATACCAATTTTTTTCTTACCTCAATGATCGGATAATTTAATAATTCCATTACAGTAGGTCTCTGTGAAGAGTCAATAATAAGCATGTCCATTATAACCCTTCTTAAACCCTCAGAGTATGAATTTGAAATCGGCAGAAAGATCCCTGCCCATCAATTAGTTTAAGAATAAAAAATTTGATTTTTAACTTACCATTAGTTATTTTTTCGACCAGCATTTTAAGATTTGGTGCATCGAAAGGAACTTTAAGTGAACACATCTCATATGCAACGCACCTTTATGAATTAAAACTATGCAAAAATGACAGATTTTTCAACATACCCTAAAGCCCAAATATCAGATGACCAAGAATAAGGCTTTGACAAGCATATTTCTGGCGACAGATAATAAGGTGTTCCAATTGTTGTTTTTGCAAATGCACCAGTATTTTCCAGTACCTAGGAAAATTTTAAATTATTTAATAAGTCCAAATCTTAATATTAAAATTCGGCTTACCTTCGCAATTCCAAAATCCCCTATTTTCAAACCGTTATAAGAAATAAATATATTTTGGCTTTTAATATCTCTGTGCAAGATTTTTCTGTTATGAAGATGTGCAAGGCCTAATAAAGCTTGAGTGAGCCACCTAACAATTTGTTTTTCAAGAAAATTTTTTTTCAACTGTTTCTGTGCATTTACTTTACGAAATAAATCACCACCATCTGCATACTCCATAACAATATTTAAAAATCCATCATCGACAAATGATTCTCTAAAGCATACAATATATGGATGCCGAATGCTACTCAAAAGCTTAACTTCGTTAATAGCATCTTTACGTTCATTTGTTGATAACTTTGAAATATTTATTATTTTCATGACATAATCCCTCCCCTTATATATATCCTTAACTAATATTGCTTTCCCATAAGATCCGCTTCCAACCTACTCGATACATTGATTTAAAGATTATTAATTTTGCATTTATTTCGATTACTTACTTCCTTAATTTTCACATATCTTCCTACTCTTTCACCTACTTTAAACTTGGGAAAGTTAATGTTTTTTTCGTTAGGAAGATCATTCTTAAGTACTTTATCATTAGGCATGGCTAAATAGTTTATAGCAATAGCACCTAAGAAAAAAAATCAGCTTGAAAATTCAAGAAAAATAACCCCCTCTCCCCATAATTAGCATTCGTCATAATATGACATGATAGATTTTAACTCGTTTTAGTGTTAAAAGCGCACAAAATTTACATGGAAAAAATCTAAAAATGAGTTCATTACATAGAATAAAATTAACATGAGAATAATAAAAAGTTATATCAGTAATTAAATTTTAATAATATTGATTAAGCTCTAGTCAGTTGAAGAAGTGACTAGAGTTTTTAATTACTTCCCTAAGCTTATTGTGATCAATGTCTTGTTTTAAAAATAAAGTTTTCAAAATATCTGATTTTGCAAGATGCCAATTTCTACTAGGAAAATCGGTTAGCAATAAATCGGAAAGCTCATCAAGTGATGTTATATTTAAAATGTCGCAAATTTCCAAAAGTCTTAGAAACTTATGTCTAATACTTATAGAAAGAAGGGAATTTGTATATGAAAGTAAATTACGAACATCATTTTCAAATACAAGAGCACCATAGATTGTAAATCTTTTCTTTTCTGGGTAGTTAATTACTATGTGTTCGATCTTTTGCACGATCCTTTCAATCATAAGAGAAAGGATGAATTCTGAACTTTGGTTGTTGTAATAATTTTTTAGATGCTCATTTATTACTTTAAGAGAAGATGTCAATGCTGGTACAAATGATTGATTTAGTGAATAATCTTTACTTTCATTTTCAGAAAAATCGAATGATATCTCTTCGTGTAACTGGATTAATATGGGGGAAATGCTGATTTTACTTAGAATTTGTAGCGATATTTTTGAATAATAATCATGAATGACCTTAAATTCAGAAATTATCTGTTCAATAGTTTTATTAATGTATTCAATTGTAGAATTTTTGTCTTCAAGTTCCTCGCTCCTCATTTTAAATTCGGAATCGTCTAGTGGGATATTTCCATCTATACAAATATAGAAATATGTTAAATCATTGTAACTTGATTCAAAGTCTCTAATAATAGTTTCGGAAAGTATTTCCAAGTTTTCTATACAAGCCTGCAAATTATTCAATGAATGAGTCCATGAGTGCATAGAATTTGATAAATTTCGGCAATTTTCATTTTTTTGCTTTATTATTTCTAATAAATGACTTAATGTAAAGTTTGAAATACTTTCATTACTATTACCTAAAGAAACTTCATAATTTGCCCTTGAGTTTTGTAGATTCTGAACTATTTTTTGTTTAATCACATTAAGCAAAATATGATTTAAATGAACAATGATCAATTTTAAAGATTTAATGTTTCCAATTAAAACGCATCTATTTATTGTCTTATGTAACAAAAAAAATACATCCTCCACTAATGTTGAGATCAATGAATCTTTATCTTCCCATGAAACTTCGTCTGTGTTATTAAGCGCATGATTAATAGAATAAATAATGTATCCATATTCGCAAGATACATATTGAATACTCATTTCATCAATCCTGATAAAGAGGTTATTTTTGTTTGGAATCTGTTCGTTTACCATTTTTGCCTTAAGATTCTTAATTTCTTTTGTGCGAGAATTAATACTTATAAATGAGCTGACCAAATCATTCATATAAACCTTAAATTTATAAAATAAATGACAAATTTGTGACATTTCTTCTAAAAACCCATCTAGCTCACGATGAGAAATAGACATCTCAATGATATCAATATTTTCGATATTGGCCCATTTATCGTCCAAATATATTTCGTATTCTTTCTCAAATTTATCTATTATAATTGATCCTTGAGTATTAATTTCCTTCAACAATTCTGTATAAAAATACCAAATCACATAATTCTTATCTAAAGTTTGCTTAGAAACCTGTTCATCTAGGTCTTCGTTATCATCAAGAGTAACAAAAAGTTTCAAAATTTTGTCCTGATGTTCTTTAATACAATTTATTATCGAGACAAATAATCCCGTAAAAATATCTGCATAATTTATTTTTTCGGATGTTTTTTTATAATTTGCCAATGCTTCATTATACATTGATATACATATATCCGTTATATTTCCTCTAATGTATTTAATGTACCTTTCTAGCCCCTCCACTGGCATACCAATAGGCACAAATAATTTCGCGTAATAAATAGCCTTATCCAACTCCCCAGCAGACAACTTTTCTTCGATTAATTCCTGTAGCTGCAAATAGAGTGTTTGCCTTCCATTGTCTAATTCCTCGCAAATTTTCTTTTCAAAACTAACACATGAAGATTTAATTTTTAAATATTTGGAAATACAAGTGGCACAAAACTCGTAATCCTTGCGAGACATCCCCAATGTGAAATCTTTATCACATTTTTTCAGAAAGATAATATTATTAACTATTTGAATTGCATTTTGCAATTTAAGTTTCGTGGACTTCTTTTCCGTAATTGTTGATGGTAAACTCTCGATTTTAGTTGAAAAACATTTTAACCCATTTTCCAGGTTTATCAATACTTCATTTTTCATAGAAAAAAGCTCTTTTTTACAAGCAATTAAGGAATTTTGTATTTCCAATGTGGAAGCATTAAACCCACGTTTAACGTTCGAAAAGTTGTTAGAATTGAGCAAAATTGATGCGTCAACACCACCTTCTTCATATGAAATTAAATTATTCATACCAAAAACATGGATTTCATAGAAAAATATAAATAAATACTGCGATTTTTAATAGCTTTTTATTTTGAACAGTTAAGTGTTTCTACTGAAATAAAATCCCCTCAAATGAAAAAAAAAACATCAATGCTTACTTCACAGCAAAAAAAATTTTTTAATTGGTTTATATCGTTCAAGAATTCAAATAAATGCGACTCCAAATATTTTAATTCACTAAAAAATATTTTCATGCATTTTAATAATTATATCTACAATGACTTAGGTATTCGAACAATTGCTTCAGATTTTGATCTGACTATGATGACAAAACACTCAGGTGGATATATTGATCCACTGGATGATAATGGAATTATATTCTCCAAGAGTTTATCGGAGGAATTCAATATATTTGGATCACAGGCAACAAATGTAAATATTTCAATAAGCGTAGTTACATTTTCTGACCCAATGCTAATCCCTTCAAACCAAAAAGGAAAATTTATTTCTGGAAAAGAAATGATTGAGCATTGTTTGAGAGAAAGTAATGCAGAGTTTAAAGTAAAGAATTATTATTGTTTTTATCCAAAATTATGGCAAAACTATGATCTATATTCCACAATAGGATTGAATTCTCCAATGCCGCCTTTCAAGAAATATCATTTATTACAGGTTGTATCTTCAGATAACCTATTGCCTCATCAGATTCTATTCATAGATGACGATATTAGGAACTGTAAACAAGCGCTGCAAGATGGATTTATTGTTCTACACGTAGGAGGGGATACGGGGTTTTCTTTTAAAAGTATTAGTGTAGATTTTTACAAAAGTTGTTAGATCTTAAATGTTATCGTTCACTTTTAATCATTTGTCTGTAATATTAACTAATAATAAAGTAAAAGATTTTTTTTAAATTCCGAAATTAATATAATTATATACCTTTCTAAGTACTTTACGGCACAAATCATACTAACTTGAATGCAATTTTTATCAAATAACATATTAACAAGATCCTTTAGAATTATAGCCTTATCATCATGAAATTTAGGACTAATTAATATTCGAGTTCTTTTCTCGGCTAATAGAAAGGAAAAAAGCATATTGGAATGGTTAATATCCCTTTTTTATATATTTTTCAAAAATTGCTTGTCAGAATTCACTAAAGATATAGTTTGCGGAATCCAAAATATTACCCATGAGACGAAATGCAAGCCCAAAATCTAATCCCAAGAAATATGTATAAGTTATCATTTTCATGCTTAAGTTATCTCCATATTTAATAAATAATTCGGAGCATGCAATTCTCCCAAATAAAAAGATATGCAGTCTTTTAGTAAGATTTTAATAAATATCTTGAAAAATAGACATTGAAAAGATTTTTTCTCTCTTTATAGCTTTTAAAACTTTCTATTAAATTTCCTAAATCCACTTAGTTACGAAAATTCGCTCTTAACTTGATTCTCTACTATTATGGATATAAATTTCATTACGTTAATGTTTTCTAAGAAAGAGATTGAAATACTTTGAAAACAATCTATTAGTATGGTTTTTTATTACCGAAAATTTTTTATCAGCTTCTTTCCTTCTCCTTATTTCCGAACAATCAATAATATTTTCCTGAAGAAATGATACTGTGTGAATTAATTGTATTGAGTGAATAAGCATAAGATGGTTCGAATTGATTGTGTTAAAAAATGAATAACCATCGTGAATTTAGTTAATCTTTCTAAAGAATATAGGCATTATTTTCTGATTCTTTTTCCTTCCAAATAAAATATACTTGTAATTTCCTTCATTTCATTTTGGGCAAACTCTAAAAGTTAAGATTTGGCAAGATCTTTATTTATTGTTCAAATTAATTATGAATTCTGATTGTCTTTTCAACAATATAACGACTAATATAATCTATAAGACGCTGAATTGAATTTTTAATATTTTACCCCATTTTCGATTACTCAGTTAATTTTCTTCCTTAGGAATAATGCATTTGATGGGTTGTTTCTATGTATATATTTAATTGAAGGATATTACAAATTCTTTATTGGAGAAAAGTCTCAATCAGAATAGAATTGTCATCTAAATCAACAAAAAATTGCTTCCTTAGTTGATTGTTGGTAATCGTTATTTATCTCTTGAAAAAATTAAAGTTCTTTTTTACTCAATAGCTCTTAGTACATTTATACGTGTTTTGCTGCTGTCTCTCGTATAATAAGGTTAATGAGATCATTGAAGATCATAATAAGCATTATAACTTGAAAAATAACATATCTTGTTTGATCAATTTATCAAATACATAAATAGTAGTGATCATAGATGGTTTTAAAAATTTTGAATAGCTTAAAGCAATAATTATTGTAGAGAGGTGCCAAGAGCCTTAGAATACATTAGAGTTCCATTCACAAGTTATTAATATTAATCAATTTTCCAAGCATCACATTTTAGCAAAAATATCAATATTGAAAACAATTGAAATAAAAAAAAATTGGCGCTATTTATTAAAGTCATTGCGCATTGGATGACAAACGAAGTAATTGGGAATAAAACCTATAACTAAAGTTCAGAATTTAATAACGTATTTTACTGTTGTGGAGTTACTGGAAACAAAGTTTTACATGATATTGATATGCAAAATAGATTTGAAATGGCTCCAGAACAAAAAAATGATGAAATTCAACAGGAGGATTCTTGGGCATTAATTGGTACGTATTTCCGTGATAGAGGATTAGTAAACCAACAGTTAGAAAGCTTTAATGACTTTATTATGTACAAGCTACAGGAAATAGTTGATGAACATCCACCAATAATTATTACTCCTCAATCACAATATAGACCTGATGAACAGATAGATACAAAAGTACGATATGTCCTTAAATTTGGTCAGCTTTCTCTAAGTAGGCCATCAGTCGAGGAGAGGGAAGGAGTAGCCAGGGGTTTGTGGCCAAATGAGGCACGTCTTAGAAATCTGACATATTCTAGCCCTGTATTTGTTGATGCAGAACAGAAAGTTTACAGAGTTGAAGACGATGGCTCTGAGACTTTAGTTCATGAGACGGTTTACTCCAGGCTACCACTTGCAAAAATACCAATAATGCTTCGTTCAGAATACTGTTGGACACATAACATTAGTGAGCGAGAGCTTCAGAGTGCGGGAGAATGTGTATATGATCAAGGTGGATATTTTATCATTAATGGAATGGAGAAAGTATTAGTGGGACAAGAAAGAATGGCAAATAATTTTGTGTATTTATTTCAAAAAAATCAACCTTCAAAATATACATGGATTGCCGAAATAAGAAGCAATAGGGAGGGCATGCAAGCTACTTCGGGATTTTCTGTGAAACTTAGAGGATCAGATGGAAACCAGGGCCAGATTGTTGCAACTTTACCATATATCAGAACAGATATTCCAATCGCAATATTGTTTAGAGCTCTTGGGGTTTTATCAGATAAGGATATTCTTTCCAGGTGTGTTTATGATTTTAATGATACTCAAATGCTCGCGTTATTAAGGCCTTCACTAGAAGAGACTTTTGAATTCTTTAGCCAAGATGTTTGTTTAGATTTTATTGGTAAGAGAGGACCTACCGTTGGGGCTGCTAGAGAGAAACGTATCCAATATGCGAAAGAACTTTTTGAAAAAGAGCTTCTTCCTCATGTTGGTGTAACAAGTGGTAGTGAATCACGTAAGGCATATTTCATCGGGTATATGGTTCACAAGCTATGTTTGGGAGCACTTGGGCGTGTCCCAGAGGATGACCGTGATCATTTTGGAAAAAAACGTTTAGATTTGGCAGGGCCATTGGTTGCTGCATCTTTTGGGCAATGTTTTAGGAAAATGATGAAAGATGTTCGTAGACTTCTTCAAAGGAACATTGATAATGGAAAAGAGTTTGATGTCGCAGGGGTAATCCGTTCTGCATCATATATTACACAAACCATTCAGTATCAATTCGCAACTGGAAATTGGGGAAAGGATAAGGATGGAAAAATCATCAGAACGGGGGTTTCTCAAGTATTAAGTCGCCTTACTTTTACATCTGCACTTTCTTATTTAAGACGTTTGAACACGCCATTGGGACGCGAAGGAAAGTTCGCAAAACCTCGGCAACTTCACAATACCCATTGGGGTATGATTTGCCCTGCAGAAACTCCAGAGGGGCATTCAGTAGGGCTTGTAAAGAATTTGGCACTAATGTGCGAAATTTCAGTTGGATATAGGCCTTATGCAATCAGAACATTCTTAGATGAGTGGGGTATGGACTCTATTGATGAAATTCCCCCTGAGGGAATAAAAAGAAAAATTAAGGTATTTTTAAATGGGAATTGGGTAGGCTGTTTCGATGACTCCGAAGATTCTATTTCAAATTTAAGAATGATTAGAAGAAGTGGCGAAATACCATATGAAACTTCTATTGTACTAGATGTTGTTAACAGAGAGGTTAAGCTGTTTACAGATTCAGGGCGTTCGATGCGTCCTTTATATATTGTCGGCGAAGACGGAGATCTAAAAATAAAAAAGTCTCATATTAATTCATTACTAAACGAGAATTCAGGGTTTGATGAGAAGATGGAGGATGAAAAACATGACTATACATGGGATGACCTCGTAAATACAGGGATTATTGAATACATAGACTGTGAGGAAGAAGAAACGTCAATGATTGCGATGTTTATTAACGATTTAAGAATTGATAGAGGTTATTGCAGTACATATACTCACTGCGAAATTCACCCATCACTAATTTTGGGGGTCTGTGCAAGTATCATTCCTTTCCCAGATCATAATCAAAGTCCGAGAAATGTTTACCAAAGTGCTATGGGTAAGCAAGCTATGGGAGTTTATACGAGTAATTACAATGTAAGAATGGATACTTTGGGTTATGTTCTTTACTATCCACAAAAACCTTTAGTTACAACACGTGCTATGACATACATGAGATTCCGTGAGTTACCTGCTGGAATTAATTGTATTGTTGGGATTATGTGTTATTCGGGATACAATCAAGAAGATAGTTTAATAATGAATCAATCTTCTATAGACAGAGGACTATTTAGATCTGTATTTTTTAGAACATATGTTTCAGAAGAGAAACAAGTTGGAAGCAACTTAATTGAAGCGTTTGAACTTCCAAACCCCGAAGAAGTAAGTGGTTTGAGATTTGGCAATTATGGAAATTTGGATCTTGATGGTTTAATTGAACCAGGAAATCGAGTTTTAGGTGATGATATTATTATTGGAAAAGTAGGGCCCATAAACCCAGAGGACCGTGACACTCGTATTCAAAAACTTACAAAAAGAGATTGTTCAGTTGGAATTCGAACATCCGAACATGGCGTTGTGGACGAAGTTTTATTAAGCACAAATAGCAAGGGAGTTAAATTTACAAAAGTTAAAGTTAGGACAATTAGAATACCTCACGTCGGAGATAAATTTGCATCTAGACATGGCCAAAAGGGTACAATTGGTATAACATACAGAACTGAGGATATGCCTTTTACTCAAGATGGGATTATTCCGGATATTATTATGAATCCTCATGCTATTCCTTCACGTATGACGATTGGCCATTTAATTGAATGTCTTCTTGGTAAAGCATGTGCAATTCAAGGATTGGAAGGTGATGCGACTCCTTTTACAAAAATTACAGTTGAAGAGATATCTAACCGTTTGCATAGTTCTGGATTTCAAAAAAATGGAAATGAAGTAATGTACAATGGCCACACGGGAAAGAGATTAGAGTCGAGAATATTTATTGGACCAACTTATTATCAGAGATTAAAACATATGGTTGATGACAAAATTCATGCTAGAGCTAGAGGAGCTGTAACAATGTTAACGAGACAACCAAGAGAAGGAAGGGCAAGAGAAGGTGGACTTAGGTTTGGAGAAATGGAGCGTGATTGTATGATATCTCATGGTTCAGCAAAAATGTTGAAAGAAAGACTTTTTGATCAGTGCGATGCTTATAGAGTACATATTTGTGAAATGTGTGGTCTTATTTGCATTGCAGATCTGGGGAAGCAACATTTTGAATGCAATGCGTGCAACAACAAGTCCCAAATTAGCCAGATTTGCCTCCCTTATGCATGTAAACTACTACTTCAAGAGTTAATGGCGATGTCAATTTATCCTCGTTTACACTTACAAACTGCATAATTAGAACAATGCAAATTGGATTCCTTCATTTATTTATACAAATTTTTTATTTTGAGCGATCTATTTAATATTAAATTTAATATTATGCAAATTTCTAGAAATAATATTATTATATATTAAAATTCATTTATATTACATTTCACATATTTAGTAAATACTTGTTCTTAAAACAAAGATAATTTTAAAAATTTTACCGATTTAGTTATTTTATTTATTCTTTTAAACGAATTTCAATAGAATGATTATCGCTTTGATTTATTGTGATATTAGTTTGACTAAATTATTTTTTGGAAAAGTAAACATAATTTAATTTGGTAAAATAAAGGAAAAATATGCAAAATTTTTTGAGACCGCAAAAACATTATCTATCTGCTACTTTAATGACACAAAAAATTAAACACTATGGAGTAATAAGTGATAACATTCTTCCAAATGTTGATTTTCATAACTTACCCTTAAAAAAGGGAAAGTTGGTAACATCGGATATTCGAGAATGCTCAGATGATTATATTTGCCAACTCTATATGTTTTTAAAAAATGTTGGAATAAGAATTACAGAATCATTTTTATATGGAATAAGTGGTCCAAACAGGAAAACACTAAGGATTCCATTTTGTAATGGAGTAAAAGCTAGCTCATTCAACTATTTTTTTTTTAATAGCCCAAATTTAGAGATTGTTGATTTAAGTAACTGTTATCAGGTAAATAATAGAGTAATCAAATGCATTATTTCAAATTGCAAAAAGTTAAAAGAACTGAATATTTGTGGATGCAAATTAGTAACTGACTCTGCTTTTAACACAGAGTTATTTTCGCCGATTGGATCTTGTATGACTAATTTGAGGGTATTAAATTTTGAAGGTTGTTCTCAAATAATTGATTTACAAAGCATTATTAAACGAACAAGGGATTTAGAGGTATTGAATATTTCTCATTGTAGGAATATAACCATTTCAACACTTGAAGATGTAATTCAATGTTGTACAAATTTAAAGGAGCTAGATATTTCATCATGTGATGGGATTAGTGATAATTACTACCAATTTAATTGTATTACGAGCACGAATATTGAGAAAATATCAATGTCAAGGTCAAATTTATCAAGCTCTACGCTCGATAAGGTTATTTCATCTATGGAGAATCTCAAATTTCTCAACTTAAATTATAGTGTTAATGTGAATGATGAAATATTTATTAAGATATCATCAAAACTTGTGAAATTGGTTAATTTATCTTTAAAGAGCTGTGCAAATATTTCTGATAAATCTTTTTATTATTTAGGAGAAAATTTGAAAGAACTTGAACATTTGGACATCTCATGGTGCCCAACATTAACATCCAGATCGCTTAAATATCTTGCATTGAGATATTCTAAAAATAATGTAAAAAAATTAAAAACTCTCAAATTAAGTCAAAATACAAACTTGGGGAATTTTTTTGAAACAGATGATCATTTTACTGAGATGCTTGACGTTTACAAAAAAAAAATTCCCAAATTAAATTTAGATAATCAATTTAATTCTTCATCTGATGAATTAAGTTTGATTCCAAAATCGAATAATACTCAGTCACAGCAAAATTGCTTCTATGAATCTCGAACAAATATTTTACAAGATGAAATACTAGAAGAATGTATAACAAAATTGATAGATCATGCAAATATTAAAACTAAACTTGTTGGGGGTGGACTTACTCCTTTGTCTATGTGCTTATTAATCAAATACAATTCTGAAACTCTAGTTGATCTTGAATTGGAAGGACTAAAGAATGTTACTACGAGCGATGTTTTGGAACATATTGGAATGCTCTGTGCAAATCTTAAGAATTTGAGTATCAGCATTTTTGAAAATGATGATTTTTGTATTAGTTCCTTTGATAAAATTTGCAAAAATTGTATTAATCTAAATTCTCTTTCATTAGACATTTCAAATATTGAGTCGGAATATCACCATTCATCAATAATTTATTGTATTTCAAATGAAGATTCACTATTAAAAGTAAAAGAACTAAGTATTATAATGAATCCTAAAATTGGCATTTCAGACGAAAACTTAGATTCACTTTTTTCATCATGCAAATTTCAACTTTCGAAATTAAAAATTAGAAATTTCAGGGGGTTTTCAAAAAAATATATAATAGAAAACAATTCAAAATTTCAAAGTTTTTTTTCTAATATAATAGAAATCAGTTTATCAGAAAATGATTATGCAAATGATGATGACATCATTTTCTTATTGAAATTGGTTAGGGCCCCAAGCTATGTTGAGTTAATCAACTTCAATAATACTTCAATTGATTTGCCCAAGTATATTTGGGAAAATTTCCAAAGTATTAAACGACTAAATGTATTCAATAACAAAACTAAGGTATTACTAGAAAGATTCAATTAGATTTTAATATTTTTCAAAGAATATATTTTCCATTTATATAACCCATTTTCATTTGATACATTCTTTATAATCACGTGTTTTTTATCTCTACAATCTATTTTGCCGAAAAACTAAGGAAGAATAAATTTAAAATAAATGATTTGAAATACTTACCTCTTCTCCATTCAAATAATCGTAGAATTTATTTTTTTCCTTTTTTTTGGTATTGAAAAAAAACCTGTTCTGAATAGAAAATTTATCCGTTAATATGTTTGAAACGTAATTTAGCCTCTTCTTTTTGTCAGAAAATTTTTTTTTTAAATTTAATTTATATTCAATATTTCTAATTGCATTAAGTTGCCTTTCTGCTGAAATTTCATTTTTATCTAAGTTTGTATTATCAATATTTTCCGATGATATGCTACATTTATCGAATAACTTTAATTCTTTTTGAATCGTAAAAGGAAGTAATAACGCTGCTTTGCTGATATTATCTAATGATTGAGTGTGCTTTGGTAAGAATACACTTTCCAAATTGTTTATTGCTGATACTGCATTGAATTCTACACTCAGCAAGTTCAATTCATTAATATTTACCATTAATTAAAAAAATATTATGTAATTTGTTCAGGCGCATAATTTTCTATTTGGTGTAAATTATTAACATTCTCATTTTCACATTTAACACTTCGTTTAAATAAATAAAAACATAGATATATATATTTAAATTTATAGGTGAATATCTTTTATTAGGAGTTATAAATAAAGATAATGCATTAAAAAAAAACAAAACTATTTGTAATAAGACAACAGACAAAAGCACAATAACACTTATATTTTAGCTTTCTTCCATTGTTTTGCTGCATCAATTAGTGACGATGGTGCTTGATCATCTTTATTTGTTGATGGAGTTTTTAGTTCATTATTTTTATCTATAGAAGTCAATTGGGTAAAGTCATAATTTTCTTCTTTAAAAACATATGTTTTTTTTTTTAAATTAATATCTACTACAGTTCTTGGAAGCAATTTATTAACAATTTCTACCCAAAACTTACTTTCACAATCTAAATTTTTTAAAGCAAGGCTCTCTTCAAGAGCAAGCCAATACTTAAGTAAAATTGATCTTTGGTAGTCCATTTGTCTATCCTTATATTTATTTAATATTCCTAAAATAAATTTCCGGTTTAGTTCGTTGTCATGTAATTTTGAGATAATGAATGTAGAATAATTGATTATAACTTGTATATGCTGAGTCTTTTCTAATAAGCGTTTATAAATATTATCTGCAGATTCAATATTTTTTTCATTAATCATTATTTCGATATAGTATTGCCAAACAATTTCCGGAGAGTCCAGTTCCGGCATGGAAATTGCAGCTTCTGCAATACTAATAACTCTTTTTATCTCATGAAGATTATATTCAAACCGCATATATTTAATCCATGCATCAGTAGAAATGGGATCATATTCTATGTATTTAGTAAATAAAACTCTACAGCGATCAAAGTTTCCCAATTTAAATTCGATATCAATATAATGATCAAACAGCTTCGTACATGGGGTTCTACCTAATCCAATACCTAATATTTTTCTTGCCGTATTCAAGTTACCATTACGTAATTGATGATTTGAAAAGTATATAAATATTTTAGACAGTATACTGTTCTGTTCAATACCTGTAGTGCTAATTAATTCAGAAGATTTGATTCCCGATTCATTACCGTTTACTTCAGAAATTTGGTTATTTTTAATTAAGTGAATGAAATAATTATACATTTTGTTAATGTTTGAACTATTAATCTCTTGATTAATCTCAAAAAAATATGTGAATAATAAACAAGAATATAAATATTTTTCCCAGTTTAGAATATCATTGATATTATAATTAAAAATAACATTTTCATATTCTTGTAACACTGAATCTAATTCCAAGTATTGAATAATAAACATTGTGTAGTCAAATAGTAAGTCGAAGTCTTGCGGGTTAAGAAATAATCTATTACGATAATACTGTAATTTATGATTTATCCACTCTGTATTCTCAGGTCTTTCATCGATTCCAATTTTAAACAACTGAAAAAGCTTGTCTTTAACGCTTTGGATACATTGTTCATCTTTTAATATTTTGATTCCTTCATTACAAAGTTTGATAGCTTCATCAATTTTCTTCTCTTTGATGAATATATCTGAAATATATGAAAAAAACAGATGAGTAATTTTTGTACCTTTTATTTCATTCAGAAAATCAATTAACATATTAATAATTTGTTCTGCCGACAGAAGATTATTGTACTTCTGTTCAAACTTAATATATAGGAAAAAGTTTCTCTCATCTGGATATGAAAACACGAGTTCTTTCATTATTTGTCTAGCTGATTCGATTTCTCCACATTCCTCTTCAAATTTAGAATATTGAATATAAACACTAGGAGCCGGTTTCCAGATAATCCATTTTTTATAAATATGTCTCACATTAATGTAATTTTTAAGAATAAGCTCCATCTGAATATACTTGATCCAGAATTCATCAATTCTAGGTAGCAGGTGAGTTACTCGCTCAAATAGATTCCTGGCATTGTTGATATTGCCGTTTGTAATTTCAAGTTTAATATATTCTCTCCAAATTCGTGCGTTTTCATAATTTACGAGAATTCCTCTCTCAAAAATGGATCTAGAATTAGGTATATTATTTTGTAGTGATTCCCATTTAGCATAAGAAAGATACAAACTAATTTTCCATCGTTTTCTTCTAATACTGTCCTCAAATTCCTTCCTCTTCCTAATTCTATAGTCTTCTAGCTCGTCAATATCTCTAAAATCAAATGAGTTGTACAGTCTAGATAAGCTGTTATTTCCTCCTATATTGTTTGCAGATCCAGAATATGTCTCTTTTAGAATTTGTTCAACGGTTATCTGAATAGGTGCAAATGACTTATTTTTGACATTATTTTCCTGTTCATTTGGGAATTTTGACAATCCGGAAGTCCTATGGTAAGTAGAAACGTAATTCTTGATATTTTGATCAATCTCCTTCATTCTGTTAGAATTCGGGAATTGTTTAAAAATTTATTCTCTATTTTCGTCAAATATTAACATTTATGCAGGAGAATATAGTATTTTTTTTGTGCCGCAATAATGTGTATTGAGTGTGGGGGTTAACCATGCTAGCAAAAATCAATAACGTATAAGTGGAAAAGCAGAATAAGTTGAAGGTAGTAAAATCAAAATTTATTTGTAAACCACAAATGGAGGATGAGTTGTTGTCCATTCTAAATTACTTAGATAAATGGCAGTTATATGATAATGTTAGGTTTTGGGCCGAAGTGATTGACAAATTATTAGAAAGTAAAGAAGCAAGAATTCAAATATCTAGATTTCTTGTAAAAGATTTGAATTTACAGGAAGCTTTTAATTATTTGAGGTCAGAAGGTGACAAAACAAAATCAAGATTGGGTTCCAATGAGGATTTAATAGATGGTGAAGTAAATTCATATGGTGATTATTTGACGATTAAATGCTGTTATTTAATGGGAAGGCTCGATGAGGCAGAACGCATGATTCTTAAGATTTGCTCAAAACCACTAACCGAACTTGCCGATAATTGCTTAATTTCACCGTCAGTTTCGCCAAAATCCTGGAAAGGTACGCCTGTTACAAATGAGAAAAAAAAATCATTGTCTTCTATCTTTTCAACAATTTGCATGAATCCCACAATGTTGATAAAATATATTCATACTGGAGAATTAAAGATTCCTGGAGATTCCGCAGGGCTATATTTGTGGGGAAACATTCTTGAGGAACTCGATGCAAAGGTTTCTGCATTATATTGTTATGCGATTGCACTTGATTGGAACCCAGTTCTGTGGAAGTCTTTTCAAAGATTAGCAAGCTTATCATGCCAATATCCTCATGAACTAGTTAAAATATGTTGTTGCTTGAATAATTGGGGTGAAAAGCATTTAGAATACGTGGGTACAAACAGCGATGCTTTGGTAATATCAACAGTATACAAGAATGAAGCTGAATGTTGGCAAATAAAAAACATTCAAGATGGAAATCTTCTGATATCTATATCAGATAAGTCAGATTCAGAAGAGTTATATGTACTGAATGTCTCTGATTTCTTTTATAATGTTGGCGATGCTCTTCAGAAAAGACATAAACTAAGATATCAGGCGTTCACTAAGTGGCTTGAAAATTCTGGAATAGATTCTTACTCTGGCCCAAAATGGCCTTATCATGAACTTGAAAATGAGAATACTGCCAGTTATAAATATAAATCTAATTTTAGTAATATTAATAATAAAAATTCCATTATTAACATTGAGAATGCAGACGAAAACGTTAAACTTTACGATTCACGTTTTCATTCACTAATTTCAATGATCCAGTTATTGTCAAAACTCACACATCAAATGGAATGGTATCTTTGCCATAATTTTCTTAAAACTATTGATAATATTCCAGATAATATTTCAGAAATGGGATATGTGAGGGAGTTACATGTAAAGGCACTTTTTGAATCAAATCAGTGGCAAGAGTGTATAAACATTTGCAAATGTATAGACTATGAAACCAATTATAATCTGTGGATTAAGTGCCTCGATATTTATAGTTCATGTTTATGGCAACTATCTAGGAGCATTGATTTAATCAATCTATCAAACTTAATTTTGAAAATTGTTGAGAAAAATATCCCTCAACTTTGGATTGTGGTCGGAAATTGCTTTTCTTTACATAAAGAATATGAAAGTTCAATTAAGTGCTTTAAAAGAGCGATCCAGTATGATAATCGATATGTTTATGCTTACACATTGATTGGGCACGAACTTTCAATTATTGAGAAATACGACGAAGCAATTCAAATGTACCAAAAGGCCTTAAAAATTGATCCAAGATGTCATAGAGCTCATTGGGGAATTGGCTATGTATGGTTTAAAAGAGAGGAGTATTACCAGGCAAAGAATCACTTCAATATGGCACTTAAGGTTGTTCCCAATAATTCTACACTAATACATTACCTTGGTCTTTGTTATCTAACAACTCACGATTTTCTCTCTGCCTACAATACTTTTCAAAAAGGAATTCTTAAGGACCAAAGGAATCCGTGGTTAAAGTACCATGCTGGCATTGTTTTGTTGGAACTAGAAAGATATGAAGAAGCGTTGACGATGTTGACAGCCGCTCATCGCCTTGCGTCGAACGAACCAAACATTCATCTGTATTTAGGGAAGACTTTTTCGCAATTGGGCAGGAAGGATAAAGCATTAAGACATTTAAACATTGCATTTGACCTAACTAAAGATATAAATGAGAAACAGATAATACTGAATCTGATGAAGGAACTTGAGAATAACTCGGATACAGAGGGAAGGTATTGTAAATCTAACGAAATAAGGAGCGGAAGAATCTTGAATAGTGGAACGGGATATTCATCTGGGGGCAAACTGCTTTCCTCCTTTAGGAATCACCACTACTTCCCTATCAGAAACGACCCGCCAAACCCATTCATTCATCATCAGATTCAGCAGGAACATAGCCTACCCCAAACCGTCCCTTCCCCCGTAATTTCAGGTAGTCACTCTTTATTGTTAACATTAATGCCTGGTAACAACTAGACTCAAACGATTAGAAGTGATTTGGAACAATTAGGAGCCTAAGAGCTAAGTTATTTGAGACTTTCCGATTAGCTAGAGTTCATCGTGATTTTTTCCGCTCTTCTCGTCTTCCTCATCGTTGAACCCCTCTTCTTGTTGATCAGAGCCTGTTGTGTCTTCTTCATTCACTTCTTCAGGTAGTTCAACAGAACTAATAATATCTTTCTCGTCTATTCCTGAGCTCTGCAATATGACTTTGAACATTCCGGACGCAAATTCGCTGGGATTCTCTAGGTCAAATCCGGAAGCGATTGTGGAGAGCTGAATAATTTTAAGGGCGAGTGCTTTAGCTTCAGCATTACTTTTCGAGACAACTAAGTCATTAAGTTTCTTGATCAAAGCATGATTAGGATTAATTTCCATATGTTTGTTCTTATAATCTGCTTTATTTGAAAATGTTTGGGCTTTCTGGATCTTTTGCATGTATGCAGATTGTCCCCATGGGCCAGAAGTAATTACGGCTGGATCACTTACTAAACGCTTAGAAACTTCTACTTTCAAAAATTCACCTGGGAACTCATCCTTTACGAACTTAAGTAATGGCTCGTAAAACTTTGTCAATCTTTTGTGCATATTTTTTTCTTCCTCAGTTTCTTCGAACGGACGAGTATCGCCTTTTTCAATGCTTGTAAACTTAAATCCTTCCAATTCTGGAATTCTGGAAATGCATGGCTCATCAACGCCTTCAGTTAAGAACAATACCTCAATATCGTGCTTTAGATAAAGAGAAACCAATGGATTTTTTAAAAGCGCCGATGGGGATTCACCTGATATATAAAAGATATTCTTTTGTTCAGGCTTCATTCCCTCTATATACTTAGATAAAAACACAGTGTTGTCTCCACTCTTTGAGGTGTGGAACTTGAGAAGTTTCACAATCTTAGAACGATTTGAATCATCTTCATAGCAACCAAGTTTTAAATTTTTGTGGAACATGTCATAAAACTTATCATACGCTTTCAGAGCAGAATCCTTATTTTTCTCCTCATCAGGTTTATTTGCTTCCTCTTTCTCCGCATTGAGTTGTTCTGTTTGAATTTGTTTTATCATTTCAAGAACCTTCCTAACGATTTTCTTACTAATTACCTTGATTATCCTACTTTGCTGGACATGCTCTCTTGCCACATTCAAACTAATGTCGTCACTATCAACAACACCCTTAATAAAATTCAAATATTTTGGGAGCAGGTCTTCAATCTTATCAGTAATTAGAACTCTTCGAACATAAAACTTTATATTTCCGCTCTTCCCCATATAAGTATCAAACATATCAAATGGAGGATGGGAGGGAATGAACAACAGTGACTTGAACTCTATTTCACCCTCAGCAGAAAAGTGGAGATATCTAAGCGGTTCAGAGTAGTCATGGGTAATACTTTTGTAGAACCCGTTGTACTCTTCCTTAGTAATCTCCTCTCTAGGCCTCAACCATATCGCCTTTTCAACATTAACCTGTTCCCATCTGCCCTTAGATTCACTCTTCTCTCCGGATTCATCCTTTTCTGACTTATTTGATCCCTCAGGATTATAAATATAAATTGGGAAGTTGATAAACTGTGAATATTTAAGAGCCAAGTCTTTCAATTTAGAAAAATTCATGAATTCAGTAGCATCTTCCTTTAGTGAAAGGATTATCGTGGTTCCTCTTTTAATTGTATTTCCCCTTGGGTCTAGGCTAACTCTAAATGAACCATCGGCACTTGATTCCCAAACATATTGTTCATCTTCATTGTTTTTTGAAATTACAGTCACACGATCAGAAACAAGATAAGATGCATAAAAACCAACGCCAAATTGGCCAATCAAATTTAAGTCTCCACCTTTAGCTAATGACTCGAGGAAATTTGCAGTACCAGACTTAGCAACTGTACCAAGGTTTGTGACTAAATCATGACGTGTCATACCGATACCAGTATCAGAAATAGTTATAGTACGTTTGTCATTGTTAAATGACACACGAATTTCGAGTTCTTGTTGTTCACCTAAAAATGAATCATCCGTAACAGAAATGAATCTGGCCTTCTCCAGTGCATCTGCAGAATTAGAAAGTAGTTCTCTAAGAAAAACATCTTTCTGAGAGTAAAGCGAATTAATAATAATATCTAAAAGTCTTGATACCTCAGTTTGGAACTCGTAGCTCTCGCTTGTTTTTTGAATAGTAACCTCATCATCGCTAGTCAACTCTGGCAAGGGAGCTGGTGTGTCTTTGTCAACAACAGGTTCTGAATCACCAAATGAAGCACCATCACCTCCAATAGAAGATAAATCAATATTTGTCAAGTCTCCAAGTTGTGATTCATCGAATGTAGCCCCGGAAGGGATACCAGTAGTTTCACTGCCGAAGCATAAGTTGATAATCAAGCAGGATAATACGAGTAGATGCAGTAAATAACTCATACTATTACACAAATATAACTTACTCAGTGGAATGACAACCCACCGTAAAGTAAATTGAACTGTCGGGGGGAGGGGCGCGTATGAGCTGGAGTACGGCGTCTCCTTAATTTCCCACATCGTCTCAAGAAAGCAAATTGAAATTATATCGATCATAAGTAAATCGGGATAATATAAATAGTTTAAAAACAGATATATTCACTTAACTAAAATACTAATCTAGATTTTTGCCTATTCAACTTCGCCTAAATAGTCTTTGATTTCTCGTGGTGTTAGAATAGTAAAGTTTTTATCTTCTCCAATTATACCTACTTCAATGTTATCTTCATTCATTGCTCCTTCGAAACACTCTTTTAATGTGAGGAGGGCAGTGTGTAATGCATCCTCGATTTCCATGTCGGGGTTGTATCTTTTTTCTAAAAAGGACTTTGCATTCTGCATGTCCTTCCCAACTGCAGATGCCTTCCAGCCAAAATAAGCACCAGAGGGATCTATTTGAAATAGCTGAGGGCCTCTCATTGAATCGAACCCTGCCACTAACAATGAAACTCCAAATGGCCTTACACCACCTGATTGAGTAAATTCCTGCATTACAGTTGCAATTTCTCGAACTAGTTCACAAACTGGAATCTGCTCACGATACGTATTGTAATAAACTTGAGCAATTTTTCTACTTTTCTTCAGAATCACTCTGAAATCAGCAGGCATTCCTGCAAAGCAGCAGCCTATCTCACTAGTAATTAATTCGACTTTTCTAATTGAGTGTTCTTCAACCAACGGGCTTGCAACTTTTTTTTCAGCAGCGATAATAACTCCATTTCTTGCTTTAATTCCCAGTGCAGGTCGTCCCTGAGAATTGACTGCGTTTAAGGCATATTCTATCTGAACAAGCTTTCCAGAAGGGCTGAATGTTGTTAGTGAAAAAGAGTAATCGGAGTCCATAGCAATAGATAAATCTAATTGGGGGATTTTTATTCCAAACTTTTATCATTTGTGAGGGGAGTAATATGGCGGTTCATTGACTGTGCTAAGATTAATTACTTCCGATAAAATAAACCTAATTTTGCGTTTTTGTTGAAAAACCGTGAATTTCTTCAATTTAACCGAATAAGATATTGAAAATTTTCTGTTTGTAATTATTGAAATAATCTGAAAGTTATCTCTCCATTTTATACGAGATAACTATTGCCGCTGAAATTTTTTTATTAAGTTCTGAGTCAATAAAGCGATTTATAGATTCAAAAAATAATAATTTTTTTCCTCCATATGGACTATTCTGGAAATTTGAACGGTTATATCAACCAGGTCAGTACTACTGATGGCTTGCCGACAAGCACTGTCGGAAATGCTGACTATACGTTTGAAATGCTTACTACAGAAACGGATTCTGTACATTCTAATCAATATAATGCTGATATAAGAAATAATTCACTGCCATATGTGGGAATGCTTGGCTACTCATCAGCTAAAGGTACTTTGAAGCAGGTTGCTGTCAGAATTTGTACTCTATTAAAGGTATGGAGAATTTCCACGCAAACCGACATCGCCGACAATCTAATAATAGAATGCCTGGGTCCTATTGACTCTATACGTGCAGCAAATGATCCTATATACCAAAAAAACCGTGAATCAAGCGAAAAAAGTATTAGAAGGCGAGTTTACGACGCTATTAATGTCTTAATTTCTGCGAAAATTTTAGATAAAAGTAATAAAAATATAATATGGAAAGGTATTTCTAGTATTAATCATATTTTGTGTTCTGATAATGCTCAGCCATGTGATAATCTCCCATTAATTCAACAAAATATTCGCGAAAAACTGGTCGAATATGAGAGGTTACAATATTTGTACCTTTCTTTGAAAACAATAATAGAACACAACGCAAGCACAAAGTCTATGAATAATGAGCAGAAATCGCTTTTACCATGTTCCCTTGTAATAGCTAATTCGAAGGATTCTAATATTTCCTGTATCTATAGGAATAACAAATCTGAAGTTGCAATTCAAGTAAACAGTATCGTAGACTTCTTAGACCAATATGAAATTATTAATAGAGTAGCAGCGTGTATAAGAATGACAACAGTAGATACTAGCCAGCTCGTTTAATTGTTAATTTATATTCAAATTTATCCCACAGATTTTCCGCTAAATCTATTTTTGTCCCCCATTATTATTGAAATAAGATATTGATATTTAGAACGAATTAAATGAACGGATTTTTCAGGTGCTTTAGAAAAGAAGGGATAGTTGCGAGTAATTCAAAGGATTCAAACAAAATTTTTACTAGCGATGAAGCTAGTACCAATTTTCCAAATAAATGCGATTCTAAATGTGATTACTCTTGGTACCCACCTATCTCACAAGGAAAATTGATCGATTTAGTCAGATGTACTGTTCCCCAGCTTTCATCTGATCTTAGAAAAGGGCATCTTGGGAGAATTGGTATAATTGGAGGTTCGAAAGAATACACTGGTGCTCCATATTTTGCAGGAATTTCATCATTAAAAGTAGGAGCGGATCTATGCCATATTTTCTGTACCCCAGAAGCTGCAACTCCAATAAAGACATATTCACCGGAATTAATTGTCCATCCTCTACTTCCTTCATCTGAGGAAATAAGCACAGAAGAAGCATCTAAAAAATCGATAGATTTAATTAGGCCTTGGCTGGAGAAAATGGACGTAATTGTTATTGGGTGTGGCCTAGGAAGAGAAAAGGGGGTTGTATTCATTACAGCAGAGTTGATAAAAATATGTAGATGCCTCTTTATTCCCATTATTGTGGATGCTGATGGATTGTTTGTAGTTGCCCAGCAGCCGGAATTAATATTGGGCTATAAACATTGTATTTTAACTCCAAATTTGGCAGAGTTCTATAGATTGGAAAAATCAGTTAAAAATAAAGAATCAGATGGTAAAAATGAGCACTCCTCAAGTAAGCATTGCAATAAAAAATTAAGTTCAAATACAGAACCTAAAAAAGTACCATTAAGCCATATAGAAATTCAGAATCATGTAAGTAAGATAAACTTAAGCAATGATTGCTCAATAAATATTCCTATGGTTCTTCCTTTAGGAATTAACGAAGAGAGGTTTCCAGAGTCTTTATCTCCATGCGAACGAATTCCCAAAACTGAATGGCCGTCAACTAATGAAGACACAGTGCTTCAACTACATGATGATGGCGAGGAGATTAATTTATTTCATCAAACAGACTTATTAGACAAACAAAATGTTAAGCTAAATGATACTTCAAAATTATCTTCGAATCCTTTGAATATGTGTTTTTACGAGCATATTCTAAATGAAAATTGTATTAGAGCAAATAAATCTAATAAAAAATTGGATTCAAATACTTCAATTGATTCGCAGCTTACAATAAATGAAAAGGAATTTTTGTGTATCACAAATAGGGTATTTGAACTTTCAAAGAGTTTGGGAAATATTTGTATTGTATTAAAAGATAAAATTGATATAATAACAAATGGTGATATTGTTGCTGTTTGTAATATTGCTGGATCATTTAAAAGGTCTGCAGGGCAGGGAGATATTCTTTCAGGTGTTATTGCGGCTTTATTTAATTGGAACATTAAGTACCTTACAAAAAATAGAGAAAGTGAACATAATTTTCACTATCCCGAAGTAAGTTCAGCATATGGGTCATGCCTAATTGTGAGGCTTTCTGCATATATTGCTTTTAAAAAAAAATTCAGAAGTATGCTTGCATCTGATTTAATTGAAAATATACCTTACGTATTTGAGTCTATCTTTGAAGTTAATAAACATGATTTAAAAGAAGAGGCAAGTCTATTGCTTCTTTTTAATGAGCCTCAATCGCCAACAAATGATGAATAGATTACATTTCCATCTATCAGGTCTTGATAATTAATTATTTGATTTAAAATAAAAAAAAAAATATTTCTATAAATGCTGGTTTGTTTGTCGCACTTTTGACCACATGAATTTTCCGTCTAAATTTGAACTAAAAATAATAAATTAATCAGAAAATGAATACACAGAATAAGTCTAAATTTATTCGGATTATTGGCGATAAAAGATCTATCAACGAATCTCAAATTAAATCGGTAGCTATAAATGCCTTATTATCAGAAAATAGTTTTTTAATTTGCGGGTTAAATGGAAATGCATGCGAAAATTTCCTTTATGGCAAGAAGTTCACGGAAATTCCTCCGGAAGATGTAGAAACCAAGAAAAATGATTATGAGAAGTGCTTATTTGAGGAGTTAGTCAACAATCTATTTACGCAGACAAAACTCATTAAGCAATATTTTGAAAAATATAAATCTAATGAGATTTATTTTAACAAAATTAAGTGTTCTTTCGTTCTAATTAGTGATAAAACTGAAGATCCTAACTCTGGGTGTATATATGATGTGTTTCAAGGACTAAGTAATCCAGTTGATGTTATTTCGGACAATGGAGTTAAGAGTTTGAATGTACTGGAAGTGGATGCAAATGATCCAATTCAGCTTTTAAATATGATTAATGTTGCAAGAAAACTTCAATTTGAAAATTTAGTTACTAGAAAAGAGTTATTTCACACATTATTTATCTTTGATATTGAGTCTGCAATTTATGACAAAAATATTGTGGATTTCTATATGTTTGATAAATTGTATAAACATAATAAAATATATGTATTAGATTACCAATGCAACTTCATTGAATCAAATACATTCGTCCCTTCAAAATTTACAAAATTAGAAGATATCAACGATTCAGCCATTTATTTTTTCAGAAATTTAATTTCAATAATCGCCAAAACATCTAGCTATTTACTGGAAATTCTTTCCAAAGCTATTTTCGGCAATAATTATTCATCTGTAATTTATGTTCAATGCAATGGATTAAATTTGTTTATTGATAAGTGTAACATGGAGCCTACATCACTTTTAAATTCAAATATTAATCCTTGGAATAAATACAATAATTACTCCAGTTATTCAAGTGACAGTAAATTACTACCATTGATCAAAAAATTTCATAACTATTGCTTATTTTTCAGAAATAGCTTTTTATCGTTAAAAAGCGAAGAAAGCTACGAAAAAATGAGTTTTCAAGATAATAATGTAGCACAAGCTTTTGAGGACTTGAAACTGGTTTTATTTAACTTATGTGGAAAAATAATAAAACATGAAGATTTATTATTCAATATTGAACATATTGGGGATATAACGAGACTAATAGATAATAATGATTCATATATTGATAGAGCCCCTATACACTTTAGTATAATTAATCAATGTTTAAATGATTGGTATGAGGAGTCAGAAAGAAATAAAAAACTAACTATTTTGGGTTTTAAGAATATCTCTCAGGACGAGTATTTGGATGAAAACGATACTTTTTGCACAGACTTTACACCTGGATACATAAACAAACTACATCAATTCAGTTATATCGATGATAATAATTCTAATACATTTAATTATAACCTGGACTTTGGACAAGAATTAACAAGTTACAGAAAAAAAAATCAATCATACAATTTGAATAAGTCGGTTATTGGAATTAATAATGAACACTTAAGAGTCAATAATAAATCTAATGCTTATAAATTAAATAGTTTTGGTGAAAAACATACTAGAAGTTACTTAAGTATTCCAAACTATTTTAAGTTCAAGCACTCTGAAACTCCCATTTCCAAAATTCTTCTTGCAGTAAATACTGCAAGAAGACGTGTAAGAGAATATAGGCATAAGCAACAAGCACATAAAGATTTAACAGGTGAATTCAACCACGATACAATTAAATCTCCAGAATCAAATTTTTTAAAAGACAAATTTTGGAATAAAACTTTGTCTAAACGTCCAATTTTCTCATATAATAAAAACATTGAAATTGGAACTAATCGTTTTAATGCATATTCTGTACAGGATAAAATAGAAATACATGACGAACCATTTGATTCCAAAAAAGATGCTGAGGTTCAAGTCAATAATATAAACTTTGAGGGACAATCCGAATACTTTTGCGTTACAAACGATAAAGTCTACAAAAGTAATATGAATAAAATAGATACTACGCATAATGATTCTATTGAAATCTCAAAAAATTGCGCAGAGAAGAAGCAAACCATTGGTTTGAAATTGTCAAATGAAGGAGTTGGTATTAATAATAACTTATTTAAAAATTCGATCGGCTACGTTCCTATAAGCAATTTCAGTTTTAATTATCAAAAGCCCATAATATACCAGGGCGAAAACTGTTCCCCAATGTTTCCGGTGCAGAATATTAATATTACAGCTTTTTCAGGGAGAAATGGCTGTTTCTATCATAGAGTCAAGTAGCATTAACATTTACATCCATTTTTTCCATTTCTAATTTAACTTTTTTAATAATTTCATTAGAAATATGTGGTGGCTTCCTATAGGCACTTATTGAAAGCTGTGAATCATCAACAACTCTTGACCTACATTGAAATAGTTCATCATCTGTACAAATAATAGAAGAGATAATGCTATAATATTCTGGGCTTTTAAATTTTGATTCCTCGAAAGATGAGCACATTTTATTGAACCTCCCTCTAGATTCCACTAGATCCAAAAATGCAAGTCTAAATGATTCTCTGACATCATTATATCTAAACGCTCCCCTTCCCATGTCATTATGTGGTGGTAAGGGAGATTCCAGAAACAAGGTTGACTCCGACTTTGTTGTTTGTCTATTAAAATACTCACCTCTTCCTTTCAAACGAATTCCCGTACTATTATAATTAAATACAATACCGAACAATTCCAAAAAATCAAATAGTAAATGCCCTAGCGTAGTTGACTTATAGAGAGTATGTGAGTAAGATGATGAGTGCTGCTGTAAAAATGACAAAACTAAACAAAATTGAGAATAAGATCCAAGGCCGCCAAGGTAAGTCTCATCTAGACCTCTCTGTCTTAAAAATAACTTTATAACAATTAACAATGGTCTCAATGTGCTAAATTTTCGAAGGCATTCTGAAATATGTTTAGTTGTGTCTATTGAACTTTCCTGATTCAGAGATATATCAACAGAAATGCATGCCTCTGAATCCACATACTTAATGATAGGGACTTTTGCTGTCAGAATAAGTTCGATTCCTGTGCAAAGCCTCCATTCCTTCAATATGCTTGCAAATTCTCGAAGTCTTCTTTTTGGGTCACCTGGCACATTTAAAATACAGACATCTAAATCCCCGGTTGGTAATGAAAGGCCTGTATAATAACTTCCAAAAGGTTGTACTTTTGATCCTGGCCATAATGAGTGTGAAATTAATGTTATTCTTGCAAGTGCCCTAGTTCTTAAGATATGCTCAGAGTTAGTAAGTTCTAACCACTTAACTAGCTGCACTATTTCATTGTTTAAGTGAATAAAGAATAAGTCAACTCCAGAAGACTTATACAAATACCTAGGAATTTTTTCCCATGGCAACTTCATTATTTTATTTAGGTCTTGCACATCATTGTCATTAACTCCAAGAAAACCAAACCTCCGAGATTCTATTTTTTCACCATTGGAATTCAATTTATTTCTAGAAAACTGCTCGTTATTTGTATTTCTTTTGCGTTTTAGAGATGAGATGTTAATAAATTCAGATGTCTCTACCATTTTTGATGTGTCTGGTTTATTTCTTGATTGAATTGCAAACCTAAGCTTATTATTCAGCACCACAGAACGTTTTACATTTTCCTCTTCCTCAAGAAGATACGCATCTGGCCCATCTAACTTAATATTTAGAGTGTCAGACATCAATCTATTCTTTGGTCTTTGTATTAATAATTTTTTGCTAATTAAAAGATTCTAAAAATAATTGGCGGTAGCTTTTTTTATATTAATTTCAAAAAAAATGTATTATGAAAAATAATTATGACAGTACTAATAAGTCGTATCAAAGTTCATTGAAAAACGATGGGCTAAACGCGAAACATTCTAACATGAACAGTAATTCATCATTTGCCTGCGAAGAACTTAATGATTTAAATTATAAACTCGACGAAGAATGTGGTTGGTATGTTGGCGATAATTCCGTATGGCTTTATAGCCAAGATAATGATGTCTACTATAGTAGCTCATTATCAAGATTATTTAGACTTGACCAGGAGAAATTTAAATTGATTGAAATGAGTACGAACTCTGAGCTTAAAGAAGTCTCAAACAAAGAAATTAGTGTTGCTAATTTAGATGATAAAGATGAATTTACACTATTTTTGGAAAGGGAGATTCATGCAGGAACTAGTGTAATTCCAAGTCCAATCAAGAATTTGGAATTGTGTGAAGATAGATATATTACAAAGAAGCAATTTTTCTTTAATTCAAAATTTCAAAGCCCAATTACACTTTTTTTTAGTGCACTTTTTGATGGCCATGCTGGCATTAATTGTGTTGAATATGTCCATAAAAGACTTTTAACAAATATTTGTGCCGTTTTTTCTCAGCATATGGGGCGATTCAGTGATAAAGAATCATCTTATCGGGGTAAAAATTGTATTTATGAAACGGATAGCACTCAAATTTTTTCTTCGCATGTAGTCGAATCTTTGTGTAAAGGAATTACCAAAGGCTTTGAAATAACTAACAATAATTTTCTTTCAATTGCAAGGAAAAATGAAGTATTTGATGGCACAACTGCGCTAGTGTGTATAATTTTTGGGCCGGATCCTATTGATGACAAATTAAAACTTGTTATTGGTAATTGTGGAGATTCAAAACTTATTCTTGGATACAGAAGTGAAAATAACTCAATTTCAGCAAAAAGATTGACAAGAATTCATAGACTCAGCGATATTAATGAACGAACAAGAATCGAGAAGGCAGGAGGAAAAGTTGAATTTTGTAATGGCGCATGGAGAGTTCTGGTAAAGAAACAGCAAAGGTATAGCTTTGATATTAGTGCTAAATGTATTGGGTTGTGTACATCCAGAAGCATTGGAGACATATATATGAAGGAACCTCAATTATTATGTATTTCAGATCCCGAAATTACAGTTCACGAAATTGACTTCGACAACGATTTATTTCTAATATTAGCAACTGACGGAATTACCGATTTTTTTAGTGACGAAGAATTAGTAGGGATTATTAAAAAAAACTTAAGATCCTCTCCGATTGAAGCTGCCGGCGAGCTTACAAAAGAGGCTGAGAAAAAAGGTAGCCTAGACGATAAGACAGCGACAGTAATTTATTTCCAATGGTCTATATCCAAACTATTGAACAATTGAATGGCTTATCTAGTTGAAATTATTGTGATCAATTTGAGAATTTAATCTAGAGTGAAAATGCATGTGTATAAAATTATAATTTCCACTACCCTTGCAATGCTTCCACTGTGTCAGAAAGTCTTATTATGACTTCTGAATGTAAATGGTCAAGCAGGTTTAAAGTCTCCTGCAAATTTAAGCATATATTGCAACGTAATTCCCATTCCATTTCTATTAACTTGAGTAGTTTTTCGTTGTTAGAAAGCTTACTTGTTTTATTCGCTGTTGAACAAATGCTCTGTATAATCTTCCTTTTTTCTCTTATACTTGCGGCGTCCTTAAGGACATTATCGACACTTGCACATAGCGATAAGTATCCGTTTTTCAACTTTAAGTCTTCTTTATTACCTGAGTTATACTGTTTTTGCAAGTATTTGGCTTCTTTCTCAGTATCATTGTTTGCTTTATTAGTTTGAAAGGAGATTGCTAAATTATTAATATTTGTCCGATTATTTGATTCAGAACTAAACCCTTGTAGTTCTTTTGAATATCCGTGTGATAGTGTAGATGGAACTGGTGGTGTGAGCCCTAACAATGCACAGTCTAATCTTCTCAAAGTGTCAGCGTCGAATATTTCACGGATTTTCCAAATATTATAACACCTCCTTGCCTTAGCCATATACTCTGTATGATATAAGTTAATCTGGTTGAAAATATTGAATAGAGCTTCAGACGTATAATGTGCTTGAGACTTACATTTTTGAGCAAAATCATTTAATATGTAGACAAGTGGTATTAAATGCTCAGGTGGTGCTCTGCTACTGTACTCTTCAACAACTCTCATATAAAGTTGTAAAATTACAGTATTTTCTTTGATACAAATGATAGATTCAGACAATGCACAAATTACATCTTGTTGGGTGTTTATAGTCTGTAGCTTTTGAGCAAACAAATGTAACTGTGATTCAAATTCTTCAGTATTAAATCCATTATAAGTAAAGAAGGGCATGATTTTTGAAATGATATTTTATTGGCGCAATATAATTATTAAATTCTAATTCTAGTAATTTCTCTTTTTTAGAATAAATTAATTTAGCTCGATAAAATAAAATATCATTTATTTATTATCTCAAATGCAAGATTAAATTTAAATATTTTTTCATCTCATTTATGTTAGCCATCAGGTACTTTAACTTAAAAAATAATTAATCTAGTTAAAAATAATCTAATTTTTCTTTACACAGAACATTTATTAAACCAATGAAATGTCCTTAAATAAATTCATTCAGATTACACAAATATATTTGCTTTAATAAAAGGTATTTTTTAGTTACATTTAAATGATTTAAGTCAAATCAAAATTTTTAAACCCTATGGAACATATTCGAATTCTGAAAAACATGAATTCATAACTAATTTGTTTTGATATAATTTTTCCATTACCTGAAATAGGTTCAAAGAAATGAAGTGGAGTTAACTGTAAAAGGAAAATTATCAGATTATAGTCATGTTTCCATTTGAATAAACCGGTTATTAATCTTGTATTTTTTTTTATAAATTATTTAAAGAATATTTTGCAAATCGGCTAGATACTAGAATACAAGGCATTATATGAAATATCAATCAAGTTCCAAATAGAAATAGCCTTTAATAATGATCCATATAACTATAATAAAATTATTTGATAAAACGTAATTATCATTTATATTATGAAAGCTTAATGCCATAATTATCTCCCTGTCCAATTTATTTGATGGCCAACAAATTGTCGAAAATCAATATTTTGTGATTATTCAATTACATAATAACACTATTAACAAAAATAATTCATTTTTCTGAAAAATCAGATTTATTAGTATTTGACGTATAAGTAGGGATATTCTCTTTTTAATATTTTTAGAAATAGTTATTATAAAATATCTCTCATTAATAAATAATTAAAACATACTATGATAGTAATATGTATTAAGCGGAGAGATTAACCTCACCCCTCAAGGCAGTTAAATATGCCAATTAGAATTTTTCCTGAAATATTTAACATTGGGTTAAATTTAAGTGAAGATGATTTAAATAATTATGATAATAGTTATTTTGAGCCCGGATTCAAAAAAGTTAGTGACTCGAAAAAATTAAAAAGAGCTTTGAATGATCTTAAAGATATTGGCTATGACTTTGTTTGCGTCCCCGTTAGCCAAAATTCCGAAAGCAAAAATAACATTACTAATGGCTTTAATTTAGAACTAAAATTTCTAGAACATTATGAAATAGGGGGAAGCGATTGGAATGCAGGAATAATTGGCAAGTTCCCTACAGACGGGCACTTGAATTTAAATGAGGCGAAAAAATTACTAAATTGGTGTGATTATGTTGGCTATCATGCAGTTATAATTTCAATTGAACAACTTTCCATCCATTTTTTATCTGTTATTTCTTCCTTTATTGGACTGATTTCTACTAGAATTCAAATTTGGATTGAAGTGATTATAAACAATGGCAATTCAATTGATAAACAATGGAATGAATGGCAAGTTGCAAATACAATAATAAGCTCTTCAGCCAATGCAAAAATTGGGCTTGTACTAAAAATTGATAGCAGTTCATATAGAAACATTAAAGCAGATGATTATTCGCGTTTTTTTGGCGAGCCTGTCAAATGTTTATTCATAAACTCGGATTTTTTCGAATCAAGCCACTCAAATATATTAATTTCAGAATTACTCATGGGGTCTATGAGAGCAAAAATACCTGTTTCAATTTATTTAAATGAAAACGAAAATTCTAATATTGAATTAATAATAAAGAAATCATTCAAAAATATTATTAATTTCATAAAAAGTTTTCCTCCATTATCTGACCAGCAAAAATATGAGTATAATTACATTGATATTCTTCAAACACCTCTTCAACCACTATGGAATGATCTAAAAAGCATTGAATATGAGGTTTTTGAAAAAGATAGTATGAAGTATGAAAAATATTTTCATGCAGTTAAATTGTTTCTGTCTGAACATCCGTTAGCATTAGAAGAAATAAAAGTTTTGATAGTTGGTTCAGGGAGGGGAGGGCTGATCCAAAGTGTACTTAACGCATTTAATTGTTTATGTAATGATTCATTTAAAATTTTATGCGTGGAAAAAAATAGGAATGCAGTTGTAACTTTGAGAGCAAAGATAAACTATGAAGAAAATGCTAATTGGAAAAAAGTAGAAGTCATTAATTCAGACATTAGGGAAATAGAGTTGAGTGAGAAATATGATTTAATTGTTTCTGAACTAATGGGTTCTTTCGGAGATAATGAACTTTCTCCAGAATGCCTAATTTATGCTCAAAAATTTATGAAACCTAACGGAAAAATGATTCCTCAGCGCTATACATCGTATTTAGAACCTATTTCCTGTAGAAAAGTTTGGAATAATGCAGTTTCGTATTCAAAATCAAAGAATTTGGAAATTCCATTTGTTTCTAGATTAAGATCACATTATAAAATATCAACAGAAGGGCCTAAAAAAGTATTTTCGTTTAATCACCCTGCTGAATTTATTCAGGAAGAGAAAGATAACACTATTTTTGCTTCTATTGACTTTACATCAAAAGCTGACTCTGTTTTACATGGCTTTCTAGGCTATTTCGAATGTAATCTTTATAATGAAATTGGATTTTCGACTTTACCTTCTGATTTTACTATTGGTCTTATTAGTTGGTTCGATTTTTTTATCCCTATTAGTAGCCCTATATTGCTAAGAAAATTTGACAATATTACATTTAACATCTGGAGGAAATCAAACAAAGAAAAGGTATGGTATGAATGGCTTGTTACAAAGCCAACAACAAGCTTTATACACAATTTAAATGGAAGAATGTATAGTATACATTTATAGGAAAAAAATTTAAAATGCGTGTGATAAATAACTAGATCATGAAATAAAATGATGAGATTTAAATCGTTTGTTCAATGATTCATGTTTATTGGATTTATTCTTCAATTTTTCTTTTTTAAAAAGTGACTCATCCTTGATATTGTCTTTTAATTTCGTATATTCTTTTTTTGAACCTGAGACTGATTCGTTTCTTTTTCTTAATTTCCTCTTAATGGAATTTCGATCAGATTTCTTTTCTGAACGTGTCATTTCAGATCTTACCAAAAGTTTTCCTTTAGACTTTAATTCTTGTGGGGCCAGCCTTGTATTATCTGAAATAATTACCGGAATTGCATCTTCAGTCTTAAGTGCAGGAGCATTTTCATTCGAAATAATACTTTTAAGAATTGGTAAATTGGTAGCATAATATTGATTTGAAAGGTTATCTAATTTACACATTATTTCAGTAAAAAGGTCCGAAAGTTGTTTTTTTTCATCAGAGTATTCTTCATTTATATTACCAATAATTTGTTCTTCATATTTTTTTGAGTAAATCTCCGCTAAGCTTAATTTAGACTTCTCAACCTGTATATCTCCACCTTCATTTTTATTTTCGACATCAAGTGTCCTTAGTAATTCAATTTTCGGTTCAACATCATCAAACAAATTATTTAATATTCTCTGTCTAATGATGTTCTCCAAATATGGATTAATTTCTTCTTTACTGGGTTTTTCACTTAAAATATTACTCTCATTCAATTCATCAATGCGTGTGATTGAATTATTAGTACTCGAAAACTGAGGTACCTCTAAATGAATGTTTAACAAACTATTTTTTTCTCTGTCTGTGATTGAACTTTCACCTAACTTATACCATTCTTTTTCTTTAATAATATTTGCTTCCAACTCATCTATTATTGCATCAATTTTGTTTTTTTCTTGACTCAATTTAGATATATTTTCTAACTTTGGGTCAGAATATTGGACATTTTTTATAGAGTTTTCATTGACTTCATTTTTATCCGAGATAGTTCCGGTTTCAGATAAACTGAAATGATCAAATTCGTAGTCCTCTGGGGAAGTTTCTAAGACAGATTTATCACTCTTTTTAAGAAAAAAATCGTCATATTTTAATTTAGAAGCGTCATCAACTGCACTGAAATCGCTGAAGTCAGAAATATCGCTTTCATTGTAATCAAAATTTGGATTTTTAACTCCTTGATCAACAAATTTGGCCATTTCATCGTAATCGAAAAAATCAACATTTTCGTTGTCTTGAATTGAAGAATGATCATTAACTAAAAATTTCTCACAACTTTCTATTTCATTTATATATTTTTCTGAATTTTTCTTAATAAATTCTTCTTCATTACTCTCAGTTGGAAAAGCTTGGTTTAAAGTTTTATTGAAGCAAGAATTACTATTCAAGTTACAAAGTTCAAAATCAACATTTTGTTTGGTAATATTTTCAACTTTCAAGCTAAGTTTTTTCAGTTCTGGCTTAAGAATTAATTCGAACGAGTTCCAGAGTGAAGAGTTATCAATTTCAAATTTTTTTATCAAGTCATCTACCACTGTTCTTCTATCTAAATCTTTAATGATTGCTTTGAAAATAGAAAAAAGTATTTTTTTCATGTTATCACTTTCATGTCTAAATTTTTGTAGATTCACAGAACCTTTCTCAAAAAACTTCAAAAAAACATTAATTTCCTCCATGATTAGAAAAATCTAATACCTGTAATTTTTTGACCTGTAGTTCACGTTAAATCTACCCTTTTATACAACAAACATAGCGCCAAAAGTGTTGTAATTATTAGATAAAATGTCGAAAAAAAAGAAATCTGATGTAAAGTTAAAGAAAGCAGAGGAGAAGAAGGAAAAACAACTTTCAAAGTCACAAAACAGATATTTGAAAGAGCTAAAACGAGAAGGCGTTGAGGAAATTCTTAAAACAGTGGAAAATTTTGACTTAAATTCTAGAAGTGATGATCTTGAGATTCAATGTAGTATTATTCAATCTGAAAGGCCAACTCCAAGAATCTCTTCTTCATACAATATACATCCGATATCTGGCGAATTAATTATTTTTGGTGGAGAATATTACGATGGTAAGGAGGCAAAATGCTTTCATGACCTCTATAAGTGGAATATTGATAAAAATGAATGGAAACAAGTAGTAATCAGTAATAACAAACTATCAAGCAATTACTCAGGTGGCCCTAAACCTAGATGTTCCCACCAGGCAGTTATTTTTAATGAGTGCTTGTATATTCATGGCGGAGAATATTCTACTGAAAACCAGTTCTACCACTTCAGAGATTTATGGCGACTTAATTTGAAAAACTATACATGGCAGGAAATAAAAACTACAGGGCTTAGTCCTACTCCAAGGAGTGGGCATAGAATGGTAGTTTGGAGACATTTCTTTGTGGTTTTTGGAGGTTTCCATGATACTGTAAGAGAAACACGATACTTTAACGATATCCATATACTTGATACAAAAACGTTACATTGGGTCAGAATTGATTCATCTAAATATGAATCTTGTCCATCACCAAGGAGTGGAGTTCAAATGGTTCTCTGCTCAAATAGCGATCGTATTTTTATTTATGGTGGATATTCAAAAATTAGGGACAACTCGAAGAATTCAGTTGGAAAAACACACTCTGATTGTTGGTTTCTAGATATGAAACCATTTTTAAGTGAAGGTAAACTTCCAACTTGGGAAAGGGTTTCCAAAAAAGGTACTCCACCATCTGCAAGATCTGGTTCTACAATTATTGGATATAAAAATCAGTGTATAATTTTTGGTGGTGTATTTGATCAGGATGATGAGCTCGGGCTAAATCTTAATTCTACCTTTTACAATGATTTATATATATTTGAAATAAATAATAGAAGGTGGTATGAAATTGAGCTTTCCAATAGTAAAACTAAACTAGAATCTCATGGCGATAATCAATCTAAAATGAATGATTCGAATTTATTCGAAGATGTTGAGTCACCTAAAAAAGATGAGCTCTGTAATATAAATCATTTGGATAATTTTGATTTATCTGAAAAACTATCGAACACTAAAAACAAGTTATCAAAAGTTATTACAGAACAAAGCTCGTCTAATAGCATTATATCCAATGATAATAAGTTAATAGATACAAAAGTGAATTATTTTGGAAAATATTCTGAAATTATTTTAATTGACTCACCGCTTCCAAGAATTAATTGCGGAATGTTTTTAAGAGGAAATTTTGTTTATATTTATGGTGGATTATTTGAGTCGGGGAAAAAAACCATTACTTTAGATGATTGTTGGTGTTTTAACATTTTGAAGAAAGATGAGTGGGTATGTGTACTTCCATTAAGTATGAAATCTCAAGAATGGGCTGATTCTGACTCCAATACAGAGAGTGATTTATCTTCTGAATGCCCTAGCTCATCGACAGAAAATTACTATTTAGGAGAAGAAAGTGATATTAGTGAATTCGAACATGAGTTAAATGAAACTGAGCAAAGTGAACTCTCTAAAAAGGCTGTTGAAGAAGTTATCAAAAAATATCATTTGGATGATTCAAACAAAACTCCATTTCTTGGTGAATCAATGCGTGATTTTTTCATGCGTACAAAAGCATATTGGGTGAACTTAGTTATGAGCGAAGAAACTGGAGTGATAATGAGTGAGAAAGATGTATCAAGGAATGCGTTTGGGCTAGCACAAGAAAGAGTTGAAAAAATAAAAACTTACATGAATTTAGTCGGTAAATTTGAAGATAACCAGACTAAATGCGAAAATTAGTTCAGACTTTTTTTATTATTTATTTTTAATTTTGTGAATAAATATGTTTGTATTTGGAAAAATTGTTATATTCTTGGTTTAATTGTAATAAGTCTTGTATCCAACATGTATTTTTTGTGGTATTATCGTCTGTATCCTCGGTTTCAGGAATTTCTATAGATAAATCAGTCATGTTTAACAAACAATTTTATTAGAACTTACGAAGAGAGCAGTCAGGTAAGCTATATCCAATTAAACACTCACAATATATTTGGTTATTAATTCCGTTTCCACCAATATTTTCAATCGTACATTTTGACCCATTTTTACAATAAGCCATCACAAATGAATTTGTTGTGACTTCTTCACAGGACTGTGCTGCAAGAGATCCAAGTATTAAATGTGCTGTTAAGAGTGAAAATAGCCTTATTTTCATAATTTCACATGTAATGAATTTTAATTATACCGCGTATTCAGATTTTTAAAACAAGTTAATATTTTCATTTTGCTCATCTGCAATGTTAGATTAAGCCTGAGATACGCAAATTCCAATGCAAGATTTTACAGATTTACATAGCTATTCTTCCATTCAACATTCAACTGAGTGGGGTGTACTGGATAGCTCAATTGAAGAAATAATACACATTATTTGTATTATGTCAAAACTTTTTAAGTCTCAACTTTATTCATACTCTTGGTATTGCTATAACCACCTTATTATTACTCTAGATAAATTTATCGAAAATAGTGAGAAAAACACCAAATATGGTCATTATGAAGATGAAGGTTTGACGAATATGAGTGAAAAAAGGAAGAACCTAGCAAAACAGCTCAATGAATTTGATAATCTTTCAGAAAAAGTTCAGCATTTGCGCTTTCAAGATGCGAGGCAATCTCATTGGGGTGGCAACAAATTTTCAAAACACTTACATTGGCTAGGTGAAATGGCGGAAACTAAAAACCAAAATAAGGACTGGATAAAGGCAAACTATATTGGTTGTCTTTCTTGGTCTGAAAGATTATTAAATAGAATGGAAAAATCGATTATGGTTGTTCCTGATGTAAACCAGTGTGTTGGACATGCATTTGCCTTTGCATTTCTACAGCAAGTTGTAGTGGAGCCCTCTGTACAATATGAATCCAAACTACAAAACCTTTTGGAGAGAATAAAAAACACCTATACAGTTGAAACCAAGTTTGGACAAGCAGTTGGATACAAATTCCAAATTTTTCAAAAATCAAGTGATAATAAAGAGAAACTAAACTCTTTAAAGGCAATCAGAAGGTTATTACCGACTATCGGTGAATATATTATTAAATTAACTCGGTTGCAAAGAATGGGTACAATATGGTGTAACTCTATCCTATCAATCTCAGTTGGAAACACTAGAAAGTTCCTGAACGGATTGCTACCATTAATAAATAATTTGATTAATAGTCTCTCAAATAAACTATTTGCTTTAGGGCAATTTACTGAATTAAAAGAAGGCAATGAAATTCTGAGTATTTTTGGAGAGTACGTTAAAGGCAAAATTATACATTCTAACTTTTTAAATATTTTTGGGGACCTTTATGAGCTACTTAATGCATCTTGGAGAATTGTTACAATTACTTCCATTTTAGTTCCTTCTTCGAAAGCAGAATTATCAAACATTGTAGAGCACAAATATGGTACAACATTGGAAGCTCTTAGGCGTGATATTTTAAACCGAAAAAATGAGTCCCATGTATTTGAGTGGCCATCAAATCTAAATCAAGAGACTTCTAATTATTTCAATGGAGAAAAGAATTCACTTTTAATTTCTTTATTTGATACACTGGATGAATACTGGAACGCATGTGCCACATTGCATCCTTTATTGCACAAACTTTGTATGGTGGCTGGCAGAATTCGTACTATAATGATCCTCTTAAATCTTCCAATCGCAAGCCCAATCACTTGGAAAAGATTTATTCCGATTAACGGCTTGTCTGGAACCAATTCTGATACTTTATCATTTACATATGCAACGAGGGCAATAATTGAAGGCACACTTGGTTATCCATCTAATAGTTCAATCGAATGGGATTTTGTAAATTATCAACAGTCTAGATTATGTGGTATAGATGCCGCATCTTCATTAATCACTGGGGATTTAAATAAAACTGTTGATAAGATTTATATTGAAAGCAATGAAAGCAATAATAAACATTTGATTATTCATTCTAATATTCCCTTATGTGGAGTATGCGCATTACCTGTTTCTACAGAGTCCACCGTTAATACGCATTATTTTGATTTAGATGAGTTCAGATATGCTTCAAAATCAACACTAGTGCGTGGTAGATGGTATCATCAAACTTGTTTAGAACTATTAAATTCTGAATCAGAGCGTGAATGCCATTCTTTATTCGTGCTACCACAAATAAATATTCCTCAAATAATATAGCATTAACCGGTTCCATTGTTCAAAAAACCGGCGTTTGGTTTGTATTAATTCCAAAGTAACGCAATAAATCGTCGCCATAATTATATATTTTGTCGTCTATTAAAAAAAATAAATTTTGCAAGTAGTTCCAAAGAATAATTGTAGCATCACACAGCTTATAGCTTTCTGATAGACTATAAATAGCAAAAATGACTCTCAAAATAATAATGATTATTAGTATTATAGATAAAGTTTTTATTATTGGAGTCACAAAAAGTTTGATTATTATTTGTAAAACAAAAAGTATCAATAGTATTCTTTCTGCAACAGCGAACATCCCAGCTGAAACCATTAAAAAATGTCTGACTTCGCTTGAAGGTTCAAATGACAAGTATAGCGATCTTCCAAAATTTTCTAAGTCCAAGCTATTTTTAATTATATTGGTTTGGAAAAATGATCGCATGTAGGGATGGTTTGGAAGGCAATCCTTAATATTCTCACCTACCCCCACAGCGTGATTACTGTTATTGTGGTTGGATATATCGTTCTCAATTTGACAGCCTATCAGCGCAGACTGGCAATATATATCCATTGCCACAATTAAACTCAATAAAATCCAGCGAAAGCTGATCTTCATTATATTCTAAATAAATATATAATAATAATAACTCCGCGCTCAGTGAACAAAAAAAAAAGGAGGGAAGATTCGTTTTTAATTAGACTAAAATTTAAAATATCTAACACCACTTTTTATATCATTATGATTTGAATTTATTAAGCTCCCAACAACGGACTTTTTTAAGTCTTTAGTATTCTGTTTATTTTTTCTTTTTAAGTCGCGCATTTCTCTCTTTGCTTGTTTCACTGCTTTTTTCCTATTCTTTCGATCTTCTGGTGTCTCATCTTTCCTTCTTAAAGGTAATGATGCGGCGACCGGATCCTCTAAATCGTAGCTATAGTTTTGATCATAATTGAGTTCTCCATTCTTATATATTTTTTGTTGGGTACATGTTCGACTTTTTGTTTGGTTCTTAATGTTTATACTAGAGTAATAGTTTGATATGTCAACTTTGTTTGGTTTATTCACTATTTCAAAATTGGTTTGGGGGAAACAGTTGCCTACATTTTCAATAGTCTCAAAATCCGAAATTTCAGATAGTGTGTCTTCAGATGAATTGTCATAAATTTCTGTATTTTCTAATATTGAGATTATCTTTTCTACTTGAACTTTATCAAGTGGTTTGTTAATCTCAACATAACTTTTCTCTGGCTTGCTCCTAATCAAATTTTCCCTTTTAGCTTGACTTATATATCTATCCAGAATATTTTCATATTCTGAAATATCTAATTTGTTAGATCTAACTAAACAAAATTCACTTGTATTATCTTCCAAAGTACTGGAATAATCACTGTATTCATCCAATACCGTTTGAAGTAAGTCATCAGTGCTCTCATTATTGTGATCTTCTTTAGAAAAAAGAGATGAATTGTCAGAATATTGAGTGATTAATTCTGATAAATTAAATTCATTATCAAGTTTCTGAACATCATTTTTGTAATCTTGCTGTAATTTCCCCCCTCCCCATAGTATATCATTGATATTAATATTCCTATCGAGTTCACATTTATTCTTTAGACCAGTCATATCTAATATAAAATCATCATTAAGTTCTTCAAATTCATCCGGTTCTTCCAAGCAATTTGCAACTTCAACTAATTCAGATACAAAATCATTTTTATTAACATCTATTTCCGAATTAGAGAGTATTGATGTTGAATTCAGCAATAAAGATCTTGAATCCTGATCTACTCTATTTTTAGAGGTTGAATTAATGTAATTGCCATTTTTATTTATTGTACAAAGATGCTGTTCATAATCATAACCATCGTCTGGGAAATAATTATCTTTAAAAATTTCAGTATCTAAACCCTTGTTTACTTCATCTTTTTGTATCGATACATCAATTCCTAAATTCTTATTTTCAATATTTATATTATCTAATTCATCATGGAAATATACATTTCCAATGATTTTTCTTATTTCTTTTTTTTCATCATCAGTAAACTCCCTATTAGAAACTGGAACCCATATTGAAGAAGAGTCATCTCTTCCATCTGCAGAAGAAAGAAGTTTGAGTTTTATAGAATTTTTATTATTTCTTGCCTTACTCATTGAAGAATAGAGAAAATAATTTCAGAATTGACATCCGCGCCATAGTTTCTTTAATTGGTAAAGAATGATAAATTAAAAAATGTTTAATTAAAAAATTTCAGGTGATGTATTTATTCCATATAGAAACACAAGCAAAAACAGTTTGGTATAATTTAAAACCTCGTTTTTGAATATTACTAATTTGGGGAATTCTAAAAATAATAGTGGCGTATAATATATAGAATTCTCATCTCTTTGTTTGGAACTAAATATTACTGGCGCGCATTATTATGTGGATTATATTATAATTTTATATAACTTTCAGGGTAACGGAAAACAGATAAAATGAGGTGTAGATGTTCTAAACAAAATGGATACAAGAAATGAAGAATACGCTGAATATAAGAAACTAAGACAAAATGTCAAGCAGTTACAAGATGAACTGCAAAAGCGCATTTCTGCTGAGGCAGAACTTGAAAGTGAAGTAAAAAGGTTGCATGAGGAAACTATTCCACTGTCTGCTGCCAGGGCATTAACTCATGTAGCACTTTGCAAAGGAAGAGCTCTTGAAATTTTATCTGGAATGACAAGTTCTAACTCTGTTAACACATCGAATTTAAGGTGGGCGTTTAGGAGTTTATATAAATTTGCATTTGGGGATATTGCTTACGCAAAGAAAATTGGCGAAGATAGATCTGCACAATACCATTATAATGAGACTCAACTCCGCCTATTTCGTCAGGAACAATTGTTGCTACTAGCGGAAAACGAAAGATTGTCCTCCCAAATAAAAAATTTACAACTTGAACTAGCGCAAAACTATAAAGCAACAAAGTTAGAAAAAATAGTGTCAAGCAAGCCATCTAAAAGGAGAGGCCAAACACAACCGAGGTCAGGTTCTAACAATGAATCAATTAGAGAGAACGAAGCTGATAGTATATCAAATAGTGAATTGGAAACAGAGTCTGATTCAGAGTCTGAAACAAGTAGTTGCATCGCATTAAATGTTGAGCTTGTAACAAGGCATTTATGGAGCCTAATTCATTGTATGTATTCAGCGTTCCAGAGACGAAAGTTGCTGGCGTTCGTCACGTGGAAATTAACAACCAATAGATCATCACATCAAATGTCTGATGGAGTTCCAAATACTAGTTCATTTGTGAATGACCAAGGTATGCATGAAACTTCAGGATCTATGAGCACAAGCCGCTTTTTCGAGTTTCTTCAAAGAAGATACCGTATAATGCTTCTTGCAAAAGGGTTTTGGAGGATTTGGAGTTCTTGTTACTCTCCTTTGTTCAAACGAAAGATAAATTGTGGTGTAGTTCGTGGGCCTGGGCTATCATCATTCAGGCCAATAAATCATGGTGGTCTAATGTATAATGACTCGGCATATAAGGCAATCGGTGGACTTGAAGATGTTGCCTACGTTACTGTTCAGGGCTCGGGTGCTTCAATAAGTGGTTGTTCGACAGCGTTTGCAACTCAGCCTCATTATCTTGCAAATTTACCTAGTTTTTCTAAAATAACTTATGCTCCTAGGAATACGTACTTTGAAACAAAAGATTTACCACCATTCCCAAAACCAAGGGAGGGAATCAAATCTCAACAGAATTCTTTAGACCAAAACAAGAGTATACCACCATACTTTAGACCATTTGACAAACCAAATAATTATATCAATCAAAGAAATTACTCTTCTAATTCGATTGATAATGGCTTTAATGCTAATTCAGCAGGTAGAAGCGATATAAACACTGCAAGAACAGAACTTATTTCCTTACTTGAACCAGGGGCAAAAAACAGTTCATTCGGGTCATTTCATGAAGGCAATATTAACCAATTCCAATCTGGGCCTATGGATAATATCTCAACAAAATTGAAGTATTTGGATATTTTAACTGAAGCTATAGATGAATAAATATTTTGTGAAATGTGTTATTTTAACACCTATGTAATATTTAATAATTAAGTAATTTAAAGCTGTGTGGTCATTAGTAAATATGATATTTAATTTCCGAGAAAATTGGGAAAATATTATTAATCAAATAATCTCTTATGAAGTTTTGGGTTTGTTTAAATAAGCACAACTGAAGGTATTAATTATTCTCAAACAAATTAGGTTAGCAGTAAATTCTTAAGTTTAGAAAAATTATATATTTTCCTATTTGAACTATGACCATAATTTGTCTTTTTCTTTGATTCTGGGTTCGTATCAACACAAGAATTATTATTTCCTATTGTCATATAGTTTGGAGGAGTAAGTACAACAATAATAGTTGATAAATTGTCAAGAGCCTGTCTTTGAAGTGCTGCAGAAATAAGTTTTTCAGCCGCGACATTTGGATCACTATTCTCTATTAAAGCTCTTCTAATAAGGCTTATTGCTTCTTGATCCATAAATGATTCAAATATTCCGTCGCATGCGATTAAAAGGAATTCGTCTTCATGAGTGATATTATGAACATAAATTTCAGGGGTCGAGCTTAAACCTTGTAATTTCATTCCATTAGACACGTCCCAATTTCCAAATGCTCTAGAAACCGCAAGATTCCCAGAAAGATATCCTTCATCATCAAAAGTTCCTCCTTCGCTCTTTACCCTCTCTCTTTCTTCAAAATTACTTTTTATTCTGTGGTCTTTGGTTAGTGAATAAGCACGCCCACATTTACAAAGAATTGCACGGCTGTCTCCAAGATTAGCAATACATAAAGTAGATGAAGTAATACAACATACAATTGCAGTAGATCCGCTCGATATATGTTTAATATTTTGGCCCTTGATAGATGCTTCGGAATTGATATTTAATCCCTGTTTTTGATCAATTATAGTTTCAAGTTCTTTCAGAATTTGTTTATCATTAGAATTGAAATATTGTTTCTTAATTTGGTTTTCGGTTAAATAAAATGAATCAACCAATGCATTTACAGTGTTTTGAATTGGTTCGCCATAGTTAAGCAGATTAAAAGATAGTGAAAAGTTTTTGTGAAGGTGGTTTTTCAAATAATCCACGGCAAATTCACCATTGTGTCCATCATAAATTCCAAAAAATGAAATAACAGGTTTCTTATTTTGAGTATTTGACTCTTGATTCAAGACATCTAACGACAAAAATGTTCTATCCTCCATATAGCTTCTCGTCCCCTTTGTTTCATAGAATCCACAATTAAGGGTAATTGACTGAGGATCACGTTTTTCCGTTTGAAGCTTACTACCAGCAGTTAATCTCATTTTTATATTTTCGTCTTTAAAATTATCATATACTGCGTACAAATAAATAAACTTATATTCTTTCGATAAGAACATCGCTGATTCAGAGTTAAAATTAATCAAATTCTTATCCCAATCTAATGACCATCCTATTTTTATAATTTTTCCATTTGAATCTATAAGTAATGGAATCTTAAAATAGTCACATCTTTGCTTATTGTCTAGACTTCTTTTTTTATTTATATAATACTGATTTACGAATTCCAGAAATTGATTTTCTTCACATGATATTTCTTGACTTGTTCTCGATTCTAAATAAAATTTAACGTTTTCGCCTCTTAACAAATCTTTAGTTATTTCTCTAAAAATATCATGGGGCTTTAGATTCAAATAATCCATTATTTTTACCAAGCAGTTCAAATATAAATTTCAAAGCCTGGAAATTTAACAATTTACATATGCCATTACAATTAGCAAAATTCTGGTACCGCTCGTTTAATAATCAACATTTGTTATAGAAATGTCATCGAAGTCAATATTAGGGTTGAACAAGTTCAATAATAAAGAAATCAAAGTAAAATTGTGTGGTGGAAGGGAAGTGGTTGGAATATTGCGTGGATTTGATGCGGTTACAAATCTCGTTTTAGATGAAACGGTTGAATATATGTTCGGTAAGTTGTTCTTATTATTTATCTAATCAGTTGTTCATTTGAATAGATAAAGATGAATTACCTTCGTTCACTGATCAAAAGCGGAGTTTGGGCCTATTAGTGATTAGGGGTGCTTCTGTAAGTTCACATTTCATTTTTTTTTTCATCACAAATTCTCTCAGGTCTTAATGATTTGCCCTAGCGATGGAAGTGAAGTAATAGATAACCCATACTGTAATCCATAAGATTATTTAGTATTTTTTTATTAATCCAAAAATTAATTTTATTTCAATAAGAGTGCTTGTTCAAAAATAATTTGATAATATCTATACCCCTTAAAATTAGTAAGATATTACAAATGTAAAGAATAAGATTTTAAATATTTTTTTTTGAAGTTAATTTTTACTACTTTTGCCGATTTCAATGAAATAAATTTAATAATTAGAAATTTGTTAGCTTTTCTTCAAAGTTAATTTAATCAATTAAAAATGTTATCTGAAATATACTCTGAGATTTTGTAGAGGAGTCGGATTTATAATGAATCAATAAGAAATCGAGTTTTTAAATATTTTCAAACATTGTTCACTATACTTTTCAGAAATCAATTCTAATTTTGACTTTTAAAACATTTTTACACTTAGAAATACTGTTGGTTTTTAAAAAGTTTGTTAAAATATTAACAGCTAGCGTGTTTAAACGGGAATAATATAAACTTAATGAAAATATTACATTCAGATAAAATTGAATACTTTAAACAACGTAAATAAAATTTATATTCGAGTTTATTTAGAATTATTTTAAGATATGTTTTTAATTAAAAGATATATGATTTTAGTTGTTTACGAATAAAATACTTGGCAAAAATTTCATTTTCAGCTACAGGATTCAATAGAAATTATATTAATTTCCTTTTATCCAAATTATTATAAAAAATACTATTTTACACCAAAATATTGTTATTTAATCTAAACTTTTAATTCGATACTTTGCAAGATAGTAATTTAAAGCATATTGCTAAAGAGGAAATAGCTAATTATGAATTGATTATCTATTAAAATAATTATATAGAAATATTTGGAATTGCATATATTCAAATTATCTAAAACTGTTTGGGTAACGATCTTTATCGTCATTCTGTATAAATTATTTGATTTAAATTGTATATGGATGGGAAATTGATTATATATTTCGATTGAAAAAGAAAAAATTTTTTTAGATAATTGAATACTAATAAATAGTTTAAATTGAATGCTTTCTACTTAAAGCGCTAGTGAGTATATCAAAAATTTATTTTTACAAATAGAAGATAAAACTAGTGGTGTTTCTTAAGCAAAAAATAATTTTTTTGTGCAAAAATTATGGATAGCACTTTTTGAATTGATTTAAACATATTTTTAATAAATAGAATTAATTTAAGTATTATTGCAGAATTTTGTTTGTGGTCTATCAGAAATGTTTTTGACGTTTGAATACTAGGTAGCCAGTTTAGTTAAGAAAAAAGAATTAGTAATGCTTCGCAATGTGTTCCACAAATAAATTTGGATTCCCAAATGAACCATATGATATACAGTCAGAATTTTGTTTGAGTGCCTGGAAGCTGTATGATATAGATAGAGGAATTGGAATTTTTGAATCTCCAACTGGCACGGGCAAAACTTTGAGCATTTTATGTTCTTCTCTAAGTTGGATAAACCAGAAAATTTCCAGTCCTGTATCTTCTGGACAAGTAAGTAAATCGGTACCATTATGGGTCGTTAATGCAATCAAAAAAAAAAGAGAAAATTCATTTGAGCAATATATAAATGGGAAAAGTAACTTTTTAAGGCATATTAAGGATGATATTTTAAATTCAACCAAAAAAAACATAGATGAATTAACATTGACTGAAAATTTGAATTTTTCCCCCAGTTTCTATCAGATAATTATTTCTAGTAGAACGCACACACAATTAACGCAATTTGTTGAAGAGTTTATAAAAATAAAGATTGCAAATAGAAATAATTTTCATATCTCCAATATTTATTCAATTGTACCACTTGCAAGTAGATCTCATCTTTGTTTGCATAATCAAGTCAAAAATTATCCAAGCCATCTTATTAATGACGCCTGTAAATTATATTCTGGCGAGGGAAAAAAAGAAAATAAATGCATATATAAAGAAAACTACATGGAACTTGCAAAAAAGTGCTTAATTGAACCAATGAACATTGAAGAATTATGTAAGGAAGGTTATAGTTTAAGTGTAAGTTTATATAAATTGTATGTTGACTAAATATTGTTCTTAGGCATGCCCATATTATGCAACTAAAGAAGCCAGCAAATATTCGGACATTATTCTCGTACCTTACAGCATTATTTTCAATAAAACTACTCGAGAATCATTTGGAATCTTGCTTGACAAGAAAAAAACTTTTTGCTTCATTGACGAAGCACACAATTTAATCAATGCATTGGAATCAAATAATAGAGCCAGTTTTACTTTAATTTCTTGCCAAATATTGAATTATTCGTTCGAAAAGCTAATTTCAACAAATGATTGTACTACTAAAAATAATTTTTTTGCAACTTTCAAACAGCTAGTTAGGTTAGTCAAATGTATTTATTCGTCTACCAGTAATATAATTAATACTAATAAACGTAAACATAATGAAAGTGAAATGAAAAGTAATCAAATATTACTTGGCCCACTCGAATTTATAAACAACTACCAAATAAATGCATTTGATCTAAACAAAATAATCAATTTTATCATTGAAAATGAATTATGTACTAAAATTAAAGACATAATTATCAAATTTGGAAGGTATTTCCCAATTAAATTCAATAGTTTTGAAGAAATAATCTCCTATTCAAATTCCCTGTTTTTATTCAAAGATTTTATTGCTGCTTTAGTTTGCTCTGATAAAGAATTCGACAAAGTTATTATTGAAACTAGCTTTGATCATTCAGATAACAAACAGGTTACCATTACAGTTGTTCCTATTAATGTTCAATCAAGTTTTACTGATATATTTGCCAACACAAAATCTACGATGCTTGTTGGAGGGACATTAGAACCTTTGACCGAGTTTCAACCATTAATATCACCGATGGAACCTACAAATATTGTAAAGTTTTCTGCAAATTACCATATTTCTAGTAATAATCTGATGTGTTTGATTATTCCAAAGTTTATTGACAATAGTATTGTCGACTTAAGATACGAATATAGAACTGATGTAAAGCAGCTACTAAATCTTTGTGAGTTATTTTCAGTGCTTTCATCAGAAGTACCTAACGGAATATGCGTTTTCTTTACATCCTACACTTTCCTTGATGTATTTTTCAAGTTTCTTATTTCAGAAAGCTCTAAACACTACTACCGGTCGATTATAAAAAACAAGAAAATATTTAAGGAGAAAAGGCAAGGTTCGAATTGTGGGAAGGTATTGCTAAATTTATATAAAGACCACATCATGAATAACAAGGACTATGGCGCAATGCTTTTTGCTGTTTTAAATGGAACTCTTTCGGAAGGAGTTAATTTTTCAGATGAACTTTGCAGATGCCTTGTAGTTATTTCGCTTCCATTCCCACAAAAGACCGAGATTTTTTCTTGTAAAGAAAGATATTTCAACGGAAGTATTGGGGATTGCAATAAGTACGAGAACATGTATAGAAAAATAATTTGTATGAAAACAGTAAATCAATGTATTGGGCGTGCAATAAGACATAGAAATGACTATTCAACTATTTTATTGGTTGATCATCGATATAATAATACTGAGATAAAGCAAATGTTGCCAAAGTGGGTGGCTAAAAATATCCCTAATGACACATTAATTGAATGGAATTTTCAGAGTAATGTGATTTTAAAACTCAGAGATTTTTATAAAAATAAATCTTAGTTTTTGCGCGCATATTGGTATAAATTTCTCATTTATTGAATATACCATGCTTAATCATTCAGATGACATAAAAAGTCCCTCAAATGAAGTTATTCATAATTTAAACGTAGAGGGAAGTGATTCTGATCTTTTTGGGGAAGATGATTCCAACTCTGATCAAATTTCGAACGGTAGGCGATTTTTTGAGATTGAGAAAGACAATAGTGTTCAAACCTATGCGAATACAAATGACAATATAAACAATAACTTTGTCGATGAATTTGAGGTTGTTAACAATATAGGGCTCCGAGAGCCAGTAAATTATTTTGGGATAGATAATAATGATCGAGTTTTATTAACTTTAAAACTCCCAGAACGTCTCAAAGTTGTAAATAAGACAAATATAAATGATAATACAATAGAAAATGATTTTAGCATCACAGGTGGTATTAATAGTGAAGGAGGTACATATTCTAATTCCAAACTAGTCTCTTGGAGTGACGGAACTTACTCTTTAATGATTAATAATGAAGTTGTATATGATTGTGTAATAGGGTATGACAAAGCATTTATTTTCGATGACACCTTTGACCAAAAGTATAAAATTTGTTTGGGAAGAGTAGATAAAAAACTAACAATTAGACCTAGAACAATTGAAAAAAATAAACTACTTAAAGACTCTCGCTCTAGAGCCATGATCCCCACAACATTAGAGGAGATAAACAAACAAGAAGTCGAATCTAGAAGAAGATTAGATGAACTAAATGCCATCTCATCGATAAAATATCAGCAAAAAAAAACAATTTTTGCCTCCGATTCGAAAAGAAAGCAGATGACAAGTTATTTCTTAGAAGAATCAAGTGAAGAGTCGGAGTAATTATTTGTTAGAATTCAATCTTACTGAGAATGATTTGAATCGCTCATATTAGCTTAAATGGTACTCCATTTCTATCAATTTAGTAATTCAAAATTAAAAGATAATAAAAAACTATGGCTTCTTCCTAAACCAAATAGGTAAAGACATTGTATTTGTAGACTGTATATATAAGCTTTCTATACTATTTTTCCAATTCTTATTTTTATTTTCACCTTCAAAAAAATCGTATACTTGTTTTATTGTCTCTATTATATTCTGGACAATTTGTTTGGTGTCCATATCAACTCTTGCAACACGAATGCCAACACATTTTCCTTTCTTTATACTCATAAATGTCGAAGATAGCGCAGATTCTAGTGAATTCTTGAAATTTGATTCCCTGATTTTCAATGCAATTGGCATTTTATTTGCTTTAATAAAAAATGAACCTAATAATTTAGGCATCTTTTCTATTATACGGTCGTCCGATAAAAATAGGTCATATCCTGAACAAAGTTCTCGTCTATCCTTATATGTACTATATTTCTTAGAAAGTTTGCTAACACTAATAACTTTTGAAATGACTTTGAGTTCAACGTTAGAAGAGTTGATCAATTCTTTCCATTTTCTCTGTGGATCTTTGACAAATAAACAAACTTCGTTTTCTGGGTGTTTGTATAGTGAATTTGGGATCTTTATCGCAACATGCTTACTTTTAACAAATTCTGGAGTATTAGACAGAGAAATAATCAAAGTAATAAACTGAGAATTTTTATTAAATAATAAATCTTCTGGACACTTCTTGATGTTAACAAGTTCCTTCAGTGCACTTACAGCATCTTCTAAATGCTTTTGAGCCTTTACAGGGTTGCTCAAATTAAATTTATTCATGTCAGAAGGAAAGAATCTGTATTGATTCTAAATGAATATTTTCTGGATAATATGGTCATTAGCTGACAATAGAGACAAAACAGATTGCTGTTGCGGCTAAATGTGCGCGGTCAAAGATTTTTAACTCTTAAGGAGCTTTGTGAACTTGATTTGTTAATTATCCAATAAATATGAGCTTATTAGATGTCAGAAATAGAGAGTGGGTTTTTGATTTTAGATCCAAAATGGTGGACCGATGTTAATATATCTTATGGTGTGAGACATGCATTATTCAAATTACTTTACTCGTGCATTTATCATATTAATCGTTCACTTTTCATTTACTATTCTGTACTTCCACAAAATGATAAATATTGCCGTGAAATCGATGGGAAATCTGAGAAAGACTCGGGAACTGATATTGGCACCTACGAATCATCGTTTATTAAGTTGACTTACAAACATATTAACAGTATTGTTAAAGCATATGAAATAGCACTCGATGTAATTGAAACATTAAATAAAATTCCAACATTTGACATAAGATTTATTCCAGTTAGACATGATTGCCTAAACCATATATACGAAACGATAGGGCCGAAAGATCAAACTTTGTTCTGGTCTAATTCATATAAGTTTTGTGAGAAACATGGTAATCTGGTACAATGCGCAAATATAATTAATGATGTATTTTCTTGTATTAGCCAAGAAAACATGTATTATATTAATTTTAATTCTGAAAATATTGATATAAATTCGATAGTCTGCAAAAATTACACTAAGCATTTAATTTCGCATGGATTCCATACTTTTGAGATTTCGGACAATCTATCAATTCCATTATGGAAAAATAAGCTTAATGCAGTCATAGAAAATGACGATGATCATTTTTTTGATAGCCAAATCAATCGTACATTATTTGCGGGAACATTTGACAGGCTGCACCCTGGACATAAAGTGAACATTACCGTTGCCACTTGGTATGCAAAAGAGTTGGTAATAATTGGTATAACAGATAAGCCACTTAATGCTAATAAAAGTGATAAAGATATCATTCAGGTAAGTTTTCTTTACCAATATTCATAATAATATGTTAATTCCATTTAGGATTTTTCTTTTAGAAGTGCAAATGTACACTCATTTATTTTCTCTTTATCTCCCAATATTTCTGTTGCCATATTAAGAATTTCAAGTATCGTTGGTGGCGCAGATATCTTTGAATTTGACGCATTGATCGCAACTCCGGAATCTTATAACAACGCAGCGAAGATTAATGACCTTAGGTTGGCATGTGGTTCGCCAAAAGTTAAATTAGTTAAAGTTCCGTTTGTTTACAAACCTCTAATAGATCATTCAGGAGGATTGAAAACAACTAATGTGATTCCAGTAAAATTCTGCTCTACGGAGCTCAGATATTCATTGAAACGGAATCTGGATAACCTGTTTAATCTGTCTTTGTTAAAAAAAGCAATCATGATATCACTCGATAAAGTGCTTTTTTCAGGATTTATATCCAAGGATATTTCTGAAATGACAAACATGATATTTTCATTTATTGATGACGTAATTTTCGAGATTCTGTATGAATGGAGAGCATTACATGGGCATGAAAAAGGCGGAATTGTTTTTGAAAAATGGCTTGGGGAATTGATCACTGAATTAGAAAAGGAAGGGAAAATGGAAAGATTAAATTTGTTAGAAAATAACTCTTTCATTAGAATCTCCAAATACTTAACATTCATACTTATTTATCTTATATCCTCGTTAAATTTAATTAAAAAAAGGAGAGTAGGGATTTCGCACTGTGAATTGAATAAGGTGTACTTTTTATTTAGCAGGTTATTAATGGATGAAGATAAAGAAGAGGCACGGGGATGTGAAAATTCTGAATTTTGTATTCCATACATATATTGCCATTCTGACATTGAAAAAAACATTTTTTTTGGTAAAGCTAGTAATAAAAAATATTCAGGCTTTAAATACCAACTTGGAGACTTAACAAAAAAAAGAGTTTTAAACTTAGAACTAAACTGCAAAAACGACTTTAATAATGTTGAGATTGACAAAGATCACTATTTAACGTTTGAATTTGTCAAAAAAAGATTGGATGAATTTTTTCAAACGAATGAAACTGAAAGTAGGTCATTTTTCCAATGAAATATTCTTTGCTGAGTTGATTTTTCCAACTCTTCCACTCCTACAATCCATTCATATGTTTTTTTCTCCAGACCAATCATAGAAAAATAGAGAATAGGCTTTTCTGAATTATTGATGTCATTTCCAGAATAATCTAAGTATAGTTGTTTTGATTTCATTGTATCTCCAAATGGTATAATCTTAATATTAGCCGTATTCGTAGAATTTTCTCCACTTATTGCGTAAATTTCGATGTTAACAGTTGAATTCACTGGAATTACTTGTTTGTTTCCAATTTTCACTCCATTGGATTTTATTTCAATAAAAAATTCATATTTAGATAGAAATTCAGGAGCAAACAAATCTGATGTTAAATAACCAGTAGATATACACTCAAAATTATTATCATCGAACAAAGTATTCGGAAAAAATGCTTTCCAATATAGTAATAATGGATTGCTTTTCAGTTCAAATAAATCCTTAATGGTTGTTTCTACAACCCACCTATAACTCTTTTTCTCAGGTGAAAGTAATACTCTTTTCCCTTCTAATAGATGTGAACGAAACGAAAACTCAATAGGATATACTCTTGAGTTATTTTCCAATGTGAAAATTATCCAGAGTTCGTTAACTTTCCATTTGCTATTGTTTGAGCCAAAATAAATTGGTTGGAAGTTTAACTTGGGTACCAAGGAAATGCTCATAATTTTAGGAAACGGTGGAATATTTGAAAATATATCAAATAATTGCGAAGAAATAATTATTTTTTCATTAATTTCCATCCAATGAATTACTAAAAGCTTAAACCTATTTACTTTGTATATATTTGAACACTCAATTATGATAGTTGAGTCACCGTCTTTCATAATCATATTTTCAAGTGAGAAATTATCATTTGTAATATTTTCTATTTGATCTATGTAGACTTCTGTAGATAACAACTTGAATTTTTTCTTTATTTCACAAGTGAGTTTTTTAGTTGATTTGATAAATATTTTTCCATCAATGCTATTAACGCAGGTGTTTTGTTTCTGTTTGTCAATTTCTTTCCAGAAGATATGGTCATTGTTTGAAATATTAGGTATTACAAAAACATTCAAATATTTCTTTAAATAGCTCTTGTTATTTACAAATGCTAACTTTGAACCAAAGTTTACATAATTTATTCCTGAAAACTTATATGTAACACCAACAATAGAGAAATTCCCCGAATTTTTTGGAATTACTAAAATTGCAACTTTTACTTCACCTGGAGTCGAAAACCTAGGACTTGGTGGAATTACGACTGAAACGGGTGAAATGTCGCATTTTACTTCGCCTTCAATAATTATACTGAAACAGTCGAGAATGATGGGAATTAGAAAAGGATTAAATAATGATACATAAAGTGTATATTGCTTTTCAGCCTGCCAAAGTATATTAGTTTGAGTTTCTGCTTGAGATTTACTATGATTGAATGTTTCTTTCAAATCTTGGTCAAATTTCTTTTCAAATGGATTATAAAGAAATAAGTTCGATTGGTTAACCTTTGAGTTAGTTATAATTGGAAGTTTTATGTTATTTTTTTCTTTGAGTGGGACCCATTTAAATTCCGGTTGAAAAATTAACTTTGAATCAAAAAAATAATTGATATTAGAAACTTTACAAAAGATCCAAGGAGAATTGTCTATTTTTAGAACATTACTTTCGCAGAAAGAGCAATAATCATTTATTTTTTTATTGAAGATGGACGATAGGCTAATTTCATTGGTACATTTATGGCAACCCGTATTTAATGGAGTTTGTTCAAACGAAACGTCTAAAATAAGTATTAAGTGCGTTGTGTCCAATAAAGTATTGAATAAATGGTCTAGTGACTCAATTGAAATATAACCACGATTTTTACTGTTTGTAACCGAGTAATATGGTGCTCTTACTATTGGAAGCTGAATAGTATTGCTTATTATTGACAATGAATCTATGCACTTTGACTGAATTATTTTTAATGTATCGTAATCATATATTGGAGGAAAATATACAATTTTATCAAGTAATAGTAATAAAACTGTTGCAGATCTGGAGGCACAACCAAACAATATGCTCGACTCGATCATTAATATCAGTGCCAACATTTCATATCTAGATGGATATGCTTTCAATTTTTGCAAATCAATTGTATTTAGATAAAAATTTCGATATGCTTGAAGCATCGAATGCACGCCATAGCAAACAAAACTTTTAACAAAAGGTTTCAAACATGCCAACAATTCGTAATGGGCATTTGAGCACTCCAAGTCCTGGTATAAGTTAGAGTTTTCGTTTGATATAAATGTTGAGTAGCTTAAAGATAAATCGTGTTTATAAATAGAGAGGTATTTTAAATAATTATTATCGAGATAGTGCTTGCCTGGAACGTAATATTTTTCAAAGATTATGCCCAATCTTTTTTCAGTTTCTTCATCGAATGTATAATTATTTCCTATTAAAATGTTTGAATTATTTGAAACATTACATAGTGCACATTGTATATGTGATGAATAATTGTCATCTTTCTTAAGAATTTGAGCAGCTAAATTTTGAATAATTTGCATTTGATTTATATTGTTAGTTCTACAATAGATGCTTGAATACCACTGATAGGCCGTACATGAAATATAATAACTAAGGTTATATATTTTATTTTGATTGAACAGTTTTGATAGTTTAATTAGGATGATTCCTACCCTTCTTTTACTCTGTACAGTAAGATATGTTTGCGCACATCCTATCAAAAACATTGCATAATTATACAAATTATCTTTCGAAAAGTTCGATGACATATCTAAATGAACGTAAGGATCCAAAAAGTCGATTATTATTTTTCTGTCCAGGTAGAAGTTGCTTACGAAATTATCTATTAAAAATCGGGATTTTTTAATTATTAACTCATAAATCGGAACTGAAAACTCATGATCGTAATGTAATTTTATATGATTATCAGACAGTATCCCATTGGTGAAGTTATTTGTTCTACAAAGTGAATTAAGAGAAAGAGTAAGTTTTTTAAGTATTGCATCAAACAAAATTTGTTTTCTTGATTGTATATTATATATTGAGTCGTTATGATTCACCAAATTGTAGTTGATTGATTGTAGACAGACTTGTATTGGGGCAGGCAAATCATTAATAAATGAGTTTAATGAGTTAGATACAACTTCCCACCACTCTAATGAATAATCAGAGTTAGAATAGAAATTATATAGCAGTGTAGCCTGGCCTTCAAAACAATGTGCTAAATAAACGAGATCTGAATCTTGATCTTCCATTAATTCCAATATTGAGTTATAGTAAATTGCAGATGATGTAGGGAAGCCCAGAATCAAGTATATTCCTGCAATTTGAGCTTTATATCTAATAATATCTGTAATTTTTTCATCCAATGATTCGATTTTTGTAATTTTATCATAGCCTTTATCAATGTATTTATTAATGATTAAATTAAATCTGCAAAAAATATCTAGAATTACATTTTTTGCAAACTCATCGATTGAAATAAATCGATTGCCATTCTGATCTTCGCAATTAAACTTAATCTCTTCTTTATGGTCATCAATGATATCGATATTAACTTTATATATGAATTGTTGGTCAAGATTTTTTATTTGACCATCAAAAATTTGATTAAAGGAACAGAATTTTTTTTCATAAGTAATGAATATAATTATATGGTCAATACAAATTAATGATTTTGGGAGATTAATTTGATTGCCATGCGAACATATTGTTCTATAGGAGGTGTTTATTTTGAAAGGTCTGTTTTCGCATAAAGAACTATTTTGATTTATATATTCACATATTGGGTTTAAGTCGAGTTGATTAATGTTCGACGAGTAATATGTAATTGAGTTTTGAATCTGTTTGATTAAATCATCAAAAAGAGTCGAATCTGCCACCTGCGTCTTGACAAATAATACCTTAATTAACGAATTATCAATTACAGAAGCACAAATATTAACCGACATTCGATTGCTTTATTTTGAAGAGATCTTAGAAAACTGAGCGGAGAGGGGTAATACAAATTTCCCGTTATCTCACAAATGTTAGTTCTTATCTAAGAGCTAAAAATAGTTAAATTTAAAGAAGATAGGGTTAAAATACTATTTGTTTCTAATAACACCGTAAATGAAGAACCCATCAAATTAGTTCAACTAACACAAAAAATAAAACAAAATTAGTCTATATTAAGGTCTGTATATTATTTATCATTTGCTCATATAATCCATTAAATTCGGGTATTATTACAACTTGTGTGATAATAACGTTTTATTTTGATAAATCTATAATTCTTATTAAGAGCTTTTTACAAATAAAACAATCAAAATTGTCATTAAAATGCGCCAAATTAATTAATATTCGAATTAAAATAATGAAAAAGGCGTTTAGATCCTTATTGAGCAAAGATAATGACAGACAGAGAAGTGAAAAAGTTCATGCTTCAAATAGAATCCCATTGGGGAGACCCGTTATATGCAAACACTCAAGTAAATTCGGGAACTGCACTTACAAAAGAAACATGGGAATACGTGAATTCAAGATCTAAATCAATTGGTATTCTACTTAAGATGACTAGTTCTGATGGGTTGTGTGAATCTCCATTTTGTTTAGTAGTATACTCATCCGGTAAATCAATGAATACTTTAAACAGTAGTCAAATAGTTTTAGATGAGTTTATTAAATTATTTATGTCAAACCCAATGGTTAATAAGCTAAACATATTTCCATTAAACTATGGGAAAATTATATTTTTAGATGAATTGTTATATTTAGTAGAACGAGGGAGTTTAATCCTTTTCTCATGGAGCCAATCACAATTAAAGTGGATTCAAACTCCTATTCTCTATCTATTTAACACACTTATAAAGAATAGAGATTTATTCAAGCTAAATAACTATATTTCTTATTCAAGAATGAAAAGATCTGGATATAAATTTAGAACAAGTTCAAACAGAAATAATATTAAACTCCATGAAACAATGATCTCCGGCAAAAGTGCCCTTAGTCATATTGATATTGAAGAATATGGAAACTGTGGTACCAATGTTAAACGGATAAAAGCATTGAGTTCGATCAACTCTAATTCGGAAATTTATTTGATAAAGAATTTAAAAGGTAGTTCCAAAGAGGATGAGGATTATCAACTACTTTTCATATCTAGACAACCGTATGAGTGTTTCTTAATAAGAAGCAGTATAACTAAGGCAAATAATGATTTTATTGTGAGTGTAGTTTCAATAAACTCAGAAATCAGGCTTAAGGCATCAATTTACAAATTTCACTAGGTTTGTTATGTTGCGGGCAAATTCAATTGCTCTAAGTCTAAAAATCGCAATATTAGCGGGAATGCCTATTGTCTAGATGCTAATAAATAGCTATATCAACACGAGTGCTTTTAGGATGGCAAAAGACAAAACTAATGATGCTTTCTGCCAATGATGATCCAACATGTGAGTTGAACAATAAAAAATGCAATCTTTACCAAGAAAATAAAGTCGTGAATAATTGTTATAGATATAGGAGATATGAAAAGCATCCTCATGCTATTAGATTCGTTTTTGCGTGGATGCTTATAGCACAAGTACTTAGGAACTACGACACAGGAGCATTACCAGTTCTTCTTGGATTGATTTCCGATGAATTTGGATTGGACGAAATGAAACTCGGAGTTTTAGGTGCAGTACCGTATGTTTCTGCAATGGCAACTGCATTTATTATGAATCACCCCCTTCAAAAATATAGCCAAAAATGGATAATAGTTACTTCTCTATTTTTTTTATCTTTTGGACTTGCTTTACTATTATCTTCTACTTCAAGTACATTGTTATATATTTCAAGGATTATAATGGGATCTATGCAAGCACCTTTGAGCATTTATATTCCGGTTTGGGTCGATGAATTTACACCTCCAAACAAACTTACGGCATGGATGGGGGCATCACAAGTAACTATGATCATTGGTGTTGCTATTGGATATTTGATTACTGGATTTACTTTGAATTACCATAATGGATGGAGATATTCCTTGCTTGTTCCATGTTTATTACTATTATTAATGTCGATTTGTCTAATGTTCACTAAAAGTGAATACTTTAATGTCAAATATTCGAGCCATGAAAGCAATGATTTAGAAATAGAAATGGGCGAAGGGAAAATGAATTCCAGTAAAATAATCGGATTAGATAGGCATATTAAAGATGATGCAGTGATTCAATACTCAATCCCTTCTTCATGTTCAACTGAACTTGTTGAAAGTCCTTGCAACTCGATTGCTATATCAACAAAGTTTATTACCGTAGACAAATTGCAAGAAAATACCTCGAATATAAATAATATCTCTTCTTTTTCTTTTGATGCTCGAGTTCGGAAAATTTCGAATGATTTTTCTGCCGAAATGAAGCCAATGAACGGAAAAAGTAATTCAAATAATTTAAACGATTTGCAAAATGACGTTCCAATAAAAAAACCAATTATTCAGCCAACACTTACAACACATTATATTTCTATTTCGAGGTCACTTTCCCTTTCAGAATTTGCAAATGGAATGCCTCAGAACACACAACTTACAAATTCCGGTAATGTTATGTTTAAACAAGAAACTTTTGCAAATTCATTGTGCGAAGACGAACTGGGACTAGAAAATTCAAAATCCAGTACTTTTAAGAAATTAATTGCATATAAAAAATGGAAATGTTTACTAGCAAATTCAACCTATATGCTTTCAATCACCATTTTATCTGTTATTTATTATGTAGTGACTGCTGTACAGTTTTGGACAACAAGATATTTGCAGCAAATATATACAACTAGAGACGGAATTATTTTTATGTCATTTTCTGCGACTGCTGTGATCGCACCTACAACGGGGATTATATTTTCTGGCTTTATGATTGACTTCATCGGAGGATACAAGAGCAATCGTGGATTATTTTACACCATGCTTTTTTGTATGATATCTGCAACTTTCGCAACACTATTCGGCGTACTTGCACTTATCATCGATAATTTTACCGTTACAATTGCTGGAATATGGGGTTTGTTGTTTTTTGGATCATTTCTTGTTCCGCCCATCACCGGTATCAGTGTCGGAGTTGTTGAACCAAAAATACGGCAATTTGCAACAACGGTTGCAATGGTCACATATCACGTGTTTGGTTTCGCCCTTGGAAGCCTTTTACCAGGTGCAGTATTACAATTAACAGGTATAACTAGATCAGGAATGACTATAGTTTATGGTTTCTCAGGATTAGGTGTAATAGCCAATTTTTTCGCATGTATTATTGCATACAAAAAACTTTGTGCATCAAAAGAAAGCACATATTCATAGTATTTGTGACTTCACATTATATTCCACATTAGCAAACCAGAATATCTACTCCTACTTAATTTATATTCTAAAAAAATAATCAGTTCATTTTCATTCATTTAATTAATAACAATAGAGTTGCTGTTATTATTGTAGAGACAAATAATAAATTTGCCACACTTCTTTTAATGTCACTATTGTCTCTTAATACATTCTTAAACAATTGGTGGCTATTTTTTTTCAAAATCTTAGAGTTTGCTTCCAAAATTCGAATGTCTTCGCAATTAAGCAGTATTGTTTTAAGCGATTCATTTAATGATATTTTGACTTTTTCTGTCATTAAGTTTGCAAATTCAATCTTTCTAAGATTAATTTTTTGTAGCATTGCCTCGATTTGTATTTTTATATATTGAGATTCGTTAGAAATAATTTCAGTTATTTTCAAATCAAAATTTGATTCACATAAATTATTCTCAATTTTAAACTCCTGACCATTAGATCTGTTAATGTTTTCTACGACCTGACTCTTTGCCAGAATTATAGTTTTCAGCGATAGTTTTAACTCTCGAAAAATTTTGTCGATATCAAAATTTATATCCAGTTCATCAACAAGAAGAATTATAAGTAGTTTGTTGTTGTACTCTTTTTTCAGAAATATCTATAGAATAAATTATTTTCTTGATTTTGAAAAAAAATGAGTACATACCGTATATTTGCCTAGCCACTTTAATCTTTTAAAAGAAATGTCATTTACTTTATTAATGGCAGAATTCACGATCTTATCAATATATGAGCTAAATTTTACTTTAACGGAAAGAGGACAGTCTAAACCTAGTATAAAAATCCATAAAATTCAGAATTAAACTTACCTTTAACAAAATAAGAAATTCTAATTGAGAGATTACTTAATGAAAACAATCCCAAATAATCAGCCCTACATTGACTAGCTGAATTAAACATATTGTGAATTGAAATAACTATATTTGTTCATTGTTAGATTTTTTTTAACTTTATTTTGATTTAATGAAGGATAACATGCTCTTGAACTCGTCAATGTCAATTGATATGTGAAAACCCACAAGATAAAGACATAACGTTGTGTATTTACGTGGAAATTATCATCGGATAATTTGTAGAAAAGAAATGTTTAGGATTGAATTATTTTATAAAGTTGAAAAAAAATACATTAATTTGAAAGTATCTCAACCTTTTACCATTAGCATGCTATAATCGTCTATTATGCATTATGGTGCAAATAAAGTATTGTCTGCAGCAATCATGCCGCAGAACAAGTTTATGAGCAGTTATGCTAATAATAGCGTTCAAAGTAATATTTATAATTTCAATTCACATATAGAAAGCAATTATTATCAACCTTTATCTTCATGTACGAATAACTTGGATATAATTCAGGCAAACCAGCGCCCATTTATTTTACATAAACAATTTACACCGCCACAAACTCCAAATAATCTGCGTTATGCTTCTTTATCACCATTTTCTAGATTGGATAATTTACAGTTTAAAAGAGGACCTAATAATATATTAATTAAGAAATATTCGACACCAATTATTATGCCCTCCTTAACTTCAAGGCGTGATGGTTTGAATACGCCTTCCGTTTCATTTAAAAATTTTAACGAATTTCAATATTGTAATATACAGGGTTCACAATCATCCCCATATAATTCACATGCAGTTCCAGGAGCATCTGGCTCAAGAGAAACTCACTTTGCCTTTAAACAGTCGAATGTGATTTTATCAGATAATAAAATAGAAAAGAACTCGACTGAAAAAACAAGTACAGTTATACCTACAAATTATAATTTAAGTAAGAAAATATCGAAAGGTGGGAAATCTTCTATTTCTATTAATACCCCAAACTTACGATCAAACAATGGAAATGTTAATCATGGTGTGGCTAGGGGTGAAAACGCTCCAAAAAGTGCTCAACACAGCTCTTTTTTAAAAAATGTGGAGCAGTCGGATACAAAATATAACAATAATGGCACCAATTCGGGATGCCCCTCAGAAACTTTTTCCCAACTTACTTCAAACAATGAAATAATTGAGGTAAAAAAAGACTTAATAGAAAGAGTCCCAGATGCGAGTAATGGCGTTTTACAAAGATTAAAACCAAATGAATATATAAAGATGGATGACCTAGTACTGGAGCCCGCTACCCAGAGAGGATCATTCGGAGTTGTTTTTAAAGGCAGAATTAGGTCTGGGGTATGGTCTAATAAGGAAGTTGCAGTAAAACGGTGGAAATTTGATAATGAAAGCAGAATCACAGAAGAACATTTTAAATCACTTGAAAGGGAGGTTTATGCATATAGATTATTACGCCATCCGAATATTTGCTCCTATATCGGCGTTTGTTTAGAGCCAGGGTTTTATGCGATAATTACTGAATACCTCGCAAATGGAAATCTGTTCGAGCTATTGTATGAAAATAAAGTCTTAGTTTCTGCTTCCGACAGATTAAAAATCTCAAGACAGCTTTGTGATGCAGTAAACTTTATTCACCGAAACAATATGATTCATCGTGATATAAAAACGGCGAATATAATTCTTGATCATTCAAATAATGTTAAACTATGTGATTTTGGTCAAACTAGAACAATGAATATTTTAACAAAGACCAGTTCATTTGGAGTTATTCTGGATGAAAACGGTGGATCACCCAGGTATATGGCACCCGAGTGCTTTTATATTGGAAAGTCTATAGATGAAAAATCAGATGTATGGGCGATTGCATGTTGTTTGTTAGAAATTTTTGGTGGTCCCATACCCTTTTTTGAATGTTCTTCAAATGAAGAAGTAATTAACGCAGTAGTAGTAGAGAGAAAGAAACCCAAAATTCCTTCATGGTTTCATCCATCTATATCTAACTTACTTTCCAGATGTTTTGAAAGGAAGCCTTTAAATAGGCCGTCTTCATATGAAATTTTAATGATCCTAAATGGGTTAAATTCGGAAGATATCAGAAAGTATGGTATGAATGTAAAAAGGAACATCAATGGTGACTTGGAACCAGGAAATAATGTAAATTGCACTAATGGCAACATAGGGAATGGAAGGAGAATAGTAGGAAACTGTATAGGGGTAGCGCAGCAAAAAAGGATAGTCGTTAGAGCACCTACATCCGCAGATTAATTTAAGGTCTATAGGTTATGTTTAACTATTTTTATACTCAAAGTTGCTATTTAGTATTTGCAAGGTTTAAAACGAAGCGTCGCCCACGCATTCGAAGTCTAGTAGAAACCTAAACTCCTAGTTATCTAATTTGACCTTAATGTGCAAATGTGGCACACCCGTTCATTAATAATAGAAATAAGCAGGTTTTAGACATTCAATCATTATTGCGAACCTGAGAAAATCGTTTTATTGAAATTCATAAAACAATAAAGAGAGTCCGCATAAAACGCAAATGTTTTGTGGTTTGACGTTTAATTGTAACTAAAGAATAATCTCTTGTTTGCATTCTTTCCAGGGTAATATGTATGTACAAATACCCAACTATGCAAGAATGCGTCTCTAGTTTATGCGCAACACGACCAACAAGTCATTAACATCCGTGTTGGAGATACCTGCGCAGAAAAAAAATACATGTCTCCCAATATTTTCCATGAAACTATATAATGAAGCACGGAGTTTAATGGTAGTTCTATTTTGCAAGATGAAAAAAACTACCAAGCCAGGAAGAAGGCTTGGTGCGAGTGTACTTGCAAGGGAAAATTAAACTTGGAACTAGGAAAAACGATCGTTTAATAATCACGGTAAAAGTTAATAAACTGAATCTTTAATCCAATTGACTATAAAGTCGAGGTAGTGCGAAAAATAACTCATTTTCTCTTTCTAAAACGATTCCTATTCTCTATCTGTCTCTTTTCTTCTGCATTTTCAATGGTAGGAAATAACTTGGCGTTATCATCTGAATCGTATTCTATGTCGGCACGATCTCCCCATTCAACAAAATTACCGTATGAGACAAATTTCGCAGACTCCTCTTCAACATTATCATCATTAGTACGGGTCTCGTAATTTGCGCCAAATGAATAGTTACTAGACGTATCATCTTCGTATTGATTGTTAATATAAATGCCAGAATTAACGGCCTCGTTTATAATGTAACTGTTCTTCCTGTGGTTGAATCTTTTGACAAAATTAATTATTTCATCAAAAACCTGTTTTAAGGCACTATAGAGTAACTCAGAAAACAGTTCTGGCGGTAGATTTAAGTCAGAAATTAGGCATTCAACATGTTTAATTAGCAGATCTGTAGGATTCGAAATGTTCCACTTGAACCTATCGTTTATAACAACATCTTCATATGATTCATTTAAACGTATTTCGCAAATTAATAGTAAATTGTTTCCCGGGTTTACGTTCGATCCTAAGATCACATAAAGAAATTGTAAATATAGACTTTTATAGTTTTCTATCTCTTTCATTAACCAGTTAAATACCCTTTTCTTTTCATGATTACTCATGAATATAGATAGATGTCTTTCACGACTGAGGTTCTCAATGAAACCCCATAGCGTGTTTGAATCAGACGTAGACGACCAAATAAACTTCTCAGATCTGAAATTTTTTCCTTTTAACGTGGATAGAATCGCTGATGAATTCGGTTTTGAAATTGAAGAAACGGTGCTATTTTCAATTGAAAAACTTTCATTAAATGAGCTTGAAAGAAAGTGCCGCAGGTTTACAGATAATGGCATGAATATGGGCTCTAGAATTCTTAAAGTAAAATCGCGATTTTTATTCCCTGTTTGATTTCCATTAAATTCCCACAAACTATCTAATTCTATACATTCTATTAAAGTGTTATCATTAATAAAAGACGATATTGGCCCACTTTGAAAGTCTTCAATAAGAAATTTGTTGGTTTTCCTTTTTTTTCTAGGGCCTTTTGAGCATCCGATACATGAACTTAATAATATTATATTTTTCTTTAATGATTTGCCATTGGAAGAAACGCCAGTGAGTTTTGTTCCAGATTCATTTAAACTATGTGTTGCACCTTCTGACTCAGTTAGGTATTCTTGTCCTTCATTAAAATTTTTCTTTTCTAATTCAAGATGATTGTATTGGTCCGAATTTAAACGATCAAAGTTCTCAGTATTAGAAGAAATTGAATTGTTATTGAATTCATTTTCTGATATATTTCTTCTGGAAAGAGTTCTTTTCTTTTGAACTATTTCTCCGTTTTTTTTTGAATTAGAGATTTTCGGTGCTGTTAATGGGTCATGAGAAATTAACCCCAAATTAATCTTGTTATAATATTCACATAACTTATATACAACATCTTTCTTCCTATTAATTGAAATAGTTTTAGTACCAGGATCTCTTAAAATTATGCTTAAAATAGATTGATTTATTCCCGTTGTAGCAGAAATATGTGTTTGCCTTAGTCCTGTTGTACGTAAAAAATCAAATGTTTTGCTCGTAATTCTCTTAATATCTGCAATGGTGATATTTTCGAGTTGAATGTTTTCAAGAAGTTGGTCTTCAAATATTAGCTTCTTTTCGGGTATATTCGAACTTTGGGTGTTTTTTGTCGACAACTTGTTTGAACAGTTGTGATTTTCAATCTGCAATACATTTTTTATTTTTTTTCTACCCATTTTTAACAGAAATGATGCTCTAATAGAGTTGGCGCCATAAATTATTGAATCAATTAAAAAAAAAAATCAAAAATTACTTAAAAATACTAAATATGAAAAACTACTTTTATACAACATAAGGTTACAATTTCATAAAAAGGTGAATATTTCAGAGTTTAAACAATTCTCATTTATTTCAAACTTTTATTTAGTTTTTTTTTATTGATGTTTCTCCAATCACTTCATGTTCTCTCTTTTTTAAGGATCCCCACACGCCTGCATAACCCCACAAGCAAACATGACAAAAAAAACTCCAGCTCTATCAAATAATACGATGGAATTTAAATATATAGCTGTTTGTGTGATTTTATATTTAATTTGCGTCACAGTTGAAGCTAATTCTATTCATCATCGAATTAAATTAGATAGTTTCGTGGAGTACGACATATTTGATATTATCGTCAATTCAAGGAAAGCAGATGCAAAACCAAGGAGAAACTTCCCATTTATCAAAATTAATAACAGACAATCCAGTAATTCTCTTGCACCAGCTTTTATGAAAATCCATCATGGAGCTTGTAAAGAAGGAAAAAATGAGTACACTGTCTCTACATCATCTAGCCCAGCATTCGAGAATTGCAACCATTCACTAGCTAACCAAATCGAAGTAAATAGCACTGGTTCGATATCAGTGAAATGCTGCAGTACTATTACTTCACCCAACATAATCCCACAAATTAATGTAACACAAACTATTGATTTAATCAATTAGCCATTCATGGCATCTAAATTAAATAATATATAAAGCCATTAATCAGAACTATCTTAGAACTACTAATTAATTGGGTACACCTTTAATCTAAACATTGTTACGTTTCGATGACTCAGCTTCAACATTTCTGCACGCAAAATGGTAATATGAGTATATATACTGTGGTACAAGGCTATCTGGGGAAATATTTAGATCTTGATTTATTACTCGAATTAGAGAATTTTTGAATTCATTAAAAACATTACTCATAGTGGTATTAAAAACATTTTGAGGGGCACTGGAATAACAATAATTTTTTTTTTCCAACGAAGCTTTTATTAAACTTCTCATGGCACTCGACATAGACAGTATTGTATCCTCACTTAATTCACCCCTTTCTAATAATTTGCAATTATTGAAGTTGTAACATGCATCAGTTTGTCTTTGAGGCAATTCATTTTTTCCCTCATAAGCCTCTTGACGTTCTTTCATATATAACTTTATATTTATATGTTTGAATTCATTGGTTTTTTTTGGAATTTTGGTTGAGGCAGTTGAATTGTTGTCGAAAGGTCTAAATGTTTTTATTTCTATAAAATTTTTTTCGTAGGGCTGCGTTTCCTCTAAATGATGCATTTTATTGTTATAAATGTTTTTTGTCGCTTTGTCAATGTATATTTCCGGTTTTGGGTTTAGATTTGAAAGCAAATATTCTGTTAAATCACGGCAAAAAGCAAATATGCCCAATTCAATGCACCGTTGTTTATATTTCTCAAGTTTTTTGCTTATAGTTGGCCAATTTCCACTGTATCCTAACGATAGTTTTTGGAAAACATTCTCAGCTTGTATCATTAGTTGTGTGTTTGCATATTTCCTTGCGGAAAGTAGTTGTTTTTTATCTGCGTATCGTACTCTTTCTTTAATGTCAATTGAGAAGTCGTTTAATACACTAATATTAGCTGAAGGCTCACTTTTATCCTTGCATATTGCAAAGACCGATTGAATAACTTGAATTATTAAAAGTAAAATTAAAACGTTTCTCATAGCTGGATTTAAATGAACCAGGAGACAATTAATCAATACAATACCGAAATCATAGTTGAATTTCGAGCGCGGCTAGAGAAAAAAGAAATATAATATATTTAATATAAAATATATTGTGTTAGGAGCTCTAGTTCGAAGATCAAGTAGTAACCCTAAAACTAAAATGCATCTTTCGTTGCCAGTGCAGGCTTGTACTGTTCATCAAAAATGCTAATACATCTATTAATAGACTCTGAAATTCCTTCCGTAGATTTTCCATTTACCAACTTTGGTATATTTTCACTTTGGTCCCGTAAAGCAATAATTATTCTTGCAAGAATCAATTGAGAGTGCTTAGAATCAACAATTATTCTACGGCTACTAATTTCCTTGATACGAATGCTTTGTAGCTTTTCAACATAGTCTTCATATAGAGATAGCAACGTAATAATATCTTCGAATTTAGCAGAAAAAATTCCCTTTTTTTGTTTATCTTCTATATACTTCAAAAGCTTGGTTGCTTTATTGGAGATATTGTTAGATGATTTTAAAAATGAATCGATTGTTATAATAGTCTTGTTTAACTTTTGAATGTCGTCATTAAGAGACTTTAGTACTACAACGAAAGAATTTAGTGTTTGATATGTATTTTTCAACTTTCTTTCTTTAATCAGGAGCGCACGCCTTAAAGCTGCGCCTGGGCTAATTTGGTCCAGTTTCTCCTGTAAGTCATTTAATAGTATGCTTATGCATTGGCTAAGTCCAGCAATTGAGCGCTTAGCGTTGGTAAATTCTAAGAACGTCATTCCAACAATGTGTTTATTATCATTGGATAGAGCATATATTAAATTTCTAATTTTCGTAGCAATATTACCTGAATCGATATCTTTCCCATCATCTAAGGAATTATTGGTAAAATTTCTAGAAGGGTCGTTGATCGATTTATCAGTAAACTCGTTAAAAGTAACTTCTCCAGGGCTTTCATCCTGTAGTGTAATTGGAAGTTCCTCAACAAAATATTGTTTTGAAAGATTACGAATTTCACCAGTATTGTACTCATTAACCTTTGAAGCAATAATATTGCAGAGCTTACCAACCCAAGAATAAAATTGGCTTTGAGTAGGAGATCTTACCCCTCTTGCAAGCGCAAAATAATGCATTAAGTCAATGCACCTTTTGGTAATGAAAAAAGGACCCATGAATGTAGCAAAAGTTATAGAATCTTTATATGGAAATATGTTTTTATATGGTGAAACTTCGGTAAATACTGTCTTAATTGCTTTTTCTACGTTTGAAGTTAATAGATAAAGGGTAACATCATCTAAACCCATTGGCCTGAAACCACTGGAAATCTTCCTCGCTTCACAATCCTGATAATACTGTTCTAATATTGAACTAACGTCAGCAGGGTCTGGTGGATGGAAATAAGTTTCCGCTGGTTCCATAATTGTTTTAAGTTTTTCGCCAGTCATTGGTAAAGCATTGTAGCCAGATTTATACCCTGCCTCTATAACCCTGTGCATTTTTTTCCATTGTGAAAAATCGACCATCACTCCTGGTATCCACATAAGAGCCTCCTCGTTTGGCTGAATCAAATATCTAATTGTAACATCAGGATATTTGGAAATTATTTGTCTTACAACGGAAGTTGATGAAACCATATCTGAAAGTATGCCTAATGATTGTAAAACAATATAATATAATGGAAGCTGATGAGGGCTTCTATAGTCTTCGCCCTCTAAAAAGGAAGTATTTCTCTTTAATCCTCGTGGCTCTTCTGCGGATATGAAATCAATGACAACGTCTCTTGGTGTTTTTGCCTTTCCTACAGCAATACACCGTTTAATTGCAGTCTCAAGATCTCCAGCAGCAATAAAACCACCATCAACATGATAACCTAGATTTCTCAAATATTTGATCGGGAATATTCCTGGAATGGTGCCTGAACCTATAACTGCCTCTATTATTTCCTCAAGCTCTAATTGTTCGGTAAAGACGTGTGCAGTTCTATCAGTGTAACGCATTGTATTGGTAAAAAAAAGTCTTTGTTTATGTTTTCTATGTAGAAACAGCTCTCTTAATAACTTTCTTGCAGGAGAATTGTCGCACAAATATCTAAACGGATTTCTGGCACTAATCCAACCTTTAAGAAATGAGACTGCCCATCTTGCATAATTTTTTTTTAAAGGAGTCTTACATGTCGTAATATCTTTTTGCCTTGCCATTTTCCAAAGTATCACAAGCTCAGTAGTCCATGCCAGCTCTTCACCAGGTGGATAAAATTGAGAAGCAAGTGCATTTATTGCACCAACCGAAGTTCCCCCTACAAGATCCCACCTAAGTTTTTTCCCACTATCGTGGTATTTTTGGGCGATGCCACGTACAACACCCGCCTGCCAGGGGCCTTTGTTGGAACCAGACGACATAATTAGTGCATAACATACATTATCATGAGCATCTTCTAAATGGTGACGGTTTGGAATAGAAATACCTTTCTTTGAAGATTTACAAATAACCGAGCATGAAGTAATAAAAAGGTAAAAAGAAAAAAGTTGGAGTATACGCATTATTAAATACTGACAATTTCGTTAAATTTTGCATATCAACGCATTAGAGTAGTTTCTCCTTTTTTTTCCTTTATACTAATTTAGACTCACATGAATAAAAAAAAATTCAGAGCGGTAACTCTTATCTTGCTTATGTATTGTCGTTGAATCCGCCTTAATGTCAAAAAAAAATATTAAGTATTACATGTTCCTAAAATTAAACTTTTTATATGTATTTAATGTTTAATTTCAAAATATTAATACATGAGATTCGTACTTAACGATTAATTTGTTATCAACTCTTTCTATTATCATGGTTTTTAGCCACTACAGAACTGTTAAAAAATTATTTTAATTCAAATATCTTTGCTTAACGTACATAATATGGCTTTCTGGCATTTAAAGACCTAATGTGACTATATAAATTGAATCCCATTCCAAATAAAGAAATCATTACTTGCAAAATAGACATTACTGTGGAAATTGTAACTGAAATAGTTACAGAATTTGCAACAGTTGATGCTGCCACAATTTGATTACTTGCAGTCCTAGCAATCAAGGAGTTTGTGATCTCCGCTCCAACGCCCGCTAGGACACTACCTGAGGAATGCGCTATTATTGTACTGGCAACTTGGCATGCAGCCGCACATGCAGAATCTGAAGAAATTTGAGATATGACGCCGCACATGGTTTCTCCTGCAGTACTCGAGGCTAATTGACACGCAGTATGGCATGCTGCGTCGGATGCAATATTACCTGTAGTTTGGCAAATTGCCTCACTCATTGCATGGCAAACTGTCTCCCCTGCCGTTTGGCACGCAACCGTTCCTGCAGTGTTACATGCTGCATGAGACACGGCACTGCACACTTCATTAACTATTGTTCCAGATGCAGCATTACAAACGATATCATTAACCACCGCTTCTATAAAAACATGACTTTTCGTTTTAAAAAAATATTGATAAAGGAAAATAACTAAACACACATAAATTTTCATCGATATATATTGCCCAAAATTTAAAATGAAAATAAATGGTTTATTTCTCCTGTCAAAAACTTGATCTTGTCACTTGATTTCGAGGCTCTGTGCCCCCCCCCCGCCTAACATCTTATTTTCGGATGCAATTTATATCGCTTTCTTGATATGCAGATAGCATTATTAAAGGTTTTATAAATTTAAAATACAAAACTCGATACAACTATTAATCAACTTCTAAATTTTTAATTAATAAAAAAATATATTTAAGGAAAAATAATTGTCCCTAGTTCAGAAAAAAAAATTTCAACTAATTTATTAATTCTTTGTAACCTAGAGCTATTAAATTACACCAATAATGACTCTTGTCTTTTGGCTGCACAATAACCACGTTGTTTGGTTGTATATTCAAGCATTTTGCCGTGTTATGACAAAATGATAACTTTAAATGGGTTATCTAAATGTGTTTATTTAAAATATCTCTGTTAAATTTGATGTGATTATTTGCTTAAACATAAGTTAATAGCTTTACAACAATTTAGATCATATTTTTAATGATGGATACTTGTCTCTAGCAGAAATACTGCATTTTCTGAAGTATTAGATTAATATATTATTCAAATCATGAATTGGTATATTAGTGCTTGGAAAGATTAAGGTATTTATATCCAAGAAAAATCATAGAAAATTGCATTGGAAGAATAAAGTGAATTGAATCAGATTTATTTTTGAATATTTCCGTTTAATCTGAAATATTGGCTTCAAGCTACTAATTACTTCACAAAATGCAATTTCCTTTGTTTTGACTTTCGTCTATATTGAGAATGCAATGAAATACCCATCGAAAAAATACTTGTTATTTGAAAAAGATAGTGTGTTGTATAGTGTGTATTTAGCCTGAATGAATCTAAATCAAATTCATTATCTTCTGGCTGTTCAAGCTCGTATAGTTTATTATGGAATGCTTCATCAGTTGAAATTGTCTTTTCTGAACGAAATGAAATATTTGGGTTATTGACATTTATATTAATACTATATCTCTGAAGTGGACTGAAAATTTTCGTTGCAAGAATAAGGTCATTTGTATAGCTATTTCCTTCATGATTTGTCAATTCTGTACTTATCATTTTTGTGCCGTAACAAAATGGCTCTAACAATATGTTACAATTATTCTCATTCTTAATTTCATTTCTTTTTTTAACTACTAAATCTTGATCTGTTCTTTTAATATGTGCACTATCATAACCTACTATATTCTCTGCTCTATTTTGTTTGATTTCAAACACTCGATTATTTTCGGCATCAAATAAGGAGTCTATAGATAGATTCATTATTTTTTTGAAATAATTTATATTATCACTGTCAAGAGATTTATCCATATCATTGCAGTTCGAAAGTGTAGGATGAAAAGCAAATTCGCAGGGGGAAACCGAACCATGATAGTCTGCTCCAATAATAAGTAGATTATTGACCTGATCGCTATCTTTACTAAAAAATTGGCTAGACAAAAATGACTGCAGTGATAGATCCATAGAGTGACTGATATGTTGTATATTTTCCGTCATCCCATCAATAGTACGTATAATTGAATAAAGCAACATAAAAGGCCCAGAAAACGACGAAATAAAGCAATCTGCAAACTCATATATAAAAGAAAGTAAGAATATTACAAAAATCAGTTTGTTCATTCTCTAACTGTTTTTTGTTTGATTTAATAATTATTTTAATAAAAACAATTAGCGCTAAACATGTATAAATTAATTATTAATCAAATGCTCACTTCTACGCAAAAACTTGATTCTTTTTAGATATGTATACACAAAATCGATTTTCCCCTAAATCTAAGAATGATAAATCGAAATTTTGTGAAAAAAACAAATTAGACGAGGTTGATGATGTTTCCATTAATGGAAAAATTCATCATAAAAGCGAGTGTTCAATTGAAAATTTTTGGTTCGATTATAGAATATGGTGTATCTTATTTAAAGTCAACTTAGAACAGATCAGTTCAATCAATCAATTTATTTCAAATAATATTTTGAATGCAGAAAATGATTATGTACATATTGAGTCAATAATTTATAAACTAGAAAAAAAAAATTCAAACAATAAATTAATTAGATTTGACTTTGAGAGATTCAGGCCAAATATCTATCAAAAAAATATTTCTTATCCAAAAATACCAAAAGGTTTTTATGGTATTGACAACTTTTTGGAACTAATAGAAAAAGACTTTAATTACAACATTTCAAGAAGAGAATACAATGAATTACTAACAGTCTTGACCCTTGATTCATTCCCATCAATTTCAAGTCTCAAAATAATTGATAAACTAGTTTTTGTTACAATCACTATATGTGAATACCTTAAATGCAACTATTTACAAGGAATGCATGAAATTGTTGGTTGCCTAGCTTTTCTTCAAAAAAATCCAGTTCCGATTAACTACCATATTATTTTATCGATTGAAATAATCAATAGATGGGCAAAATTCCTAATTCTTCCAAATCTGTTCAAGAATTACAATACTTTACTAAATGGAAACAAGATTCACAAATTAGAAAAAGATAAGAGAGATCATGCAATTATTGAGGCTGAAGATAATGAAAACGTTATTATTGGATTTTTACACGATTATTTTATTTCTGACCAATTCAATGAAACCAAGGAATCAATCTATAAAGATATTAATGAAAATTTGCAAAATAGTTGTTTATCTGATAATAGCACCAATACTAATTCAGAAATGAAGTTTTCACAATGCTTTGAAAATGAAATATATGAACCAATATATCAAAATCCAAAGATAAAGATAAACGCAATTGAACAAATATTAAATATTTGCAATGAATTTCACTCGTTTGGTTGTTTTCATATTCCCAATATTTTTAATGAAATTGAGAAATGTATCGAATCAAATATTTGGTGCTGTAATGTATTTATTACCTGCGGAAGTTCTCTTTTTATTGAAATTGAAAATGTACTTCTCTTTTGGTTGAATCTAATCTTTTCAAGCTCTGAAGTAGATTATAAACCTCCATTCTTCCCTAAAATCCAAAGTCAATTGCAGTTAGCTGCGTTTTTAATTGTACTACTGAAATCATTAGAGCATCAACTAAGAAATGACATTTACCTGATTTGCACGGATAGATTCAAGCTAGACTTGGATTTAAATCTACGAATTGGTATTGTTAGTATATTGAATCCATTTTTAATACCAAACAACAATTTAGAAAACACAGATTTTAGTAAAACAATCCAACATAGTCCTTTTGAAGAATTTATTGGAGAAAAAAAATCGTTATTTTTAGATTTGTTCCAAGTAATTCTTGCAATGGAAAGCTTGCTTATGTCAACTCCAATATCACTACAAAAGAGAGTCATAAATACCTTAAATAATTTTGACTCTACTTCTAGTTTTGAAGAGGCTAAATTAAAAAATGTCTTTATTAATTTTATTGAACCAAAAGAATTATTATATTACGACAAAGATTTTACAATAAAAAATAAAAAATGTTCAGATGGTATTGTAAACATTATTTCAGGTAAAGACATTGTCCTAATAGATATTTTATCTAGTTTTTATTTCGATAATGCAATTGACTCAGATTTAGATAGATTAATAAGAAGATTAGAAAGTGCGGAAGAATTTATCAAATTTAAAGAAGGAAATACAGAAATTAATTATGAGCTTTCCAAACTTTTTGACGAGGAACTTCTGTCTATTTTATTACTGCCCATGTTACGATTCAGTTTGAAAACAGCTAGGATTGTAAAAATACCACTTGAAAAAGATAAAAAATGTATAAATAGCCAAGCCATTTTTCAATTTTTAGAATTTGCCTCTAGAAGACAACGTGCATTATTAATCCAACAAAGACCATCCATTTGGATAATATATGGGCCAAAAAACGAATTAAGAGACGAATTTGCTTATAAATTAATAGAAAATGGGTTAATAGGCGTTCAATTAATTGATACAAATAAAGTTTTTAATGAATTACTCGAAAAATGTTATTTTCCAAATAAATTTGATTTTTTTATGAATATTATCAAAGATGTAAAAAGTAATTTATGTTTGGCTAACAATAGAACAAATTATAAGAGCAGAGCCTTATTAAAAATTAGCACTATAAGGAAAAAAAATATCATAAAAGAGCCTTTAATTACAATAAATACGACAGATTATAACCAAAATAGAAAAGTTTTAAATAGTGAGTCAAAATTGAACCATGAAAAACAAGAATACTTAAATGTGAGTAATAGGATAGTAAAGTTCAAGCCAAATAGAAGAAAAATGTATTATAAATAAATATATATCGTATTAAATAAATACCCAGTTCGTCAAAATGAAAAATCAGATCGTGTATACATTGCCCAAGGGAACTTTGTTCTTAAACTTCGATTAAATATCTTGTCAATGGGTAAATCGTATTTCTTACAAAATGCAACTGAGATTCTGGGATCCATATAGTTAATTTTTGATGTATTTAATGCTACAGTCTTATTGTCATCTTTGATTTTGATTTTTAAGTACAAGTTCGAAATCTTGCTCTTAATAGAGTCTATTTTCTTTTGCACAACATCTGGACTTGAGTTCAAGTTTATTGGATATTTTCTTTGTTTTCCATTAAAAGAAGTTTCAATAGAAAGTTTTGGCAATTCATTCATTGTAACAGATTTATTTTTTTTCAAAATCTTTAAAAATGTTTCACAGATTTTTAAATCCTCTTCTAATTCCTGTTGCTGCTTAACCATTTTTTCCATAGAGGATTCGTGTTGTTTAGGAACTGATCTCTGATGGTTACATAATATTGCAACTTCTCTATTAGCATCATTGTAAAATCTTAAAATATCGTTAACATTGGTAATATCTACTTCGTTATTAAAATTAGAAATTTTAATTTCTTCTTTCGAACATCCTTCAAGCTCCATTTTGGTTTTTTTTTCACTTTTCATGGTTGGTTTTGCTGAAATTTTTGAAAGCTCACGTTCCAACGTAATTGATGCGTTGAATGTTCTAAACACTTTAGCAGAAAGTTCTGGCATAATGGATTTCAGGTATTGATTGAGAGAACTCATATTAATCTGGTCAAAGACATTTTCCATTTTATCTTTGTTTTTACAGAAAATTGTTAAATTATTGAACGCTGCCGGGTCAATAACGACAGTATTATAATATCTAATTGAATCTTTACCCAAAAAATCCAAGGTAATCGATTTTTCTTGTTTATTAAATGTAATATGTTCTACTCTTAGTGAACAACAGCCAACAGTATCAGCTTCCTCGTCCGTGTCCTTTTCTCCTCCAACTCTCAAAGCCAAAAAGTCAATTAAATATGTTGCTGTGCCAAGCTGCCTTTGAGTAATATCTCCACTTATCATTTTTTTCCGATAATCATCACGTATTGCGTCAATATAATCCTTTAGTTTCCTTGCCTTTTCGTATTTATTATAATCACTCATTCCTTTAAACCCACTTGAAGCGGAAAGGAAAATATATTTAAATTGATTATTTATAGAGTCCCTATAGTATGCAAGCCAAGTAACTGTATTGTCATGAAATATGTCCTTCCAAGCGTGCCCTTTCATACTATTAGGTACTTTTGGAACAGGTGCGTCTTCCGCAATATTTAATGTCACATCTTCAGGAAAAATTCGTCTTTTTAACATGCCAGACTTTGGATGTTCCCCCCTGCCTTTAAAAAGACCGGGTGGCTCAATCCTAAAATTTCCGACTTTTTCTTTAATCCAATCAACAAGAGCGTATACAAATAGTGACTCTTGGTCGCCCCTGTATTTTTTTTGAAGTTCTTTCTCCTCTTTTGATAAATTTTTTTTTGCTTCTTTCTCATCCTCAAAATATTGCTTGATAACATCAAAGTTACACTTTTCCCACTCTAAATTATTGTGTAATTTATCCCCAACTGGTATCGAACTCATAAAAGCCTTTCTAACATTATTACTAAATTTCTCCTTTTGAGCCCATTCAGTATCTTTCATTACTGACCAATAACTTGCGATCTCTTCCGCTTCTGGAGGAAGTTGAATCCGCTCACCATTATATATCAATGGCTTATTATGAACTTTGTATGGAGGGGCAAACATCACACCTTGGTGTTCAAGATATTCCCATTGTACACCAAGTTCTTCCTTCGGGGGGCGTTCCCACCATTTATTGAGAGGCTCATAATCCATCTCCGTTTTCTTCATAACTTTCCTCCGCTTGTTAGTACTACCCAACAATAAATCTTTAGATGACGCCATTTTTTTCTAAATTAAAATTTAATTACTTAATTCAATCTTTAACAATGGCGCTTTAAACTTAAAAAACAATGCATGGCCCATTTGATAAATATTCTTAAACATTTTTTGATGTGTGATTCTCTGCACACTATCACCCTTTCTTAAAGACTATGTTATTATTCTTTAGTTACCCATTAATTTCTAGAATATACAAATTATAAATATACATTTATAAATAAATTAGGAAAATATATATATATATATATATATATATATATATATATATATATACATTTATGTATATATGTTGAATAAAAATATATCTAACATATATATGTAAAAATATTTTTGTATAAATGGAAAATAAATACGAAAATAAAACAATGGAAAACAAAGTTCACGAACCGTTAGAAAATGCCAGCTGCAGATTATCATTGTCCAATTGTATAAAACCACTCCCAAAAGATATTGCAAAGTTTGCGCTTTATATTGTTTGCATTTCCGACTTTAGCTCTATTATTCAAGTTTTATATAACATTGTATCATCAGTTACAGTTAGTACAATATTTGTCATTTTTTCCATCATATGTTCGTTATTTGGGATTCTTGGTTTTTATTCCATCACGAAAAATAACAATACTACTATGAAGTATTACATGATTTACACTTTCGTAAAATTAATAATAGAGTCGATCACATCTTTTGGTATGTCGATAATATTTTATATTTATTATAAAACTACAATATATGATGAAAATTTCCCCACTTGGGTTGTTTTCTTGATAAATGCAATATTTTTAACATTATCCAGAATTACATTTTCATATGTCGCATTTTCCTTTTATAAAAGATTAGAAATTCAGAACTATGAAAATTTGGAGAAAGTTACAAATAAAGTGTAAAAATAATTAACATTTTAATCATCTTCAAAATTAGGAAAAATTGAATAAACATTAAACATAAAAACTATGATACTTAGTAATTGAAATATTAATTTATTAATTATTAATTTTATAAACTTTAAACATTTTACTTTTCCAAACTATTCTTTCCAGATAGACTTTGCGCCACACCATTTATTCCACACCGAAAATAGATTTTACATGTATTAATGGACCAATCAATCGATTTTTAAATTTCTATTAATGGCAAATCCAGATACTGATCAAGAAAAAAACTCTACTGTTTTTCAAGATATTACCACAAAAAACTCATTCATTCCTGAAGTAACTATTAATACTCACAATATTCATGTGGATGGTTTATATCAAGATATAATCAAAGAGAAGCCAAGAAGAAAAAAATGTAGAAAAACAATATACAACAAAATACAGGTATCTATTATAAATCGGCTCTGGAAATTGTCAAAAGAAAGAAAGCTACTATACCACATTCGTAACAGATGCCTAATTTCTTTAAATTGTACTGATCCTAATCATGAACAACTATTTCAAGATTATTGGGCACTAGCTTATCCTGAGTATCCTGAAATAAATCGGATTTCAAGTAACTGGAGGTTATTAGGATTTCAAAATGACGATCCAAGATTTGATTTCAAATGTGCAGGATTTGTGACTTTGGAAAATTTGGTATACTTCGCAGAAAATTACAGACATGTTTTTAGAGAAATACTTAAAGAATCTCAAAGATTTTTTTTAAATCGAAATAACAAATATTTACATAAACATAATACTCAAAGATCTATTATTAATTCCCGTAATATTAGTGATTTTATGAGCCCATACGAAACTCCAAATAACTTAAAATCTTCATTGAGCAATTTAAGTATAATTTCTACTCCAATTAATATTAATGATTCAAAAAAAGAATTTAATGGTAATTTTGAGCCATTGTTGCCAAAAATTACAGAATCAAGATCAACTATTAGTGAGATGAGCAATCATTCACAAATAGATCAAATTAATGTTTCATATCCATTATCTGCAGCATTAATCAATGTTTCAATTATGGTATGTCTATACCTTAATTTAATTCCGAGTGTATATAAAATACCCGGAATTCCAACAGTATCTGCAAGTAGAAAAGCATTAAGGAATTTCATAAGGCTAACCAACGAATTTTCTCTCAATACGCTCTCTGAACTCTTTAGTGTTTGTGCAATAAGATTTCATGCAGAGTGGTTGGATATTGTAAAATTCTTAGGGCACAAAGGTGCTACTTCTGAATTCGACAAAGTTCTCAAAAACGTTCAGGTAGTAATGGCAGAGACTATTGAAAACCTTCCAAAAGATATAATGGAGTTCAGACAAATTTGTAATTTAGAGAAATATTGTTAGAATTACAATAGAAAAAACATACAATCAGTAACCATTAAATTACAATAAATTATTTGAATGTATAAAATTATTTCAATGGTTTTAATTTCTAACAATCGTTGCTGTTCTCATAACTATCAATTTGAAACGAAACATCTCCCTCTTGTGTAACTCTGGGTTCTCTCGGTCTTCTCTCATAATTTAATATATCATTAACTTCCAGAGAATTCATAGAGCTTTCAGTAATAGAATGGTATTCATCATTTTGCATATTTCCTAAATAGTTGTTTGTAGATATGCTATTATTTATTAAAGAATTGCTTAATATGTTTTGTAAAAAAATATTATCGTAGGGTGAACGTTCAATGCTAATCATCTGCCCAAGGGACGAGTTTTGTGTTTGGCTTACTCTCTCTTCAACAGCCTGATTATTCAGATTAATTATATTACTAGAATTGACTAAATTTGTTATAGATGAGGCGTTAAAGTAATTATATGCAGCCAAAATATTCAATTGTGCAATTACGTTGTTGTTAATGTTAGATAAATATTGATTACTAGAGGGCTCAGCAAATAGTGTGCCGTTACCTAAAGAAATAGGAATTTGATTTAGATTCGAAATATGAGTTTGCAATGATTCATCTTCAGTGGAGCTTGTATGAATTTGTTGAAAGTCTTGTGATACTAAATTAATTGTATTGTTTCTCCCAGTACTATTTGGTTGTCCGGAGTATAAGGCACCAATCATGTATGGTAGTATTTCCATTTTGCATTGCCCTACTTTAAGAACCATGCCGGGTAATAGCCTAACTGGATAGCTGAATGGTTTTAGACGCAAAAATGTTCCAGATGTAGAGACATCCTTAACATACCAATTTGATAAACATCCTTTTGATCTACTTAAATAGTCAGGGCTGTCGCATTCTCTATTTCCTACTGATGAATAATAAAAAATGCAATGTTCTCGGCTAATATATCCATTACTCTCTGTTACTTCTACTTTTCTCAAACCAAGAGCTCCATTTTTTCCTCGTCCGAATACCATTCCAGAAGGATGGATAATTACTGACCAATACATTCCATCTTCTGTTTTTTTTGCTCCTTCACATGGAACAGAAAACTTGGATCCAGTTGGAATGTAAACCTCAAGACATTCTTTGATTTCTTCGAGCTCTAATTCTTCAAGTGGAATTTGCAAAATTTCACTTTCTTGGGCAAATTTTAGTGAAATCGAATCATCTTTATTACAACTTACGAAAGAATCCTCAAAATTACTATTTTTAGTTTCATCCGTCTTATCCTTGTTTTTACCATACTCATCAATATTTACTACTAAATTTAATTTATTACTCCAACGTAATTTTTTCCATTCATTTATTAATATTTGATTGTCGAAGTGTAAGTAATTATTTTTGTTGATTATTTCCTCTATTGTCCGAATTTTAACAATTATTTCGACTCTATCTGCCAAATGAATTATTTCATCAGTTGCAAGTCTATGCTTAGACTGAATTTTTAGCATTGTTCCAATACTACTTCCTAAATCAATTATCCCAATACCCCAATCTTTTCCGATTGAAGAAGTTTCATCAAATATATATGAAAAATCATCCACGTATTTCAGTTCTTGAGCAACCTGAGCATGTTCCTTGATATTAACTATTAGTAAGTGATTAGTGCTTACGGAAGAATGTGAAATATGGATAGTAGATTTAGAGTGCCTCCCAAGGTCCCAAGGAAGAGGAGATCTAAGAGTTCCCAAATCATAAATTTTTGATTCTACACGGTGTATTCTATCACTTAGTATACGTATTATAGGATACGTATTTGTTTTAATAAATGGACTTTGTCCAATATTTAGAATTGTTGGCTTCAAAGCAATACACTCTTCTACCCATTTTTTGACTTGATTTTTAAATACTGCATTACTATTAAGGGTAAAATCTGTATTTTTTTTTAAATGGTCAGTTTCATCATCATCAAGATTAAAAGGTAATGGTGGGCAACCCATCCATTTTGTTAACAAATTAACCTCCAGTGGCCCAATCATATATATACCGTTTGACCAGACCATACTTTTAAATTTAGTATTATGCAGCATTGATGACAGTTTTGACAGGTGGTCAATAATGCATCGAGTTAAATCTTCTGCAAAAATTATCCCAATACCCAGTATTTCATCAGAAATTATTCTTGCAAACAACGTGACTGATATGATTGGTTTACAAAAACACAGTTGCCACCACTTTGGTCTATTCTGTCCTTTGAATTCATTGTTTGTAAACAAAATTTCATTATCATTTCTTTCATCCCAAGAGGAGTTCTCGGATTGTTTGAAAATCCCCAATGAAACAATAACATTATGAATTGCCATGTTTATTCTGAAGTTGTATCCTATTAATTGTCTACATACTGGACAATTTTTTCCCAGTAAACGGTTGTGAGTAATGCAATACCTACAAAAAGTATGCCCACACGGAATTGTAACAGGTAAAATGTAATAATCAAGGCATACAGGGCAGGTAAATTCTGATAATATTTTATTGGAAATACTTGTACTCTCAAAACCATTATTTACAGATATACCTACTTTTCTAGACTTGCTTTTTACCATAATATCATTTTCTAATATATCGTATGATTCTGTACTGGGAGCAACATTAAAAATTCGGTTGCTACTATCTGTAATATCTGAAACATGTTCACAATTCTCCTTGTGCTCATTTACAGATTTCTTTTTTATTATATTATTAATCATATTTCGTTCACTCGCAAAGTGAGTTGGATAAATTATTATAAAATAGATATTGACATAAATAGAAAAGTATTAGAGATCAATTGATTACCATTTTAATTACAAAATATTAGTTTGGGAGTATTAATAAATATTAATGTTAATTTGTTTAGTCGCACTAATACACAGATCATGCATTATCGAGACTATTTTTACGCGGGTAAAATGGCGGAGGTATCTGTCGTGTTTGTTTTATAATTTTTTTCTTCACATTTCCTCGAAATGGCTATAAAAATAGAATTTTCTGGTGGATTAGAAGTTTTAACAGGTGACAAACAAAATGTGGAGATTGATCTGAATGATCTAGAATCTAATTCGATGAAGAACCTAATACTTTATGTAAAGGAAAATATTATTCAGTATAGAAAAGATCATTTTATTGAGACAGGGTCTAAGATTAAACCAGGAATTATTGTGCTAGTTAATAATTGTGACTGGGAGATTCTAGGCGGAGAAAACTATGTTTTAAGCAATGGAGATCTTGTCACCTTCATTATGACCTTACATGGTGGTTAGGTGTGCATTTAAAATGCAATTAATGTAGATTTTTTAAGTAGTATAAATAGAGAATAGAATACTAATTATACATAATAACTATTGTTGATTTGTATGCTTGTTTCATCATAAATCTTTGATATTACTATAGTGGCAAGGATATGTCGTTCTCTCCATTCAATTTCGACTTTAAAAAATAATACATGAAATGTGTTAGAAATATAACATTTAAAAATTCCGAAAAAATATGCAGTCTTCTTCCTGGAACGATTGAAAACTTAAATAGTGGATATAATATCCAATAGAATAACATGAATATTCTAGCCAATAGTATAAATGCAACAAAATGGGCAAGAGGTGAAGACACTCTTCGTGGCTTCTTATTGTAAAACATATATATTTGAGGCAGCAAAGCTAAGGAAAGTAATGAATCCATATATGATTCCCAAAATGATATAATTGGAGGTGAGCTAGATTTTCTTAAAAAAAATATCATTGATCCAAGGAAGAAATTCATAATATAAATAGTTAACCAAAAAAAATTCTGAGAAGTTGGGTGAAACCTATTAATTTTCTTTTCATTAAAATTAGCACTTCCGGAAACTTTTGAAATCCAGCAAATTACAAAATTTGTAACATTTAGCCCGAAAGTGTCCCTGTTATTTTCGTATGTTTCATAGAAATTATTATAAATATAGATGAATGTGGTGACAGATAAAAGTGCAGTCAAACAATCACATAAATAGAAATCCAACTCCAATTTGACGTGATAATGTGATGAAAGTATAACTGTTATTATTACATGGTTACATTCAGCCACAACTAATATTAGAAGTGTTTGAAGTGATAGTCCAACCACATTTTTCTCGCGTTTCAATTTGAAGAACAATGCCAAATAGGCAAAAAACCACGAAACTGCAGTTGCAAAGTTAAGTAAGTCAAGCAAAAACGCAAAATTATAAAATATTGGTTTTTCCTGCATAAATAATTATTTAATTAGGAATTGGAAAAAAAACTTAAATTTTAAAATGTATAAAAATCAAAGAGCGCACATTCAAAGCGGAATATGGTTCAATAAACTTAATTAGTGTAATATGAAAGAAATATTATTCTATTTTACTTTTTTTACTCAAATAGTTGATATTATTAGATTTTACACTGGATCTATCGTGATTTTCCCCGAAATCTTCGTCTGTATTGATTTTCTCAATATTTTGAGTTTCACTCTGCTTATCTTTTTTTGAACGATAAATCCATCTTTGATATATGTATATAATAAATATTATGTCATCTCTGAAGCATGCCATTCTGTGCATCCATGGCATATCTATAATAAACGAAAAAATATCATCGATAAAAGTATTCAATGCTTTATATACGAGAAATCTCCAAGGCAAATGATCCACCGATTTTAGTTTATAATTTATATAAAGTTGGGGTGTCATCATTATAAAACCAAAAGTATAAACTGTACCTGCTAATGTAGAAATGATAAAAGAATACCAACCTTTGTATTTATAATATTTTAGTGAATATATCCCATACCCAAAAATACAAGGAGTAAGTAAAATTGACATGTATTTTATTGCAATTGAATCATATTGTCTCGAAAGTTTTTCTTGTTCCAGTTTTGCTTTGGTACCTTCATCAGAAGGATCTAAATAAATACCAGAGTCATCTTTAATTGAGACAAAAGGAAATCTTTTATTAAATAAAAATATCTTTGTTTTCCATAACTTCCAAGCAGAGATTGCAATACCAATAAAGATTTCAATGAGCAATATCCAACTCGTTTCGTTCGAATCAAATAAGTAAAGGCCAATCACTAATTCTGAAATAAATGATGCAAGTATTGAAAGTCCACTCAAACCGTACATTGATTCATTTTTACTCCAAAAACTAATATCATTTTTAAACGCAAGCATTTGGAAAGACGAGTGGAGAATAAAAAAAATCAAGCTAAAAATTAGGTAATATTTGTTAGTTTCCACCAGTATCCTCTTAATCATCATAATGTCTTTTTGACTCTGTCCAAGGCCGTACCTGCTTTGAAGTTCCCACGTGTCCATCATTTGCCTCTGAATAGTATATTTAAATAGTGAAAACGTATTGAATGTTAGAGTTAAATTGAAAACTTGGTTAATAGATGTATCATTCAGCATGTTAAAGTTACGTTCAATACACCAGAAGTCCGAAGGATAGATTATGGGTAAGTAGATACCTTCAGCAATATTATATTTCATAAATGATAAAGGTGGCACGTTACTTTGATTAATATTGTAATTTTGGTTGTCGTATACAACGCGAATATTAATATTATCTTTCCAATATTTTACTTTCTTATCTTGGTGATTAATAACATCTTTTTGATCGTTGGAGTCCAATAAGCTTATAAGAGAATCTTCATCGCTTAGTTTACTCATTGTTTTAGTAAGTTCAACATAATTTGTAGGAATGAAATCATTTTTTTCTTTGCCTACTAATGAAACAATTAGAAAAGCACTAATATCATTGTAAACGTTCGATGCATCTTCAATATCATATTTAAAAAGTTCTGGTGGAAGACTAAGCGAAATATTTTTCGAAAGATTAATATCAGAATTATCATAAATAAGATTTCTAACGTTCCATACTTCAATGATAGATTTTATATTTGAAGTAAAGTTAGCTATTTCCAATAAAATAGATGATTCGTTTAAGTCTTCAAATCTCAGGCTTGAAATATATTCTTCATTTCCAAAAACTATATGGGCATATAGATCGTAAATATTTCCTGGCATGTAATAGTTACGAAGTGGTTTTATCAACTCCCCAGTAGTTTTATTAATTACACCATTCTTCTGCCCACCCATAAAATAATTCATTACAATCTGAAAAAAAATTACTCTTAGTATTGTTCCAAGAATCCCAGAAAACCAGCTACTCTGGGATTCTTCTGCTGGAACGGAAGCAATTCCACTTGTCTCTGAGTTTTGCATTGAAGAGTAAATTAAAGTAATTCTATACTAAAATTTTGCCGCAAGTAAGACAATAAAAATTTCAAGTTACTATTAATAAATATTTTTAATGAAATGCTCGTTTCTATTAATTAATTATCTCAATTTATTAATTTTATTTTAAACTCAGTTTTTTGTAGGATTTATACTTTAATTCTATTCCAGATATATTTTTTTCTCAGTAATTTGAGGTTCTTCATTTGAAAATTACAGAATATTGGGTAAAACTATTTACTGATAACTGCCAATTTTTTCGCAAAAAAATGAATTATTCATCTTTTTTGTAAATCAAATACTTTATAGGAAAAAGTTTATTTTGACTTTAGTGATTGTATAGATTTCTATGCTTAATCTTTTTTAGCGAAATACTCTAATACACAACTTTTGATCGTCTTACTTCATTTAAAATCCGGAAATTTCCATATTTTAAATTATGTACAGATTGGAATAAATGACGATCATATTAAACTGCAATCTTTACTAGTCACCTATTACAGTGATTTTAATTGATTCTCAATAATTTAGGCCAGAATAACTAGTGATATCAGAATAAAACACAACTATCTGTATTATTTAAAACGGATAATTATAATTATTTACTGAGGTTCCTTTAATACAACATTTTTTCATGAAATTAGTTTTTAAGCAAATAATATGAGGTTTAAAGCTAATCAAAGATAAACCGGAAGCGCAGATTCATAAATTTATACTCAAATCAGAAACATATATAGCTTAATTTTCAATTTAAAAATAACTGTTCAAATCTACATTTGTTCAGATCGAAATTGCTCACTTTCACCTTAATTTATGTGCCGCAATTTATTCATTAATGAAAAAACAATAAAATGAAGATAGAATTTAATAAAGTCTCCTATAAAAAAATACTTTCACATTCAATGAAGTACCCACTTAGTTTTATTGACGGAGTGCTAATAGGTTATTTAAGTGGGCAAAACAATTTAATTATTGTTGACTCATTTCCACTTACTCACGGACCAAAGCTCCCACTTATTATTACACTCGGCATACAATATGCTCAAGGATATTGCAACATATTAAATCAATTGAATACATCTGACAAATTTGAGATCATTGGGTTCTATTCAGGTAATTGTGAAGAAAAATATCTTGATTCTGGAGCGTCAAAAGCATATTTTGACCTCATTTCTGAAAGATTACTAGAAAACAACCAGAATTCTATATTTGTCACACTTTCTGGTCAAAAATTACTAACTGGGGAAGGTCTAAACGTGTATTTGCTGAAAAATAAGCAATTACTGTCACACACGCTCATCGAAAACTCGGTGGGACCTGAAATAAAAAAACTAACAAGAGACTTAGAGCACTACAGTATTAATGACTTCGAAGATCATTTGTACAATTTAAAAGCTAAACCCATAAATAATCCATTACTGATAGAAAAATAGATTGTATTCATTTCATGTTAAATCGAAATTAAAAAACGCAAAGTAGCTTGTAAGCGCCTATTACGAGAATAATACGGCGTCTCGATATAATCAGCTTATGACTATTATCAATAATAGAATAAGTCTATTGCGCGAATACTTAATTTACATTATACTTTGCGCAGTAACATTTAAGCCATTTACTCAATAATTGTTGAATCTTTCTTCTACCGTAATTTAGTCGACAGCAATTTTTACAGCCTTAAAGTATATATGAATTATATTGTTGTTTACACATCTACCGTATTTATAGCTTGCATTTTGAATTTGGATTTTTGATTCAAGGTATTATATATATTTATTTAAATATATATTGCGAGAATATTTTGTAAAATGGACACCTTGTGTAGACTATATGAAGGTTTCTCATCTTCCGATGGTTCCATAAGACAGGAATCAGAGAAACAATTTAACAACTTAAAACAATCTGACCCAAATACATTTTTACAGTTAACTCTGGGGATTCTACAACAACAACCTAATTCACAATATCGAGTACAAGCGGCTATATCATTAAGAAATGTTTTTAGGGAGTTTGTTCTTACTCCGGATAATTGCATGTGGAATAAGGTTTCTGCTGAAAACCAAACTATTTGTCTTGCAACTTTACTGAAATGTCTCGAGACTGAACAAGTAAATGTAGTTTCTTTAAATTTAAGTGATACTGTATCACTGATTGCAATGGAACTGTTTCCATGTGGAAAGTGGCCAGATTTACTACCATTCTTATTCAGGTTAATATCGAATTTGCAGAATTATTCCGGGGCAGCAAACGCTCCAGAATCTGTTTCCATTCCTGCAAAACACGCATTTAGAATTATTGGAGAAATAATGCCGGTTTTAGATGATGTGATTACTTCTCACAGAGATAGTATAGTCTCCACAATTAATACAGCCTTGCAGTTCCCCGATGTGGAAATAAGATTTGAGGCAATTGGACTTATTTCTTCTATAGTTGAATCTAATGAGAAGAAGAATTGGTCACCGTTGGTCCCACTTATACCTTCTATTTTAGAAACACTTCAGAACTTGATATCTGCCCAACATGCTTTGGTTATTGATGTTCTATATCGTTTAACTACTATATCAGAATCGGAACCAGCATTTTATCGTCAACACTTCTCCATATTCTTTCCACAAATTTTAAACATTGCAAAGAACGTACAATTATCAACTGACATAAGGCAAGCTGCAATGGAGTGTTTACTTTGCATTGTTGAAACCCGTCCAATGATGTGTATTAAATACCCTTCTTTTGTTAATGATATGGTCTCAACTTTATTAAGTTTTATGTTGGAATTTGATGACGACCCAAGCTGGTCAGAACTGAGTCCAGAGCAAGAAGAGAATGATTTGGAATCGGATATTGATGATGAGGACTGTTTATATCCTATTGGTGAGGAAGGTTTAGATAGACTTGCAAGGGCACTTGATGCAGATTTTTTTATTCCAGTATTCTACCAGTTCATAACAATTTATATGCAAGAAACCTCGGCACATCCATGGAAGTATAAGTATGCGGCTATCATGGCAATTGCGCAGACTATTGAATATCTTCCAGAGGATGATGACAATTACCACGATAGAATTGGGCAGATTATTTCAAGAGTACTTGGATTTTTACAAGACCAATTTCCTCGCGTTAGATATGCTTGCTGTCAAACAATTGGACAAATTTCATTGGATCATTCTCCTTTTATTCAAGAAGCGTTCCACTCTTCTGTAATTCCACAATTGATCCAGGCTATAGATGACCCAATTAGTAAAGTTTCATCACATGCATTATCCGCATTAATCAATTTTACTGAAGAGGTTGTTGCTGAGGACCTACAACCATATGTATGTCCTCTAATGGAGAAGTTGCTGGGAATTTTACATAAAAGTCCACAACCACCTAGAATTGTGAGAGAACAGTGTATAACAATGGTAGCGGTTATTGCTGGAGTAATTGAAAATGACTTTACTCCCTATTACTCTACAGTTGTTCCTTACCTTAAGAAAACAATGAATGAAGCTTCCCCCCAACTCAGGACCCTTAAAGGAAAATGTATTGAATGCATTACAATAATTGGGTTTTCAATAGATTATTCTATTTTCAAGAATGATGCACAGGAGATCATGTTGGTGTTCCTGCAGCTGCTTGGCAGTGGGTTAAAGGGGGATGATCCATTAAAGGAATACTTACAGGAGGCTCTACAGAGAATGTGCCGTATTATGAAGCAAGATTTTGTCCCGTATCTACCTCATTTATTACCTGGAATCTTTAATATATTAGAGACAAGAGAAGATAGTTTAGCCACTAAATTGCTTAGTTCCAACGATTCACCTTCAGATGACGTTGAAAAAAGTGATGGTGGATCACTAGGAATACTTTCTGCACACGATTTCATTGGAATGAGGACCTCACTAGTACTAGATATGGAATCTTCATTAGACATTCTAAATACATTTATTGAAGTTCTTGGGTCAAGTTATCATGAATATATTTCGGGGACAATAAAGGTAATTCATCCTCTTATAAGGTTCTCATTATCTGATGAAATTAAAGAGAAAACTTACGAGGTATTAAGTGGCCTGTTAAAAATAATGCGTGAATTAGCGGAGAGGGACTCTAATCTGAGGACTCAATTTTCCCAAATAATGAATGAACTTATTACATTATTCTTATCTGTAATGGATGAAGAATGCAGGACTGGTACGATTGACAGTCAAGTTATTGTTATTAATGGAGTACAAGAATGTTTAGATTCATTCGGCAACAATACATTAAATAATGATCAAGTGGCTATAATTGCATCAAGATGCTTTGATATGCTACAACAAAGTTTCGTTAGAAGGAGGAAACTTGACGAAAGATCTACTGGAGAAAATGGAGAAATACAAGTAAAACTGGACGTTGACGACGATGATGATAAACGGTGTATTGAAGAAGAAAAAGAACAAGAACAAGAACTTAGACTGAATATTTTAGGTATCTTGGGTGTTTTGATGAAATACTATCCAAGCATCTATTGGGAAAGAGTAGGAAACATTACCATCCAATTAGTTTCTCAACACATTGTTAAAGTTCATAATAATGTGGAGGATAGGGTACTGGGTTTCCACCTCTCAGCAGACGTATTCCAATATTTATGTCCAACAGCCTACCAACATTGTTTACCATGGATACAACATATTTTGGAAGGTATTAATGACCCTATTGCAAGTATTCAACAAAATTGTGCATATTCACTAGCCCAGGCTGCAAAGCTCGAACAGTTCTCCGGCATTTTAAATGACGCACTCCAAGTATTGTTATTAAGACTGCAAAGTAAAACTAAGGGCAAATCGTTTAATCTTGCAAAAGATAATTGTATAAGTGTTTTAAGCAACATAATCGTTCATCACCAAGGATCTATTAACAACATTAATGAAATAGTTAATGTTTGGATTTCATTGTTACCTATAAAATATGATACGGATGAAGCACAGAACTCTCATACGGCATTAATGAACTTAGTTGACTCGAAAAATCCGCACATTTTGGGCCAAAATTTGGAAAATTTCTCTAGAATTTTGGCGATATTTATTGATATTTATGGCACATCAATGTCCAATGATTCACTAAATTCTAGGATTAAACTACTAATTGCTCAAACTGGCCCTAACAACCTTCAAAATTTTGCAACAAATCTTTCAAAGAAGCAAATTGATAAGCTTCAAAAGCTCTGTCAATAGCAATTAGATAAAGTTTTTAAGAAACTAGCAACCGTAAAATTTTGCCTATATCCCAACCTATTGTCTTATATGTAATTTAGTTCTAACTTTACTCTGAAAGAATTTTGAATATTCTGAAAAATTAGACTTTGAGAATGTCACTTCAACTTGTTGTCTGTTCCGAGAAGCTCAGATATTCATTTTCTATATCTATATTTGAAACCTTAAGTAACCTCTGGATATCGTTGATATTTTTACCGATTGAATCTCTTCCTGGAAAGATGTCTCTTAGATTTTGATCGAGTATAAACAATTTTGTATTTGATGGGTGAATCAAGCTTTTCTTTTCACAATATTGTTTAATCTTCAATGCAAATGATCTTAATGAAATCGTGTCTTCACCATCAATAAATTTAGTTAAATTCTTTATTTGTATTTTTTTTTTGTCACGAACTCTTTTGTTCTTTTTTATTTCTTGTTTATCGGTTCTTCTGAGTTTTTCCAAATTCTCTCTTATTATTTGATATATATTTTGAATATCAATATTTAATAAGTTAATATTGAAACATACTGAAAGAAGGGCATATAACTTCCTTAGTGTAATTGCATTCAAGTTACAACTACTTAAAATGATTGCAATCTGAGATTCAATACAATCTTGAGATGGAATTAAGTTAGACATAATTCTTGAATTGACCCATTCTGTTCCAACGTGCTTATCAATTATTGTTTTCACTGTATATGTTTTTTCTCTTGCCTTCAATTTTTTAACAATCCTACTTTCTTCAAGTTTTTCTTCAAAATTTAGGCAGCCAATAGGAATAGGTGAGAAATGGTTTTCAAATACTTGACTAGGTATTTGTATATCTTTAGTTAGATTACTATCAATTTCAATATTATTTTCGTCATCGTCAACATTTTTATTTCCCATTGTATGTTGAAAGCCTCAAGAAGGGGGAGAGGGGTAGGAGGGGGAGGGAAACATTGCGTCAGAAAAATCAATTTTAGAACATTGGAAATTTCAAACAAATGTTAAGGCCCTATAATTCTGTCAAAACGAGACAAATTTGTATCAAGAAAGAACCAATTCAGGAACTATCTTAAATTCGAACGAAGGAAAATGACTTAATAAAGAAAAATGTACAACTTACAACTCAAATACAGACAAATTCAAAATATAATTATAGTTTATTTTGACATTCTAAACTTATTTTGAAAATATAGAGTTACTTAAGGAAAACTAGAGACTAACGTGAGGACTTAAGCAATCTATCCTTCTCTGAACTCCTCGAAAAAGAAGGATTGTATGGAGATCCTCTCTCAAGTTCTCTTTCTTTCCAAGTCTTCCAGCGTAAGAAGTTTCTTCGGTCAATTATTTCTCTGTAAGATAAATACTCACCACCGTTTCCACCGGCTCTTAATACCTTGTAGTATGAATATAACAAATGTGAATACCACATTGTGTACAACATAGCGAAAACCAGAATCGAAAGTAATACAACTGGGTTTGATAAAACCTTTAGACCATATAATTTACCTAATTTAGGGGCATAAAATATTCCAAATATAGTGAATGATTGAGAAGCCAAGAATGAGAAGATAGCAAAATTAATTAATCCCATTGATTTTCTAAGAACTCCAAAAATAGATAACAAAGATGAAAATATAGATAAGTACAACGTGAGTGCTACAAATGCCTCCTCTTTTGGTGAACTTCTCAATGAACTTATTATTTCAGTGATAATGAGTAATAAATCGCGTGGCAAATATTTATTCATTAGATTGACAGCATATACGCCAAATCCATGTCGAACTTCTAAATACGAATTACCTGACGGAAACGTGTCTTCTTCTTGGTCAGACCCCAGTAAACCAATAGGAACCGAGAATAATACAGACGTCGCTGAAAGCAATAAAATAATATTTAACAGGCCTTGCACAAAAACTGCGAGTCTTAGAGATAAGCATAAAAAACCCTTCCTTGCACCACCAATCAGTGAGCCATGCTTTAGTTGAAATCCTTCAACAGAATCCATATCAATGGTGGCCATTGAATAATTGAGGAGAAAAAAAGTTGATAATTTTCTTCGGGAAAATGTAAAATATAACTAATAATAATTAGTGGTTTTCAAATGGATACAACAAGTTTTTAGTATTGAATGTCACGTCTTAAATTCATTTGAAATTGTTATAAAAAAAAATACCGTTCGTGTCTTTGCGGTATTTACAATACTGTCCGTTTTCCCCCGCAGGTACCCTACTTGTATTCTAAAAATATTTTTAACTTGCCTATATGACTTTGTCTGCTTATATCGTTAAGCTATAGTTCTAGAAGTTAAGATATATTATATTGGTCAGATTTTCTTACAATTTTTAAAAGGTAATTTTATTATAATGAATGGTACGGAGAATAAAACAGCTTCGATTACGGATAACAGTGGAATTCATGTCAATAAAGGCATGATTGAGCCAGTTACATACATTTGTGGTGGTAGGTTATGTACTTAATTGTAATATTGAGTAATTTTACTATTTTAGAATGTGGTGTTGATGTTAGTTTGTTATCTCACGGTGCAGCAGTAAGGTGCCGAACTTGTGGATGCAGAATTCTATATAAAAAAAGAACGAGAAAGATGATTCAATATGAAGCCAGGTAGACTTAGTATGTTTAAAATTGCATAGGTTATTGAATATCTAGTGTGTTTATTTTAATATAACTTATTTGTAACTTTTTTATTATACTTTTGTTGTAAATTTCATTAGATAATATTTGATGCCGCGGGATACTGATTGCTGGTTCGTTCTATGAGAAATAATTGTGTAATACTGATTCGTGGCGTGACTCGTTTTACAACGAATTTAGACAATACTTCATCATTTTTTTAGTTCAATGTTATCACACAGAGTGTACGAAATATCAGTACTATTGTTAATAGGGAAGAAAGTTGGACAAAAAAGTTTTGTTTCAGCAACAGAGGTTCATCCTCATTTACCCAAACTTGAGTTTAAAGAGAATAAAATAAGAGATTTTAATTCCAGCTATAAATCTATACAATGTAAAAGCTCTCTTTTCACTTTGGATACTAAGAGCTTAGATATTTATAATGAATTTGAGCCAACACAAAACAAGGGATTTTTTTCATTTTCTGATTTAACGTCTCTTCTTGAGAAACTCCCCTCCACTGAATTGATAAAGTACAGCAGTTACAGAGATGATTTTGTACATCACAATCCTGAATTAAAGTCATCTGAAGAACCTTTGACATCGAGAATGATTTCCCGGCTAAAACAAATCGCTATTGGGAAAAGTCTACCTGAATACAAAAATTATATAAATAAAGTTCCTATTGAAAAGAGGTCTCCCAATGACCCCAAAACTCCGAAATGTGATACAAGGCTGACAAAAAGAGAGTTTGACAACCTTTATAGAGAGTGGCGAGTAAAACTGCATCAGTACGAAGGCGAAATTTCTTCTGGCGCTTCAACTAGAGTTAATACCCCAGAGAATAATCTAGGCCATCAGAATGGATATTGCCCGGAAATAAAAACACTTAATATATAGGTATTTATTATTTTCAATAATAGAACAATCTTCAGTTGGTGTATTGAAAAGTTTAAATAGCGATTAAATTTATAATTTATTGATTAATTTTATTGCTGAAATAACAACTCGTTACCATATATCGCTATGGGTACCAATTATGTTAGACATCTAAAACTAAGTGTTTTTAATTGAATATGAACTGGAGGCATACAAAGGGGTTTAATGAAATTGAAGATCTCTTGAAACGTGTTAGGGATATTGAGCTACTATGTGTATCTGCTGCGAGAATTGATAAGAGTTCTAATATTGAATCGGAATATACCAAACACAAGATTAGGTTATTCGAGTTATATAATACAGCAAGCACAATTTTAGATGGCCTTGAGAGTAATACAAACCAAACAAAGTTTTTGATCAAAATTAAATTAGAAGATTTAATTAATCAGATGAAAATTGAAATACAGGAATTACGAAAAATACATAACAAATACTACTCTCCAAATTTACATATTTCCGGGTTGGCTAAAAAAGATGATAAATTTCTGGAAATTGAAGATTACGAAAGAGAATTCATTGCAATCACTCAATCAAGGTTTAATAAATTGTTTGTCAATCCGTGCTCAAAAATGGCTCATTCATTAACTCTTAATGATTTCATGCTTAGATCTGATTCAGTTAACAAATTTGAACATAAAGTGATTTCTAATTTAGATATGGCGAAGATTAATGAATGGAATTTGGAAAATCAGAGAATAGATGAAGATATAAAAGAAATTGGGAACACGGCATTAAGAATTGCTGATAGAGCGGAACGGCTTGGCTGTGAGGCCAAGACACACAGTATTAAGATAGAAGAAATTAAGGGCATTACGGAATTCGCCACGGCTGACATTGCCAATTTGAATAGGAAGGTTCAGGAAATAATAGGTACAAATAGCAACACCACCTTCTGTTGTAGAATAACATTGGTTATACTGGTCTTTATCTCTATTTCAATTATTATTGTATTGATATTTAAAAAACTAATTTAGCACTCAATTATAACTCGTAAATGATTACTTAACTAACTCTATTTAATTTTCCCTACTAGCAATGGACTATACAAAAAGACTAACAAATCTTTGTTCAAACTCCGAGTAAAGATGATTGGTCTTAGAATTGATTCTGTTCTAAATTAGAATCTTTTTTCTCATCCAAGGTTTCAACTTCAACATTATCTACTTCCAAATCATTGTTCTCAAAGTTCTCCTCCTTACTTTCAATTATAGTTTGTTTATCAGAAGCTAACTTCACTCCATTCTTAATTTTGCTAAAAATTGCAGAGAAGAAACTTGTATTAGAGTTATTAGTTTCTGTAACTTTCTTATCTTCTGAAGACGAGTCGTTTGAATCCGATTCGATGATTTTTTCTAACTTTTCTGGCTTATCCTTAATTCTTTCCACATGATATTTGATAGGCTGTATGTATGGATTGTTTGTTCCATTTCTTGAGCCATCAGATTCAAGCCTCAAAGGGTGTTGTATTATTGGGGGATTCGTATTTAGGTTCTCAAATGTCAAAGCAGCAACCCCTGTGACTGACTCTGGGGCCCAATTTTCTGGTATTTCTACACATTCCATTAAATGATCAACATTATAAATGAAAGGTGGTGTAATATCTGGGTTGCTTGGATTAATATATTGTTGAACTTCCATTGCATGAACCTTTAACCTAATTGGTTCCAGCCACCCACAGTCCTCTGGCTCCATAGTTTCAGATCCTCCGTAAATAAAGGTTTGCTTGTGTTGCAGCGGCTCAGTGACCTGCCTCTCAGGTGCGGCGACGATTGCAGCTGGAGTAATACTGGCACCTGTAACTAGCCTTGAAGGAGCATTTACAGATTGCACATTTAGGCCAGCTGCACTTATCATTCTACTAGGAGGTGCCTGATTTATGGGCATACTGTTAATTTGAGGAGGGTTACAGCACATCAATGGATTCGCCCTCTGTGAATATTGCGGAACTTGATTATTCCTATGCGAAAATGCGTTTGGGGTGCCAAATTCTGAAGCCCCTCTATTTGTGGGAGGTCCAGACCTCAATTGAAACATTCTAAATAATATTTTGAAAGAAGTTCTAACTAGTTTCCAGACTATAAAATGATTTATTCAGTACGGCTATTTACATGTATTAGACATAATTAACACGTCCATCCTGTACACATTATTACGCATAGATCTGTATTTATGTTTCAATACTATTGAATAAAAAACAACGTAATTCGACTTACTTTAACAATTTAAACGACTTAACTGGAACCCTTTCTATTTGATTTATTCATTTATTGCACTTGATTGTATGCGAGCTAACTTGTAGACCAATGTATTTGTGGACTGAATTTTTTGCGCCATCGTTCCTTGCGGTATTTTCTAATAATTCATATAGTTATTTTGGGCTTAAGTGATTCTGTTATTTTTCTTTGAACTTTGATTTTTGATATATAATGTGCCTTCTTCTGGTATACTGCTGTCACCGTTAAGTTTCAGGAAGTCGTATTAATAAGATTGAAATGTGAGACATTTTTAACTATGAGTAAATTTGGAAGATGCATGGACATTATTATAAACTCTTTTGAATGCTTTGCAAAGTTTCTTGGTCATTTCCTAATAGCTTTTGTATTTTTTGCAATCTCATTCTTGTATACAAGTGGCACATTTTTTATTTTTCCTTTTATGATCAAAAACTCAATTATTCTCATATTCACAAGATTAACACTGCTTTTTTTTACTGTAAATCTTGTATATAATTATATTTTATGCCTTATTATTTGCCCTGGGTTTGCAAATCCCAGCAACAAATATGAGGTCACAAGGAGTGAAATAACGCAATTAGATATTGAAAATGGTGAATCTCTATTTTTAGAAAGCGAAAATAATTGTGTAACTCAATTTGAATATAGGTTGAATATTTTAGATGAACGCACTCCTCCAAATGAACAACATTTTTTACCAGAACACTACACAACTAGTGGTAAAAATGATTTGTTTATTGAACCAAACAAAAGTTACATGAAAAATTGTTCCAAATGTAATGCAATAAAGTATCCAAGGACTCATCATTGTTCAGTTTGTAATAAATGTATTTTAAATATGGATCATCATTGTCCATGGATAGGGCAGTGTGTTGGTCTCTATAATCGGAAGTATTTTGTTTTATTTTTGGCTTGGTCATTTTTAAGCTGCTCTTTAATTTCCATATTTTCAATACCAATGATTATAATATTAATTTCATCTTTATCTGGAATTGACTATTACAGCGACAAGTCACTTTATGACAATATCACTTTCCAAGGATTGCTTTTTACATCAGTACTTTCAATTTCCTTTTCTTTAGGTACTGGTGCGTTGTTTTTTTTTCATATATACCTTTTAGTAACAAACCAATCAACTATTGAATACCACCAAAATTTGTTTACTAGAAAAAATTTCAATGAAGGTGAAGTTCGGATAAACCAATTTGACAAAGGTTTTTCCAATAATATTAAAGAAATTATGGGCACAAATAGATTTCCTCTAATACTATTTCCCTGTTTTTATTAATATTTTAATATTCAATGATAATTTGGGCAGATTTCATTCAAACATATTATTTTATTATTTTTTGTTCTCCCTGGTATTTTTTAGTTAATACAAATTTCGTAACTTTATTCAACCATTTTCTTTAATATCGTGTTGTTTCTTTCTTGATAATTACTGAAATATTCAATTCAAATAATTTAGCATTTTTAAGTGCTAAAGTGAAGTTTATAGAATTATTACTGTAACTTTATTTGAACTGAAAAAAGTTTATTTTCGAACTTTTTATTGGATTTAGTTGGATTTTTAGAACTTTAATAATCAAATCTGGAATATATAGTTTTTCAAAAATGTCATTTTTATTTTAATTTATATATAGATTTAAATTGTTCTATATTATTGTCATCTCATGCAAAAAGCTAAATATATCTTAAATAAGATTAAGAAATTAATCATAATCAATTCTATTAGTTGAATAAAATCAAACTAGTTATATTTAAATAGTAATTATTCCACAATAATTCATGTAATTTATTAATTTCGAATTTTCATCAGTATAAATTTAATTTACTTTCATAGCTTTGATTAAACCATGAAAAGTATTATTCTACTTCTTTTAAAATTTCGAAAAAATTTGAAATAATGTTTCGGATCATTCGAATAGGAATTTGCCGATTTTAGTCATGATTTTTCTTACTTGAATAAAGTTATTTTGGCATCACTGCAAAAAAATATTGATCAGTCGCCATTATTTTTATTAAATAAAAATAGAGAACAAATCATTAGAGAAAAGTTTTCATTCGTCAAAATTATTAGAGTAAAATGATTGAAATTTTGGGAAAAAGACAAATTTATGAATAAAACAAATTTCAGATATTTTAAAAAACAAGTGCATTTTTCTTTTGATAAAATTAATTACACGATTTTACTGTAAATTTATAGTTAATACGAGATAAGGATTAGTTTACATATCATTAGAACACTATGGATGATTTTCAGTCGAGTATCTATTCGCAAAATTTATCGGGAATATACATAAAGTTACACATAGTATTATTATTATAACATAAATTAATAAAAATTAATGGTTCATCTTTGCAAACCTTATTCCCACAAGAAAATAGCGTTTAATTGGTAATAAAATTGCCTCTTATACCAAAAACTGAGAATCAGCCGAAGTGATTTTAATAAATTACAAAAATAACATCTTCACTAACCTTGCTTCATTTCACTTATTGTAATTTTGTAAATTAATATCCAGTTTAAAGCATTTTGAAATATGAAGATACATATTAAATCACCTCGTAACAATTAAACGTTTTGAACATCGATAGAGATATCAATGTAACCTCAATTTGTGCGTATAACATAGCTTCATATTTAACTCTTCGTAAGTTGCATAAATATAAAATCAAAACAGTGAGAATTAGAAGTTAAAAGTAAACTTGAGTAAATTCTGTTCGCTGCTATTGAAAAATTCAAAATTTCTAAAGGAAATAATCTCAAAAATAATGCTGGAAACGTTAAATACAATTATCACGTATAAATGTTATTAAATACTCCAGTGTGTTAATTAATAATATGAAGCGTACCTTTTTCAATTGAACAAATGTCTCCTGAATGGAGATTACCATCACCTCCAATAATATTCAAAATATCACATTGAAGTGCTGATGTTTTGTCATCGTTACTAATGAAGTTCCAGTCCGGTATTCCCCTTGCTAATAAACACTTAGAAGAAAAATAATTTGGAGGTTCCTGAAAATCACTTTGATTTACGAATTTACATGAGGCTTCAGAACTACTTGAAATATCTGGCGTAAATTTACTTCCAAAATCTTCATTGTAGACCCAACTATCTAGTTGAGAAGCTTCCGGTTCATTCAAATAAGAAAATATTCCGCCACGAATGCTACCAACATTTTGTGATATAATATTATCTATCTTTCGTAATTGGTATGAGACCTCATATTCTGTATTACCAAATTGTTGTCTAATACTATGAGGAGTAGTATCTGTACTTGAGACAAAAACTTCTTCTTCACTTTTGCTCAAAAATGGATCTTTAATTGATTCTCCTGTTCTGAACTTTGCCTTGGATTCATTTGTTGAACCTAACTTTCTAATTAAAGTTGTGTTTTCAGCAGATTTCATAATATTAAATTCTGACAGAGGGGCTGGCGGAATTTCAGTGGTTCTTAAATCATTAAGGCTATGGGCAAATGTACAGTTTACGTCACGACATACATCACCTCGCTTAGTTAATTCACAAAGACGCGTAAACCTAAGGTCTGGGAGAGGCCTTAGTTCTTGAACAGAATGTGCAAATGCACAGAGGTTTCCTCTCGTGCATTTACCTACATTATAAAATGCACACATCTTCGTTTTATATAGTTGTCTGCGCACAAGCTCTGAAGAATTTCTTCTCTGGAATAGAGAAGCATTAGAGGCGAAGCAACCAGAACCGATATTTGTAGAAAAGTTATCCCTTAAGCTTTCCATTTTATGTATACCAAGTCTTTGAAACAACGAATTTAATATTTTTGATTAAGTACTTTAAATGTTACTCAGTTGCCAAAAATAGAGAAAGACCTAAGTGCCAAAATTCCTTACTGCATAATCCCAGTTCGAAATTAATTAATCAGAATTAGGAATAGTATATTTCCCAAGAATACACTCTTCATTAGACTAAACGGTATCTGGAATTGACTGGCATGCCACCATTTATAGCGGGTTATGTGTACATTTCAAAGGCGGGAATGCGCATGTTAATATTATAAATGTTTTCAAATGATGTATGCCATGCGAACGTGAATGCTTTAGGAAATTATAATTCACAAATTACAAATGGGTGCAAATTCCATGATGTTAGATTGAACGTCCTTATCCTAATTACGTAATTTTAATTAAACTATTATTAAGTGTAAAATTGAGTGTGTAATAGTTTGCATTTCACCCAAAATTTAAAAGTAAATTTTTTTTATTTGGTCGAAGTATTTAGCATTAAAAGACTTCCGATGGTTTAATTACGTCATCGATTTTTAGTATCATCTTAACGGCCTGAGTCGCCAATGCAAGCTGATGTTGTTTTGATGCTAGAGATTCGAATACCTTTACTTCTTCCATATTCCCTACAGATAAATTGTCACAATCTATCCCGTAACTAGGGTTTTCCAGTGAAATTTGCTTTTGTTTTGCCTCGCCAACTAATGAAATAGAGCTCAAACCACAATTATCCGCAAGCGCATAAGGTAGTGAAAGTAATGCATCTGCAAACGCTTCCACTGCAAATTGCTCAATAGATGAAACCGATTCTACAGCCTTTTGCACTGCAATACTTGATGCTATCTCAGAAGCACCCCCCCCAGGAACCACTCTACTGTCTCTTATTAAATTTCTCACGACGCACAGTGCATCGTAAATACATCGCTTTGCTTCGTCCACGACCATTTGATTTCCTCCTCTAATTAAAACAGTAACCGCCTTAGATTTACTGCATCCTTCAATGAAAATTAGCTTATCTTTTTCTGTTCCCGATGTTACTTCCTTAACCGACGCGGCATTACCGAGCTTGTCTTCCGATAGATCCTCAAACCTTGGTACTATATGAGCTCCCGTTGCAATAGCAAGTAATTCGATTTCAACTCCACCAACCCATCTAATTGATGGAAGTCCACGCTGAGAAAGCATATAATTTGCCTCATCGTCAAATCCCCATTGGCAAACAACCATGTTGGCACCTGATGAAACTACCTTATCTATCATATCTGAGAAGTACTTCTGTTCAGTTTCAAACAAAACATCGAAGTCTGCGGAATTTTTTATGTCAATTTTGTGTTTGGTTTTTGGTTTGGGTGGCTCAAATGGACAAGTAAGAAGAGCTATCTTTGCATTATCAATCTTCTTGTTCATTTGAGGATGGCTCATTTCCTTATCTAAAACAATACCATGAACTACACAACTTTCTTCTAATCTACCTCCAGGTTTTCCTTGAATATTTATTAGGTCAAAATTCACGTCTCTTCTCTCTAAATCGGCAACTGCTAAAACTGCCTCAATTGCCATTTTCGCAAAATGCTCCTGTTGACTACTGACAACCTTGGACCCTAATGCTGTCATTGCCGAGTTAAATAGAAGATCATTATTAATATCAGAAATTTTCCCATTATTTAGCGATATTTCTTCAAGTTTCTTCAATGCTATTGAACATGCGTGCTCAAAGCCGTTTGCAATCCTAATTGGATGTATCCCTTTTTCAAGTAATTCAACTGAACGTTCTAGCAGAGCACCAGCTAATATCACAACTCCGGTTGTTCCATCACCTATCTCTGCATCTTGCGACTTAGATAATTCTACCAAAAGTTTCCCGCATTCGTTGTTAATATTCATTTTTTCCATTATGGTTGCACCATCGTTAGTAACCACGACCTCTCCGTCAGGGCTAACCACTATCTTATCCATTCCCTTTGGACCCAAACTTGTTCTCAATATATCAGCAACAGACTTGGCAGCTAAAATATTCGACTTATGCGCATCTATACCTTTTAATCGTTGTTTTTGTTCCTGTTCTTTCAAAATAATAAAAGGGTTTCCATATTCATCCATTGCAACATTCATAGTTTAAAACAAATCACGCAATTCCAAAAATAATGTAAGGTTGTAAATACGTTGTTCTTGAATTTTGACCAGGGTAATTCCGAATATATCTGTAGTAATATTTGTCTAAAAGGGGGGGGAGGCAAAAACAAAGCGCCATAAGTTTTTAAATAAGTAAATTAAAATGAAACTAATAGTGGAATCGTTCAAAGTTGCGACGAAACAAAAAAGAGTTATTAAGTATATAATTACACCTATGTATACTTTAGGTGTGTTTTCTATGGTTCGATGATTAAATTTACAAGTATTTACATCTTTTGTATCATATCTCTTCTTGCCAATAACTCTTCAAGTTGAGTTGTTGTAAAGTCATCTCTTGATGATAGCTCCTCAAATCCGATAATTTTATGTATGAGTTTTGAGTTTTTAATCAGTGCAATAGTCGGCAAAATGTTAATATTTAAATGACTAGAAACAAACTGTGATTTTTCCGCATTGATCTTAATAAACTTTGCCTCTAGGTGCTTTTTGGAAATAATCTCTAGGTGTTTGTCAAAGATTTCACACCTCAGAGTGGATGGCCTGGAAAAATGGCAAATTACGTTTTCGCTTTTCTTTATTGTATCAAAGAACTCTTTCTCATCAGCGATGAAGTCATACTTTCCATGACCGAACTCTATAAATTTGTTTTTTTGTTCGATTTCTTTTTTTAACTCTTTAATTCTTTTTTCTCTTAGACGGTTTAGCTCGTTCTCATCATTTTGAATGCTATCGATCGTTTTAATTTCTTCGTCTATAATATTTTCACCTTCCTCTAGAACTTTCTTAATAATATTATTTATACTATTTGAATTCATATTTCCAATGTTCAGCGACATTTAGTGTTATTTTAATTTATACAAAATTTACCATCATTATTAAGGCACTATAGATAGCCGCTCTAGTAAATGTGTGAATCAAAAAATCAAAATTAAGAAATTTATTAGATTTTTAATTCAAATTAAAAAAATAATTTAAAAATTTGTTTTCTGGAAATTTGGAGTATTCATTTATTTTCGGATAAATATACAACTTAAAGCTAAGAATTATTGTTTCGATCATCTAGATGATACTATTTGTTAAGCCCTATTTTAGATAAATCGATATAGTCCAAAAAAATAAGAATCCAGAAAACTCCAAAAAGTCCAAAGAATGCAATGATGAATCCAGCAAGCGTTTCAAGAGGGAAGTGAAAATATAGTGCGGTGAAAAAACTACTATATGAAATTACTGCTAATAATGATAAGCAGTACCCTCTAATACAAGAAACAACAAGTTTATTTTTAATATTATAGCCTGCTGCACACCATTCAATGGAAATAATTAATATGTACATTGCATACAGTACAATATGGTCTGAGAAATCAAAAGAGAATAATTTTTTCTCTGCAACATTAATAATCATATGTAGAAATACAACTCTATGCATTGCGATTAAAATGTAAATTATAAGCCTTGGAAAATGCACCAATAACATGGGTTGAGGAGATAAGATTGAGAAGAACCAGGGTAGTGTGACCATCAAATATCCTAGAAATCCAGAATTCTTTCCCAAAATATAAGAATATAATCTTTTTCCAAACATGTAACAAGGAGATACATACCCACTAGATTCCAAGAATAATTTGAATAACATTGAGCTATTATTCGGTTGGGTAAGATGATCTTGGTTAATACCAATATTATTAGTTTCAATATCAACTGCATTTATTGCAAATACCAGACCTCTTTTAAATTCGATCAGTACTCCATTGCCTAGTGCTATTTCAATAGTCTTTTTTGTAGCATTCATTACTTCTTCAGACCAATTCGTACCGCGTTTGTGAATGCCACCACAAAAAATAATATTACCGTCTTTACTATTTTTGTTCGGTATTGATAAATCTAAGTTACTTTTCAGTACCTTAAAAAATGACATTTGGCCCATAGATCTCTCTATTGACTTCAAATTTTCCATTAGAATATTGCTCGTATTGATATCTAAGTTGAAATGTGACATATATTCGTCTGCATGTATTTTCTTAAGTTTAACTACATGCAAAGAAACACCAATGAATATGAATATGCACATTATTGAAATCATAATTATTTGAACAATCAATAGGTTAAATGTTCCTGTTCTAAAAAAGGAAATAGTATTTTCGTTTATTTTTGGATTATTCATTCTCAGAGTTGCTCCGGTAACGGAGCCTCTCCACGAATCAATATTTTTAAGTTCTTCATTCATAAATGTCTGGAATGATTAATTAATTTCTTACTAATTCTGAGAAAGTTTTGTACAGTGACAAATTTTTGTTCCCACCTTAGTAATATATTTATATGTACTTTTTTTTAGTGATTATTTAATTAATTCTAAGAAGTTACTCCTTTTTATTAACAAAAACAGTACCGCGCGATTTAGTATTTTCATCAACTTTTATTTGCATACCCACAAAGTTTCTGGCCAAAAATAAATATTACATGAAAATGTCATTTATTGCGGGAAGTGGCTTTCAAAAAAAATTTTCTTTTCTAAGAAAAATATTATTATTCAATTATTTGAAAACTTAAACATTCATAAATTTGCTACAAATTTATGATTTCTCTATGCTAATAGCTGCTTTGGGGATTCTTGGATCTTTAACTTTAAGTTTTTTTTTGTGGAGGTACATAGATGAAATCGCATCAGATGAGATAAGTACATTTACCATTGTACCTTGCTATTTGGGTGTTTTGATAAGTATTTCTCCAATAATAATATTACCTTTTGATGTTGCAAGTTCATTATTGGGCCATGTAAACAACAATTATTTTATTTTTGTAAAATTTTTTTGGAAATCAGGATATTTTATATTATTTATTTTATGTTGGGTAATTTTTCCTATTCTTCTGGAGTATGAGTTATCGGGTGATTTCGATCATCAAAAAAAACTAAAGACAAGCCTTGAAAGAAACAAAAATTATTGGATCACTCAAATTACAGTAATTGCAATATCATCTATATTATATCTTACAGTTTTTAATTTACATAATTCAAAGTTTTCAATTTCGTCAATGTGTATTGCCATTGCACATTTTTGGGGGATGGCTCAAATAACATTTTTGTGGGGATATGGACTGGTTGCTATTCCGTCTAAAATAAAGAACTCTCGAAAATTAATAAATAAAAGTGATATGATTAGGAAGTTAAATAAGTTTTATACAATTCTACACAACTTAGAAGATTGGAAGGCAATCAATCATCATGAAATTAAAAAGTTAAATGATAAATTGAATTATCTATATAGCATTTCAAGCGAGGAACACAAAAAAATCATAATTGGGAGGATGATTAAGGCAATTAATGAAAATAGAACCGCACTAATTAGGAGTAACTATTTCGGAGAAACAGATCCCTCCAAAAATAAAGATATTTGGAATTCATCTGAAAAAAACTCCATAAAATTTGAAGATTTGATAGCTTTTAATCGTGAGTTAAAACTATTGATTGCTGAAGAAAAACGTATATATTACCTATGGGAATCAACATTATCAAATTCCTGGAAACTCGAAAATTTAATAGTTCAAAATGAAGAATATCTTCGTACCAAAAATGAGGATAATCCACTAATATTTTCGTCAAAAATTACTTTACCAATGCATGCAATCAATTATAACTTGGGAGATGACAGCGATATCTCTTTAGAAAGTAACAATTTGGTTAGAAATGACAAAATAATCGAAATAATGGATAGAACAATTTTTCAAACAAATAATTTTAAAACAAAAAATATAGAGATAATTAAACGGTTAAGACATTTAGTTAAAAACAAACTAACAATCAAGAATAATCACTTAAATCATTTTTTGTATTCCCTTTCATTAATTACAAGTATTGGAATTATTATTGCAGAAGCAACCATGTATTTTCCAAATTTAAATATTTCACTTTATTCACATATAGTAAGAATTTGTTCGCAAATAAAATACATGAATTATTACATCAAGTTTATACTGGTTTACTTAATTTGCCAATTTTTGCTAATTTATGTTTTCCTTTGCACATACTGGGGATTATTTAATTTCAAAATTCCAAAGAAATACGGGATATATTTTAATAAACATACGGATGGGCCTTGCATCGTTTTTTTCTCACAATTTTTATGCAAGCTCTCCACTGCTCTCTGTTTTCACTATCTCTCGATACTCAAAATTGAGAAAACAGAATTTGGAAAATTTTATGGGAAACAAATTCAGCATCTTCTAGATATTTTTGGGAAAGATTTTAATATATTTTTCTTCCCGATTATTGTTGTTCTAGTTTATGTTATCAATATTTTTGATTTGCAAGGAAAGCTAATCAGAAATAGTGGTATTTACCACATATTCTTTGAATATTACATTTTTGATGATGATGTAATCGGATCAAACGCAGAAACTGAATCAAATGATAACGAAAAAATTTCAAGTGGAAAGAAAATATCCGAAGTTCAAAAGATCAAGAAATTGATGGAATTGAATTACCACTAGAAGATATAATTTAATTGTTTAAATGAATGATCAATTTTATAATTTAAATGAGTGGCAAGGAAAAATTTATTAAAATATAAATCAGACAGCTAAGAGTTACAAATAGTTATTTAAGTTAATTCGGCACTTAACATGAAGTTAAATGTTCAAATATATTGATTCACATCTATAATTAAATCTTTTTTTGAGAAGAATAGTTTCAAAAGCATTAGACATCTTTATATGGTAGAAAAAATTTGTAAACATCAAAATAACTAATCAGCGTTACATTAATCATTTTTTTGAAATGGATTCTAAATACAACTTCTCTATATCAGATACCTTCCTTTCCATGATTTCTCTGGCCGCATTTACCTGCTCGAAATAAATATTATGTAGTGTTTTAATCTCATTTTGTAAAGACTCAATACAATTACTTGCCTCAATCAGTGCAATATTTGTGACTTCATCAATTTCACATTTTTCACTGGATAATTTATATTTAAGTAGACTTTCAATTTTCGTATTGCATTCTAAAGAATCATTTAAAATTCCTAATTCATTTGATTCGCCAGAAGATTCATTTATATTCATTTGAAAAATCTCATTAAATTCTTCCTCTAGCATTGCACAAGTATTATTTATTTCATAATAATTTAAAAATTCATGTATTAATCTTAATATAATCGCAATCCTTTCATTCTCCAGTAGGTTAAGTTTTCGGTTATTTGTTTTTTTTAAAGATTTTATAATATGAACTCGCAGATATCTTTTAATATTGTGAATTAAACATTCATCATCCAAAAATTTATCAATCTTTTCCTGAACATACTCTTGATCTGATTTATCCATTATTCTCCATTACTAGACTAAAAATACCTCTATTATAAATTCAGAAATGAGTTTTTTTGTATCAAAATATTCAATTTCTATTTTTATCTTTAAATAACAGTGATCCAAACAATCGACAAATTTAATTTAAGCTAAATGCGATTTATTTGAATTATTCGTTTTTTTTTGAGCGCCATTATTGTGTGTTGGGTGGCACAAATTTTTATGAGGCAAATTAAGCAACCGGGAAAGATTAGATTTTACTATTTAAAGATTGCATAAAAAAGTGAGAATTTTTGCAAAATAATCCAAGGAAATGAAAGCCATTTATGGTGAAAAATCTACTCTTCGGCAAAGAAAAAGGGACATATTTTTAGGCAATTTAGTGAAGGCTAATGAGACGTTACAAACAAAAGTTAAGAAAATAGATATATATGGAAAAATACACGAAGATTATTGCGTTAAGTCAGCAAGTAAAAGTATTATTTCTTTACTTGTGTATATTATTTTGTTTTTATTGACATTAAATGAGGTTTTTAAGTATTTTAAGGGGGAAATGATAGACAATATAGGAGTGGATAATACTATAAATAATAAATTAGATATTAAGCTAGATATCACCTTCCCAAGCTTAAGATGTGAAGAAATCTCTGTTGACAGTGTGGATAATGTTGGTGAAAATCAAGTAGATGCAAGGGAGGATATGGTCAAAATCCCAATTGATTTGAATGGGCAAGAAGTGCGGAATATAAAATATAATCAACAAAATGATGTAAAGATCGAATGCATGAGTTGTTATGGAGCAGAGACTAGTGAATTTTCATGTTGTAATGATTGTGATTCGCTCAAAACTGCGTATAGATCTAAAGGGTGGTCATATTTAGATATAGTAAATAAGGCACCACAATGTATTGAGAAAGTAGGATGCAGAATCAATGGAAAAATACAAGTAAACAAAGTTTCAGGAAATATTCATGTCGCACTAGGAAGTGCAACAATAAGAAATGGTAAGCATGTTCATGAGTTTAATATGAACGATATTTCCAGAGGGTTTAATACAAGCCATATAATTCATGAATTAACATTTGGCTCTGATAAAATACCTTTTTTATTTTCTCCATTAGAAAATGTTCAAAAATTTGTACACAAAGGTACAAAAATGTTTCATTATTATGTGAAACTGATACCAACACAATATTTCTCAGGCAACGGTGAAGTTAATATTTATGGAAATCAATATGCATTTACTGAAAGAGAAAGAGATGTTCTCGTAAAAAATGGCGAATTGTCTGGGCTTCCCGGAGTTTTTATTGTTTATGAATTTCAACCATTTCTACTGCAAAAAATTTACAAGAGAATTCCGATATCTCACTTAATTACATCTTTTTGCGCTATTGTTGGAGGGATTTATTCAGTTATGTCTTTACTCGACTCAATTGTAGCATGGCTTTTCAAAAATAATATAAATAGGTACTTGAATTATATTTATAGATTAAATTTTTCGAAATAGCGCAAATTCAAAAAAATCATTAATCGAACTTTAATTTTTCATGTGATTGTATATCGCCGCATGCATAAATTATTAAGTGGGGGGATTTTAATGAAAGTTTTTCATGTAACAAGAATAGTTTTATTATTTTTTGAAAATTTACCTAAGAGGTTAATATTATATCTTATTTGGAATTATTAAATATAGAGTGTATTTTTTGGCAAAATGAATTCGATTGCAGAAAACTCAAGTAATGAAATGGTAAATGTTGCTGAGTACTTGTGTATCCGGTTAAAAGAGTTAGGATGCGATCATATTTTTGGAGTACCTGGAGACTATGCACTCTCGTTTTTAAATGTTGTAATGGATAGTGAAATAAAGTACATTGGAACATGCAATGAACTTAACGCAGGTTATGCTGCCGATTCATATGCAAGAGTCAAAGGTATTGGGGCATTGTCTACAACATTCGTAGTTGGTGAGCTAAGTGCAATTAATGCCACCGCAGGATCATTTGCAGAAGATGTTCCAGTAGTTCATATTTGTTCTGCACCAATAACGAAGCACCACAAAAATGGCACCTTATTGCACCACACGTTATTTGATTATTCTAAGACATTAAAAATGTTTGAGCAGGTGACTGCATTAGCAGTGAAAGTTGCAGATAAAGAAACAGCTGCCGAAACTATTGATAATGCTTTACTTAAATGCATTACATTAAGTAAGCCAGTATATATATGCTTATGTGCAGATTTAGTTAATGAATATATTAAAAGACCAGAGAATCCATTAAAGAAACCGAGGTCTAGAAGTAACGTTTCTGAATTAGACCTTTTTATGAAGAAAGCTGTTCAATTGATAAAAAACGCAAAACAGCCTGTTTTCATATTAGGATACGAATTATTAAGAGCTCATTCTACAGAATCAATGAATGAATTATTAAAAATATCTAAAATTCCATTTTCAACAATGATAATGGGGAAAACAGCCATTGACGAGCAACATCCTCAATATATGGGCATATATTTAGGTAAGAAGGGCAATTCACATATAACACAATATTTAGAAGAAAGTGATTGTTTAATAATGCTTGGAGAAAAAATGATGGACTTTAATACGGGTTTCTTTTCTGAAAAATTACCTAAACATTGTATGGTGTACAACCATTTGGGAAAATCTAAAGTTGGAGAAAACGAATTTAAAGATGTTTATGTTGAAGATATCGTTCAGAGAATGATAGATTTGTACAAAACAGGAGAGCTTAAACAATATAATTTCCCAGGTTCGACACCACCTTATCCTCAGGCAATGCACTTATTCACTCATAGGAAAAACAAGGGTTTAGGCCTGGAACCGGCAAGAAATCTCACAATTAACAGAATGTTTGATATAGTAGCATCTTCTTTACCTGACTCAGTAAATGTTCTTACAGAAACAGGTATTTCTCTATTCAGTGGACTGGAGCTGATGCTAACGAAGGACTCTCAATTTTTTGGGCAGAGTTTTTTTGGATCTATAGGATATTCAGTTGGAGCAACTCTTGGACTGTGCATAGCAAGCAAGAAACGAGTGTTTTCTTTCATTGGGGATGGAAGTCTGCAAGTAACAGTTCAAGATTTATCCACAATTTTTAGAAACTGTCTGAACCCTGTAATTATAATTATTAATAATGATGGGTATACCATAGAACGTGTGATTTGTGACGATTCATACAACAATATTGCAAGTTGGAAATATTCTAAATTGCCAAAAGTCTTTGGCTTCCCAAATGTTCCATCATTCATTTGCAAAACTGAAGGTGAATTTGACAAATCTTTGAAATTTGCTATAGAAAATCCAGAGAATGCTTGTATAATCGAAGTCCTTTTCGAAAGATGGGATTGTAACATCATTCTTAAAGAAATGGGGAAGGAAATGGCAAATAATAGCCAAATTATTGAACATAAAAAGAAATGAATCATTTTTCTAGAGCTACATTAAAAAAAAAACTAAAATTACTTAAATTTGCGTTTTGTGAGTACAAAATAATATATATAACCTGAGTTTAAATCCAAATATTTTGCTAAAAATCTGAATTTTAGAACGAGATCTAACGAATAGTCCCAAATTAACTGATAAAATCTATATTTCAAAATAAAGTGTGAAATCATTCAATCAATGATTGATGTTTGTTTCATCTGAACATTTTTTGTTTTTATTTCTGACACTGGCAATTGGGAATTTTTCAAAACAGAGTAATTATCTCTTAGTCTGAAAATCGATATGTATGCAAGGACTGACAAACAAATTAATATTATTATTAAATTAATAACCAAATTTTTTATCCAAACCGAAACAGCCACTTTTTTACCGAAAGCATTGATTTCAAATATTTGTTTTTTGTTAACGTTGATACCAATCATAGGGTCAGAAATATGGTGACTAACATCTTCATCATTAGACAATAATAACGAATTCGTTGCTCTAAATGGTTTTTCTTTACCTTCTCTTAGTTTTAGTATTTCATTCAAAATGATAGATAGTCTGGCCCCTGCAATTAATATTCTACTTCGAAAAATTTCGAGCCATGCAAATTCTAATGTGATATCAACATTAAAATTATCAATGATTGGCTGTTTTGATATTGGATGAAAGTATATTTCATTAACCATTATACTATAGTTTTCTCTGGCCCAGTCATCAATCATTTCGATGCCTTTTTCTTTCCAAAGCAACAGTTCTTTGTCAAATGTGTCTCTTATTGCTAAAATATGTGTCCATCCGCCAAACCAAAATTGAGGTTTTTCAGTTTTTAGTTTTCGCGTTATTCCACTTTCCCAAATCTCAAATAATGACAATCTTTCGTTTGTGCCATTAATACTTATCATTCCATTTATTTCTCTCCCAAGATCATCTTCAATAAATCCAAAATGCATAGGTTGATGAAGATCACCAACCAAATTAATCAGAAATTTCATCGAATCTGAGTCAGTTAACTGTATACCTTCAGGATAATTTATTTTAAATTTTGATTGATCTCCTATCAGTCGGTAGTACAAGTGTTTAATCATTGGGACGAGACAATGCCCAGTCTTTTTACAATTAGTATCTGACCTCAAAATATGTTTTTTTTTTAAATATTCGCCTCCTTCAATTCCATCTTTCAAATAATCGCTTTTATTCTGGCTTTGAAAGTGGAAGGGAAGCGTTGATGGATGTTTTTTCGAAACTCTCTCTCCCCAACCAGAAATATCGACAATATCTTTTCCATTCATTAACCTTTTAAGTTTTTGAGAAAAGTTATTTTGAAGTCCAGATATAGTGGTCATGCCAATTGCACTATGTCCATCTGCATCAAATGCCAATACCTGACCCAAAAATAATAATATTTCAATCGCAAATTTAATTGAAAGAAAGACTGACATTTGTAATTTATACTCATTCAAAAAATGTGTAAAAGTTCCTATTCTCTTTTTTAGATAGAGTTTTGCCTCATTTTAATATCTGGTTTAAATTAAAAAAAAAAGGTTTTGGAGGGGTGAAAGAACATATGGCGCCATTGCCCTAAAGAAGTTATTTGTTAATTCAAGTAAAATTTTTAGATTTCACACTTCTCGATAATTGTAATTGCTTTACCGCCCATTAAATTGTCTCGTTATATTTTAGAGTTATTACAACTTGTCGGTTTAAAAATAATTAAATTGCTTGCAGATATTATTTCATGTGAATGATTAACATAAATTTGCATATTTACCATTATTATTCAATTTCTGAGAGACCTGATAAATTATTTTGAATTTAATATTTCAAGTTTTTTTAACAATTACTGAAATTTACGTGTTCGTAGAGATAAAATTACCAGTAGATACCTTTCGACTAATTCTGAACAGTATTGGTGAATCAATTTAAAAACGATTAAAATGGAATCAAATGAGTCAAATATAAAGGTTTTGAGGAGCAGTCATTCAAAAAATTCAAAAGTTAATGTGAAAAACGCTACAACCAATAAAAATTTCAATCCGAATCATATTAAAAAATATAACAAGCAATTCCAAAGAGACAATGATAAAAGTAATTTTGAAACAAGAAACGGCTCGATTACAGAAAGAATTACAAATTCAAAAGTATTTAACACCAGTTCATCGGAATTCGCTGTATTAATATTATTTTTGATTGGTAATGAAGTTGAATTGAAACTAGTCGATTGTAAGGTATATCGTGGAATTTTTCATTCAATTAGCAAAAGAGAAGGAAGCGACGAGCAGTTTGTTTGTATCCGGTTTTGCAGAAGAATACTAGATTTATTTAGCAATGAGCTTTCCAAACCAATTGAAGACTACTGTATGTTTCCGCTTAGTTCAGTTTATAGACTTTCCACAACAAATATGAATGGAGTACCTACAAGATTTGATTCAGTTTCAGGGGAATCAAAAGAAAGCAAAATATATAAGATTAATCTTTTTAGGACCGATAATGAGATAAGCAGTAATGATATACACTCGCACGAACGTATATTGAAGCCATGGGTATCTGAGGATCATCATTCTGATGTCATTGAGGATGTTTTAGGTAACGAACCATTTGATTGCTGGGATCAATTCGAAGAGAACCGCAATAGATTTGGAATAGAAGGGACTTACGATGAAAATTTGTATACGACTCCACTCGATTACAATGAGATAACTGAAGAAGAAAAAAGAAAAGCAGAAATTCTTGCAACTGAAATAGAAAAAGAACAAAAGGAAGATTCTGCAATTAAATTCGAGAATGAGATAAATGACTCGGTAATTGAAAATGATGAAGAAATGCACTTTAGCTCTGTATACAGAAATATCTCTGATAAAAGCAACTCCAATAAAGATGTTAATAAAATATTAAAAAATGAATCAGTTAACAGTTTAGATCAGTATGAAACGAGTGATAAGCATTCCAAAAATTCCGAGGAAATTTCGAATAAAGATTTCCTAACTAAAAACCGTAAATCTAATTTTTCATTCAACCCTAATGCAAAGGAGTTCTTGCCTAGAGCAATTTCCAATTATCAAAAAGTATGTGAAGATCATTTAAATAACTTTTCTAATACTCGAACAAATGAATCTATAAACTATTCATATGAACATCAAAGTGATGACTACCATTATTCATATAAAAACGAACATTATACGCTTTCTAATGGAAACCAACATAATTACCATGATAATCAATCAAATCACAATTATCGTGATCTTGCCCTAGTTAATTCTGTGCAATCTAAAGGAACACAGTTTAGAGATAGTTTGAGAAACGAAGTTAATGGTGAGAAATTGGTTAACCAAATATCATATGAATACTACTTACTTAACGGCCAATGTGTTGATGAAATCGATGAAAGTAGGAAAGGGGGTCATCAATGCCCAGAAATTTCGTGTGATGCATCTAGCTCACGAGCTATTTACTATTATTCTGCGGAATCTGGAGATATTCATAGTTCTTCATATTATGTCTCTGATTACAACACGGGAAAATGGTCGAATTATTCAATACATAATCAATACTATATTCCAAATAACAATTCAGAAGTTTACAGCCATTACTGCAATTATCAAGGTCAAGGAACATACTATTAGAAAATTATAATCTACTTTATTCTATTCTTTCTAAATACAATTATTCAGTAACTTAGTAATAGAGAGATATTTAGAAATAATTATATTACCCTCCATATAATATTCATCAGTTTTTTCAACTTCAATCTCTTCAAACTGTAAATGTAATTTTAACTCTTCATTTCCCAACGCGTTAAAATCATTTTTTATTAAACTTAATAGTGTGAACGCTTGGATTAGAGCTAAATTAACCATTTTTTTCTTAAATTGTAGCCCCTTTTGATCTGAACAAGTACATTTAAAAGCCATTTTCCCATTTCTAATAATTGTTTTAAGTTGCGATTCGATGTTTAAGACATCATTTGAACTTCTTAAATGTATTAGTAAATTAATATAGGCAAATATACACTTAATTGAGCAAACATTTAACGATTCACCACATGATTCTAATATTTCTGAACCAATTAACACAAATTCGGATACTTTCGAAGTTTCATCTTTGGCAAAATAAGAGTATAAACTAATAAATAAATATAACTCCGCAACCTTGACTTTAGGAAAAACTCTTGCATATTCTGAGTTAGAACTGCATATAATTTGAACGTAATGTAACAATTGATCTGCAAGTTGTGAAAGAAAAATGTTATTGTAGATGTTTTCGTAATAGATTGAGTTTACTTCAGAGTAACTAAGCAGGAAATTAGGAATTAATTTCGTCCAACAAATTATAGAATGAACATCTAAAAAATCATTTTTGATGTTATTTTCCTCTTCATTTAAGTATGAAAAAATATTACATATTGGGAAAAGTGTATTTAAACTTTTTTTTTGATATTTATCAGCATTTAAATACAAATATCTAGTATTAAGTGGTTCTTCACTAGAACAACTTTCAACAAGTTTCATACTTAATAATAATGCTGGATAGTCTGATTGTAAATAATTGATATATTCAGATAAATGATTCAAAACGTTATTTTTTTCTTCATTTGTCAGAAACTTTGCGTTTTCTAATATCTCAGAATTAATTAGATCTAAATTAGAAATAATTAAATAAGGCAAACAATCAAATTGATTAAACTTTGAATTACTTAAACCAAATTTTCCATCTTTAGCATTAACATTTCGCATTAACAAGTAGAGCTTGGAAATTAATATATATATTTTGATCAAAATTCGAGTACCGATATCAACTGTTTTTGAAAGATTCTTTAATAACTTTTCTGCATAAATTGTATATTTTGTCGATTTTCTAAAATCATTTGAATGAATAGACATCGAGATTATGCAATATATCTGAAACAGTTGATTAATCTGTAAATTATTAGTTTTATAATTCATTATTTTAAAACTTTTGTTATTCATGTTCATTAGGGATTGTATAGAAATTGATTTTATTAAGTACTGCTCACCCAATTTTTTCATCTCTGGAGTTTTTAATAAATTTATTCCTTTTAAAAATATGGAGAAACTTGAGAAGCTACCAAATACAAGTTTATTCTGCAATATATTAAATATTTTCGGTGGTTTTTCATTCCCCAAAAGAATCTTCTCAAACTTGGAAATTAGGAAACCATTGAACGAACTATCAAAAGATATATTTTTTGATGTTTTTGCATTAGTTTCACATCTTTGAATAATTAAATTTAATTTTGTTAATAAACTTGACCATTCACAATAGTTAAGCTTTTCTGTACAGATAATTTTCAGTTTATATAGATATAGAAATTTTTTATAACCACAAATATATGGACCCGGAAATAAATCTAACCTCATTAACTTGTTGGTGTTATTAGAATAATTTGGATAATCTGTGCTGTTTCCCAGACTATTATAATTTAATAACATTGTATCTATTATGTAGCAAATTAGCATTTTAAAATCGTGAGGAGAGCTTCTAAACGAACAACCAAAGTTTTCATTAATATGTGTAAAGCTATGATTTCTTATTTTTTTTTCAGGATTTGAATTTTTTTCATAGAATTCAATGCCAGCCATACCCACATATTTGAATAATTCATCTATAATAGTTTTAGTTTCAGGCTCTGAGCATCCACTCGAGATTTTTTCTTTCAACTCAAACCCATTTGAAATCAGCCAAATTATATCACAAATTTCCATCTTGAATTCCATTAAAAATGATAACTATATATTTTATTGGGTGAACATAAACTTTTGTATTATTAATTTGATATTTTTATTATTTACTGGCAAAAAAAAAACATCAATTAAATAATCATTTTTGTCAAGATCCCCACACAATTGCAATTTATTTTTATACCGCATGTAATTATTTTAAGCTAATTATCAAATAATTATTAGATATAGCAAACGAATTAAATCAATTATAATTGGTAATGAATTAAACATAAGAGTTTTATCTTTAATTATTCTTCTTAGAGATCTCTATTTATTATGTTATAATGAATTCTAATGTATATAATATTAAAAAATTTTTAAATCAGTCTTATTTTATTTCACCACAAACTATGGTAAGCAGGCTGTTTGAGAATGAGCAAAATCCCATATCAGATATAAATAAAACTGAAAATGAAAGCTTTCCAACAACTTCATTAGTTCCATACAGCAGAGGGCTTGATTTCGTAAAAGATAAAAAATTGCAAAATGAAATAATTCAAAAATCGAATCCAGACAATTATGCAATTGTATCACAACATTTTAATTTACACTGCCCAATGTGTGGTAGAATTATACCACACAAATTTTATCCTAATGGTTTTAGTCAACCCAATGACGAAGATAATATATTGAAGTTGAAAAACTTGCAAAAACCAAAAAACTATGGCTACAATAATATTAATATTTCCAATGAAGGACAAATAAAGACATCAGATATATCATCTAATAATTTTGATAGCAATGAATTTGAAAATAACTCCGAAGCTAGTGAAAAAATTAATAATTGCTTAAACGAACGATATGTTAACTATAATGTTGAAAATCAAAATTACTTTTTTTTCTTAGAAGAATTGTATCGCCAGATCAATATTAGAAATAATATTAACAGGTTCCAATATTCTGTAATGAATAATATTGTTGAAAATAATTCTGATTCAAAAAGCTTTGATAATGAAAGAGGTGCGCTGGAATTTAATAGATTAAAATCTTCAAAAACAATTGATACGGAAGTCAACTTAATTAACCTAAATTCAGATTTGTTAATGACAGGATATTACAAAAAATTTTTTGTAGAGATTAGAAAACTTGGAAGTGGTAGTTTTGGACAAGTATATCTATGTGCTCATGTACTTGATGGGATTACATTAGCAAAATATGCCATAAAAAAAGTTCCTGTTGGTGACAATAAAAAGTGGCTTTCAGCAGTATTACGCGAAGTAAAAATCCGCGAGCTATTGCATCACCCAAACATTGTTCAATATAGGCATTCTTGGCTAGAAATGTACAGTTCAAACGAGTTTTGTCCCAAAGTACCCTGGCTTTTTCAATTAATGGAATATTGCAATTCTGGATCTCTTGATACCTTAGTTGACTCAGTTTCAATCTTTAATCACAACATAAAAAGTTATGAAGAACATGCAAATCGAACTAAAAATTTATTATCCTTTTCAAATGATAATGAAAAATATATTATTAATGACGAATTAGGTCCAGATTTTAGTCACTTCTCAAATAAATCTTTTACTGAAATCAGTGGTAGTAATCTTTTCTCAGAAAAATATATAGATGAAAATCACATATGGAAAATTTTTTTCGATGTTATTTTTGGTTTACAGCATCTACATCATAGAGGAATATTACACCGAGATCTAAAACCGTCTAACATCTTACTACACATTACCTTTGATGAATTTCTTGAACAACCTATCTGTCAGGCATTACTTTCAGACTTTGGAACTGCACAAGTCCTCAAAAATGTAAATTTGAAGCTACTTTCATCAGAAATAATACATGAGTTGAATTATGTCACACAAGGTACTCAAAATGTTTTGTCTGATTATCAAGAAGAGTATGCAATTTCTTCAAATCAACGCCACGGTTTCACAGGTACAGTGGAGTATACTGCACCAGAACTTCTTGCAAAAGACAAAAATGGAAATTTCACGGGAGAATACAATGTATACAGTGATATTTGGTCATTGGGAATTACAGTTTACAAATTATCTTACAATCAGGTTCCATTTAGAGTCGATACAACAAATGGCCTTGACCCAGAAGACCCAGAAGAGTGTATTAAAGCTATTTTTAAAGGTATGAAAAATCTAGAGTTTCCAAGTATCCCAAGCAGGACAAATGAACTAAAGTTCCTAATTAGGTCAATGTTGGACCCGAATCCAATAAATAGACCAAATACTGACGATATTCTAAGGCATCCTGTAATTCAAGACAAATTGAGATCATCGGAAATAATAAACGCAAGCATAGAACTTGCAAATATAATAAAATACGAGAACTGTAAATAAAATACTTGTAATTTGTAAATTAACAAAAATTTCACCTATTAATAGTGTTTAGGATGCAGTTCATAAGATAATGTTACTATCGCACCTAAAAACAAAACTTAAAGTATTATTTTCTTCTGTTGCTAGGAGTAGATTTTGAGGAAGGCGATTTAACGGCCTTCTTATTAGTACTAGAGTTACATCTTATCCCAAAACATCTAAATATGAGCTTTAAGACGATAAAAATAGATTCCAACACAACATATAATGCAAATACTGCACATAATATGTAGAAGATTCGATCGTGAAGGTTCTTGGGAATAGTACCTGCAACATTGGGTTCATATGATTCAATTCTGGCAACATATTTGTCCAACTTTTCATTGATAAACTCAGAATAAATATTCACATACTCAATGTAGGGGCCTAATAAATTGACATATTTGTTCATATAACTTTTTATGTGCTGGGAAATCAATGGGTATACTTCGTAGTACTTTTCAATTGTAGGATCTAAATAGGCATAAATTTTACTGTAAAAGGATTTAATTTGTGAATCCAATTCTTTAGGAACATTACTATATGACGCAGCAATAAGACCTTTAAAAAACACCGAAAAGTTTTTTAGCTGGTTGAACACCACTCTCCATGATATTGTTTGATGAGATTCCTTAGTAATATTATTTCTTTCACATTGAAGAATCATTTCAGAAAGATGAGAAATTTCCATCTTTAATGAATCCAAGTCAGAAGAGCATTCACTATTTTTTTTAAGGAGAGACTTGACTTCGCTTTCGCACTCCCTTAATCTAGCGTCGCATGATAGGTTAACTGCGCAAAGTTCTCCAAACAAAATAAATGCCATACAACAGAAAAAAAAAAGCGAATTTGTACTAAACATGCTCAAAACCCTCAATAAATAACTGCAATAAATGATAAATTTCAGTTTCTCAAGTGAAAAATATATGATATAACGTTCCTGCCTATAGCATCCACTTAAACCTTATTTCGAAACTAAAGATCGCATTAATAAACTCTAATGAGACGTCAAAATATCCTAAATGTGCGCCAAGTTAGTAGCGCTTTGAAATTATTTACCCACAAATTATTTTTAAGTTATCAACAAAAAAGAATTAATGGCATTGAAATAGATAGGTTTTAATGAATTCCTAATTATGGCGAGATTTATTCAGAATCTCAACTCACTCACTTTCAATGACAAAATTGTCATATGAATCATCTTCATCAAGTGTGGGGTCCCCCCAAGTGCCAATATTGATGGGAATTTTCTCTACATAATAGCCGTTATAATTCAATTTTAGCACTAGCTTACTAATCATATTAATTTTTTGATTCTTACAGTTGGATATTTTGCTGAAAAAGTTTCGCATAAGCAGTTCAAATTTCGAACTAAATTTTTCTACAATATTTTCATATGTAGGATCAGCTAATAAGCCTTCGATATGCATGTTGTTAATGCGGGTTCTACCTCTTGTCCTCCCAAAATTGTCCTTTTTATAAGGTTTAGTACTACTTATCGAGATCTGGCCACTTTCCTCATATTTTTTCCCAGTTTTTTCAGAGTGAAAAGCGTCTGTTATTGTTTGGTTTGAGAAGCCATAAATATTCAACAAGTTGGAGTGGGCAGCAAATAGATGGCAAAGTGACAGAATTTTATATAATAAATGTAATTGTTCGCTTTCTAGGCAGAAACATTGTGCTAATATTTCATTGAGCAATTGGTCTTGACGTGAATTTAATTCTTCCAAAGTCGAGATATTTTTAAAATCTTTTATCATTGAATTCCACAAAGGATTAATTACATCTTGATAAATGTATTCTAAAATTCCAGTTGTCAAAAAAAGCATTTTTTGCCTTAAAAAATAAGGCCTGAGTATCAACTCATTTACTGAAAGATGCTCCGTTTTAGTCAATTTATTGTCCCAAATGTTTGAAGTTTGATGAGCTATCCAAATATTATTAAGTAAGTGATTTATGTACTTCAAATGGAAAATTAATTTGAATATTAGCTCGTATTTATTTAATAATTTTCTCGGCCAAATCGAATCAAATGCCTTTACTTCACAAAATTTAATAGTTAAGAACTTGAATGCATCAAAGCTTGAAATACTTGATTTATTCTTTTCTATGGATTTTAGTTCTTCACATAAAATATACGAGCTTATTTCCCATTTCACAGGTGTAAATAACTCTTCGTTTACACATTCAGTAATTAACTTCTTCTCAATTATACAAGAGAACCTATTAGAATTATTTGAATTGTGTAATTCTTTATAACATTTTAACATAAGTTCATCCCATTTACGTGTGATATCGTTGCACGAATAATAGTTTATCTTATTTCCTCTAGACCCCAATCTGTGAATGTATTCAATAAACTCCTGAATAAGGGAATCATTTGCGCAAAAAAATATTTCATAGAATGCATTAATAATAGATCTTACATCGATAATTGAGTTGCAAACCCTGAAAAGTAAAGTCTGCGACTCAAGAAATATGTCATTAATATAAATTCCAATTTCTTCGCCTCTTATTGAATCAGACCTATTGCTTAGAGATTTCAACATTAACCCCAAGACATTTTCTAATTTTTTACGATTCGAAACTCCATTTTCGTGTCCCTTGTCAAATAATTGATTTTCAGTGTAGAAATGATTTATATGAGAAACAAAATAACTGACTAATCCAATATAATTAACTTGCTCAATTAAGTCTTTTAAAAATGAAGGGAGTATAGGAAAGAGTTTGTTTCCTTGTTCTCTGCAAGAAGTTAGGGAATACAGATTGTTTTTCATGAACCTTTTTTTGGTTAGATTATTTAATTGGCAATTAATAAACTCTGAAAAATGATCTGTGACTGCCCCAAACTTCAACCAAGGTGCCAAAAAGTGTTTATACCAAGAAAAGAAAATTTGGTTGAAAACAAAATTTGCAATCTTTTGAGATGATTCCTCACCTTTAAATTCATTATTTGCAATTTTATATACCTGATCAATGATTTCAGATCCTCTTTTATATAATACTCGAGTTGAGATTAAATCCAGGGCTTTTAAAGTAATCAAAGCTTGTTGAGAATGTGACCAAATATTTTGAATTGTGAGTTGCCCTTTTCTTAAGTATGATTCAAACTTTGCAATTTTGATCGTAAAATGTTTCAAAAGTTCGCGGAATGAATCGCATAACGTGCCTGAAACAATCCCAAATTGAGAATTCCCACTCTCATGTACCTTCAAAAACTTTCTTATTCTTCTATGCAAAGAAGAAAGTTCTAAAGTTCTGTATGAAAGTGGATAGAGAGAAGGATTTTTTTTAAAATTATTTGTAGATAATATGTTGTTTGATTCAAACGATCCGCTTAAGTTATTTTCTGTGTTTTTTTCTTCTGAAATTGTATTGTAAATTAGATCATCGCAAAAATATTGCAAATTACTGGGATCATCGATTATTTGGTGGGAAAATAACGGTATTCCTTCTCTTCCAGAAAAATAATCGTGGTCAAAATGTTTATCATTATTAGGTGTTGAATTAAACTCAAAAATATATAAGTCTTCAGAAGTAAAATCTAGATGTTTACATTCGTGAAAAAATTCAACAACTTCTTCAGTAACCTTGATATAATTAGCATTATTACACATTAAACAATTTAGAATATCTTCAAGTATTAATTGCTCCTGTACTTTTATTGAAAAGCTACTTAGCTTATTCGGAATTATATTCTGCTTTGTGGTATTGTTTATACCAGTCTCTGCATGATCGAATACAAAACCGACAATACTGGGAAGTAAATTTAAAGATTTTGCTGAAAATTTGTTTTTTGCATTTAATGATTCATCTTTAAAGAGATTCGTGCTAGGCATATCCCAATCAATTGGACGATCCGAAACTAAGTTAAAAGTATCTATTCGAATTGGCTCTATTTTGCTTTTTGAACAACCAGCTCTGTAAGCTAATTTTTCAATTATCCTGCTATCCAAAAATTTCAGGGAATTATTATCTTTACTTTTCAATATTTTTTTCATCAAGAACCAATTTGGATATACCGTTCCTTCGAATTTCAATGGAATGATTGTCCAACAACCATTTCTTCCAGATAAACAAGTACTGTCTATAGATAATTGATTAAACTGCATCTTTAAGTTAGATTTAATAGTTTGTGTACAAACAATTTGCTCACTATCAAATCTAATTCTGAATAAGTCATTATATTTCACTGATTGTATATTTGGGATAGGCGAATTTTCAATCTCACCTAATAGCGATTCCTCTTTTGTAATCGGTATTTTTTCTAATGACCATTCATATTTCTTTAAAAAAGAATCATCACTCAATTGACCTTTGATTCTTAAGTATTTAGCAACTTCTTCAAATTTTGAAACCAAAAATTTTCCAGAATTTTGGTCAAATCCAATGATAAATACTTCGTTATTAATTAGTGAAGAAATATAGACTTTGTCACCATACTGAACATGTTTCTTTTCACCACAGTAATTAATCAACAATTGATTTAAATTAAATAAATAAAATTCTGAATTAGAACACAAATTTGGATAAAATTTGAACTTCTCTCCAAAAATACTTCTATTATTTGTAGATTCAAAATTTTCTGAATTGCCCAGATTCGAAAGTCCTAATTTATAGTTTTTCTCCCCACATTTATTTTCTTGAAAAATTGTTATATATTCACAATTTTGATTACAAACACGAATATTAATCTGAAACAATTTAATTCACTGATTTTAAAATTTGAAATAAAAAAAAAATGAGCTTACCTTTTCGCCGAAAAATACATAATTATTTTCTTCTTGTTTTACTACCTTTGAAACAGCAAGCAAAGATACATGCATAACTGAAATAAGGTTTTTTGAGCAATATATGGTTGTAACTGTATTATTTGTCAATCAATTAACTCAGATGAATTACAATAATTGTTAATTACATTACATTACTTTTTTTAATAAGAAGATTTACAATAAAAACAAAATAGGTCCCCTCAAAGAAAAATTCCAATATTAACCCCTCTATAGAAATGAAAAAAAAATAATAAATCTTAAGAATTAAAGACCTTAGTCATTTGCAATGATCTACATAGCCAAAATTGAAAATATAATGAAAATTTTATCTAAATCAATTGTGATAGTTATAGTCGAACCAAGGGTGGTTCAACGCTTGAGATGCTGAGAGTCTTTCGTCAGGGTCAATGCACAAGAGTTTGTTTAGTAAATCAACAAATAAAGGATCTTTATCAGCATCAAACAATTCAGATATTCTGCTTTTGTATTTAGAAACTCCATGAAATGTTGTGAAAAGTCTAATCTTGTTTAAGTGTTTATCAAATAAGTGCCCGTCATGAGTAATAAAGTGGTCAATAGTAGAAGAATTGTTTATCATATGTATTGGCAATTTTCCTATTGTGGCGACAATGTTTGCTAATAATTCTTGAGTTGAATTGTTATAATCGAAAAGTGGTCTTCTAAGTACCAATTCAGCCATTACACATCCGATACTCCAGATATCGATCTTTTCATTATAGGGAAGCCCCAAGCAAACTTCAGGAGATCGATAATATCTACTTTGAATATAGGAGTTTCTTGAATTCGATGCTTGGTAAATGCTTAGGCAGCTTCCCCAATCAATTAATTTAATATTTATCCGGCCGCTTTTTTCAGTTTGCACATTGTTTAAATATCCAAAAATATCATGTGCACTAATATGGTCAATAACGATATTTTCCGGTTTAATATCGCAATGAATTAGTTTAAGTGACTCATGAAGATATTTTATACAACTTAATAATTGTTTAATAATATTTTGAATGTTTCCAAAAGTTAAATGTGCCTTCTTTGAATCATTCTTTATGACAGACAATAAATTTTTCCCCTGTAATTCTGAAATAATAAATACATTGTTATTGCTCACTGCAACGTCAACAAAATAAGGCACGAACTTGGAAATCGCAGACTTACTTAAAACTTTTAAATAATTAGCTTCAATTATAGAATTTTTTAAATATTGATTGTCTGAAAAGCTTCCTATAAGCCTTTTTAAACAGACAAGCTTGAATGATATTAAGTCGAGCCCTACATAAATTTGACCAAAATTCCCTCTATGAAGAATTTTAATAAGTAAGAATCTATTTAAAATATTGAGGCTATTAACGTTTTGTCGTAACAAATGAATGAATTGACTTTTATTTGACTTATTTAAAAATATAACATTTTTGTCCAGAATATTAATTTCATTTTTAAGATTTGAATTCATAGTTCTTAGAAATACTGAAATGATATCTTCCAAAGTTTTCAATTCTGTTTCCATATTTTCAAAAAATCCGCTAACAGAAAAACTAATCCTAAGGGTAAAGTTAATAATTTGATGCTTTTTGTCGGGATTATCAAGCTTTTGTAGTTGATTTTCTACAATTTGAGAGAAAGACAATCTTTCACTTTCACATTTGTTAATTATTTGTGAGGCCTGACACTCCAAAGGACATTCGGCTAATTCATCGTCATAAATATTGATATCTTCATTAAAAAGAAAATGATCTTTGATATCGGATCTATGTTTTGAAATATTTCCTTCATCTTTTCTTGTGAATAAATGCAGAGATCTTAAGTAGTCAATTACTTTTTCTGATGAAATCATTCCTGTATTATGAATTGATATAATAAAATCTAATGGTAAGTTGAATGGAATTATTTCACAATCATTGTATTCATTTACTAAATTTTCAATTTTTTCTTTAATGCCATTTTTATCTTGAAAATGGCTTTTGCTTGAAAAAAACACTCGATCATATAAATCGGTTATCCAATTGTTTAGATCTCTAAAGTTTTCAAATTCAACATAATTCTTGAAAATTGGGATTTCTTCGACATTAACTGAAACATCATCTTCCCTATTAATATTAATATTGTTGGTAAAGTTGCAGTTTGCAGCGATTGCCATCGATGCCTTAATTATCTGTTCTTGAAAATAGTCACTTTCTGCAAAAATATCAGTGTCAGTGTCATTTAAAAAATTTTTTTGAATATATCTCGATAAAATCGAAGCAAGGTCATCATTTTTAATTTCATTTATTCTTAAAATGTTTTTAATAGTGCTAGTAAGTTCATTATTCATTTTACTAATATCGGTGAGGGAAAATTTGAAGTCTAATTTGCAAATTGACATTGCGGCAATAAAATGTAATTTTAGATAGTACATGAATAAGAAATTATTTAGTTCCTCCGAATAGTAATAGAGTTTCCTCTAAATATTGAATTTTTATTAACTTTTGCCGGGCCAATAATTTCATTATTTGTCGAATTTTTTTTAATAAGTGCTTGTTTAGAGAACATGTAATTTTCTTTATAGAACATAGTAGAAAGTAAGTCATTTGAGCTAGACTGCATAAGTATTTTATCCCCGAGGTTGTCTAGTTTTTTGGCGTATCTGCCTTTTTCCATGTTATAATATATTTCCTTTCTAGCATTTAACAATCCAGTTTCCTTTATCTCAGAATGCCCTCTTGCCAAGCTTATTGCTAAAGTCGCAGCCGGGAACACTGATAAATCACTACTATTTACACTAGAATTATTTAGCTCTTTGCTCCTATTTATTTTTGACTGTTCATATTCTGGGCGCCTGTATATTATGTACTTACCAGTTTTTGTAAACCTTTTCAAATTCTTTTTCTTTTTTGAAGAATTTGAATCATTTTTGGTAATAAAATTTCTGTCTTTTAATTTCTTAATATCATAATAGTTCTCCTGGTTTTCAAACTTTACTGTTTTTACTTCGTTTTCCGCGGAATTATCAGAAAATTCATTCGAAATATCAGATTTTAAATCTTCAGTTGTTTCTCTCTTTAGCAAATGCTTTGAAGTTGGATGCTGCTCACTTTCTTCAATTAAACTTGAAATTGTACTCGATCTTGGACTATAATGGCTAGAACTTGAATAACTTATACCATCTTTGTTTTCTAGCTCAGAATTGTCTAAGTTTCCTTCTGATTCATCTTCATTAGGGCCTTCATCACTGTCTTCATCAGGACCTTTTTCAGAGCCTTCATCAAGTTCATCTTGGTCCGGGCTTTCTTCAATTTCACTTAACTCCGACTGGACTTCAGCATTATCTTCATTCTCTAAATACTCTATTGGTTCCTCATTCTCTCCATCCTCATAAATTTGATCGTAATCCCATTCAAGCACAGCATCCCCACCAGTAAACTCAATAAAATTTTTGTCTGACTTCAATAATTCATCTACCTTTAAAGCCATTTCATACATTAAATCCAAAGGACTTATCTCATCACCATTCGAACCAGGTAAAATAGCAAAACCAACTCTCTGACCTTCATAATTCAATTCAGTCGCACATACCCTATTTTTTGGTATATTTAAACTTTCACTGACTGAATTTTCAATTCCTTCAATATAATATCGAAAATTCCCATCATCTTTAATTTTTTTTGAAATCCAAAGATTCCCAGAAACACTACCTTCAGGTAAAACAACTCTTCTTTTACGTATCATCTTATTTTCTTTGTCCAATATCCCTATAAAGTCAGCTGTTACTAATGGACCCGAGCCATCAATACTTATTTTTGTTGTGTTTTCCTGATTAATTTGAATGTTACTTTCCTTCTTTATTTCAGTATTATCAAGGATAGCATCACGGCTGACATTATTTTCTTCAATTACAGAATTAATTAAATCCAATTTTATTGAGTCTGATTTTTCACTTTTAAATATTTTTTCTTTCATTTTTTTTTTCTCACGTTTTTCCAAAATTTTCTTCTTTTCTCTTTCACTAATTTTTTGGGTGACCAAAATAAATATTCTACAACATAATATATTATTTGGGTAGCCATTAATTATTACTGAAATACTCAATGTTGCGGATTTATCTCTAGTAAATAATATCTCAAGTTTCCCAAAAATAGCTTCTGTAATCATTTTGGGGTTTGCATGGTTGAATGAAAGTGGGAATCCTAACACTCGATGCATTGAGGGGACTTTTGACTCCATTGCAAGTTTCCAATCACTAAATTTTGCCATTAGATCAGGGTATTCTTCTTCACTTGACATTTCCAAAAGCTCTACGATTTCTAGTCCTTTTTCCAAGAAAAGGTTCAATGTAGGATCCATGTTCCATCTTGTTCCAAGATTTTGCGCACTTCTACGAGATTGAATTTCATAATGTAGTATGTTTTTTAATAGATCCTTCATATTTTTCATACTTGATTTATTTGGTAATGACGAATAGGGTTGAATTCTGAATCCGGGCTTATGAATTAAGGGCGTATTTGTACACGAAATAAATAATGATCCATTCCATAAATCAAAAAAGATTGATCCTGGGCTTATATTTTGTTGAATATTATACCAAATATTTATTTCATTAAATATGGTATCAATACTTGTATACGGCAGTTTTATCGTTTTTAAATGTAAATTTCCACTTTGTGGCTCAACTCCAGTAGATAAAAGACGTTCCCTCTTCCTAAACCTTAAAGTAACCTCACGAGCTCTTTGTTGAGAAATGAACCTATTCTTCAGTACATAAATTTGGCCAGTGGTTAATTCCCAGAATTTGATATATGTGTTATTATCTATATCGCTGAAATGCCATGACATTACCCAAGAATGAAAATAGCCCCCAGCTATTGTTCCTATGCATACGAACGCTTGAATCTTTTGTTTTAACAATAAAGAAACATGTAGAAGGCAATGGTCAATAACCCCTCCACCATTACTCAACAGTGTAAAATCTGGAGTAAACCAATAATGTGACTTGCCAAACGAATATGCATTTTTGTATTCTTGGTTACCTCTTTTTAAAGAATCGTTTTTAGATATCTCATTACTGAATTTATCTTTTGTTCTTTTTGGAGGCTCTCTAAAACTTGTATTGATGAAAGGAGTGCATCTTACAAAATGGAATATTGCTCTTGGAGTATTTATTCCATTTGGTGAAGGGATTGGTCTTACAAATTGTGAAAGCATGAGTTCATCTCCTCTGTGATTATAGGAAGAAAAAATAAAAAATCTGCCAATTGTTCCGGTACCCAGCTTACTAATTAATGTTGTTTCAATCGATGTTTTTTCATTCTGATACACTTTTGGTGCTTGGCTTGGCGAAAGTTCCGTGCGACTTCTAAGAAAAATGTCAATCTTTTCAGCAATTCCAGTATCTTTTGAGCAAATTGATCGATTACTCTTTGGTTTTATAGACAATATATCAGGTGTAATAAATGCTTCAAATGAAATATTCGCAACTCTATCTGTCGGAAAAAGAAATTTTAACGGGACTTCTTGTTCAAGTACTCTAACTTTCAATTTTTCATTTGAACCGGACGTATAACAACTATTATATCTTTCAGATATTGGTCTTTTTGTACCTTTAATAGAATATATCGTATCCCAAATTGTGAATGAAGTAAATCCTGCATGTTGCATCTTAGAACCGCTTTGATTATTTGAAGTCACCCATAAGTCTATATAAATCTCTCCCAAACTTTCTAGGTGAAAAAAATAAAGCTCCGATATAGGTGGCAACTGTAGTGGAAAAATGATGTAATCTTCTATTGGTTTGTCTTTTAGATTGCCGCATACATTGGAATTTGACTTTGCTGTTAATCCTTGATGAGTAATTGAAATATTAACTTTAGTATCTTCAAGATTTTCAAGAGTTATTATGTTATCAATCTTTATTATTTTAATCATTAAATATAGTCTATCTTTAACAAAATGAATAAAGTTTCCTTTCTGTCGTTGTGAAGGATAGTTCTTAAATGATATATTTCCAGTTATCATGCCAAACTCCCAGGTAGCAATTATCCTTCGCTCTTCAGTTTTATTAATTTTTTCTGTTAACCACAAAGGCTCATATAGGTTTGATTCGACAACTGTATTAGTCTCAATCAATCCTTTCAGTGGGATATGGGTTCTTGCTTGTGAGTTTATTGCCCTATCTTTATTGTTGTCTATAACTTCTACGTCAATAAAGCAATTTTCCAAGTCTGCTATAGTTCCTCGTAAATAAATTGATCCTATGTTTTCCCATATAGGCCAATTGGTTCCTTTTTGTATATTGCTATATATGGTATAATTTTTTAATGGATTGGGCCAAATTATATTTATTTTTAATCTTGGGTTACAATTAGCAGGATGGAGTTTTGCTTGGTCTAATTCAGCTTCTATTAGTAGGCTATCAAGGTTTTGAATGTATTCCCTTTTATCTTCCTTCAGAAGTCCAATAAATCTCAAGAAAGTATCCCAAATTCCTTTTCTTCCGTAATCTATATCGTTATTTTCAATTTTCTGTTGATTAACCTTTTCACGAATTGAGATTTCTAAATTTGATGTTCCAGCATTAATAATTTGTGATTTTTCAGTAAAGATATTGTCCATTTCGTTTTCACTATAATTAAAAGAAATGTAATTAAATAGCTTTCCCATAGTCTTATTACTCATCTTATTTATATTGCTTCCCAATAAATTTCTATATTTAGTTATATTGATATTTTCAAATTCACTATTTCCAACTACACATTCTGATGAAAATATTTCACTTGAATCATTTGTCATATCTACTTCAAATAAGGAATTGTTATTAATAGGAATTTTTTCAAAGACTTTTTTTTTCATAGAACTGACTTTATTCATTATATTGTCATAAGTTAATAACCCTTTTATTTCAAACCGATCAAGTGAAAGCTGAAAATCATAAACTTCCTGAAAATATAGATTAAATTGAATTTTGTAAACCTTTTCCAATGTTTGCCCCTCTCCTATTCTCACCAAGTAACAGTGATGTTGAAGATCGGAGTTTGCGCATGTGTTTAACTTTATTTCAAACATTGCATCTAATGTGTTAAGTCTAAAATTATGGTATTTCCAAGCAGAAAGCTTAAGTTTTTCTTTTTCAATATCATAATAAGAGCCTCTGTATTCAAAAGAAGGGTGAAATTTTATTTTTTGAGGTTTATCTTTAAGCAAATTATGTACGATTGGGGTTCTCAAACGATGCTTCAGATCTCCGTTTGACAATATATATTCTTTTGACTCTAATTGTACACGAAATTCCTCTCTTGATGTGCCAAAATCTATTTCTATAAACACACTCACTTCTTCATCACCCAGGTTTTCTATTGTTAAGTCCCATATTACGACTTTCCATCGCCTTTGGAGCATATATGATTTATCTATGTATCAAATGAATTTTTATCTAATGTAAATTTATTTTTACTTACCTTTACTACCAACACTACTTTCCTCAAAGTCAATTGCATCGATTTCATCAATAGATTCGTATTCTAAATCGATCATTTCATTTTCATCTACATATTTACTTATAAAATCGTCCATGCTCATTACAGGAACATTTGCCAATTCATCAATAAATTGAGGCTCATCAAATTCTGCATTCTGGAAGAAATAATAAAGAACAATTTAAATTTTATACTTACTCCATTGGCATCATCTTGTGGATTTTTGACTACAACCTCAACATCATCATCATCTTTATTTTCTTTTTCTTCTTTTTTATGTTTACTAAAAATCTTTGGGGTTTTAATTTTTGCATTAAGCAGAGTTATTGGGTTTATCATTTGAAGCCTAAAAATAAGTATTATAAAAAATTTATTAAATTAATTCATCATGATCATGTTCTTTTGATCAGCGAAATAGGGGCGAATTTCTACATGTTTTCAAATAGCCGATACACATATCCATTTACTGTGGTTAAGTTGGCGGTAACTAATAATTCTGTCAATTCAAAGATCATTTTCTAAATTCAGAAACTCAATTAAAGAAACTCATACTATTGTTATATATAATGATCATTTATCTTATAAGACAAAATATCATAAAAAAATGTCATGATGATTAACCAAATTTTTAAAAACCAGTATTTTGAATGTTATATGAAGTTTGGCACACTTGTTAATTCTCGCACTAGATAATAAATGAGTCATTTTATATAGAGAATTTAACAGAAATAATTTATTTAACCGTTTTAATAATTATTATTTTAATCAACTTTAGTTAGACTAAAGAAAAATTAATTATTCGTTTCCCCCTCTTATTACCCCATATCTGACGTAAAAAGCGGATTAATTGAATATATTTTTAATTAAAATTATTAATTTAAGGGTTTGATATTCACTTATTTTGAAACTAAATAGGTGCAATATTATAAATATATAGTCAAAATATTTTCAGTATTATTTTAATTTCTCAGATTGTGAGGCAGATAAATGGATCTAACCCAAGTACTGTTAAACTGCCACAATTCAGTAGAGTCAGTTAGGAAGAATGCTGAACAACAACTTCAGGTCGCCCAGGAGCAAAATGTAGGTCAATATTTGACACTATTGGCTGAGGAACTATTTAATGAAAGTAAACCAGAGTTATCACGCCAACTGGCTGGACTACTACTAAAGAATTCAGTATCTGGCGTTGAGCCTAGAATAGATATTGAAAAAAGAGGAATGTGGATATCTTTACCACAGAACGTTACGTCAAAAATTAAGGCACTAGTATTAGAATCTATCTTGAGCCCAGTTGCAAGTGTAAGAGGTGCTTCTTGCCAAGTCATTGCAAAGCTTGGGCGTGTAGAACTTCCTTGCCAAAGATGGCCTGAACTTCTTCCGTACTTAATCAGGCTTGTTCAAAACAATTCTGATAGCGAAATGTCAGTTATATATAAACGTTCTTCTTTAACAGCTTTGGGATATTTGTGTGAAGATTCAAAACTATTAGAAAATGAGGTCTCATCTCTAATCATTACAGAAGATATTAGTAACCAGATTTTAACAGCAATAGTTCAAGGTATGAGCGACCCTGACTCAGAAACTGCATTAGCAGCAACTAAATCATTCTACTATGCATTGTACTTTGCGAGAAGCAACTTTTCAAATGAGATGGAACGAAATTTAATATTTCAAGTCCTTTGCACTTTATGTGGAACAGAAGGGAACAAAAGAGAACTTCTTCAAACTGCAGCTTATGAATGCCTAGTGTCTATAGCCTCTGAATACTATGATTACTTGGGCTCATATTTGTCAATATTGGCCCCAATGACTATAAAGGGTATTAAAGGTATTTATGAACCAGTTTCTGTTTGCTGTATTGAATTTTGGAATACTATTGCAGATTTGGAAATTGAGTTGTCACTTGAAGATGAGCATAATAATATAGTATCGAATACAAGTTGTATGCACTACATTGCTCAGGTTCAGGCTATGCTAATACCAGTGATGCTAGAAACGTTATTAAGACAAAACGATGATGATGACCTGGAAAGTTGGACAGTTGCTAAAGCAGCTGGTGCATGTTTAACGCTTTGCTCTCAGCTTCTTGGTGATAACATACTGGAGCCCACGCTTGGCTTCATTCATTCCAACTTTTCTCATTCTAATTGGCATAATAGAGAGGCTGCTGTCCTAGCATATGGGAGTATTCTTGAAGGCCCTAGCATTCAGAAAATGCAGCCAATAGTTGAAACTTCGGTAACAAACTTATGTCAGGCTTTAAATGATAACGTTGTTGCTGTTAGGGATACTTGTGCATGGACAATTGGAAGGATTGTTACGTTCCATCCAACTATCATTTTTCCATTGCTAGGTTATCCTCCTCAACAATCAGCTGAGCATTCGAATGGGTTACTATCATTATTATTACAAAGACTACTAGCTGATGATCCCCGTGTCTGTACAAATATTTGCTGGATAATACACCAAATTGCGGAGTCTTCTCAGCATGTAGAAGGAGGACAAAAAGTTGTAGATATATGGTTCCCTTATATTGTGCAAAGTTTATTACAGGCATTTAAAAGAGAAATATCTGATGAGAACAATATGAAACAAGCATGCTTTAATGCCTTATCAATGATTGTGACTAATTCTGGAGCAGAGAATGATATGAACTTGATTAACTTGGCACACGAATTAATTGTTGGCGAAGAAATTGGATTACAAAAGATAATGGAAAAAAATCCTATTCCGAGATCCGAAACAACCGTTTTAAATATACAACTAGTTTGTGGGGCGCTATATGCATTAACTACGAAACTTGGTAAGAGGTTGACGCTCCAATATTCACAAATATTACTCAGATTGTATTTTGAGCTATTACGACAAGGTGGGGCTTCCGAAGAATCTATTCTTTCTCTGACTTCTCTAATTGTAGCGATGTCTCATGACTTTTCTCCTTATGTAGGTGAATGCATATCTATAATAATCCCTCTAATCCAGAGTTATGATGAACTTGATACATGCAAGCATTCGATAGAGCTTATTGGAGATTTGGTTAGATCCGTTGGAAAAGGAATCAACCCATCCTTGGAAGTGATTGTTAAGACTTTGTGTGCATTATTAGCAAAAAATGATGTGGACAGGAAAGTTAAACCACTAGCAATAGTTGCTCTTGGAGACATGTCTATGAATTTGGGTGAGGACTTTATTCCATATGTAATTTCAGTGCTACAATTGTTTCAGCAAGCATCTATTACACAATACAGTGATGGGCCAGTTAATAGTGAAGACTGGATAGAGTACTTAGGTGAGCTAAGGGAATCTGTTTTACAAGGATATACTGGCATTGTGTATGGAATGAAAGATGCAAAGAAGCTTGAAATATTAGGTCCTTATGTACCTGGTATTATTCAATTTATTGATAATATTGTTAAGGATTATAGTGGCGAATTCCCAAATGATTCAAATTTGAGGAACGCTACCGCATTAGTTGGTGATTTAATAACTGCATTTAATGGGCAGCTTATCCAATACTTGCTTTCTAAAGATAAAAGATCAATTCTTGAAAATATTTGCAGCGTTGGAGAGACATCTAGAAACCCCGATATTATCGGTAATATAAAGTGGGTAAAAAAGCTCTGTAATATTTAAAAAACGATAAAGTACGCGAACAGTGAGTTCAATTCAAAACTCAAACTAACATATTGATAATCTATTGTAAATTAATATTCTTAATTGTTTCTTTTCGTAGTTAATCTTTTCTTCTAGATTTTCACCCTTATTAGGGTTTGCGTAACTAAAACAATTCATTGGGAACTATTATATTGTGAAATAACTGACATAGTGTTAAGTTTGCGTATCCAATGATGGGCAAATTCCAACATTTGATAAGATATCTAGCCTTTAGCACCTTTACGTAATGAAGCCCGCGACACTATTCTACGTTTTGTCAAGTAACTGGTTAGTAAAAATTAATATCTATTACACCTTTTGTGCGTATGTGAAATTACCATTCAATTAAATTAATTGATGTATACATGTCTGGAAGTGAGGTTTTTGAAATTCAATCTTCAAACGACCATCCGGAGTTAATGAACCAACAATTACCTTCGCGTGAAGATACTACTATGATACTATCTAAGGAAGGTAATAGCAAAGAGTTGGATTTAACTACGGGATCTTTTAGAGTTGACGAAAATGATAGTTTGAAAGATTATGTTATACAACAAAGTTCCGAATCAAATGTACAGGAAAGAAGCAATTTATCAAAAAAAGAAAGAAAAATGGATATAAAACGTAGTAAACACGCACATAAAAATTCACTCTTTCTTACTATGTTCTGTTGTATTGGAGGTGATCTAAACGCAGCAAGGCTTAAGGTTTCATATCTAGCAACAACTTTTTTTGCATCTAGTATTATTTTTGTATTTATGCAAGAACTAGTAATCAGCCAACTTACGAATGGGTATTCCATAATAAATATAAATGACGGATATTTATTTGGACCTCCTCCTCAAGTGGTTTTTGATATGGGAGCATTGGACACGAATCTCGTTAGAAATGGTCAGTTAGCTCGACTTTTTTGGTCATTTTGGCTCCATACTGGTTTTATCCATCTTATTATTAATCTTTCATGCCAAGTAATACTTGGTATCATTTTAGAGACTCGTTGGGTAATATGGAGATATACAATACTTTACTTTTTGGGGGGTATTTCTGGTAATTTGGCCTCTGCAGTTTTAGACCCGTGCACTATTTCTGCAGGCTCTTCAGCTTGTTTTTTTGCACTTTTGGGGGGGATAATTGTATTACTATTGGAGAATTGGAGAAATTCCCGTTGGCAATTTTTATATGTTATATTAGTTATTATTGCTTCTTTGGCTGGGATTTCTCTTAGTTTCATGTCAAATACAGACAATTGGGCTCATATTGGCGGATTTGTTGCAGGGTTGCTATGGTCGTTCGCAAGTATGGAATCATTTCCCAGAAAATTCAAAGCTTTAAAGAAAACAAACGAATGTAATTCAGAAAAAAATGGAAATTTACCACTTAACCAAGATAAAGCTCAGCCTTCTTGTAAAGTCAATTCAACTGATATTGAAGCCGCAAATTACAAGAGCTCAACCGAAAAAAATTCATCAACTATAGAGTCTATTTTAGACGTTGAAAGTAAGGAACAATATCTTGGAAAACGCTTCACTCCGGTTAACTGTGCATGTAGTGGTGGTATTCAAACAGTCAGAGTTTTTTCACTACTGATATTATTATCTTTATTAACCATTGGGTTCTTGTTTTTGTTATATAAGCCACTGTACACCAAGTTTAATTTGACGCTTGGTCATCTTTCATTCTCCGGGATACAACCATGTAGCTGCTGCGACTCACCCGAAGGACTATTTTGGTGTTCGAGTTCTCCAACGTGGATCAAAAGATGCGGATAATCAGGTTAATACATACCTATCTAAAATTCTAAAATGCAAATAGGAATAAACTAGAAAATATAGGGCTATTAGGACCGAATTAAAATTAATCTATTTAATACTCAAGTTGTCTACGTATTAGTATTGATAAGAATACTGGTTGTCTGTGAGTGGATTATATGCGGTGTTGAATGGATTCGAATAAACTGTGTAGGGAATATTGATATTTCTTCCTTGATTGTATGGAAATGACATATATACGGGGTATAGCGTGGTCTGTACAGTTGATGTAGAGCAACAGCAACATGAACAGCCACATCCACTGCTCGCATATTTATTACAGCATGTAACCTGAATGTTCCCATTGTTATGAGCGCAATGATGAGTTCTGCAACACGAACTTCTTGGTAGATTACATACGCACGGGTTCATCATTATATTTCCTGATATACTCCCTAATTGAGATGTACAACTGTAGTTTGTAGGCTGGCTAATGTGTTCGTGAATCTTTTGAATTTTAGGTGGACATTTGTGTCTCTTAACTTCCTGTGTTGTTGTCGTTATAATTGCCTCGTGACAACCTGAATTAGTGATGTAGCATTTCTGGGTGATATTCGGTGAAGTAGTATGATTGGTGACAACACCATTACCTTCGCAATGGCAATCGGTTGATTTACATACTGTTGAAATTAATGCGTTTGAATTTTCGTCATTTGTATTTGTTATTGAAGAGCAAATGTTGTTTGAAGGCATGATTATTGAATAGTCAATTCTTTCTGTAATCGAATAAATATTTCAAAAGTCTATATATAAATCCGTAACTGAAATTCTTTTACTATTTACTGGTTGTAAATAGTCCGCTTAAAATGGAGGGATAAAATGCGGGCGCATTGTTTACTATTACTAAAAAAAAAAAAAAGCTTGCCGAACAAATTAATTAAATTTATGTTGGCAAATTTCAAAGAAAAAAAATGTTGTAATCACGATATTTAATAATTAAAACAAAATTATTTAGGCGGTAGCGCCTCGCATATATTGAGATTATAAAGTCTAAAAAAGAGGTAAATCATTTACAAGCAAGTAAAACAACCAACACAAATATGAATAAACATTCAAAAAAGTAAGGTTAGAATGCGATTTCTAGAGCATTCAGGATTAAACCGACTATCAGTTCTCTTAAGTAACTTGGATGTTGGTGACCGGATTTTTAATGGAAGACTTGAGCTGTTTACTTGTTCTGAAAAGGTTTCTGAAGAATGTGATTTGAGTGAAAGAGTTGATCGCGAAGTGTGTGTTTCGCCACAGTGGATTTCCCACTCACCAATTGGGCCAGTTCAACGTCAAGACGTTCGTGAACTACTGGTAAATTTGATCAGCACAATGAACCAATGTTTTCCAGATTATGAATTTAGTTTAATAAAGCCAGATAATTTATTCAAAGAAAAGAGTTTTTCTACTGTATACAATAATATTAACTACCACCTTTCAAGTATTGTAGAAAGAATCTACCCTAGTTTTCTTTTAGAATTATGGGAAAACATTAGAGATGCCGTAGAAATTAAATATACGGAAATTTATTCATATAGATTGATGGGGAATGACGAACTAAGCCCATTTTTGGATGATGGATCTTTGTTTTCATTTGATTACTTTTTTTATGATACTAGGTCACAGAGAATCCTATTTTTTGCCTGTACCACAAAATCTAAATTGAATATTAGTTTTACAGACAATGGTATAGACAGCTCAGAAGAGAGTATCGCCGAAGATGATGAAGTAGAATCTGAATAAACATTTATTAATTTTGTAGTATAAATGGCAATTTATTTATAAATACTAAATATTTTACTATTTTTAATTTATATCTATTTAAATATTTCAATTATTTTTTTTTCCTCTGCTTTAAAGACCGAGTTTCTTTTAGTCAACGATATCTATCTTTATTTCAATATATTAATTGAAAAGTCATGTTTTCTTTTAATATTATGTTTTTAATTATTTGCAAAATATATAAATGAGTTTTTTATTAGCATTAAATAACTTAAAATCAACTTATTGTTTACATCAATAGAAGAGTTCTTAAATATTTTATTTTAACGATAATAATGAAATTTTATGACTTCAATTAGGAAATAATCTTCAAAAGATTCTCAAACTTATTTTTTTTTTTTGTTTAGATTGGCTTAGACTAATCGAAACTCTAATATAATAATGAATTTACAAATATTTTGTATTAATTTTAATACGATCATTTAGATAAGATCCAAAATTAAATCGACAAAAAATTGTCAAATTAATAGAGATTAATGCCCATGACAAATAGATATTTTAAATATTGTAAAAAAAGATGCTACACAATTTCGAGCATTGAAAGTTTCAAATAAAATACGCATTAAGAAACTTTAATAAATGCTTGACGGAACTAAAATATATCGGATATATTTAATCCATTATTTAAACAATTTTCAATACCTTATGTGTTGTTCAAGTGCCAATAGTTGCGAACTTTTTCCTTTTCATTTTTTTTCATACGAGAATAATGAAAGATTTATGGGTTCAACTCTATTATTGTCTAGCAAGGATAATAAATATATTTATAAAATGTTGAAGAATAATAATCTGAATGAATTAAATTTTTACAAATCAATTAACCAACATCATCTTCTCAGACGTCATAACATTATTCCCAAGTTTATTAGGTTTGTAGTTGTTGTTGAAGCTGAAAAAAAATCAAAGAAAACTTATTTAAAACAATCCTTTATTAGTTCTATATTAAATAAAAAAATATGCAATTTGAAATATTTCAAATTTGAAGCTTCCATAGAAATGAAAAATTTTCTTAGTGGATATTCAACAATAAACATTATTGATTTAAAATTGGGTACATCTTGGATAGGGGAATCTAAAAACGATTCAATTTATAATCTCAGGAAAATTTTTACTAAAACGTTCCAAAACGAAGATCTAATACAAGAATTAAATAATATTTTTTTTAAGATTGAATGTATTCCAGAAAAAAGTGAATTCAATCATGAGATGTTTTATAAATTCAAGTCTCTACGAAAATCTATTAAGCAGTGCATGATAGTTAACAACTCATGTCAATATGAGATTGGAATTAGAATTCAAGGATTAATCAGTGAAAATATTACAATTTCTAGACAAAGAGGTAAAGAATTAACTTCCAATGAAACAATGAAACTATTATCTGAATTTTTAAAGCTCTCCCCAAACTTGATTAGGTTAACAAAAGAAAAAATCGAATTACTAAAACACTGGTTAAAGAAACAAAAAAGTTATAGATTTATTGCTACCTCAATTGTATTAGCTTTCGACAGGTAAGAGAAAAAGGTGAAAAAACTAGACCTAGCACGTGAGAATCGAGGAATATTTGCTCATTGATTTATATCTCAGGTTAAATGTTGAAAGATGCGATATTAGGTGGTTGGATTTCACTCATGCATTGAAACAAGGTAAAAATGGCGAAAAAGATTTTCTGATGAATGAAGGTATGCAATTTATTGTTGTTTTTTGTTCATAATTAATAACTTGTAGGATTAATAAAAGGTTTAGACAGCATTTTAAGGTCAATTGAAAATATCGAAATAAAAACATAAATATTAATAATTGAAACTGAATTATTGATATAGTAAAGATTTTTCGGAATTTTCGATATATTATCTTTAAAAAACTTAAATTAGCATAAAATTTAGTTTCTAATTCAATAACCTGCAAAAAATAAGTATTATATTGGTTGATGCACTTATTGTTTCCTACTGATTCAGTGGTACGGATAGAATTTATCAATAATAAAAATTGACTTTTTTTTTATGGCTGATTTACACATCTAGCAATTACTATATAGAACAATGAGATTGTATTTACTGGTTTTATTTACATAATATCTATAATTTAGATTTTGATTCGGATAGAATATAATTGGCTGTCATAATAAATTTTGATATTTAAGTAATTTAAATGAAATGATTTACTAGATATTTTATCACTATCATGATTGGTTAAAATGATAGTTCCAAAACATCGGATATATTCAATATATTAATTGAATTAAAAAAAAAGTACAATCACTATATATTTAGCTTTATTAGGATTTAGAATTAATACAAATTTTCCATTAAAGAAAGAATTGAAAATAGTTTGTTGGTATTAAAATATAATCACTTTAGCTCAAAATTACTAATTGCCTGTCTAAACAGAGAAGTAAAAAGTTCAAAAATAAACAATAAATCGGTTCTTCAATATATATAAAAGAATCTAATAAAAATATTAATTTTGATTATAGTAAATGAAAAAGATAATTGTAAAAAAAATTAAAAGAAGTTATTCCAATTTAAAACAAATGTTAGAACCTAAGAGAAAAAATTATATATGTAGAGCATTTCAAATAAAAAATAGAATTGAGATTATATGCTCAATAGAGCAAATTAATAAAAATATTTTAATATGGCCATATTACTTGAAAAACCCAAAAAAGTTATACCCAATTTCTTTGATTGAGTTTTCAACTAATTCTTCGTTATCTAAAGCTATTTCGGATTTCGGGCTCAGACTATCTTCATCAATAATAACAGAATTTGATTCAAAGTTGCAACCGATGTGATTATATCTCCTAAATACCAGCTCGTTTATATGCTCCTCTTCTATTTCTTCATCTTCGGGGATGCCAATATTTATTTGTAACTTAGAATTGAACAGACTCATTTTTGAATTTTTAATATTGAGAATTTTTAATTCATTTTTATCTTTTCCATTAGAAATTTGATTATTAAGAATATTATGAGGCTTCGTTACATTTTTAGATGGTGAGTTTTTGAATTCATTATATATTTCATTGTGCTCTAATTCATTGACAATACCTTTTAAAATTGTTATTATCTCTTGCAATTCATCTTCTGATAATCTAGAGCTATCTTCCGATGGTTTCAAGGTGTCAGTAATCCATTTTAATAGCAATGCCCTTTGTTCTAATGGATTCAATGATTCAAATGTATCAAATATTAAATTGTTTTCTTGAAAATTACATTCAAGTACATTTTTAAATCCTGCTTTAATTGATATAATTTGGGAATCATTAGATTTGGAATTTTCTGTGTCTAAAGTTTCAACTGGATTATTATGACTATTTGTATAAGTAATAATTGCTTTTATTGGGTCAATTTGTTCACATAAATTTGGATCTATTATTGGAGTTAATTGATTTTTTGTTGTCTTAGATTTAGTATGAAGATTCTCAAAATCTTTATCAGAGAAATTGGATACATCTTCAAGTCTTCTGGAGTTTGAAGAGTCCTTGATATCTGTATTGGCATATTCAATTATTGGATTTGATGAAAGATCAATTTGGTAATTAGCTGATTCACTTTTCTCTAACATGAAATCGTCATTTACGACAGGAAAATTTGGGCCGTTATTCATTGCTTCTGGCAGAATGTCCTCGAATTGCTTAGCAAGTGCTTTAACTTTACCGTCTGGAATTATTTTGTTCTTAAGTTTGTTTTTCCTATAAATCTTTAAAGTATGATTTGAACATTCTTTACAAATTGGGCTTAAATAATCCCTACAAAGAATACAATTTCTAAATTGGTTTTTATCCTTAACTGGTGTTAATGAAAGAATTGAATAATCTTCCAATTGAGTCTTTGAGTGTGACAAGTCTTCATGGTCATAACAATGGTCGTTTCTTTCGGAATCTCTAATGTTCAAGTCATCAGCATTGTTACTATTTATCGATATGTTCTCAATATCATTAATTAATTCTTCCATAGATATGCGATAGTTCAAAAGCAGAGAACATGAGTTTTTTCTTCACATTAAGTTGATAGACAATTTTTCTAAATTATATTGCATATTTGCAGATTATTCTTCAGGAATAATAGAGCAGTTAAGGATAAGCAATATGAGTAAAATTAACGTATCATAAATCGTCTTTAGATTCAATAATTAATCGTTTATTCTTTCTCAAGTTACTTACATCGCGCGAGACATTATTAATCACGTTTAGAAAGGGCTCAAATAATCCACATCAAGATCTAATAAAAAAATATGTGAATTTCTTGAAAACAAAAGTTCTGATTAGAAGATTAAAACGAAAATTGATCAAATAAAGCAATTATCTGATCAAATCGATGTGTAAATATTCTTTATTTTTTCAAGACAAAATAAAGAAATAGCCCCACAGTCCCGCGTATATGTACTCGGTAGCGAAGTCATTTTCATTTTATACGAACTATTTTCTTAAAAACTTGAACATGCGGCTTTGAAAGTATATAATTTTTCTACACATTAATTAATTGATGCAAGGAAATAAGAATTCAACCTCACTCATTTGCCTAGAGTCGAATATTGTTGGAAATGTTGAGTTGGGTGAAGGTTGTGTAGTTCACCCTTCCGCGTTAATTGATGGTGGGGTTGGTGGAATTGTGATGGGGAAGAATAATATAATAGAAGATTCTGTGAAAATTGTTAATGAAAATATTAACAAAATGTGTATTGGTAGTAACAACTGGTTCCATGTCAGATGTGAAATCAACAACACTTTATCTATTGGCGATAATAATAGTTTTGAAATCGGATCCAAAGTAAATCAAAACACAAAAGTTGGAAACAATTGCGTAGTCTCTTTAAATTCAAATCTTCCTCCGAATTTTGAGATTTACGACAATATGTGCGTTGCAGTTATTGGCGATTCCTTAATTCATACAGTTAACAAAACCACCCCAAATCAACATTTGCACGAACAAATAAACTTTCTGAATAATATTTTGCGTGGAAGCTCGATGGAAAAGAAAAGGTAATATTTAATTTACAGATGAAGTTGAAAATATGGATCTTAATTTTTCATAGGGTTAAACCTTATTAAATTTTATTTTTAAAAATGAGCTTTAATCCTTAAATTAATTAATGTAATTATGAGCAAAAAACATACTTCGTTTCTTTCTCATCTTAAGGACAAGTATAAGGTATTCTCAATGAGAAATACCAAAAATAGGATTTTTAGTCGAAAGAAAGTTAGTCCGGGAAATAACTCTAAAAATGAAAAAATGAAAGGGGTTAACATTTCTTTCGAACATACTTGTTCTGATTCAGTTAAAAATTCGAGTAGCCAACAAATTTCATCTACTTCTGTGAGTTTTTCATCGGATAACAGTATTATTAGTTCAAGTGACGCTAAATATCAAAAAGATCGAGTTTTAAGAAGTGGGCGTACACTTAGCAATACTGTATCTAACAAAAATTTGGAGAATACTAAAGTTATTAACTCTGATAAGAATCTTGATGAAAACGGTAGTTGTTCCGACTCAAGTTCATTATTTAACAACTCACTCCCAGAGAGTTCGCCAACTAGTTTGCTAAGCGATTCAAGCACAAGTTCAAATCCAAAATACAAAAACAAAGAATATTCTAGTGATACTCAAAGTTCAACTTGTAACCAATCAAACCCTATGGAGGAAATAGATCATAATTACTATGATAGTCTCAGAACTTCATGCAAGGAAAATAATTCAGAAAAACAAGAGAATCCCATCACAAAAAGGAAAGTGAATATTATTCCAAGAAAACCAACTGCCAAACTCGAATCATATACAAGAAACAAAAACACAGACAATCACAGGGAAAATGTAATTTGTATAAACAAAAGTGCACTGGATATTCTAAATAATAAACATTCAAATAAAGAGGAAAAAAGAACTACACAACAGGTAGTTGCAATTGAAAGTCTTGGTAGAAATGAGGAAAATGCTGAAAAAAACTTTCCTAATTTGACTAGTGGCTTGAGCCATCAAAAAGATAATAGGTGTTCATTTGAAGAATCAAAGACTTTTCTTGATCATGAAACATCCTTTATTCCGATAATAATCGAAACAGATTACTGCCATCAATACTGTTATTTGGACTATGACATATTAATTGATTGCGTTTATATAAATGATTATCAATGCCATTTACATAATTTTACTGACATTCTAAACTAACGACCCTAACTAGTTAATAATTTACTATTTACGTCATCTTTATAAAAATTTATTTCTCCTGCCCATCTTTTTTTAATAATATATAAAATGGAATCCTTTTTGTCTATTATACGCGAAAATATATCGTTGTTAGTACAAATTTCATCCTTTTCAAGAATTGAGGTATTGCAAAATATCCCCATCCTCTTTGGAATTTCATAGCAAAATTCTTCGAGTTTTAACATGTATTCAGATGAATTTTCTGAATCTATAAAATTATTTTTTTTTACATGTTCGAAGCTGACATAATTTTCTATCATCTTGCATGAAACAACGTTATTAATTTTGTAAGTTTCTATAAGTTTGTTCGTGATCTTTATTGGAACACCAAATATTACATCATCCACAACACGCATAGATAATAGTGTAAGCGCTCTCTCCATCATTTTAAGTATTGGGAACCCGTTTCCATAAATCAATTGAGTTGTTATATCATCATAAATACCGATAATTAGGAGCCCACCAAAAATTTTCTTAACTCGTTCAAGAAATCGCAAATGACCAATATGAAAGATATCAAAGCTTCCATCAACATACGTAATGTTGGGATTTGAGCTATATATTTGTTTTGCACATGCTATTCCACCAGCAAAACTTAATACTCTACTTGCAGAAATCAAACTTTGGCAAGGAGAATAATCGCCATCGAAAAATCTGTCAATTTTTGATACACTACATACTTCCTTTTTACCAAACATATTTGAATGATCAGAACTATTCAAGGGTGAAATATCTTCAAATTTTAAACCTAGAGCACGGAAAATGCGGGTAATTACTGAAGTTGTGCTAACACCTTCGGTTCTTTGAAATATTTTTAACCTTCCTAATATTCTTGGTTCATTATATGGATCGGTTCCATCTGAACATAGTACAAGGTCATCGCCATGTGCAACAAACTCACAGTTTAATTGATCTAGTAAACTTCCTTCAACTTTGTACGGGGTTCCGATCACAATCTCGTCAGCCCACTTGCAGCCTTTCATAAGCTCTCCACGTTCATCCTGATTATAAATAGGGTAACAACCCTTTAAATTAAAGCAGTCAAGATCAGAATTAATGCCAACAACTAATTCATTTCCAAATTGTTTTGCTTTCCTTAGTGCATTAAAATGACCAGCATGCATCAAGTCAAATACACCGTCAATAAATATTCTCGAGTTATTTGAGTCTTTAGTATCCATATTTGGGTGTATTCTAATTATTGGAATAATTTAATGTTTTAATTAAGGCCGAAGATTGTAAAGAATTATACTCCATGTACAACGAAATAAATAATCAAATATCCTCTTCAAATAAGACAAAACTTAAACTGAACTCATGATTCTTTTGCAGGATTTGAACAAAAACTTTTAAATTAACTTAATTTTAGAAATCTTCAGATTAATTCTATTAATAAGCATAAAGCTAAGTGGATTTGCGCGTTTTTACACCATGCGGCTTTTTTACCCTCACATAAAAGTTGTAAAAAATTCGGAATAGCATTGGTATTATTTCGTAGAAATCATATTTAATAGTAAGGAGTTTCAAAGAAAATACCGGAATTTTTGAACATCTTAAATAATAATACCACTATTATACGCAATGGTAGTTTTTTCTGCATCAATTGTGAGTAATAGAAAAATCCTCTTGTCTAGACAGTTTGTTGAAATGACAAGAGGCGATGTTGAAACCTACTTAAATAGATTTATTAAACAAATTGAGCAATTTCGTTTAAGCAATGAATACACTTATATGGAGATTGATAACATTAGGTTTGTTTATCAGGCAATTGATAATATTTACTTAATCTTGATGACACCCCTCAATTCAAATATTATTGAAGATATGGATACTCTTCAACTATTTTGTCAAGTATTATACGACTGTTGCAACAATCCTCCTCCAATAACGGAAGATTTAATTGCAAGTAATTGTTTTGAAGTTATCTTTGCCTTTGATGAAATAATATCTTTTGGGTATAAAGAATCAATTAATTTGAGTCAAATAAAAACGTGTCTTGAAATGGAATCTCAGGAGGAAAAGCTGCATAAGTTGATAAGACAAAACAAGGAAAATGAAGAAAAGGAGCGTAGAAGACATATTGCAAACAGATTAGATAAGGAGAGAACAACTAATGAAGCATTTAGTCAGTCAAGATACACTTCAGCCAACACAAATAACAATATTGTCAAGTCTTCACTATCTGGAATTGCGGCTTTCGCTGAATCTGTTGGAGTTGGAAAAATAGCTCAGTCGGTGGGAATTGGACCTATAAGGAATATATCAAAGAGTGATAACACAAAGGTTTCCGACTCTGATTTAGCAAGTAACAACCGCACATTTGGGATGTTTTCAAATGAATCCACCTCTATTCAGTCAATAAATGCTCCCGGGAGAGGAATGCTTATTGGGAAGAAGAAACCAAACACAGAGTCAAAACAAAATGTTAATTCACCGTTAAAAATGAGAGAAAAACATTTTTCGGATTTTGAGCAGCAAGAAAACATGAAAAGTATGCCAAATCCCATATATTTTGAGGATGATTGTTCATTAATTGAAGAGAAAATTGAATTTTTGCTAAATATAGATGGAACTGTTCAATCCAAAATTGAAATTCAGGGAACGTTTCAAGTTACTTTATCTTCGGATACTTTCCCCGAATATTCAATAACCGAAGACCCAAGGTTTCAATTTAAGACTCATCCAAACCTTAATAAAGAAAAATTCCAAAATTCTGGAAAATTAGCATTAAAGGAGGGTATCAATTGTACATTGCCGGTCAATACACTAATGCCGCTCGTTAAATGGAGGCCATCATCTAATTTTCAGAATCATCAGTTTGAGCTTCCATTCTCTTTTTCTTGTTGGCCTCTTGGCACGGAGAATGGGTACACAAATGTCACAATCGAAATTGAACCTTCACAATCAATTACTGATTTTAAATTAAAAATTCCGTTGACATCCATTTCTGCACACAGCACTAATATAGGACTATTAGAGACAAATGAAGATAGTTACTCTTGGGAAGTTCCTCGGTTGTTTCCTTCGGAAACTGCGACGCTTGAATTTAGTACAAGCCAATCTGATTTTCTTCCAATTAATCTATATGCATCTACATCAAAACCTGTTTGTAAAATAGGAATCATGAAGGACAAAAACCATGTAAATCCAAAGCATTGTGTTGCCAAATATAATATAGGTATTAAGCAATAATAATTTAGTTCTTAACTTTATATTTTCAATGTATACCTTGGTCAGATAAAATGATATAGTTGGCGCCGAAAAGACATTGTTTTGAGTGGAAATTATTCATGTATGCCAATGGTACACAGAACGAACAATTAGATAATTTTCTTTAATCACTTTACTTAAATAGCTAGCTGATGCCTAAGTGAGATTCCTTAACTTATAACCCCCTGATCTTATTTAAATATGCACGAAAGCCAAAGTGAGTTATCGTTTTTTCACTGATTTATTATGACTTAAAATTAATCTTTAGAGTATCAATCAAACAATGATATTGAATCGGAGATAGCTGAATATAGAGAGAATCAAAGGAAAAAGTATCTTAATCAAAAAAAATCAATTCTTTCAAATAAAAAAATGTCTCGTTTAAGTAATTCCACTGAAACAATGACTGGGTTAAGTGCTAACGAATCTAACAACTCATTTAATAACTATAGAAAAAATTTCCCCACTTCATCTTCTTCAGAAACACATAAGAATTCTAGTGATGAGAGAAATAACTTAACTTCTGGAGATATTTGTCGATTGAACTATAGTTTTGCAGAATCTCCTGAATTAGATATAGATCGGAATCAATCAGCGCAACAAAGGGATAAGATTCATGATGGAGCTAGTGAATCTTTAACTAATTCCCCACTAGATAGTACTGTAAGAAACGACACTATTTCCCAGGTAGACAAAATTAAGATAAACAATTCGAAGAATTCAAAAAGCACTTCGAACTCTGCCGCAGGGATTATTAACTCATTCAAGTCTTGGACAAATTCACTAGTCACACATTTATCTAAACAGAAAGGCCGAAACAGGCGTGACAGATCGTCCAGAAACATGGATACTCCATTAAATGTGGAAGCTAATACTGAAGTCCGTGGTAGAATATCACAAATCGAGGACAATACTTCTAATGCTTTTCGCGCAAACATTTCAGATGAGGAGTTTGCAAGAAGAATGCAGATAGAGGAATTAAATAATTTTGGAGCATTACATATTATGGAAAACAACTCAAGTCTTCCCCCGTATTTGTTAGGGAATTTTCAAGATGCTAATTATAATCCTAATATAACCGTTTCATCATCTAACAGTATGACGGTTAGTCCTTTTCAAGGTGCCCCGTACAAATTTGAATTCCAATCCTCAGATGATGAGCGATAATAAAATTATAAAAGATACCATTGAACTATTTAACCCTGAATATAGAGAAGTCCGATCTCTCAATCAAGTCACCCTTCTGGATGAGGATTTTCATTGCTTTTGATAGGTAATATGGGTCATATCCAACTAACACCAAGTCTTTAATTATCGTAGTCTTCCCTGCTCTCGCCTTAATTGGAATCCTATTTTTTATGGCAACTTCCGCGTCAATTATCGCAGATTGTTCTGCTGGTGATAAATTGTCAAGTAACAGAATGTTTGATTTGATTGCTTCTATTGTTGCGTTTTTGAATAGTTTAATAGCCATTTCAACATGTTTTTCGTTTGCAATGACCTGCATTTCCATCTTTGCAAAGCTTTCTGCAATTCTAGTAATGGCTTCTAATTGCCTTACCGTTATTGGTATTCTCTCCTTATTTGCTTTGTTCGTCTTTTCACGATTGTCCTCCCTTATTTGAACATAAAAGTTTTCTAATATAGCAGCAGCATCCAGAGATAAACGTGGGTGGACAAACTCTCGGCAATAATTGATATACTTTTGCAGTAACTCAAACTGGAGCGATCCCGTGGATTCTGAGTTACTAACATTTGTCTTTCCATTAGAACCAGAGTGCAATTCAACAATGTGCGAAGCTATAAGCCTGTCTCTATCAACATTTTTTTCATCTTTTAATAAGAAGATGAGATCAAATCTAGATAGAATAGTTGACTCGAAGTCATGCTGCTGTGTTAGGTCTTTACTATCGTCATAAGACCCAAACGTTGGGTTTGCAGCAGCCAATACAGAGCATCTGGCCTTTAAAATGGTTGTAATTCCCGCCTTTGCAATACTTATTGTTTGTTGTTCCATAGCTTCGTGAATTGCTACACGGTCGTCATCACGCATTTTGTCAAACTCATCTATACAAACAACTCCCCCATCAGCAAGTACCATAGCTCCACCTTCTAGTGCATACACGCCATTTGCATGATCTCTGACAATTGCAGCGGTGAGACCGGCGGCACTACTTCCCTTACCAGATGTATAAATACAAATTGGGGCAACCTGTTCTACAAACTTTAAAAGCTGAGACTTTGCTGTTGAGGGGTCTCCAAGCAATAAAATATTTAAATCACCTCTTATTCGGTTACCATCAGGTAAACATTTCGAACTTCCGCTAAAAAGTAAGCACGCTATAGCCTGCTTAATTGTTTCATTCCCATAAATTGCGGGGGCAATACTGTTAACAATTAGCTCATGAATATTTGGTAAAGACGAAATGCGACGAAACTCTTCTATTTCATTGTATTGGTTACTCATTGATGAGCTTCTCATTAAAGTTTTTGTGTTTTTACTAGACCAATTACTTCCATAATTCATTACGCCGATGACATATAAATAAGAAGTTCTAAGAGAGCCATTTCTACTATTAGAGTGAACTTTCGATGATTCCTTATCTGTAGAAGAAAGCACACCTACAACATAAAGCCTATTTCCTGGAATTACTTTGTCTACAAGCCCACGAGTCATATGTAATGATATATGTCGAGGAATATCTCCGGTAGGAACATGCTCAGGAAGTTCCTGGAACTTCATACTTTGTATATCAATATATTCTGACTCGTCAGAAAGAGTAAAGTATGGATCTAATGGGCACTTTGGTGCCTCACCTATTGGGGCAGTATTACAAACTCTTGGTAGTATTGTACCTTGGCGCCAAATAGGAATAGCTATGTTTCTGGTACCCTTACACTGGCGACATAAAATCTTAAGTTTAGAAGCTTTTTTTTGAGGTTTTGAAGATTGAATAACAATTCCAGGAACAGTGACTAGCTTTTCCATAACATTACTTTTAAGATCCCTAATTAATGTTGGCTCTTGATTAGAGACTATTTGTAATTGTATATCTGGAACCAAACGATTAATCTCTTCTTCAGTTATTTCCTTTTTATGTTTTCCCACTAGTTCTAAATAAACTCTCTTTAATGCCCCTTCACAAATTGGAATGTATTTTAGTGGCGCATTCTTGAAGCATTTAATTAAACAGGATAACTCGTTATTCCTGACACCGTTATGGAAGTTTTCAGAGTCATTTTCACGCCCATTTATAAGACTCCCATCATAACTGGCATTTTCTGTATGTTCTCCGATTTCCGAGCAAGAAACCTCGTCAATACTAAGGTGGTGAAGCTCAAGCCTAAGTGTGTATTCACCAATAGAAACGTTATTTATTAGCATTTCTCTATAAATATAATCTCCACTTTGATTAAAGTTTTTTATGAAATTACTGAATTTATTTCTACATTCCTCTGCTGAAAGCAAATCCGTTGTATTATTTACTGTATCGCCGTTCCAATCTCCCTTTTCTAAATCTCGAGGAGGGTTGCTGTAATAAATTGTTCCAATTGAACTTTGCATGATAAAAAGGCTAGATAATCGTACCAAATTAATTGATTTAATTTGCCGGATTGTATTGCAACACTATATTTAAGTTTAATAACTGTGTGGGGAAGGCGGTAATGCATTAATCGCGCTAATTATAATTATGTAAAAGGCTGAAGATATAAGTATTAATATTTCTTAATTTTGAAACCTGAAGTCAACTTTTTACATATTGAATAATCATTTTTAATCACTTGCTCTTCTAAATTATTACTGCTAATTTCGGTTTTTTTGAAAGCAAACACACAATATAGGTTAAATACTTCGGTTTCTTGTTGAGTTATTAGCCCAGAATTCTTGGGGTTATTTAACCAGTTAGAAAACCTGATATTTGGAAAGTTCCTCTGTGTGAATTCAGCAAAACTTGGAAAGTTTGAATACTGGATGAGCTCCAAACCAACTTTACTTGCAAGGTTACAGAATGATTCCCAAGGTACGACGTATTCGTATTGATTGATATGTTCAATTAACCAAAAGTCGTATTTGATGCCCCATTCAGTTCTGAAAAGTTGAATTCCTCTTTCTAAATCTACATCATCCGAAAAATATTTGCGCCAATCATCACAACTAAATGAGATTTTGTAGATTGAATTACCACTCACATACTTTGTACTGTTATTTAAGTTTACATCAGTCTCGTTGTTGTCTTCTGAACTTTCATTAAGGTTTATCTTAACTGAGTTGTGTCTCATAGAGTAGAATATATTGTCACAAGAAATAGTGGAACCAATAAAAAACCCACCAGGTTTTAAATAGTTAGATACGTTTTTCAGGAATTCAAATGATGTTTCCTCATTGATAAGCATATAATGCATTGAGAGTTGTATTGAAATTATTTCAAATGTGTAGTTTTTCAATATTTTCGAATATGTTGTTCTTGAAAGTAGATTTCCAACATGATATTCAACAGAAAAATTTAAAGAATCTTCGTATGTTTTCAAACGGTGTCTTGCCTCAGAAATCTCCTCTGCGGAAATATCTATTCCAACAAGACGATTTATTTTCTTTCCCTTATATTTTAATATGTCCTGTCCATGTCCGCATGCTAAATCCAAAATGCTTAAGTGTCTATTTTGCCTATATTTTAACTGCTTTTCGAAATACTGATCTATCAATGCTCTCTTTATTTCATTATTATACTTTCTTAAACCACCAATAATTGAATAGTCAGCATTCTGTATCTTTTTCATATTGTAATGTGCTCTAATTGAAGTAGTAATATCACCAAAAAAATTTGGGTAATAATAACTCATTTGAGAATAGAGAGAGTAGGAATTAGTCGAAATTGGCTCATCCAAATACTTTGCTATTAGTGACGAATTATATATCAGTTCATTTGTGATTCTATCTAATCCATTTATTTGCCCTTTATTATATAAGTCTACATGTTTTGATATTAATTGTTTATTTCCCGACAAGTATACCATCCAATATTCTTCATCATCTTCATCTTCATTTTCCTCTTTTAAATGGCTCTCTGGTAAACTTACTTCAATCGATTTCTTGTATTTATCATCATTTTCCTCCCTTTTTCGCTTCTTTTCAGATAAACTAATTACGTTGATTATTTTCAAATCCCAAAAAGGATATGCATTGCTTGATTTCCTTTGAAATTTCCAGCTAATTACACTTTTTTTACTTCTAAAGGAAGTTATATCTGATTTAGGCTCATCGATCGTTGACTTCGAAATGCCAGTTATACTATAATGTATCTTGGATTTTGGCTTATAAACAACGACTTCACCGAGATTTAGCTCAAAAAATGAAGATTTGTCTCCATTCTTATCAATAGTAACTATTCCATTTGAGTATTTTTCTTCGAAAAACAAATCAATAGCAACTTTCTCTGCAACCTGCCATGATTCTCTGTTTGCACGGATAATTCTTTCAATCAAATAACTTTGCTGTTTTCTTCCAATTTTTTCTTCAAACTTGTAATCACCAGAGCCTTGTTCAAGAATACAGTCACATGCAACTGGCAAGTTTATGTTCATTCTGGAATAATAACCTTTTATTTCTCCAAACTTTGCAACTATTTCGTGATTGCTATGGCTATTGCATTGAATAATAAAATTTTTGACAGCATCGTTCAAGCTAGATCTCCTTGAGAGTGTTAGAAACCGAATTTTACTTGTTTCCCTAGGCATTTACCATTCAACTCATCAAATCTTTTTTATTTATTTTTCTTTACTAGAGCACAGTCTAATAGCGCCAATACAACTAAACAAGAAAAATAATTATAAATTTTGTAACGAAAAATATTCATATCAAAATATATAATTTATCATCATTCTAAAATTTGCTAAAAGTCAGAGTTACAATTTCTCATACTCAACTCGAAAGCCGTCCTATTCTCAGAAACATTATTAACTAGATCATGCATAGAAAGCACAGAACGTAAACAACTCATCCCATATATTGTTAAAATCATATCCGCATACCTATTGGAAAACGCGGAAATTATCTCTGGTTCGCTGGAGTCCGGAAGTAAGTTAAAAATGTCTTGAAAAATAGAGACAATGCCATGATTTGGGGGTATTTTACCTTCTATTATGTCATTAAAGTAGATCTTAGACTCTTGCAATTTAGAGATTAGTATTTTGCAAGAGTTTATTGTGTCTGAAATTTGCGAAACAAGAGATGAGGTCGAGGTGTTTTTTAAATCTCTCAATAGGTGTTCCACCCCAACTTCTTCTGCTTCAAACGCACCAATTGTACATGGATTATGTACAAATTTTTTCCTCAAGATACTGTTAGGATCATCCATTGAAAAATATGCGCTAATTGGGTTGGACAAATATTCAAAATCGTTGGCAGTTACATCGGCAATCAAATATAATGGGTCAGCACAATATCTCCTAAAAAGTTCATGGATATCAATGTCAACAACCTTAGTTTTAGGACCGGTACTGTACCAACCGATAATTTTTTCTTTTGTATTAATCTTTTTAAACATTAAATACATCTGTTCATGATAGTTATGATCTATATACCAAACCATTGGGTCTCTTGAATCCTCCTCAAAAGGCAAAGCATAGCTATTTGTGACATGAATCTCATCTGTATTATGAAGCTCTCCTAGCAATGTGCCAACGACTCTTTTTGAAGTGCCCTTTGCAACCCTATTATAATGATCTACAATCGACAATAATACAATTGGGTGAATAACAACTTTTTTTCTATTATTTGGATTTGTCTTTGCATCCCCCAATGCAATATTAAAATGCTCTTCGCTTTGATACATTCGTAAAAACCCCGAAATTTCGGTTAAAAAGATCAAAAATTTGTGATGATACGGAATTCCTAATTCCAGTAGTTTTGAGAGATCCCCTCAATTCTACCCAGCCCCCCTATAAAATTCTTTATCCTCATTAAGTAATTCTCAGAAAATGTTCCCGCTCTTAATTTTGTTGAGATTAAAATGCAAAATACGAATTGTTTATTCAAATACAAAATGAGTGCTGTTGCAATTTTCTCTGCTTAGTTTGTCTAAAATCTTGCAATATATAATAGTACAAGGGTGATAAGAAAAGGATGGTTTAAATATGTCCCGTTCTCTGAAACCAAACAGTTTATTTTGAGTTAGAATTACTTTACTAGAACGGTGGCTAATTGTTTTTTGAGAATTAACTAGACTATATATGCATTCAGATGGAACGCCTCTTAACTTGCCTAATTCATTATTCCCTCTTTTAAAATTAGATGCTTCTATGCGAATGTTTTCTAAATAACCATCATTCGGATATTGAGCCATTCCCAATATATCTATATTGTACCTTTCGCTAAATTTAAAAAGAGATAAACCATGTTCTGTGAGTTTACTATGATACTTGTTTGCTGCAGAATTAATATCGCAATGGCGTACGAAATTACTTGATTTCCATACTAATATACCTTTGTAATTATCTGGAATAAAAAGAGTAACATAGTCCATGATATCATTACTTTTCTTACAATCGATTATTTTTGGTAACAATATTTTTTCGGACAATGAAATAGAGTTCATTTGTGAATTTGATGCACACATCAATTGTTGTTTGCTTGTTTTTATAGTTTTTTTTAATGAATTTCTCTCTGAAAAACTAATTGGAGAAATTCTGAGATCAGAAAACTTAATAAATTCAAATGATAAATCTTCTTTGTTGTTATTGTTATTATTTAATATACTTTTAATATAATTAATTGTATTGCAACAGTTCAAATTTCCTCCGGGTGGGAATTTTAAATTATTTTCAACTATATAATTATATGATAAATCATCAAGGTTCCCCCAAAGATGCAGCCTTAATTTCCATTCTTTCAATCTACCTGAAAAGCAAGACTTACTTGTATTCAAGTATGGATCTGGCGTTGAAGGGTGCCAAGTGAAGTTTAGCTCCTTTTTTCTTTCATTTTTTTTAACTGCTGATGTGTATCTTTGATACCCAATGCTGTTCTTTGCTATATTAATTTGTTTCAGCCTTTGGCTGATTCTTCTTTCCTCTATATTTGACGTCAATTTGAATTATTAATAAAATAAATAATATAAGAAAAGAGCCGCTTGTTTATCAACGTTTAAAACCAATTATTTACGGAATTATCTTCACACAATTATTTTAAGATTTCTCTATTTATTTCTGAATTGCTTTTAAATCGTTCTGTGTTAAATAACTTAATTAACGGCAGCCCATTACTACTTGAAATTGTATTTTCCTCATTGATTAAATTGCTAATTCCGTTTTTGCTTTCTCTCCTCCGTGAAATTGTATCACAAAACTCTTCTAGTCTAGTATCAGGATATTTTATTTTTAAGTAAACTAGTATATCATCGGCTTGAACTTCGGGGTTATTTTTGTGTTTAGAGATTATAAATGAGTTCTTAACTATGTCTTGAAGAAAACCATTTGTCAAGGTTGTTAAAACTTGAGAAACAGAAGGCCCTAGTCTTATCTGAGGAAATTCTTCCATCATTATTTCGTTTAAAAGTTCAGGAGACAAAATAGAAAACAACTCACTTTCCAGCTTTTGGTCTATAAATTCATCCTGCATTTCTAATTAACTTAGAAATATATTCTGAATATTCGTACAACGTTGAATTAATAATTATTGTAAATATTAGGCAGAATAATAGAAAATTATAGTAGATACACTTGTTCTGTTTTTTTTTAATTACATTTCTTTACTCAAAATTTGCTGTTTGCCGGGCAAAAGAAAATGGATATAGAAATCAATTTAAACTTTTGAACAATTTTTAATGTTTACCAAATTCATTTAGTGTTAAGAAACATATCTACGTTCTCTAAATTTTGTTAATAATATTAGATTAATCCGATCTATCCCTAAAAATTTTTTTAACTGCTTAATAGAATTTATGTTCATTCCAACGGTCCAAAATAACAGCATTTTATATCTAATATTGTATTTTTATTTTTGATATTTACCTGAGTATGTAATTCCTATGTAAAAAAGGTCAATTTTTAGTAAATTCATTTTTAAAATTTAATAATTGTTTTAAACTCCTAAAGAACTTTATGTGTAATGTCTTTTCAATCAGTAATAATTTAATTCTCCAGTTTTACATCTTGGAATTCCAAAATAAAAGGGTTTAATATCATCAAAAATCTCTTTTTTGAAAGAAAATGTTTCAAATAAAATTATTGGCCAGAGCTTATATTTTCATATAAAACCCCTTTGTTTAGAAATATTTGATTTTTTGGTGTTATATAAAACTAGTAATCTTCTATATATGAATTATATTTTTTATTAATATCTATTAATATAAATATTCTTCAAAGTTTATTATAATAATTTTTTAAACTTTTTATTGCCTTAACTCTATAGACCAATTACTCGAATTATTTTCAAATGGAAAAATTATAATTTAATGTTTTCGTTGTTAATTATTTACATATTTTCTATCTCAATAAATTGTTAGATCTTTCTTGGGTGGATTTTTTAATTTATTCTCTATCTAAATTGAAGTATCAGCTTCTTTTTTTAATAAAGTCATTAAATTTTTTTTTGGTGGAATTTTAAATTTACTCTTTGCTGGAGTAGGAGGAATAACTGCCTTTTTCAATAAAACTACTGAAGTATCTTTCTTTGGTGGGGCTTTAGGCTTGCTCTTCGCTGCAATAGGAGCCATAACTTCTTTTTTCAATGTAACGATTGAGATTTCCTTCTTTGATGGAATTTTAAGGATATTCTTTGTTGAAATTGAAGTATCTGCTTCTTTATTCAACGGAAGTATTGCGGAATCTTTTTCAGGTGGAATTTTTAAGTCACTCTCAGTTGTAATTTGAGTAGAAGCCTCTTCCTTAAATAAAACTACTAAGTTACTTTTCTTTGATGAGGTTTTAAGGTTATTCTTAGCTGGAATAGAAGCAACAGCTTTCTTTTTCAGCTGGTTTACCAAGCTTTCTTTTTTTGGTATGATTTCAGGTATATCTTTTGTTGAAGTTGAAGCAGTAGCTTCACTTTTTAATGGGGTTACTAATTCATCTTTCTTAAGTGGGATTTTTAATTTGTTCTTTGTTGGAATTAAAGTACTAGCTTCTTTTAATGAAGCTACTGAAGCGTCTTGTTTTGGTGAAATTTTCAAATTGCTTTTTGTTATAATTGGAACAGTGGCATCTTTTTTTAATGAAGTTAATAAGTCGCCTTTCTTTGGCAGAGCTTTAAAGCTATTCTTTCTTGAAATAGGGCCAGTAACTTCTTTTTTTAATGAATCCACTGAGATGTCCTTTGGTAGAATTTTAAGTATATTCTTTGATGAAATTGAAGTATTAGTTTCTTCATTCAGCGGAACTATTTTTACATCTTTTTTAGGTGAAATTTTTAAATTGATTTTTGCTGGAATCGGAATGTCGACTTCCTCTTTTAATAAAGGCAATAAATTATCTTTTTTTGGTGTGTTTTTAAGTATATTTTTTGTTGAAATTGAATCAGCAGCTTCACTTTTTAATGGAGTTACTAAGTTATCTTTCTTAGTTAGAATTTTCAAGTTTTTCTTTGTTGGAATTGGAGCCCCAGATTTT